AGGTCAAGACGATCCCAAGGTTTAGGAAGGCTTGAGAGGTCAACCTTCCGTAACAATAGCATTAAAGGATATAATTCTTCACGCATGAATTAAGGTTCTTATGTACTAGGTTGGCCTATTAGAGGTTGAAATACTTCATGTTCTATAATGCGAAGGCTGGGATATTAAGGCTCGTATATTAAAATATATATAACACTAACTAGGACTTTATCAACGTACAATAAATATAGTTGTAGATCAAGTAGAGGTTGATTAAGTACTAAATTAACTTCGTATGGACCTTGCTACAGGTTAAATTAAGGGCTATGGCTGGAGAATACTTCATTAATATTTTAAGAATCAAGGATTCTTATTAGCTAGGTAAACTCTTTCTAGTTTACTAGTAAATAAATGCTAATATTCTATACTAGGGATTAACTATTCTCTTTATATAAAGAGCTCGCTCCTACTACTGTATAATAATGCTTTCAAGATCTTTAATGTTATTATGGAGCCTATATTACACCTAGGCCAAATTTTATCTAGTTAATTAATAGCTATCTTAAGCTAGCCCTGTATAGCATTAAGATATATATAGTAATTAATACTTATTCTCGCTATATCATCTAGATATATGTTGGCATTAGCTCTCATATAGTAGTTAGTGTGCTTTAATAGTTCCTTAATATACTTAAGGTTACATAGCAGCAGCCTCGCTTTGTATGATCTAATTATGATATAGAGATAATTCTTCTTGCTAAAGCATAGCACAAGCTCTAATAGTCTCTCCACCTAGAAATCCATATTAGAGACTATTATCTATACGGTACAAGTACGGCTAATTAGTAGATTAAGGCATGGTGGCTTTAACTAACACGTGGGATGCTATTTTAATATTAGGTAAGTATATACTCTTCTACCTTGTATAATAACTAATTAAGGACTTAGGAATATTTTTATGGCCTTTAAGAAGAGGGGAACTTCTCCCCTAATAACCTTAGTAATTAGATTACTTTATATGTAATCTACATGCTAGTTCTTTAAGTTTAGATTAGATCCTTTATACGTACATGGAACTAGTACTCTATTTATAAGTAACTAAATCATCCACATCTTATACCTAGGAAGCTATATATAAACTATAACTTCCTAGCTACTAGTATTAAGAATCAGGGAATTTAGTTTAATATAAACCTATTTAAGCGCCTACAGGATGACGTATAGGACTAAGATATTAATAAATATCTACCTCCAGAAACTTATTCTTAGACTTAAAACCAGCTACTATAGCTATTGTATGATCCCTAATAACCACCACCCACTACCAGAGATCATGTGCTTACTCTATTCTATATAATCTATCTAGAGCTTTTTTTAAGGATTTAGGTTTATATTTAGGCTAGAACCTAGCTAATTCTCTAACTATCTTAACCTCTAACTAGGGCCTTTAATTGGGCTCTATAATAGAATGGGGAGGAGGATCTTGAGCTCGTATAAGAGGTTAATATAGAGTATAATTAGGATTAATTAGAGGAACTAGAGAACTAGTGTAGAAAATTTTTATATATTTTTAATTACTCCTTCACCGCTACTTTCCTTTATATATAATATATATATATCCGCCCTACCTTGGGTAAAAAAGAATAAATAGATAAAAACCTCTTCCTATTATATATTATACGAAGCTAGAATCTATCCTAGATGGGGTAGAAGTACTTAATCTTACTATTTCCTCTTTCCCTTTACCTTTACTAAGCCCTTAAAAGGCTAATTAAATCTTTACTACACCTTTATCTTAACTAAAATACTTTGATTAATATACTATAGCGTCTGAGTAGTATTATTAAGACTTAATTCTTCGTATTAAAACCTAGTAGTAGCTTAGAAGGCTTAATAAGGTCCTTGTATACTTCTAGATTATATAGTAATAGGAGAATAATGGGATACTATAGCCTATATTTATAAATAACTTAAGTAAAAACCCTTGCCTTTACTTTATTTTTATTACTAATTATAATATATAGAGAGTACTCTTACCTATATCTAACTAGTGCTAGTCTTATTATACAAGCACTTTATTAAGCTCTTCTTACTTAAAGAGTTTAGATTATATATAGTACAAGAGATAGATAGCTTGCATCTTACTATAGATATTAGGGGGCTACATCCTAGGCTAATCTATCTTCTAGACTCGTACGATGTACTATAATTAGTAAATGAGATCCTCTAGCATTTTAATATAAAGAAGGGAATATATGTGGTTATTCTTTAAACTCTTCCTCCAAGCTCGCTAGAAGTAGAGATAATAGCTAAAAAATAAAAACTACTATCTATATGAGCTCTAGCTATTTAGACCTCCTTTATCTAAGACCCCTCTGTTCAAGCTCCTAAGATTAAGCAAGAATTAAAGGTTAAGCTAGAGCCTAAGATTAAGCTAAAATTAAAGGTTAAGCTAGAGCCTAAGATTAAGTAGGAGACTAGCCCTGTATGAAGTATCTCCTAGAAACATTCCTTCTCTATTATACTAAAAGAGGCTACCACCAAGGCTTCTAATAAGAATATTAACAGCGCACATCTAGTTAAGATAGAGCTAGCTTGTATAATAATAACCTCTGGCTCTAAAGAGGATATGGTTGTTAATAAGGACCTTTAGGAGCTATTAGATTTACTATCAGCTCCTAAAGAGGAGGATAGTGTGGTATACTATACAAGGAGGCGCCATGTTCTTTAATAAGAGGATATTAATTATTCTATAGAGTTTGGGATCCCAATCCTAGCTAAGCGTGAAGATTTAATCTAGGGGACGGCTTGTATGGAGGGCTTTAACGCTTGACTATTAACTATCTACGAGCTTTAACGCTTGATTATTAGAAAAATTGGTGGCTTATACGGAGGGCTTTAACACTTGACCATTAACTATCTGCGAGCTTCAACGCTTAATTATCAGAAAAATTAGTAGCTTGTATGGAGGGCTTTAATGCTTGACTATTAACTATCTGCGAGCTTCAACGCTTAATTATTAGAAAAATTAGTAGCTTGTATAGAGGGCTTTAATACTTGACTGTTAACTATCTGCGAGCTTCAACGCTTGACTATTAGAGGAATTAATAGCTTGTATAGAGGGCTTTAATACTCACTTAAATTACTTTTAAACTTGTTTTGCTTTATACCTAAAGAGAAAGTAAATAAAGTTCTTTATAGCTATATACGTGGCTTGGTAAGGTGGCTTACCTTTAGTATTCTATTACTAATTTTCTATCACTAATTCACCCATGACTAAGTAATAATATAAAGTAGAAGCCCTTTTAGAACTTCTTACCTTTTATTTTACTTTTCTTCTATATCTTCCTTATTATTAACACTACTATTATTATTACCATGGCGTATAAGCTTATCCTACCTCTAATGCCTTCTCCACCTCTTAAAGCCTCTACTAACCTATTTTTATACGAAACAAGTGATTCCCTATGGGTTTCAAGCGTCTTATACAAAGCCTATAGTCTTCGTTTAAATATAAACACTATTAACGTGCCTACTAATCGCCCCATGAGCCTGGTGAAGCTGGAGATGCTTTTTGTTCGCCTATATGCTAGTACTCTAGCGAATCAGGACCCTATCCTCCCCATCTAGGGTCATCTTCTTATAGAGTACGTGAAAAATAATGTATAGAGGCGCTTACTAGACCTTCTAGGTCATGGTATGGCTTTTACCCCTAGTAGGGTCAATGCTCATTAGATCCATGGTAAGAGAGACTCGTATATTAACGCCTTGCTCATCTAGTTAAGGGGGATAGTCTATGCTCAGCCTTGTACATTCTGCTAGGAACGTGTAGGTTAGACTGTCTTCCCTAAATATTACTAGGTTCCAGGCTTCTTCAAGGGCTGCTGTGCTAACTGTAAATAGCTAGATAAGGCACTCTAGTGCTCCCTTTAAGGTTAGGCTGGCGGTCATGTATAACCTGTAATTAGTGGTTAACCTAGGGGGATTTAAGGACACCATCCTAGTCTAATTAACTTAGACCTAGAGGAGGGTGATGGTGAGGAAAATCTAATTAACTTGGATCTAGATAAGGGTGAAGAGGGTAATCTAATTATCCTCTAAGGTATGTACCTTATTTTATTCTATCTTTGCTTTTCAATGAATCAAACTGGCTTGGTAAGTATAATTAGGTACGTGGATTTCTCTTTACCTAGTTATACGGGCCCTGTGTATAACACTCGAGCGAGACTTGCACCTCTACGTTAGTGCTCAAGACAAGTAACCGTTTAGTGAAACTAAGCAAGTCATCTTGTACGTAATCAACTAGTTCCAAATGCAGTTTTGCTGGCAGAATCCTAGCGCTTACGGTTAAAAAACGTTTTTATCCTTTTGTCCAGATCGTCCCCCGTACAAGCCCCCAGCCTCCAGTTCCCGCCGCCAACCTCGGACCACGACGCCCACCAGAAAGCAGCCAGAGAAACCCAGGATAGATCTGCAAAACCACAGTGTCAGAGACAATGACGTTCCCAATCTTCCCACCCCTCCACAGTTCCACTGCGGCTTGTGAATGTGATCGACCCAAGATGCAGATCCGCCGCGGCTGCGCAGCCAGACAGGTTTGTCGTGACACAGACTCGGTCGGTTTATTTTCGCTTTTCGCGATGCAGATAAATAGCCGGCGTTCCCTCGCCCCCTTATTTGATCGTATCTGCGACGCCCCATAAAACGGTGAAGTTGTAAGCGAAATGTTCATCACAGCAATGGCCTCGTTCGCATTCGCGAACCTCAACCCGACGAATTATCTCGGCGGCGTCAGTTTTCGGCCGGAGCGCGATATTCCTGATCTGTCGGGGAAGGTTGTGCTTGTTACTGGGGGTGAGTAGCGCGTATCGAATGTCGTATCACATTGCTTTGGAATAGTATGTTGACGAAGAGAATAGGAAACGCCGGCCTGGGTAAAGAGACCATTCGTCAACTATTACAGCATGACCCAGCACACATCTTCCTGGCCGCGCGCTCGGAGCAAAAAGCCAAAGCAGCCCTCGATGAATTGAAAGCGTCTGCCCCCGATGGGAATACAACATTAACATGGCTCCCACTGGACCTCTCCTCAACTACATCCGTCCGCGACGCCGCAGCAACTTTCAAAGCGCAGTCCCACCGGCTGGACATCCTAATCCTAAACGCCGGCGTCATGTCGCTGCCCCCCGGCGAAACAGACCTCGGCCACGAGATCCAGCTCGGGACGAATCACACGGGGCATTTCCTACTCACGACGCTTCTCCTGTCCACACTCCTCCGGACGGCAGAGGAGGAGCCCGATTCGGACGTCCGCGTTGTCTCGCTCTCGTCGATAGGACATAACCTCGCGCCCACATTCGACACAATCCTCGACCAGGAAAAGCTGAAGCGGTGCAACACGCACGCGCGCTACGGCGCGAGTAAGGTCGCAAACATCCTCTTCGCGGCCGAGCTCGCGCGCCGATACCCTTCCATCACATCCGTCTCCGTACACCCGGGGCTCATCGCAACGGATCTATACGGCCCGATCGGGAAGCGGAATCCCGTTGCGGCGCTGGGGAGTAGAGTGCTGGGTGCTGTGGGGACGCAGGTTGATGCGGGGGCAAGGAATCAGCTTTGGGCGGCTGCTGGGGCGACGAAGGATGAGCTGGTTAATGGGGCGTATTATGTGCCTGTCGGGATTCGTAAGGGGTTTAATCCGTATGTAAGGAGTGAGGAGATGGGGAGGGAGTTGTGGGAGTGGAGTGAGAGGGAGGTTAGGAGGGGAACGCGTTCCCCAAGGCTGTAACTATATCTATCTTGGTCGAGATCTTGGGTTTGGATACTTGGAGTTGGTAATGCTTGGCTGGTTAGTAAATGTAATCTTTGGATCCTTATCTCAGATCGTGGATGAGTGGTGACGCCATGGCGACTGGGAACTCTGGGTGGCCACGTTCGCCACGCAAAGCATAATCCCACGGCAGCTCAAATACCCCGGCGCTTCCCCGCATCGCTCCTTCTTGAACATTATCCTCGTAGAAAATACCATCCTTGAAACTACTACTCTTCATGATACCTACCACATAACCCCATTGAACCCAGCAACAACCATGTCCAAAGGCCCGTATCCTTACCCCTCCAGCACCTACATACACACATCCCATCCATAGCTTCACTTCAGTTCAACCTGTTAATGCGTCTCTCCACTACAGCCAATTCAAATCCCAACCCAAATCCTCCCACCATCAACCCGACAACCCCCCACGCAGAGAGCAAAGAATCCTTCTCCGAGCACCAGAGCTTCTTCGAGCGCACACTCCAGCCTCATCACCACCACGAGGCGCAACAACAAGAGAAACCCGTCCTCGAGCGCCGCGAGAGCCAGGAGGACATTGAGATCGCGATCCCCGCTCAGCCGCAGCATCATCGCCGGAGGTCTTCCACGCTGCAAAGGCTCAAGGAGTATATGCGCAATGAGGAGGAACTCGATGAGGCGGGGAAGATTTATGCCAAGTTGATGTGAGGGTTTGGCGGATTGCAGGGGAAAGGGAAAGCGAAAAGCGAAGAGCGAAAAGCTAGCTTCTTTCTCTTCTTCAAATTGTATATTATTAGGCTCTGTATAACTAGTATGTTTGTATGTTTCCTCAGCTACCAGTTTTAATAGAGTAATCTAGTTTGTTTTTCTTTTTTTGCCTTTTTTTATTGCTCTTTCTAAGCTTATAGCTTCTCTTTTTATTCTTTAATCTTTTTATTGCATTTTATTGGGTGCTACCTTGGGGATGAGAGCATTTGAGAACAAACTCGGAGGCTTTGTATAGAATGTCTCCGGGCCAATCAGCCCCACAGCAGCCGCTCACAAGGTCCCTATCCCGATCGACTTGTCCGCTATACTTGGCGAATCTATAGAAAGCGTCACAATCCGGAGACATATCGCAGACATATCGCACACTTTCATCATAACTCCACGAACCCACGAACACAGAGGTATAAATACCCCCTCAATCCCCACAACTCCAACAACCATGAACTTGACAATCCCCCTTCTTACCATGTCCCTCGCAACAAACCTAACAACAACTCTCTTCGACGCCCTAATCATCGGCGCCGGCCCAGGCGGCCTCTCCGTCGCAACAGGCCTCGCCCGCCAACTCCACACAGCCGTCGTCTTCGATTCAGGCGTCTACCGCAATGCGCGCGCAACGCACATGCACAATGTCCTCGGGTGGGACCACGTCAATCCCGCGGAGCTGCGCGCGAAGGGGAAGGCTGATTTGCTGGCGCGGTATGCGACAGTGCAGTTCCAGAATGAGACGGTTGAGAGCGTGCGGAGGATGAGGACTGAAAGCAGTCTCTTTGAGGCTGTTGATGGCAAGGGGAATAAGTGGTATGGGCGCAAGGTTGTTCTTGCAACTGGGGTGAAAGATGTCATGTTGGATATTGAGGGGTTTGAGGAGTGTTGGGGGAGGAATATGTGTGTTGCTTTTACCTTCCCATCAAGGGGTCTTCGGATCTTGTACTGACAAAATGACAGCTTCCACTGCCTCTTCTGTGACGGCTACGAAGAGCGCGGCCAGAAAAGCGTCGGATTCCTCGCCATGGGACCCATTGTCAAGATGGGTCGTGGTGCGCATCTCGCGCGCATGGCGCTTCGTCTTTCGGAGAGCGTCACTGCGTATACGAACGGCAACGAGGCAGTCGCTACTGAACTGAAAGACCAGCTCGCAGGACTGAACGTCGCCATCGATAACCGGTCCATAGCCCGCTTCGAAAAGATGTCCGAGGGCGCGAAGGTGCGCGTGCATTTCGATGATAATGAGTCGAAGGAGGAGGGGTTCTTGGTACGTTCCTTCAGTTACCCTCTCCTCTATCTCTCAGTATCAGTAGACAAAAGACTAACCCGATGAATCACAGGTCTACGCACCCGAAACAAAGATAAGCGCCCCCTTCGCCACTCAACTCTCCCTAAAGATGACACAGGGTGGGGACATTGAGGTAAACCAACCGTTCTTCGAAACGAGTATGCCCGGCGTGTTTGCCGTGGGGGATATCGCTGGTCCTATCAAGGCGGTTACGCCTGCGATTTACTCGGGGACGATGGTTGCGGGGGGGTTGGTTGGGCAGTTGCAGGCGGAGGAGGCGCCGGAGCTTGTAGGGGAGGCGAGCTTGTGAGGGTTACATGGGGTGATATGGGCTGGGAAGTGAACCTTTTTGGAAAGGAACGACCGGGGCACAACGGTTGGCCTTGGTTAGGGAGGAGCAACCTGGAGGTTTGGTCTTGATTGAGAAGGCACGGTTACAGGCCGGGTCGGTGAGGGAGGAACGATAGGGGTTTGTATATACTCTGTAGATCTGCCTATTTTCAGAGACTGTGATAACTGCTGTCAATGTACCGTATCGCGCGATATCCGAGCACTACTACTGAGCTCAATTCCACTTTCCGTTGATGCCATACTGGTAGTAGTAGCGAGATCTACCACCCCCTCGTAGGCTCCGGCGTCTCAGCCGCAACACCCCCCTGCGGTACAGCCTCTGCGAAAAACGCCTCCTCCGTCGGGACAGCAGTCTGCGTAACCGTAACCGTCTCCGCATCTAGCGCAACCATCGTCACAGGCGGGATATACCAATCGCGATCGCAAACCGTCCAGCCCGGATCAATCTGCCTAACTTCCTCGGGGAGCAGGAGCCACGGCGTATAATCGTCGCGGATAATCGTGCACGTGTCGTCGCCGTTTAGCGGGCACTGCTGGCCTCCGCGGAACTGCGGCCAGGGGATTAGAGACTGTGTGTATTCGCCGATTTCCTGTGGCATGAACTCGGCGAAGTTGAAGGGGTATGCGGTCCCGTAAGTTGGGTATTTCGCGTTGCGGTGGTGGCGGACGGATGAGAGGGTTGAAGGATCCAGGCTGATGACCTGGTCGAAGTGGTCGACGCCACATTGAAACCCCGCGTGGCCGCGCCGGTTGCTCCAGGCGTAGATTGTCGTGAAGGAGAGGTAGGCAGTTGGCGAGACGAAGGTTGCGCCGTCGACGATTGCCGTGCTGGGTCCCGTCGCTGGGACGGTCGTTCCGTTCTGCAGGCAGAGGTCGCCGTTGGCGGTGGTCACGGGCCAGTAGAAGAGTGTTGCTGTCCCAGGGAGGAAGTGGCAGTTCGAGCACGGGTTTTCCTCGGGGTACTCGCGCGCCGGGGTCGGGCAGTCGTAGGGTGGGATTGGGCTGTTGGTGTCGCCGGGTGTGGTAGTCGGGTTTGCGCTGCGGTATGCGCTCGAGAGGCTGGAGTAGGTTTGCCAGATTGTGATGCAGTCGGTTGTTTCCAGCAGGCAGGTTGGTGAGGGCGGAGGGGGCTCGCGGTAGAATGTTTCGGTTTCGGTGAATGTGCTGTAGCTGGTCACGCATTCGCCGTCGCCCGGGTAGTACCGTGTGACGGTTTCGCGGGGGCCGAGGGCACGGGGCACGCCATCGCACAGAGTTGTCAGAGATCCGGTGTGTGTGTCGGACCATGCTTCGAGTGAGACGGACGTGCGGCAGGCGCCCTCGCTCGTTGCATAGGATCCCAGAGAAGTGCTAGACGAAGTTGGTCCTAGAGACCACAGGCCGCTGGAACGGCCGGCCCACTCAACCCACTCGGCGTTGCAGGAGACCACAGAAGCTTTAGGGCCAGTTGTAGGACCGTAGTAGTAATTAGTGGAGGTTGGCCAGAAGATGGTCGTGTTGAGAGTGATGAGCCATTGCTCGCTGGTGATGGCTATTAAAGTCAGATCCGCTCATCCCGCAAGTCTCTAGGGAAATACCATCATCTTGGCCGGCAACGAGGCCGAAAAGCAATGCGAAGAACAACATGGCGACGATGCTGACAACAAGAGGGGTACATCGCGGGAACCAGCGCTGATCTTATACCGTACCTAGGTACCGGGGTATGAATGTTCTCGACTCGGTCTGAAACTGCAGACTGGGTACCTGACTCGCCCCATTGGACACCCACCGGGGCTTCTGCAGAGATCCCGCAGATGCGCTGCAACGGCGCCCTTGGCGAGCAACAAGATTGGCCTCTGGCCGATCCGCGTGAGACAATCGCAAACAATTCTGCATGAGGGTTCGGATCGCAGTCTTGATAGAGGCTATGTTTGTGACGCGCTGTGCGTCCGTTCGTGTTGAGGCAGGGTCCGAGATGTTGCACCAATCAGACGAGTGAGGAGTGCATGGCATTGCATCGCCTATGGAATGTTTGCTTCTTTTGGAGCGGGGTATGGAGTCTGGACATTTATTCTGCTGCTATGTACAACAACGTATGATCAGGTCAGATCTTGTCTAGTCTCGTCGCAGCCTCCTGGATCGCGTCCGCCACGGCTTGCGGCTGGCTGAGCATGGCGAAATGCCCGCCGTCGACCGTGTATGTCCGCACCACCCCTTCGCCGGGAATTCCGGCGATCTTTTGCTGCGCGAAGAGCGGGAAGCCCATGTCGCGAGCACACAAGATGTAGCTGGTCGGTACGACGTGGTAAGCAGCGTATGTCAGCGGAGTGTGCATAGCTTCTGGCGCATGAGGCACTATTTCAGCGAGGTACTTTGAGGCAGCCTCATCGTCGAGATCGCCGTAGAACATTTCCCTCGGGTTCTTGGGATACATTTTGCCATCCTATATGGTCAGCATCCCCATCCTTGTCGCAAGAGCTCGACTAACCTTCAATGCCATGAAAGAATCCAATCCATCCGGCAAAAATGTCGCGACGCTTGCTCCAGCCGGAACCAGGAATGCCGCAATGTAAACAAGCCCGACGACCCCACCATGCTTGCCCTGCGCAGCAAGGTCCTTGCGAGCGAAGCCTTTCACGCACTCCGTGCCCGGGATGCCCGCGTATGAATGCATGACAATGATGACTTCCTTGCCCTCCGCCACCAGGCTGGTAAGGTACGTTTCCTGGACGTGTCGAGCGTCATCATAGGCAGTGGTCGATGACGGTCCGCCGACGGAAGGCAGAGTGATGGCCTCAGCCTCGTATCCCTGCTCTCGGAGTATCTTTGCGACAGGCTCGAAGGTGCTACCTCGGTGCCAGGCGCCTGGGATGAGGAGTATCGTTGGTTTCTCGGTTACCATGGTCTCGAGTGATGTTGAGGAGCTCGATCGTAAACTGTGGCATTCAGAGAAGCTCGATGTCGCAAGCATGCTTTATATGTCAGTCTGTAGAGCCCCGCATAAAGTCAGAACGGAGAGATTCATGTTCCCGAATCGTGAATCACGCGCTGGGGGCCAAATGTCGGGTGTCGGCATCACAGCGTCGCAGCATTCAGATGAGATTCGACAGGATGTTCAAAGGAAGCCATAAAGGCTGCCATTTTCATATTTAACAAAGACGTCAGACGCAGTGCGAATTACTGTTTATCTTGTCTCATGGCATGGTTTCTAGTCGAACCGGTGTCGCTGATCTGGATGAAATGTGTTAGGCGTATGGCATGACGCGCGAGTCAGTTGAGATGGCCCCAGCAATCGTGGCGCCGGAGAGATTCATTGTCTTTCTCCGCTCAAGTACGATTCTTGGCGTCATGGTGCCTGTACCATGTCATCCATGAATCATTGAAATCAGATACTCATAAGGCTGGACGATGGACAAATTAAAAGCTTGGTTTGAATCGAGTGACCAGTCGCGCTTTGTTCTGCTCGGATGCGTTTTTCGTCCGCTCGTGCGAAACTCGGAGATCCTCGGACCTCAGTTGGACCGAACGCTGGTCGGCGATTTCCACCCCCGACTCGCCGACAGCCCTTTGATTGGAGACGGACTCGGAGGCCTGGATTTCTTTGAGAATTAGCTGAAACAAGAGAGGCCACCTGAGTCACACTGCAGGAAGCGTTCAATGTATGGCTGGCTGTTGTGTTGAGTCGCTTATGTTAGGGACATGTGTCCATGGTTCCGGAAAGGTTCCACATAAATATGTCGCGGGGGGTTTTGCGACATATCTCTTACCGATTGGAAGGGAAGATAGGAGAGAAGGATAAAAAAAGAGTTGGACGGGAGTGGTATTAAGTATTAGGTCATCGCTATCTATACATGCTAAAGTCTATCGCTGTGAAACGCTCACGGAATGATTTCGGACAGAAAACTTAGGGCTGTGCCTTGGGCTCTGCCTTGGGCTCTGTCTGAGGCTCGGGGCCGGCCATTGTCACATCGGACGCTTCGCTCTGCGTGCGGCTGTAGTCGCCATGCTTGGTCGAGCCATTCGGAATGTGGAAACGCTTGTCGATGCGGCTAAAGGTCAACAGGCACAGGATGAGGATCTCGAGCATAAAGTTGAAGACGTAGAAGCACGACTTGGAATGGTACCACGCCGGGTTAGAAAGCTGCCGCGGGGCGCTCCAGTTGGCACCGGCCTTGAAGCCTGCGACCAGGATGCACATGCAGCTCGAGAGTGTCACGATGATGATCTTGGCCATCATACTACCCTCGCCAAATGTCTCTTCGTCCGTACGTCGTGGTAAGAACACCGCGGCGGCGATGTGAAGGAGGGGAACGCAGGTGAAGATGAGGAGGTATGTCATGGCGGCCAGCTGTACATCACGACAGGATGAGCGGACGTCGGGGTTCTGGGTGTAGACTTGGACCACAGTTGCGGTGATCACCATGACCAGCGCTCCGGGGATCAGGTAGTATAGAACCTTGGTGCCGATCCGCGGAATCGGATGCCATCCAATCTGTGGTTGTTTGGCGCGGAGAATACGTTGGGAGAGGATCACGTTGATGATGTATATCAACAGGATGCCAGCGTTCACGAAGATATTCGCTGCTATGGCGACGCGGACATTGTGTTGTCGATTTGCCCATACGATGCGCAGGGTGAGAGTGGTTATCCGAGCCATACAGAAACCAAACAGCATGCCGGATAGAAGGAACTTGTGGTTTCTTCGGTTGTTCTTCTGGAGGATCGTCATGTTGACCACAGCGAAGCAGATGTAGAGGATGAGGAAGACGGCGCAGATCGGAGTATCGATGTCGTTACTGGGTAGGCCGCCAAGACCTGCAGTGGTCGAGGGGTATGGACCGCCGCGTTTTTGGAGGGAGGAGAGCATGGTGATGGTGCGTTCTGACCGTGGGAGAGATCGAAAAGCGTTGAAGAGCCGATTTCAGGAACGGTAGACTGTTAAGTGTTGTTGTTTGCTGAAGTTCCTGAGGTCGTACCATGCGCGGTCTATATATTCTGACAGTAACACGGAGGTCGGCGTTTGCAAGCTGCGACGCTGAGCTAAAACTCATTCGGCGGAAAAGAGCAGATCAGACAAGGGTAAGAGGCGTAGGGACTCCAAGCCAATGACGGATAGGGGCAACACGAAGAAATTCAAAGACTAAGCCTCAAGTATCCAACGGCGGCCGGGGTCCAACGAGCACGCTGCCCAATCTGGAAAGCGCCGACGGACGGCTCACGTGGTCCGGCGGCCGCGGAACACTATTTCGTCCGGTCGCATCCCCACGATTCCATGATTTCCAACACAGCGCACTGCACATGCCACAGCGCCCACGCCGCGTGCCTTACATCATCGAATCTCGCGTCTCACATCGCGTCTGCTGCCATTCTCCAGTCCTAACCGCGCTTGACCTCTCTAGGCGACCTGTGCTATCCTCCACGTGGGCCTCATGATTGCACAACAGTCCCCTCCCGCCGTCCGGAAGGGCACCAAGAGTTGCACAGAGTGTACGTCCCTCACCCGCATTTTTGGCGGAACTCTCTTCAACCCTTAGCCTAATTCCATGCAGGCAGGAGGCGCAAGGTTCGTTGTGTTCGAATCCCCGAGGATGCACCTACGTGTCGGCAATGCGTCGAGCGCAACACTTCATGTCTCGCACAGACATCGAGTTCCCGACCGCGACAGGCGCAGCGCCTACCTTCGCGATATCGAATTGCGCAGCTCGAATCGCAAGTCCACCGTCTGACCAGAATAGTCAGTGGTATTGAAGTCAAACTCGGGGGCGACTCGTCGCTTAATATAGAGCAAGCCGTTGACCAGTCGCCTGCCTCGGATGATTCCGACGGAGAATCCACCAACTCGGAAGGCTTGATTGCCGAGGAGCCCGCCCACCTTCGCTCACTTTTCCAGAATGACCTGATCAGCCTTGACGCCCACCAAAAACATGAGGATCTTCTGGAGCGACGGGCAAAGGCCTCCGCTGCTTTGCGCGAAAGCGTGCGACCAGCTCTGCAGAAGTTGATACCATCCAAGCAAGAGACTGCGGAGATGTTGGTCGTCACTTACGACTGGCTGCAAATGATATCCACAATGCTACCTCAGCCCTCCTCCCCCAGCTCACAACAAGCACTGCTTGAGCGCTACGATGAGATGTGTCAACCAGAAGTTGATGTCGTTGCTCTAGCTTCTTGGCTCCTGGCGGTCGCTATAACAGCCCAGCAGATTCCCCATGAAAACAACAACGCGCCGTCTCCATCTCTAAGCTCTCAAAGGCGCATGGCCTTTTCTCGCGCCGTATCGGATGCTGTTGAAAGTTTGGTACTTAGCCACGACCGTCTAGTGGGTACTATTTCCGGCCTTGGGCTGGGTTTACACTTTGTTCGTCTGTAAGTTTGGCAAACCAACTTCCCCGATAATAGCTGTCATTGTCATTGTCATTTGCATATCGTTATTGCCGAAGAAAACCGGCTGAATTTATTCCATAACAGCCTGATGGGACGCGGAAATCCGCAGAGAGGCTGGCTGAAATTGCGGCACTTCATTGCGCTCGCCGAGCTAATGGGGTTACCCAAGGCCGCGCAAGCAGCACGACTAAGGAAAGCCAATGGGACGCTCGATGAAGAGACTGCAAAAAAGGCACAGCTATGGGAGCTGATGTGCACCATTGATCGAATGGCGGGGATGTTCCTCAACCTACCTCCATACACGCGACGGTTCTCCCTATTGGCGCCCCCGTCTATCTTGGTGGATGGTGTTGTGCAACCATCCATATATCTCAGCCGGATCATGGACATCGCGCCCAAGACTTATGATCTCGATGACTTGAGTGGGACACAAGGGTCGACGACAAAGCTGTACACAGCTGCTTTGGAAGTCGCCCGCGAAGCACGAGAACTGGCCGGCGAGGCTCCCAAATCCTGGTGGAAAGTCGATATGGCCGATGATCTAAAACCAGACCACATCGTTCAGTTTTTCCACTACTGTACGCTCATGAAGGCGCATCTTCCGATTGCTCTGCGACAAGAGAAAAGTGAAGAATACCTCTACAGTCGCCTGGCCTGCATTGACGCGTGTGAGTCGGTTGCCCAGAGGTATCAATTCATCCGCCGCAAACTTCCCTCTGGATTCTTCACTCTCCGGATGCTCGACCTTCAGGCCTTTACAGCAGTGGTGCTTCTGCTTCTTACCTCTCACACGTGCCCATCCCCCGATCGCCATAGTTTTCAAATCGATAAAGCTCGCTTGGAAGGCGTAGTAAACCAAGTCCTCCAGCTCATGGAAGAAAAGTCGAAGGAGGGTGCGGGCTCGGATTTCGCACAACGCGGTGCTGATACAATTCGCTCTCTTCGGGATCTCCTCCAACAGGAAGAACGCGGCGCCGGTCCCGTGAAGGAGCTGGCGGCCAATGTGCCACTGATCGGGAAAATCCGCGTCCGTCGCAACGTACAAACAACGCAGACTTTCAATACGCAGACCCAGGTACCATCTCATCCGGTCCACCAGTCTACTGGTTGGAATCCCGAGCAGCAAGTGGTGCCTTTGTATAATCCCCAACTTGGCGCAGGCGTCTACATGCAAGATTCCATGGTGGCTGCACCTGTAGGGCCTGAGTTTCAGTGGGACCACCTGTCGTGGTCGATTGAGGACTCGAGTGAGAATATGTTTGATGATGCCATCATGACCGATGGATTTGACCAGGCCGCCATGTGGCAGAACATGTACCAAAACTTCCCTTTCAGTTAGGCCGTGGTTGTCCATGACCATGTCGAGACCCCGCCGCCCACGGTTAAGCGACGATAGATACCCCCTACCTAAAGCACCTCGACTATATTGCAAATATACTCTTCTTGATCACGTATTCGACATCTCGTCCTTATTCGTGGGTGCGCTCTTCGCCAAGTGCCGGCGTTTGGGCCGAAGCACAGATCTCCAGCTGGACTATAGCCGAACCCCACAAGCACCACGAGTCACGACCTTCTCCAATTTCGAATCCCCATGGCCATTGGCGAAAAATTTGGTTCCCCCGCCCGGGGAATCGCGCAATTCTCTGTTTCCATTAATAATGGATTCATGTCGCAAAACATTTAAAACAAACAACCTCAGTCCTCGCGATCTTCGATTTCCAAGGCCGATTTAGAATGTCGTCAATTTCCCGAGCCGACGCCACCTCCGAAAACGAGCGAACCGGAGCAGACAATCGAGCCGAAAAGTCGCCCAGCATTCAGGAACAAGCGCCTCTGCAGAAGCCTATTCCGAATGGCGGCTTGGAAGCATGGACCGCCGTCGCAGCCGTGTTTGGTGTCTTTGTAAACTCTTGGTGCGTCTACTAAAGAGATATAAGAAGAATTCTCGCGAAAGCGGCCTAACTCTGGTGCAGGGGCTTGATCAGTACATATGGAGCTTTTCAAGAGTTCTACCAGACTGTACTACTACCCGATGAGTCTCCTTCCGCCATCTCATGGGTCGGCAGTATTCAGGCCACGCTGGTTGTCATGGTGGGCATCATCACGGGACCGTTGGTTGACTTGGGACATCTTCGACCCTTGATCATCTCTGGCAACTTTCTCGTCGTTTTCGGCATGATGATGACGAGCCTGGCTACAGAATACTATCAAGTTCTTCTGGCTCAAGGGTTTTGTGTCGGCATCGGTGGCGGTATCGCGTACATTCCTGCGCTCGTGGTGATTTCTACTTATTTTACGACCAAGCGGCCCATCGCCATCGGCTGCGCATCGATCGGGTCGAGTGTTGGAAGTGTTGTCTTTCCGATCATGTTTCGCCAACTCCAGCCAAGGATCGGATTTCCATGGACCGTTCGCTGCATCGGATTTATCAACCTCTTCCTTGCAATCTTTACATGTGTCGTTTTGTGTCGCCGACCGGGTGAGAAAGTCGGCGCGCGGAGCCTGATCGAAAAGAAAGCATTCAAGGACCTCCCATTCATGCTCTTTTCTGTTTCCTTGACCTGCGTAATGCTTGCCTACTGGATTCCGCTGTTCTACGTCGCCTCCTACGCGCGTACGGTTTTGGAGACGACCCGGAGTCTCTCCTTTTATATGGTTGCCATAATCAACGGCGCATCAGCGTTCGGGCGAACAGTTCCGTATCTGCTTGGATCACGAGTGAAGCCTATCGGCATTCTCATATGCTCTGTGGCAGGATCCGCCCTCGCAATGTTCACCTGGATTCCCGCCACGAACACACCTGGGTTCATAGTATGGTCTTGCTACTGGGGGTTCCTGACCGGAGTGCTGGTAACAGGGCCGACGTCAATCATCTCGCACCCGGCGCTGTGTCCAGATATGAAGATGCTTGGAACGCGGATGGGTATGATGTGGGGAATCAGTTCGTTTGGATCGCTCGCCGGGACACCTATTGCCGGGGCGCTGGTGGACTTGTCGGACGCGCAGTTCTTGCGTGCGCAGATTTTCGCTGGGTGTTTGATGCTTGGCGCTGTTGTTCTCCAGATCTGGCCGACTCTTGTGGTCATTCGCTATGATCGGAAGCATCGGAGTTCCTCATAGTTCGAGCCGGCTAGTTCGAGCCCTTGCATGGAAAGCGGCGTAGTTCCTAAGATTCCATTTGTCGCATCTCGGCAATTTATATCCGTTGCCTACACAAAATGTGCTTAACACACGGCTGCCACATGCTTACGGTGATCGCATCCCATGATTGTAGCGCACCTAATAATAATTTATTATCCAATATGTCTGATCAAACAACCCAAAGGTTCCTAATCATGTAAATGAGTTTGCGTGCTTACCAATCCAGGTAGCTGCTTAACTATACTGGTTGCCTGCTGTACAGCTGGGACGCTTATCCAAGCAGGGCTTCTTGAAGTAGCTGCAGCCTTTAGTGCTTACTTTTGCTCGGAAGCCTTTGCACATTAATTGCATGCTTTGCCTGCGGCTCAGACGCGTTCCACGATTGGCCCGTGATTCGTGATTTCCCCCTTGATCTATAAGCTGATTAAGCCAATTTCTAATAACCCCGAAGGCTGCTTTGAAATGCACGAGGCATATAAAGATGCTTCTACTCCCATCTTTGAGAGTTCAGTCGATGCACATAGTCCAGAGAATACGAAATCAAGAGTGCAAAGGACAATATGAGGTTTACCTGGGTGAGATTGTTCACTCTAAACTGCCTATTCCAGGCTGGGCAGGGAAGTCCGGTCCACTCAAAGGATGAGTACCACCTGAAGCCATTCCATATCGACCTTTCGTCGAAGGTGCCTCGAATGCTTGACCAGATCCGACGCACTGAGTTGCCTGAGAAGCCCATCTACGTCAACACGGGGACCGCGCAGGGAATCAGCCTGAGCGATCTCAAGTCGTTCCGAAACCAATGGCTCACCCGCTTCGACTGGAAGCACGAGCAAAAAGAGCTGAATGAGTAAGTCGGACACCTTGAACTTCCCCCAGGGTTACAATGATGGACATACTAAACCAGGTGACCGCAGATTCAACCACTACACAGCCCAAATCGAAGGCCTAGAGATCCACTTTATCCACGCAAAGAGCAAAGCACCAGATGCCATCCCTCTCCTCCTCCTCCACGGCTGGCCGGGCTCATTCCTCGAATTCGTCCCGATAATCAACAAGCTCACCGAGAAGGCCACCACAGCAGCCGGGAAGAAGGTCTCCTTCGACGTCATCGTGCCCTCCCTCCCGGGTTACGCTTTCTCCTCCGTTCCGCCGGTCAAATGGACAATCGCTGACACTGCCCGTGTGTTCGATACCCTCATAACAAAGGTCCTCGGCTACGACACGTACGCGACGTTTGGGACGGATTGGGGTGCCGGCGTCGCGTACAGTTTGTACGGCCAGTTCAACACCACTGTTCGCGCAGCGCATCTCGCCTTTTTGCCCTTCGCTCCTTTGAGTTCGGAACAGCTGGCCGCGGAGAACATCACTCTCTCGCCCCTGGAGGAATACGAGCAGGCGAATGCAGAGGAGTGGACGCGTTCCGGGGAGGGGTATTTTGTTGAGCAGACTACGAAAGTATGTTGCTGACCATCCAAGGTGGTCATCCACTGGACTAGCTGTGCTAACTATTGCATGTAGCCCAACACAATTGGCCTCGCACTCCACGATAATCCCGTCGGGCAGCTCGCCTGGATTGGCGAGAAATTTCTCAACTGCAAGTCAAGCCCAACAGATCCAACGCCCACCCCGATTACATAGCAAAACTCCCATCTAACCAATAATTCGTGCATAGGGTCCGACCCCAACGCTGGCCACGCGCCTTCAACCCTCACCCACAACGAAATCCTCCGCAGCGTCTCGCTGTACTACCTAACCGAATCTTTCGCTTCGTCCGTGCTCACCTACGCCCAGAACCCCAATGGTTTTGCGACGGTATATACGAAGGCCAACACCGATGCGCCGCTGCTCTTCAGTGCGTTCAAGTATAATGTTGGATTCTGGCCGCCGGCTGTCGTTGCCAAAGTGGGGAATTTGGTGAAGTATACTAGTATGTTTCCCTCTTCCTGTTCTGTTGCGTCCTCGTTGTTTGAGTTGGACGTCACCTTAGTAGTCGTCAATATGTGGGACAGTGACTGACGTGGATGGTGTGTTCTTAGATCATGAGTCCGGCGGCCATTTCCCTGGCATTGATAATCCACCTGCTCTTCTGGCAGATCTGCGCGAGATTGCGAGCTATTGGAAGGATTAGGATTCTTGGAGAGGATAATATACAGGGTATTATTCAATAAAGGGTGGCTATGGCCTGGCTTAAGAGGGGGCCTCACCTACTGAAGGCTGTTGAAAATGATGAGCTTGTATAGCATAGGGCTTCTGTGCCATTCAGCAAGGACCAAGTCTACTCTTCGGATGTATTGTTATGGAAGGAGCGAAGGACTGCTCGTCCTCTCGCTCGGAAGCTCTTCTTCACACAGCATCCTCTTGTTATTGTTGTCTCGATTCTGGTGGCAGTTTATTAGAACTTCACTCCTTCGTGTCCCTTCAAGTCAAATTGCGTGGTTCTATTCTACTTTGCCACTTTGTGAATAGAATTCGCGGAACAAACCTTGTGTTGAGTCACCGGCTCTATTCCATCAGAATCTGCGTTCACAAAGTTTTCCACTGCCCTTTCCTTCCTTCTCTTCTTCCAATTTCCGGAGTACATCCACAGCTGGCCCAACACACATCTCTCATCTCTCCCTCTCAAAATAATACCCTTCTCACTCCGAGTTTTCATCTACAACTATCATCATGGCTCTTCCCGGATCACCTGCATATCCTCGAAAGAGGCGGATGATCCTTCGTGAGTCCGAGGACACAGAGGGAGAGCTCAGCATTGAAGATTACCTTGTGCGCTGTGACCCATACCCCACCACCACCGCTAAACTCGCCTTGCCCTACCCCATCACATGCGCCCCGGCAATCCCACCATCGTTGGTCAAGTACATGCGTGCAAGGATGAGATCCTCCGAGTCCTCGATGAAGATGGCTTTCCGACCGGGGGCTATCACCTGCATTTCCGGGATCAAGATGTCTCCAAGCCCGAGTACCCACTCGGAGATCGGCCACAAACAACCCTCCGCCTCATTAGTCTCCATGTCTCTTCCGTCCCCAGAAGGCTGGGCCCAACCAAGGACAGCATCGCCCGCATTCCTCGTCAAAACGGGATTGTGGGGGTCGAGGTCGAGATCGTTTTCTTCGACAAATGCTTCAGGCCGTCCTTGTTTAGCATTATGAGCACTGACCCGGCAGTGAGGGCGTACAGCGATGGGAGAAGGGACATCCTTGCCCTTGTGAAAAGGAGACCTGGTCGGGAATGGTCCATTCTCACGCTATTCGGAATGGGCCTCGACAAACCGAAGAGTACGCCGACGATTGTAATCTTCGTGAATCCCTTCACAGCCCATGACTGGGAAGACCTCGCCCTGCAGATCCGACTTCCGCTGCCAAACGATGACCCGGTGGCGCTTAAGATGGAGGTGGAGTTCATCCCTGGGCGCATTACAGCCTACAACCCCGCTGACGCGAGCAATTCCCCGCCTGGAAATGCAGTTTCTTTCGCTACCAGGATGCATGCTGACGATGTGCCATCGGCGGGGGCCTCCATAGCGGTGCTCCCAGAGCGTGGTGGCGGCTCGCTCGGCCCATTCGTGACCCTGGACCTTGGCGAGAAGCGGCATAGAGGAGCGCTCACTTGCTACCACGCTGTCCGTCCTCCGTATGTGGCCAGCGCTGAGCAATTGGAAACCGCAAATAGCCATGGGAGTTCCCCATTCTCGCCACATCAAGCAGAGTAGGATATCTCTTTCTACGCGCCCCGAGAGGCCGAAGCGACTGTCTGCTTTTGTTTCTTTTAGCTCGGGCAGTCCCAACTGAATACAGAGCGCCTGGTCCTCCTGAAAGCACAGTGAGGAATCTCTCGTTATCAGCTAGCATCTACAATTATTTTCCTAGACATGCCAGACATGCCAGACATGCTTCGCTCTATAGTTGGCATTAGTGGCACATCGTCTTTCCAAATAGCGTAGTCATTTGTAAGACCTTCTTCAGATCATACCCGAAGTTCAAATACCCCGTCTCTGAGTCTCCGCAAAAGCCCAGCCTACTTTAATGATAATGATCATGTTCCCCAAGATCCCTCTTAACACTCCGCTCTCCCAACCACGACCCATCCTCCTCCGCCGCCTTCCTCAACCGCCTCGTAACCCCATCCATATCAAGCCCCAGCACATCCTCAATATACCTCGGAATCTCCGTATTATCCCAGCCCCCGGCAAGATCCGCCTGCAGCGCCCGACGCTTCCGCCCAGCCGCATATCCATGAAGCGTGACGTCGACCGAGGTATGGCCGCCGGTTGACCAGTCGACGCCTGCGCGCGACGAGAGTAGCGCGGCAATGCCGGAGCCGATGCTCGATGCGTTCAGGATCCCATCGACCTCGTCGTCGGAGATACCCGCCAGACCGGCAAGCGGGAGGATCTCGGAAACGAGGAATTCGCGTTGCGCCTCGGATCCCTCAGGACGCTCACCATCCCACATCTCCTGCAGGAACGCCCGGGAATGCGTAACATCCCGCAACGGCAGCGGATCATATCCATTCAACGTCAACCCGCCCGTCTCGTGATCCGCCGCAGAAAGCAAAATCGTGTCCGGGTGTTTGTCGATCCACTCGCGCACCCACGCGATGACGTCGTTGTACATGATTGTCTCGACGGCGTGGTTTGCGGGGTCGTTGTCGTGCCCGCCGTGGTCGATGCGCGCGGCTTCGATCATCAGGAAGAAGCCCTTGCGTCCGCGGCGGGTTGCGCGGTGCAACGTGTTGATGGCGGTTTGGGACATTTCGAGGAGGGAGGGTTCGTCTTGCACGACGCGCCGGTCGATTTCGTACCGCATGCTTCCTGTAGTTGATTAGAGCTTTTCTTCAGTGGAAGTTGATATGCACCACTTGCCATCATTGAAAAGACCGAGGAGTGGGAGCCCGGTCCGCCCGAGACCCTTGTCGAGATCGTTGAACTCCTTGCGGGTGGTTACAACGGTGAAGTCTTGCTCCTCGGCGTACTCGAGCAGGTCGAGGTCGTCGGACCGACAAGAGCCCTCGGTGGTGTTGGGCGAGAAGTTGCAGCGGCCGCCTCCAAGAAGGAGATCAACCATCCGGCCAAGTGGGTGGCTGTAGCCCAGCTCTTGCTCTGCGATCAGGGGCTGCGAGCCGCGGTTCGCGACGTGGGCGGCGTAGACTACGACGCGTCAGCATACCGTTGAAGCATAAGAAAAAAAAGGAATTTTTATACCTGCAGGAGTGGCATCGCTAATCGACGTAGTAGAGACAAGCCCTGTCTTCAGCCCTCCAAGCTTCGCTGCCTCGAGGATAGAACCGACAGGCAGGCCCTCGGGCGTCACAGAGATAGCCCCGTTGTATGACTTGTGCCCAGCAGCGAATGCTGTGCCGGAGGCAGCAGAATCGGTAATCATGCTGCTGGCCGAGTGGGTGCGGACACGGCCGATCGCCTTGATAGACGTTAGCACTGGGTCACCAAGGTTGAGATCGGGGCTCACCAACCAGGTCGTCTACGGCGAGCTCACGGATTTGCGGGTTGCTACCGGTTGTGCCACTCTCGACAAGCGAAACGAGGTCGCGGGCCATGTTCTGCGACGCAGGGCCGTAGCCGTCTGGGACAATGTAGATGACATTCTTTGCTTGGACAGTGGCTGCCACTGCAGTCTGGAGCAGGGCTGTGCCTGCGATGAGGGTCGAAAGGACGTGCATTTTTGCCGCTTCGCTCAAGGAGATGATTCTATCCAATACCTTTCTTCATGCCACGAGTGGGGGATTCAGGTCTTATTTGTATTCCCTACAAATTGGAGTAATACCAGTGCATAATACTTGTGCCTCTCAAGCATCGACAACGTAGTATCCATAATGGATCAGGCCATCTTGCCTCTTGCCTGCTACGTGGGCTACATGGTAGCTATCCGTCGCCATTCAAGCGAGGTTACGATCTACGGCTTTACACTCCGCTGCCTGTACCCACGTGCTTGAACATGCATCTGTATCAGGCCCTGCCAAGCCCTGGCGGAGATTTGAACGCGGGCTACAGGGCAGTGGTCTGACTAAGATACTAAGCGATCAGGAAGCGAGCTTTGGCGTCAAATGGAATCCCAAGAACCGATATTGGTCTTGTTATCTGTTGCCGCCATGATAAGATCCATTGCACGGAGCTCATGAATCAGAAGATCTCAGTTTGGCACGTTGTCACCGTTACTCCACCAGCCAAGAAACCCCCTCATCGCAAGGACTTGGCTTCATCTGGAGTAATATCCGGCGGCCTTGGCAGACTACTATCTAGCAGGCTTTTGCCGTTGTGCGATCCGGACCAGCCGTGACTGGACAGAGCGGATAACAAGTTGAGTCGGCGGAAGTCGCTGGCATAGATCCGAAGTCATGGGACATGGGTAATAATGTCGGCTTGGTTGAGCGTTTAGAAGCCAGATCCCAGTAAGATCTCTAGTCAATCCGGATGGACACGATGCAGGTCTGTCCGTAGGGCTGCAGCGCCCCTTGCATTGGTTCTCCAAGATGGCCAGTTGTGAATTCCTACTGTTAGATTCAACACATTGTCTCATCGTCGCGTAGAGCTGTAAGCAACTCTTCCCCGACAGCACACCATGGAGCCAAGGACAAATACCGTAACAATAATGGCCTTGAGAAGGCTTATGTCTGGGAATAGTAGACAAGGAAGAGAAATGCTGAGCCAGTTTGAGTTAGGCTTCTCGCGTTTCGCAGGGCAGGTGGTTCTACAGAGCCCTAATTTGACTGTGCAGATGGGAATGCAAGGAAGTGGCGTTGACTTTAGGTTCTTGTTTTGGAATCAAACCCCTATTGTCTCCTCCGCACAATCCTAAAGTGCAGATTCAAGCTAAACAGCCTCATCTACACTTGTAGTTGTACGTTCCATACCCTCCAACGACATTTTGGGCGAGATGCCCCCAGCAAACTCTGGGACGCGAATGGCCAACAGCGGCTTGACAAAGGGCGTCACGCCAAGATTTAGGGGATACCATATGGCCATTCTATGCGCAAGGGATACGCACGGTGCCCGAAGTCTGGACATCTTCTTCAGTGTAGGGGATGCGCGCTTCTAGCCTTTGAGGTCTCGGTGCAGAAGGAAGATTTCCAGGAAGAGGCGCAAAGTGTGGATTGAGAGGCGTCTTTGCGGGATCGTGATTAAATTCAGTCATTATCCTGGCAAATCAACAGCCATAATATTGCTAACCATGCAACCCTCATGGCCACTTTTCAAACTCGACAGAACAAGCCCCATCGTGACAAGATGGCTTCTTCGTCTTCTTCTTCCTGTGTACCAGTGCCACGGATCCGTCCCGCTCATCCTTATGTGTAAGACGCCCCCGACACTCAGGGGCGACGCTTTGTGGTGCCAGCTTGCCCTGCGACCCCCAAGCCAATATAACCTTCTCCCCGATTAAATACCAGCAGCCCGTCGCGATCTGGAGCCGGCTCTTCCCCGTGCTCAAGTCCCTTTCGAACTCCAACCTCTCCGTGGGCCCGCACTCTCCAGTCTCTGCGCGGAACGAGAACTCCAGTCTCCGCAAGCGAGGCATTCTCCGTGCGGCACGGCCCATGGATGAATACATTTCGTCCGCCGCGTCTCGTCTCATTATATCCCGGTATCCGTAGTGACCTGTGTCATAATCCCAGCCTTGATCGGGGTCGGCTTCAAGCTCCTCGAGCGATATATGGTGCCATCTGCCGGCGTCGTTGTCGAGGATCCATTTTCCTAGAGTTGTAAGCACGGGTACAGAGGAGAAGAAGGGAGCGCATCGGAGCGCAGCAAGGGACAAGGACGGTAACATACCATCAGCTGTATACGGAGGGACTCCCAAGACAACGAGCTCCTCTAGTTTCGGCCAATGGAGGCAAGTCGTGTCGTAGTCCTCTTCTCCACCCCCAGGCCAGAATAATGCACTACTGATTCGAACAAACTCGAGTTTCAGTTTCCGCAGTCTCATACTAAGAGTTCGAAAGCCAATTGATAGCTCATCCAGGCCGCGTGGGCTAAGATAGTTCGTAGCGTTGGTTGCGGGATTGCGTGCCAACTCTCGGGCAGAGTCTATCTCGTATTTGAATTTTTCCACCAATTCCGGTACCAGCGAGAGGTGGTCGATCAAGTCTGAAAAAAGAGGTCAGTTAAGTCGCAGCACAGTTGTTGGTAGTGAACAAGAGTGGGAGGAAATACCTTGTCTCTGCGCCACCAAAGCCCGCAGCGATTCTGTTAGAACCGATCCGCCCTCCCCGCCATAAATACGCCGCACGTTAGGAAACCGAGTCAACAAGAGGAAGAAGGCCGACGGCCGATGATCGCTGTCCTCAGGATTGTACACTGCAAAGGAGGTGATGTACGGCAGAGTGGGCAACTCCGTGACAAACTTCTCCGTCAGACGCGGCGGATACGCCGCGAGACCCTTCTGCCAGAGCTGGTCGAGAGTCATATCCTCCCACTCTGCCCTCGTCACATCTTCCTCCGGTTGTGGTTCGTGCTCAATACGCTCGTCGCCGTCCAGTCGAAGGGACAGCCGCATACTCGCGTTCTGGTCTTTCCACGAAGCAAGGAGGTTAAACAGGTCGAGGAGATATTTGTGGTGCTGCTCATCATACCACTCCGCATACCGGTTCGCTTGCACGATATGATCATCTTGCTCATCCTTCTTCCCCCAATTATAGCATCCAAGATTAGGCCACATGGAGATTAAATGCCGAATATAGCCAGGCCGCGCGCAGCGGTATGCATCGCCAGACGTCCACTCCTTCAGCTGTGCGAGTGAGATGCTCGTGTTGAGTGCAACTTCCTGCCAGAGGAGGCGCTCGACGGCGACCTGCCATTGCCGTGCAACGACCGCGTACGGGAGGATTTTGCATTTCTTATACGGATGGGATGCGCTTTGTTCTGATCTTTGGATGTATTCGACAATCTGCTCGACTATTTCGGCAGGAAAATGGACCATCTTGCAGTGGGTTGGGAGATCGTCGAGGTTGGAGGATCGGTCGTGCTGTTGGAGAAAAAGAAAACTAACAAAAGACCCACCGCGCTTGGCACCTGCACGGCTGAAAAGTGCGACAGCGCACCCACAATTGGAAGCGGGGGAAGTGAAAGAAGGAATCCACCGCACCCTAGCAGGTCAAGATTAATTCGGTCCTTCTGCAAGGCAACTTGGTCCAGATCGAGGTACCCGACTTCTCCGGTGATCAGAGCGCCATGTGCTTCGGCTTGGTTCATGAGCGATGTTCGGGCCATGTATATGGCAGGATATTCTGGCGTGATGCAGGTTGCCATCAGATTGATAATGGACAAGTAGGCGCAGGGTGCGACTACCCATATTGATCGATTTGGTTGCCACGCGCACGGTAGAGAGTTATGGTTGCCCAGATGGCCTGGGCCAAGGTGATACTGGCCGTTGGGATGTTGTATGACGCTGCAGGTCTCCTGTGATTCCTTCTAATTTATTACCTGGGATTTCCTCTGGGATGCTCTCTGGTAAATTCTCCAATTCGTTTTTTCAAAGTGTTTCCTGAAGCGTCCTGCAGTATATTCACTTGGGATTTCTGTTGCGGTGTCTGCCTCCTCAACTCAATAGCATCCCTCTGTGCTCAGGGTCCAGACCCCGCCCAGCCGCTAAGCCCGACGGCGCCAACACCGCGCCAGTTCCCGCGGCCCCGTTGGCCTGGACTCACTCCGAGAGACCCTGCCTAGACTGCAACCGGTCAAGGGCAAAGAGATTGGTTTCATTTCAAGCAGCCGCATCCCTTTTTTCTCTTTCATCTTTGCCATTGAGCAAAATGCTCTGGCATTTGCTGTTTAGCTGCATCACTACAGCGACGGCTGTCCTTGGAAAGACGGAGCCGATTGCCATACAGGTAATGCATCTCAAGTCTTGTCTTGGTCCTTGAACTGAGCTGAGCGGAATCTAGGGCTCCAAATTCCTCCGCTCATCCACTGGCGAGCAATTGTTCGTTTCCCCTTCCCCACCGGCGTCCGCTCAAGAGCCTCAAAAGCCTCAAAAGCTCCCATGCGAACACACCAGGCGGACTTGCTAACCCACACAGCATCCTAAAAGGCCTGCACTACTCCCTCGACACCACTAATAACAACCATGACTCCAACGACCCTCTCGCAAACCCCACCGCCTGCAAACGCGACATTCCCTCCTTCGAATCCCTCGGAATAAACACCATCAGCGTCTACACCGTCAACGCAACAGCAGACCACGACGAATGCATGCGCCGCCTCGCCAACGCCGGAATCTATGTGATCCCCTACCTAAACCCGCTCAACGGCCTCGATTCCGGAAACGTCACCTGGACAACAGAGGATTTCGCCGCGCAGACGGCCCTCGTCGATGCCTTTGTGGGATATGAGAATGTGCTCTCTTTCTTCTTCCAGATTGATTCAGGTCCTGTCGCTGAACGGGCGGCGGGGGATGGGAATCAGACGGAGGGATCTGCGCTCTTCTCTGCGTACGCCAAGAGCGTTGTTCGTGATGTCAAGGCGTATATTGCCAGCAAAGAGAATCGGAAGATCCCCGTTGGATACGCGACGCGGGCTACCGAGCTGATGGAGGATGAGATCAACTACTTCACCTGCGGTGACCAGGAGGAGCGAGTCGACATTTTAGGTATTCGGAGCGAGAGCTGGTGCGCGGGTTCGACGTTTGCGAGTAGTGGATGGGAGGATCTCACGGACGAGCTTTGGTTTCCGAGTGTGCCGGTGGTCATGGCGGAGTATTATTGTGCAGAACTCGAGGACAGGGACGAGGAGATGGGTGATGTCGCTGCGCTTTATGGGGAAGAGATGGCGTTTGATTGGTCCGGGGGGTTGTTTTATATGTATGCTGGGTCGGATTATGGTAAGAGTACACCCCTTCCCTTCCATCTGATGTTAATTCGATGGGGGACAAAGGGAGGTAGACGGAACCCTGGCGCTAACAGATTACATACAGGCCTGGTGGAAATCAATAATGGCAAAGTCACTGAATCCCCAGCCTTTGACACCTTCGCCTCCATCCTCTCGTCCTCGGACCACGCCTCGACCAACGACACAGCATCCTCACCCAGTTATTATACCTCTTGCAGCTACACAAACCCCTTCCCCAAACAGCCCCCACCACCAGACGCGCAATATTGCGACTGCACCCTCCGCCACAGCCTCTGCACCCCTCTATCCACCTCTCCCTCGACACTCGACGCCCTCTGGGAGGACATCTGCTCCAACAGCACCGACCTCTGCCGCCGCCGCCCAACCGACAACTACGCGGGTGAACATGGCGACTACTCGATGTGCAACGCCACTGTGGAGCTTGCAGCCCTATTAAGTGATGCCACGGTCGATGACTTGGGAACGGGCAGTGAGACTTGCGGGAGGAAGTGGGGTAAGAATGTCGGGTTCAATCCGCTGTATGGGAGTTGGACCAATGGGCGCGGCCCGCGGACGTGTGCACACAGGCCGATTGGGGCGGGTCCTTCTGGCGAGGACCAAGGTATGTGTCTTGATTCTCTTAAGTGTATTTTTGTATTGCATTGCGTCCCATCCCGCTAACCGCAAATCGCAAATGTAGTTGACCAACGGTTTCGGAGCAGCGCTGGCTGGCACCGCACGTCCGTGCTCTTTATTGTCCTCATCGTGTTGGCAGGTGTAATCTTCATCGCGTTGATAGCGATTACTGTCTGTTGCGTGAGACGACGGCGGCGGAGGAGGAGAGCGGCGTCTGCTGCTGTTGCTGCTGGAACTGCAACTGGAGCCGACGCCGACGCCGGCGCCGGCGCTGCGGCTAGTGAGGTCGCTCAAGGAAAGCAGCCCGAGCGGCCGGACTTGCAGAGTGATTTTGCAGAGATGGCCGAGGGGTCTTTGTCGGCGCCTGTGGCTACTGGAGGCTTGGGCGGTGCAAGCCCGAGTGCGAGTGGGAGCGGGAGGGCGACTACAATCATGCCGATGGAGTTCTTCGCCCCGGGGCCTGGAGAGGAGAGAACAGCGCGGTGACGCTAGGCATATCCCCTCCCCTCTATCAATACGTACCATCAAACGGTCATGATGCGGTTAGTTCATCTGTGTCTTTCCGTCTCTCTGGGGTATTCCCTAGAACTAGTGGGTAGGTAGAAATCAAAATGTGACTGTAACATTAATCCCGAGGAATCAGAAATGGTCCTGTTGGGCAAGAACCACCATCTCGGTCCTCTATAGGCCCCTTCAAACCGACATGCGCATGCTCCCAATTGTCAAAGGCATTCTAGCACTTCTCTTATACTAATCCTAGTACTTGCCTCGTCTCTTTAACCCCTTAAACAGTGCATACAGGATCTTCCCCGAATGCCGCTGAACCCCGTATATGGATCAAGGGATCTCCATAGTCATCCAGCATTGGCAAGACCAAGTCTTATTCTATTCACAGTTTATAGCTTCGCCTTCACCTTTGCGTCCCTCCACCCCACCTTTCTCAACTCGGCCCTCTTAATCTTCCCACTCGTCGTCCTCGGCAACGTCTCCGGCTGCACGAAGGCTATCTTGCGAGGATACTTGTACGGCGCAGAGCTCGCCTTGCAGAAATCCTGCAGTTCCTTGATAAGCGCATCGCTAGACAAAGTAGTATACCCCGGCGCGAGGACTATAATAGCCTTGACAACCTCGCCGCGAACCGGGTCCGGCGATGAAATGACCGCGCATTCTGCGACGGCGGGATGCTTGCGGAGGGTGGATTCGACTTCAAAGGGGCCTTTTGTTGAACGCGTGTTAAAAATGTATCGTTCATGTGTGCGATGTTGCTTGGTTCTTTGCAGGGGTGGGTGGGGTACGTACCGATTCGATACCCAGAGGAATTGATCACATCGTCTGCGCGGCCGACAAACCACAGATACCCGTCCTCGTCCCTCGTTGCCCGGTCACCGGTCATGTACCAACGCTGGATTGGCTGCCCGTTCGAGTCGTTGATGACGCGCTCTCCCCGTGCTACCTGTCCGTCATCATCGACATACCCATCAAAGATACCAAAGAATGCAGACCCAACACCTCCATCTACAGGAAGTGCGATAGCCAGGTCGCCCTCCTCCCCGACTTTAGTCTCTACGCCCTCAGAGTCAATGACAGCAAGGGGAACCCCCGGAAGCGGCTTCCCCATGGACCCCGGCTTGACGGGGAAATCGCCGTGATTCCCACACATCAGGACAGCTTCGGTCTGCCCATATCCCTCGCGGATACTCAGGCCCGTGAGGCTTGCCCACTGCCTGATCACCTCGGGATCCAGCGGCTCGCCGGCCGAGGTACACTCTCGAAGGGCTTTGGGCTTGTGGGTGGAGTAGTACTCTTGACATCGTGGGGTAACAAGCTGCCGCCAGGCCAGTGGGGGAACGCACATGGTCGTGATGGGGAAGCGATGGATCATGCTGAGGAGGGAGAGCGGGTTGAACGACTGCCGGTCATCCCAGATGAACAGGCTGGCGCAGCAGTTCCAGGCGCCAAAGTAGGAGTATGCGGCTTTTCCCCATCCTAGTTGGCCAAACAAAGGGTCCCTGTTAGCACCCTACCTACGAGTCTAGTCGTGTTTGATGTGTAGAGTCCAACGCACCTTGCTCCGTGTAGTTCCAGCACAGGTCGCCGGGAGCCAGTTTCAACCAGTATTTCCCAGTCGTGGCGTGGGCTGTGGCACAGTTAGCTAGTAGCTTGCTATGTAGTACCAAGGACTCGACGATACGCACCTAATGGATAGGATACCTGGTTATGCCGGACCATCTTGGGTAAGCCTGATGTGCCAGATGTAAAGTATGCAATCGCCGGTGCATTCCACGGAAACCTCGTCGTTGGATAGTGCGCTTCAGGCGGAATCGACTGCAGAGCCTCATGCAGGCTCGTCACTCCTTCGCCCGAACAGCCATCAACCTGGATAATCGTCCGCAGCGAGAGACACTTGTTACGAATTTGGAGGAACTTTGCGACACTAGTCTCATCGCCGACAAATATCGTTGCTTTGCTCTTGCGCACGCGATAGTCGATGTCCGCTGCGGTTAAGAGGGTTGTTGCGGGTGCAATCACAATCCCACTTCGGAGGCCTGCTGTGGCTATTTCCCACCTGCAAAGGAAGAATGCGTCAAGGATAGGGCGGGCGTCAATAATGAAGGGAAACGAACCATTCCTGAACGCGCGGAAGAATCATCAGCATTGTCTCACCGGGCTGTCCGCCAAGTTGCTGGAGTAGTATAGCGATCCGGTGCGACTGCTGCGAGAAGTGGCGATAGCTTAGTGATTTGACACTTTTGCCGTCGGAGGATACCCAGAGCATGGCCTCCATGGCGGGAGACTGTGCAGCCCACTTGTCGACGACATCAAGGGCGAAGTTGAAGGTCTCTGGGCGTTGATGCCCGTCGGGAGTCCAGTGCGCCATCTTGGGCTGGAGGATGGGAGGTATGGGGATCGTGCATTTTGAAGCTATAGCGTGGTCATGTTCTATGTTATACCCCCCTCTCAGCAGTCCTAGGAGGCTCTGGGGTATGATTGATCCACTATATTGATACACGCCCGGCTACCCCGGGTCGGATTGTATGTGGCATCCGGGGCTCGGCAACCCACGGTTCCAACGTGTCTTCCCGATCGGACCGAAATGAGGGGTCGGCAATGGACTTCATGTAAAGTGATGCCTGCCACAGGCGCGGTCCGACCTCATACCAAGTTGATATAGTATACTATAGACCGCGGGGTTCAGGTCTATCTTAGTACTCCCCTAGGCGTTCCATACGTGTATCTGAAAGCACGAGACACCATTCGACTACCAGAACCACCACCCAGCGAAATGCCACCCACCCCAACCACACCCAACACAATGATCCAACTCGAAGGCCCAGAAAACGGCATCCTTTGGATAAAACTCAACAGACCCGAATCCGGAAACTCCCTGCACCCAACGCTCGTCCACGAACTGCTTCACGCCCTCCTCACCGCAGACCGCGACCCCGCCGTGCGCATCATAATCCTCACAGGAACCGGCCGCTTCTTCTGCACGGGGATGGACCTCCTCAGCTCCGACGAGCTCTCCTTTGCACCCGGCGACGACTTCCACCGGCTAAACAGAATCCTCATCACGACCGAGAAGATCCTCATTGCTGCCGTCAACGGGCCGGCCAGTGGATTCGGCGCGACGTGTCTAGCGCTGTGTGATCTTGTCTTTGCGGTCCCCGACGCGTATTTCTTTACGCCGTTTGTCAAGTGGGGGATGGTTCCTGAGGCGGCGTCTAGTGTGAGCTTTCTACGGCTTATGGGGCATCAGCGGGCGGCGTTGCTGTGTCTTACAGGGGAGAGGATTGGGGCTGAGGAGGCGAGGGATCTCGGGCTTGTTAGTAGGGTTCTACCGGCTGAGGGGTTCTTGGGCAAGGTTAAGGAGGTCGCGGAGGGGCTTGCGAGGGCACTCGAGGGGTCGCTTTTGCAGACGAAGCGGTTGCTCAAGGAGACGACTACGAAGGATTTATTGGATGCGAATGATCGGGAGTGCAGGGTGATTGTTGAGGAGAGGATTCCCAGTGGTGATTTGCACAAGGGGAGAGAGGCATTTCTGGCTGAGCAGCGGGAGAAGGAAAGGAGAAAAAGCGCTTTGTAAGAAGTAAAGATGTTCTTAGATGTTGCCTATCTAGAAAACATATCATGTCATCCTTCTCTCTGAGCTAGATCATAACTTCGCCGTCCCATTCACGGATTCTATACCCTCGATCCTCTGTACAACCACTGCTGTTGCAGCACCACCACCATTGCAAATTGCCGCAACGCCATACTGACCAGGTTGCAGCTGATGGACGAGGGTGGTGAGGATCCTTGACCCAGAACTTCCAAGAGCGTGGCCTAGAGATATCGCTCCTCCAAGCGGATTGATGTTCGCACCCTCGAGGCCGAGAATCTGGACTCAGGTTAGCAGAGGAGTTTTGGGATCATTGTTCGCTGTGACAGACCTGTTCATTCGCCTTGATAACAGCCGCAAACGCCTCATTCATCTCCCAAACCGCCACATCCTCCTTGCGAATCCCCGCACGAGACAAGGCAAGCTGTATAGCCTTGGCCGGCGCAATGGGAAAATCAACAGGATCCAACCCTGCATCCGCCCAGCTAACAAGTCTAGACAGAACCCGACTTCCCTTCCCATACCGCTGCGCCATCTCTCTGTTCCCCAGCACCAGCGCGCTAGCCCCGTCATTAATGGATGACGAATTCGCAGCTGTAATAGTTCCCTCACCGTCCTTGGCAAATGCGGGTCTCAGTTTCGTGATCTTGTCTCGTTGGAGCTTGTCGTATCCCTCATCACGATCGAGTATCCGAGTTGTTTTCCCGGGGATGGGGACTGGAACGATCTCGTCCGTGAACTTTCCCTCCGCCCACGCTTTCTGAGCCCGCTCGAAACTCCGGATGGCGTATTCATCCTGAACCTCCCGCGTAATCCCGAGTCGTTTCGCAACAATCTCTCCACAGGACCCCATATGGATCTGGTTATACACATCCCAAAGCCCATCCTTGACCCTCCCATCCTCGAGCTTGACATCGCCACCACCACGACCACTCATTGCCTCCCTCGCAAGGTAATACGGCGCCCGCGACATATTCTCCATCCCCCCGGCAACCTGCACCTCCGCGACCCCAACCTGGATATCCTGCGCGGCAAGGACAACGGCTTTCAAGCCCGACGCGCAGACCTTATTCACTGTGATTGCGTCGACGGTTACAGGGAGGCCGGCGAAGATGGATGCCTGGCGGGCGGGGGATTGGCCTACGCCTCCTTGGAGGACGTTGCCCATGTAGACGGTTGAGATTTTGGAGACGGGGATGTTCGACTTGCGGACGGCGTCCTTGATTGCGTGTGCGCCGAGTTGCGGGGCCGAGATGTCGACGAACGAGCCATTTGCGCGGGCAGTGGGCGTGCGCGCTGCGCTGATGATGAATACGTCTTGCACTGGTTCCTTGCCTGCGGGGCTGTCGGCGAGGCGCGAGGCGGCGTTTGTGTTCGGGTCCATTTTGTGGGGTTTTGCGGCAGAGACCGTTGATCGTGGTTGAAGTGTTTCGGTGACGGCCAGGGAGAAGACCCTTTTACAGTTCAATATGAGCGGAGAGGAGTACGAATGGTGGCAGCAAGACGAAGCCTTCAGATGGAGAGGACAGCTGCGGGTGTGGCTGCCGCCAGAGCCGGAGCCGAGCCGGACAGCCGAGAGTTGCAGACGCGAGTCGGTATGAGGATCGGCCAGCAATAGTGCTCTGTTTCTAGCTCGGTGGAAATCGAACAGCATCAGCCGAGTATAACCATGGCAGACGGGATTTAGGCTAGAAGCGCGACTACGCTAAACGTCATTGTAGACTGGTCCTATTTATATAGCTTCAGTACCTCGTCCAAATCTTATTACAAATAATCCAAATACAATCAATCATATCATCTCTTTCATCCAATAGCGGGACACGAATACTGAAGCATTTGTGACAACGTGTCCGAAATAGTCTCACCTCCGTCCGAGTCCGCACCCCCAGTATCGAGCGACGTCTCGTGCCTGTCATGAGAAATGGCTGGTGTGTTCAGCAGGGAAAAGGATATCCCATCATTGTTATGCAGGCCCGTCAGATCTTTTCCATACACTGGTTCAGGCAAGCTCGGGGGAATGGAAAGCAGACTGTTCCATTGCTCATGAGAAATCCACTGCGAGGGTACCTCTTGCGGCAGCTGGGCTATACTTGTCGACACCCTGTGGGACCTTTGGACTTGGTCGGCCCTCCTGCCCACATCTCGGCCATGAGAGGGCAATTTACTCAACCGGGGGGTTATGTTATGGCTCGATGCGGAATGCCCGCGCGACCAGTCCGGAAGCTCCGCAGTTGACGGCATCTTCCCCCAGCACAGTGAATGCTCCAGCGAGAACAGGAGTTTAAAGTATAGCTGCGGCGTCTGGAGGTACACATCGCTCCAGGCCTGGGGCCTGCTGTCGACCTCGACCGTGGTTGCCTTGCCTGCCGGATTCCGATTTCTGCGTGGCACGGACAACTGCCATGAGGCGCCGTTCAACAGCTGCAGGACTTTACAAACGATATCCGAGACAAACTGCGTAAATCGAAACCGATGGCCAAACTGCTTCATGGCTTCTGTGCAAACGGAGAGGTCTTGCATGCGCTGGCCCTTTTCATGCTCTGATCTTGACAGCTCAACGTCAAGAGATACCAATAGCAAAGGAAAAGCTGTATACGCCGTGCTATTCTGGTCAGCAGAAAAACCGAAAAGAGGATTTTCCTGAGCCTTACGCGCTAATCGGAAGATAACCGACGAGATTCGACGCGACCAGTCTCTTGAATACATTTTTAAGGCCTGTAAATGCAGTCAACAGATCGCTTTTGCTGATATCCAGTCGCACGATCCATTCTGGCCGCAGGGCATGGCTTGTCGTGCTGGACGCGAAGATGATAAGATGGCTCAGCGCCATTTGCGCGGTGCTGGAGAAAGTGAGTTTGTGGGTGAACGAGGCTGTGGCGAGCATCACTTACAAGTAGTAGATCCACTGCCAGTCCACATACAACGTCATGAGTCGGGTGCGCCCAAGGCCGGTTCGTGAAGCATGTCTTAGTTGCTCCTCTGATTTTTTGAACCACGCCTGCAGCTCCTGCCTGCATCCCTCTGATGCCGCGAATATTCTCAAGAGATCCTCGTATGTTGCGGAGAGGGGGATCGGGAGGCTGTCCGGGGGTGAAACAGTCATGATTGTAGAAGTAAGGGCCGCTGCAAGATCACATTGTACCACAAACACTCTCGTCAGACACCGCTTGATGTCAAGGTCGTAGACTTTTGATATTGCCATCTCGCCCTCCATGTCCTCCTCCACAAGAGGTTCTTCCCGGGGGTTGAAAGTATCCGGCGTGATCTGTAGTGGGCGGCGCATGCCGAGTGCAATGCAGCGATCACGGACAACACAGCACCACCAGAGTCGCTTCTTATACGCTCGTTGTCGTTTCGGCAGATGAGTCAGTGCTTTGTAAAGGTGGGCCTGGGTCGCGCGGGCGGCTTGAATGGCAATGGTCAAGAAGGAGGAGTTGTTGTGTACATCCATGGGAGACACATTAAACGATAGCAGCAAACCAACTTGAGCAGTAGTCGTATTGTCGGCATCCGCCCGAAACTGGTGAAGCAGCTATGAGATTGCATCGATCAGCAGCCGTCGAGCGTTGGCAGTGGTTTTTTTGATCTTACCGCGGCCCTTTTGTGAAGAGTGTCACGGGCTTCGTGGGTGTTGTCGCTTCCAATCGCCCGGAGACTGCGCAGGGACACATACTGCGACAGCAGTGAGCACCCATGCAGAGAAGATCAGATGGAACATACTGCGGATGCTGCAAACAACATAGCCTGGAAGAGCATCAGGGAGATCTTTGACTGACCGTCCCATAGCCCTTCCTGATTGTATAACGACCAAAACTCGGCCTCATCCACGACAGGGTAGCAGGGGTGCACATAAAGAAAGTATTTGTGGAGAAATTCATCGAGATATGGCCTGGAGGGGACGCGAAAGCACCCTTTCGAGTCTAGGAATCTAACGTCCGTAGGCGACAACCTCGAAAGGTCCTTTAGTTCCAGAAACTCGTAGTACGAGAAAATGATACTTTTATCGAGCGCAGCGGCATCTGATGAAGTCATAGATTGGTCCATCATGGGAGGAATAGAAGAAAGACCGTCCGCCCCAGCAGGGAAGGCGCGACCGGAAGGTGAGAATGCATCGAATGGGATGTTGAAAAGCAGCCCGTCGACATCTCCAAGCTCGTCAGTGGTCTCCCTGAAGCCCATGTCGAACGGGAAAGTAGTGGCAAGTTGGCCTGGTGAGGCGGCTGGAGAAGCTCTTTGTTGCGCTGCCTCATGCCTTGCGTTTGCTTTCCTGGTACGTCTATCGAGAGAAGACCATCAGCCCAGATCCGATCCGGAGTGTAGGTGGAATAAGATCAACTCACTTGTGTCGTGACTCTCTCACAAAGCAGCTCTGCTTGTCAAGGCGACAATTTGTACACGGGGCGCCAGTGACCGTCAGGTCACACCGGACCTTGCGTGAATGGCAAAAGTCGCAGGCAACGCGACTTCTCTTGCGCTTCGCAGCCGAGGGATCAGTCAGAGGGTCAACATTTGTCGTGTCCATCGTGTTGCTGTCTTGTAGTGGCCGGGGATAGGTCCAAGGTGAACGAGGGGAATGCGAGGTTGCACTGCATTTCGCACGACGCGGGGATGTGGGGTCGTCCCCGGATCCGGCCCGGCCTGCTCACCTCTGGCTCGAATCGGACTAGCGGCCTATCGCTGGCCCGAGGAAGCCGCCGCACTAGCCGGGGCAGCCGAGAAAAGGTATGAGGGACTCGGCTGGAACTGATCGCCCCATAATTTGCCATCAGGCCTGGGTGTACATACTCTTGACCCATAATGCTAATTTGCTAATCCCCGTGGGGTAGTGGGGAGGCACGGAGATCCGGGGTGAGCTCTCTGGTACAAGGAATGAAGAAATGGAGCTAATTGACATCCAATGAAGTGTCTCGTAGAGATATTGGGTGTGGAGGAGGTGCTCAGAACGAGATGACGGGGGTTTCTTATGGGGGTGACAAGCCACCCTTTGCACCTTCCGCTACAGTACTGGTGATATCAAGTCCTTGCTCGCACAACTGCTCGCATATTCCCCAGGTTCGTGGTGCCGACCGCCGCTAGACGAGAACCTCAACAAGTGTGCTCATCATCCCTAGCAGGCCGGGCTGAAGCCGAACAAAATCATGTGACTCTCGGCTCGAATCGTATCCTCCCTCGAGCTGCGATCAGGTCGGGCATAAGAATAGAGGCTTTGAAGGCGCAAATGCTTATCCCTCTGGCATTCTGGGCAGTGGGAGCCAGAGTAGGCCTGGCTGGGCTATTCTGGATCTAGTTGTGATCTCAGTGATATAAAGGAGGGTCCCAGTAAGTCGTAGCACCCCCCTGAAATATCACAGAGTAAATCCACTCAACCAGGCCCACATCCTATCGCCAATTGCACACTGTCGGAAACCATGAAACAAGAAACAGAACAGGTGGAGCGGCAGTTCTCTGGAGAAGTGCGTCCTCAGCAGGCCAGCTTGGACCCAGCCATTGCCAACCCTCTGCCGCTCGGTCTGCTTTCTTTCGCAACTGGTATTCTCTCCAGGCCTACGTGTTCCACAGAGGCCTGCTAACACATCTTGACAAGGCATCTTTCTCGTTTGTCTTCTCAATCTCAATGCCCGTTCCATTACCACCCCAAACTTCGGCGGTCATATCTTCCAACCCGAACCTACTCTATGGCGACCTAAAATAATACCTTCGTGCCATTCTGCCTCCGTACGCGAGTCTCCTTTTTAGGTGCTTTCCTCTGACTAGGCCTAGCGTCTTGGGCTCATAACTGTCCAATTTCATACATTTCACCTGGCCACGCCACGCTCACCCATCTACAGACGAAATACTCCTACCCTGGAGCTACCATACAATTCATCACTAAGATGGGTGTCATAACACCTTTTTGGCCGCCTCAAACGTTGACAGAATGAGTACCTCGCTCTCCCAGGCGCAGTGCCACACATAGAACCAGCAGCTGAGAAAGGGCCAGTGCTGCCCACCCGGCTGCCAGCCCCGCAACAAGAAAAAGCCATCCCCACCAGTCCAAACTCCAGATTACAATATTGTCCGCCCTGGGTCGAGTGTCAGGATCTGGTGGCAGTGGCCTCATCCTCCAGCCCTGCGAAGCACCCAGGGCAAGAAACGCCACGGCTTGGAGGCCAAGGACAAGCAGGCTTAGGCTTCCCCGATCAAAGGTATTGCCGTTGGCGCGGTAGCGGGTAACCAGGGTGCGAATCTGCGGTATGGCCGTGGTAAGGGAGGTAAGGAGGCCCGTAAAGCGGAGGAGGAGGCCAACAACAAAACTATCAACAATAACATTGACATCATCGTACCCTCCTTCTCGGGTTAGAAGATCTAGGAAATGTATAGCAAGCGGGAGGACAACAACTGCATGGGTGAGGACTATGGCGAGAATGGTTGTGTTGCTGGGAGAGGACGCGCTGGGCGAAATAGGCCTATTCTTGGTATCCATAGCCAGGGCACGGGTCGGCGTGCGGAACGAGATATAGAAAACTAGTAAGATGATTGCTGCCGCCCAGTGGATAAATGGCTGGAGATACATCACCAGGGCAGAGAAAAGATTAAACCCTGCCAACTCTCCATCCCGGAAGCAGGCCCAGGCGAAGCTGCTGTATAGGTTTTTGATTCGAGTGGCGAAATGGGTAGTGGCACTGGTAGTCAGGAGGATGATGTACCGGCCAGAAATCCCTGCATCTCCTGCATTGCTCGCTCTGATCTTGACGAGTTGCGGGGTATAGGATGCGGCGACGAAGAGCGTAACTAGGCTGGGGATACCATCCAAAAGAATTAGTTTTTACACAGCAAACAGGGAGGATGGGATGAAAGGGCTGTGATGAACAATACAGATGAATGACTGTGGCAAGAGGGGTCTGGATTTGAGTGTCGCAGATGCTGGAGTCCTTGGCGGGGTGGTGGGAATTGGGGCTGAAAATGTCCTGTCGGGCGGCAACGCGGGTTTATATCTGGCAACATCACATGGATGCAGGTGCTCTGGGCTTGGCGGACATTAGTAGCAGGGCGACTGGTAGCTCAGCGCTTAAGAATGGCATACATAATATTGTACGGATATATGATAGGCGCATGAGGGGCACCCGAAAAGTGGGCGCGACTGCCCTGAGTCGTTGTCCCCGTTGATGGGCCTCAGATCTCAATACTGATGGCCATGAAGGTGTCCGTGTAGAAACTTCTACTCTTTTGCCCCTTATATCTGGATTGGTTGGCAGTCACCAATCGCTGTCACATGCACCATAAACCAGCCGTACATAGTGACAGTGATGCATAATTCAGGCTTCATATAGTTGTTAAAGTGCTTTGGTATAGGCTGATCTAGATTCCCTACATAGATTCTGTATACCTGGTAGTTAACCTCCTAGTTTACTTACTTCGAAGTAGCGCTTTCACCCTCCATTTTTTCAGGCAAACGAGACTCGATTTGACCATTTGATGCAATCGCCTTGATTCTCATCGTCTCATGCGACCAAGGAATGCAGGTCATTATCTAGCGACATGATAGGTATGCATCCACGCATCGTCGATCATCGTCTACTCCAAATCGGGAACTACAGCTACCTTCAACAGGGCCAAACTACAGCTTCATGTTTTTTCCAAGTCTGAAGACTGTTTCAAAAGAATATCGCGACAACTACTGTCTATCATTGTTATTTCACGAGGCCAACGGATACTCGCGTATCGACTCAAAAGTCATCATCCATCAGCCACGCTAGGGGACATGATCAGATGACTCGTGCCCTCCATTACATAGCTCTCAGACCCCCACCTGAGCTTCAGCTACGTCGGTTCACGCGTATACTCTTGCGTATGAGCCTTTAGAGGAGCCTGCGATTACTTAATATCTAGATAAAGCTATTTTTGAGCACTCCATCGCATCCGGCTACTTACGGAGCCAAACGACACAATATTGTCTATGGTCCAAGACCTCAACATTAGGCGACCAAGTTGCCTCTAGTATCAAACGCCTTCCCTAGCTAAGTGGACGCTTTTTGGCTTTTTTTTTCTTATACTTATAAATATAATTTGTCACTAGCACCTCTAAATCAAGTTTTCTCTTTCTATTAACCAGTCATGCGTCTAGAGCTGGGAAATATTATCCATCGCCAGAAATGGCTATTGGTAGCTCCGGGGCTCTTTTCTCTCTTGAATAGGATGTCTGCGGGTCAGGCACTTACTCTCACCCTATACTCCACACCCCTTCAGGATGGTTACTAGGCAGCTTTTACGGTAGAGGACAACTCTCTCTCAAGACCACCACACGCCAGATGCAACTTCTCCCCTGAAACAAGATTACCAGCACCGAAGAGATTTTTCAGACCCAGAATATTAATGCCAAATCAAAGGGCCTCCGCTAGCTTGACCGAGTGCTTGGGCTCATTGGACCAAATCTCAGCGGGAAGCTCGGGGATCCTTATATACAGACGTTTGTCAAATTCCGCTGCATCGTCTAGATATACTTGATACTCGAATCCACTCAGCTCCAACGTATATCTGATTAGGCATCTAAGGGCTTCACGGATTACTTTTTCAGCACGGGGCCCACACAAGAAAATGATTCTTACATAAATCTAGTCCAGCATAGCTCTGTGAGAGTTACCATGACTAGACCTTTTATTACGAGCAAGCATAGCAAGGTCACCGGGATTTAGCTTTGTATTTGCCCTGAAGTTGTATGTCCAAGCTATCACATTATTATCCTTGAATAGACATTTGCGGAGGGACCAGGGAAGGACAAGCTACTTAATTTAGCTATTAGTCGGCTCCAAGGGAGTGTCCTGTGCCTCTTATACTTTCTCTTAATCTAGGACGAATCCTAGGGGGGCTTTCATGTTTCTGATATATTGGGGCGTATTTGCTAGCCTCGTATCATCTAGTATCTCTAGATCGAGCTGGAGGTAGTCGAGTACTAGCTTAGCTTTCTCCCCTAGCGCTCTCCGCACGGCTCTACAAAAGTCACGCTAGAAGATAGGACGTCTAGATCTATCTAACACCCCCTTTTTCTGCTTTGGGTTGAAGACCGCCCAGTGGCGGATTTAATAGTCAGGCGATCTAGCCGGACCAGCGTTGGCCTTCGTCCTCAAGTAGGTATCCAATCCGTAGCCCTGGACGAGTGGTGACATGACTTTTAGGCCAAAGTATCTTGTGGCAGTAGCCTGACCAGTATTAGGATGGTCAAGCATGCCATGATGGCTCCTTAAGGCACGGTAGAACACGGCTTCGAGGATATTTGCTTGCACTTGGTACCATTCGTTAGCTAGTGTAGACTCAGGGAACTCCCATAGGCGGATGAAGCTCATTGACCTGTGGCCGTTTCCCATCCACAGCATAAAATAGTTGAGCGAGGCAGTTTAATTCTGCAGGATGTTCTGGGTATGCTGCAACATTATACAGCGCCTTGTGGATGTACATTAGCCCACGTACAGCCGCCACCACTGGCTAGAGCGATCATTAGATAATATGCTTGCATAGCCTATGCAGCGGTTCCCAGGACTTCTACTATTCTACTAACTCTAGACTTGGGCCAGTATTTGCTGGGTAATCCCTCGGCCCTCGAGTCGCTGAATGGATGGGCTTACCAATTAGAGGAGCGAGGTTGTTACGGCCGCAGTTCCCCCACGCGCGTTGATATTGTTGGTATATGGTAAAGACTTGGAGCCTGGAAGCTTTCCTTGTATGATTTCTTCAATTGTAGTGTTGCAGAGAACCTCGAGACGAGGAAACACAAACCGATCCACAAGAGACAGATCCTATAATACCACATTAGCATAGATGCTGGGCTAGCTGGAGGAAAGTGCTTGTAGCGCGGATACGCAGAAAGGAAGCCACCGTTATCATCACATTGATCTCACGCGAAACGGAAGCCCATACTCACGTCGAGGAGCTCTCCGCAGAATTCGGTATCATAGCACACGCAAACCACTGTCTCCCAATATCCTTCGCCGAAACGCTCGCGCAAACCGTCATCAAGGACTTCGGGTAAATCGCCGGCTTCGTCATAAATGCTGGGAAAGCTGCTGGAGATGGCATCCTCGATGGCACAGTCGAGTACTAGATGCAAGTGATCCAAGTCAGTATCAACGGCGCAATGCACTGCGCAAGGGCCGTCGGTGCGTACTTGAAGCAGCCTGGAAATGCTTCGCTGGGTTATAAGCTGGCGAAAGCCGGGGCCTATTGCGACTTTTCCACAGCAGCAAACATCCTACAATGTCGCAAAAGCAGTGCAGCGTAGTTCAAATTCGAAGTCCGCCACAGCGGCGAGAAATGCCCGTGTTGGTGATAAAGGGTAACGCGCGACAGCAAACGCTGAGATATTCGAGGGATCAGAAAACAGAGCCCTCTCGGAAAGAACGGTGCGACTCGCGATCGCCTAGTATCAACATCCCTCAAATCTGGCAAGACGGCTATGGTGGCGAGATCGGGACAAAGGACGACGTCTGGGCGAACTGGAAATTGAGCATGTGGAAGGCACCCGCGGGACAGTGGGTCGCTCTTTCCTCTCTTAGCAGACGGCGAAAGCATCCATACAGGAAGGGAGGAACGATTCAGGGCCCGAGTTGAGGAAATACGGAAGGTACGACCCGAGGGGAGGTCGCTCCTTCCTTCTGGGTGACCGTCGCGGCGACTCTCAAGTTAATTCAATGACCAGTTCCCGCAGGTGACGCTATTGCTTGAGGGGAATTCTGGTGCGGTTCTGTAGTTGCTGGGGCATACGAAGACGTGGATGGTTTGGGGGTCATGGCCGCCGGTGCCACAACGACGGGGAACAGGGTGAGGAGAAGGGATCAGTATCAGGTATGCAAATGGATTTGAGAGAGTTGGACTCGAGGACATGCCAGTTCGGGGTCGTTGAGACCAAAACACAATCCATTCAATGAGATGGGTTGTTTATTATGTTCTTTCGCTAATGCATATATGTCGTTGTAATCATACAGTTTATCGTCTAGGGCGAATTATTGTCTACGCTGATTGATCCGAGAGATCCTCCATCCACAGATCCGGGTAGGCGATCCCAAGCCCGGTAGCGGCGAACGGACTTGAGCTTTGTACCTCCTGCCACAGTGCTTGGCCCTCGACATCACAGGGGCTATCAATCCAAACAATCGAGGTCATTGTATCCTTCACTTGGTCCCATGACGTGAGTCCGAGCAGTGGCGCCAACCACTGGATTTGATCCACGTACCACGATCGGAGCTCCGTATCTGACGCGGAGATTCCACCGAGCATCAGCACCCAAAGCAGGAGCTCTACCATCGGCATCCAAATGTCCAAGCTGACACCCGTCAGCTCTAACTCGCATCGTAGTTGTTTTGCGATGCGGGGATGCGGATCTGTTCCCAGCGGTGTGGGAAATAACACCAACACGGTGTACGCCATAAGAGCCAGACGAAGAGCGCCGTATGTCAAGGGTAGCTCTTGATACGGGTCCAAGATCTCACCAAGTGCAGGGAGGCTCATGACGCGGTACTGAATCAGATTGCGCAGTTCAATAATGTATCCCATCTCGAGCTGCGTCATGAAGCCCTGGGAGTAGTTCTTGACTAGCGTGTTGTATCCTCGGACTGCACTAAACTCCCATACCATGACACTGGGTATTAGTGAGGTGAGATATGGATGCAGTGGGTCGTTCAGATGCGATTCCTGCTCGGTTTGCTCTAGAAATCCCGTCGCTTCGTCTATTTGGAGACGTGTGTGAAGCGGCCAGAATGGACGAGCAAGGAATTTACTGGCAACCACAAGGTTGTATCTAAATGAAGGTTAACGAGGCCAGTTCAAACGTGGAGCATAGTGGAGCACTCACGTTGAGAGCCCTTCCTTGAGCCCGGGCATTTCAATCTTGTCAAACCCGCCTCTCGCCTCCACGAGATTGCGGAGAGCAAGAACATGTGGTTCGGAAATTGGAATATTTGTGAAGCGTAATAATAATTGCAGGTCCGACAGTGGTGGCAAGCGCGTTTGCTTGGAGGTAGGTTCCTTTTCTCTCCCTGTGTGGAGGGCGAGAGCGAAAGTCGCCATAATAATCTCGTCGGATACTTTGTCTGCACTCGCACCATCCACAAACTCCTTCAAACCGACTATTGCTTCACGTTCCATCAGTAGCATCTCGTATGAGTCTTGGTCGGAGACACTGGACGCATCTTCGTTCGCTTGCCGCAGCCAGCGGATATGCCCGGCACCAGAGTGAAGCCACGCGTTGAAGAGGGGAGGGCAGGTCATGGCGCTTCTGATCCAGTGGTGGACGAAAGATATTCCTTTGTAGGTGTACCCTGGAAACATTTTGGGCCAAACTTCCTTGATAGCTGAGGCTCATTGTCAGGATACCCGAAGTACCAATGGAGATCGCAAGGGACGGCTTACCGAACGAGAGCACGCGGTTTATACATTCTGGGTCGAGTGAGGAGGGATAGGTGTGGAAAGGATCGAGGTAAGTGCTCCCGTTCGACCCGCTGGACAGGGGACTTGGCGAGCATAAGGAGGTGTCAGGGGAGAGTTTTCTGCTTGCGTCTCTATGGGATTTTGACAGGGTGTGAGACTTTGCCGGTATGGTTTGCGCTGGCGGCAACCCTCGGTCGTATATACATTGAGCACCCATGCTTCAACTCGAGTGAGAAGATTGAAAGTTGAGGACATATACGAGGTTCACCTACAGTATGCAGCGGGAGCACTGCGGCAATGCTCTGCTGCACTGCCGCTTTCCCTGTCGGCATCGCTGACAAGCTGCCCTTGCCCTGGGTGGATCTTGAATCATTGGGACAGATTGAACATCCGAGTTGGGGCTGAGCGGGTGGTAGTGTTAGAGACTGGGAACTTTCATATGAAGATTGGGAAAAGGGCGAGGTACTTACTCTAACCACCAAGCATCTTCCGACATTGACGGGACATTGTGTCCACCGTCTTGGTCAGGGTATATGCAAGGATGAGGGCGAGACGCTCTGAGGATGAACTTAGCGACCTGGATGAAATAGATACGAGGCCAACTCACCTTTGACATCTTGAGCAGGCGGGGACGGTACGGTCACATTTCCTCTTCTTGGCCTTGCACGCCAGGCAGGCAGAGGGGGCAGGGGTAGATGGGGATTCGGTATCTGTCATTTTGCACTGGATCTATAAAACTGGATACAAGAAGGATCCCGGGAGAAAAAGAGTTCTTATAGCTTCGTCACAAACGGGTCCTCTGAGGTTAAGGAGGTTGCCTTCAGGAATCTTCAGCCCTGTGGCCGCCACTTGGAGGCTTAGATACTAGGATATAGAGGCATGTCACTCGGCTAATCGGCCGGTGGGCCAATGATAATCGCGAGACCAATTCACAAGCGAGGATGGGCCGAGAAGGGAAGCTAGATTGAGAGCTGGGAAATAATCCCGCGGAGGGGCTCCTGGCTAGAGCGCAAGCTACTGCGCACGAGGAGGCTTGCTCTGGACCCAGCGATCCGTCCCAATTGGGGAATACATTGATGATGCATCAGCGCCGCAGGAGGAACTAAGCAATGGGCTGGTCGCATTCTTCAGCCATCGGGCACGTTTAGATTAGGGGCCAACTTGACCGCAGCCAATCCCTGGCTCCTGAGGCTGCCGAAGCTCGGGCTGTGCTGTGCCGGGGTCACTTCGAGCAACGTTGTCCAGTCGTAAACGAATTCCGGTGCTCTGGATATAGTCGACTAGCCCATCTTCAGCGAATGTTAGCGACATTTGCCGATCGAAATGAGGAGAAAACGGCGCGTTAGCGGCGGACTGTAAAGGGCGCTACTCCGCAAGTTCCGCCAGCTGAGGCGAGACCCCCCACTTTCCAAGCCGCCATGACTCAGCCTGCAGAGATCGACGAATACGTAGGTGCTTGCCGTTCCTCACGAACTCGATAGGGCTGAAAATGGCAATTGCGAAGTGCGAAGAGCGAATGCGGGCTCGGGAGCTCCAAGCGTCGGGAAGATGGAAGAGCATGGAAATGAGAGAGCACGCGTGTAGACGAGTTGGGCGGAGCTGACGGGTGGAGATTGCTCGGGTCGGATCAGCCATTTTCCCAGCTTTTTGGCCTCAGGCTTCAGGCTGCAACGTTTGTCCCTTCATGTCGCGCCATCGTCCTCGCTTCTCGAGTATAGCATCAACCAAGATTCCATCTTGCTCGCGATATCCGTGAGACCTTGTACCCCTCATGTCCGACCAGGCCCTTCCTCCAAGAGTTGCCTATCTCCAACCGTGCATCATGCGCCATGTCACCTGCCACTTTCGACAAGGAGTGTTCGGGGAGAGCCCGAAGCAAGAGCCTATAAACACCACGACTCCAACATGACATTCCCCGCGAACTTCAGGTCTTGCAGCAACTTTTATCAAGACAAACAACGGGACTTGCCTTCAAAATGACCGACGAAACATCACCGGCTGAATATGCCTTGACAGATGAGCAAAAAGCCCATTTCCTCCAACACGGCTACGTTCGTATTCCCGGCTGCTTCACGCGCGAAAAGGCCGCAGAATGGACGCGCGATGTCTGGGTTCGCCTTGGCTACTCGCCCACCGACAAGTCAACCTGGACGAAAGAACGTATTAATATGCCCCGCCACCGCGAAGAATCAGTCCGCACTTTCGCTCCGAAAGCATGGGCGGCCATCTGTGAGTTGTGTGGCGGCGAGGACCGTGTCTCTGAGCAGTCGTCTACCTGGGGCGACGGGTTGATTGTGAATCTGGGTTCATCCGAGTGGGAGAATCAATGGCCGGATCCGAGGGAACTGGACAATTGGCACGCTGACGGGGACTTTTTCGTCCATTTTCTGGATTCCCCGGAGCAGGCGCTGCTGGTTATTCCGCTGTTTTCGGACATCAAGCCACGGGGTGGTGGGACGATGATTTGCCCCGAGGCTATACCATTGATTGCGAAACATCTGGTACGTATATACCGGCGGGGAGACACGTCTATGGTCGCTGACGAAGTCAATCAGTACGCACACCCGGAAGGAGTTTCTCCTTTGATGGGCCCGCGATCCGAAGGACCCCAGCCACCCGACACCGCTCTACGCTTCTATATCTCGCTCATCCAGCAGTGTACCGACTTTCGCGAAATGACCGGCGACATCGGCGACGTTGTCCTCATGCACCCTTTGATGTGCCACTCGGCTTCACGGAACAGTCTGCGCATACCGCGAATCATCACGAACCCGCCCGTGGGTCTAAAGGAACCCTTCAACTTTGATCGAGAAGACCCAACCCAGTATAGCTTGGTCGAGCGAAAGACACTCCTGGCGCTGGGGAAGAATCGGCTTCAAGGGTGGAAAATCACTGGGGAGCGCGAGAGGATTGTCCCGGCGCGAATGAAAGGGGCACTGGAGATGAAAAGGCAGGAAGAGGAGCGGCTGCGGCAAGCTCAGGCTCAAGCTCAAGCTGCGCGTGCACCTAATTGAGACGGGTGTCTGTCATATTGAATATATATGATCTTCATGTCGCTTTATATACCAGCCCTAAATCTGCCATGAACATCTTGTAGTATGAGGGTTATCGAAATAACGTAGACAATTATGTGAAAGCCCCGTAATATCCCATTCCCTGTCCAGTATTCCAGGGACTGGTCCGGAACAGAGTACGAGAGTCCGAAACCGGAATACCCTTGGCTCACCGTACCATCAGCAAGGCATCGAAACCAAGACCGCTCTTGAGAATGACTGTCATGCTGAGGGGCTCACGATACGAAAGTACGAGCTGTGTGCGCTGTTTGCAGAGTTGGTGACGAGCACATCCTGGGCGGGTGGGGATCTATACAGATCTATATCGGCCAAGCAACATCGCCAATCAATGCTTTATCGATCCAGATACAATGCTAAGACCCTGGTTAGTTCTTGATTGTATGTAAAAAAAAAACACGCGAATGCCGATGGGCGTCTATATCAGTAGTGAACGATAGGCAAAACCTAATCCTCAATAAGATTGTAGCTTTTAGTTCCCCATTAAATTGCTTAATGATCTCCGGAAAGCTGACTTGTTGGACATGCTCTCGCGTCTGGTAACACGCTGGAGACGTGGCATCCTGCTTGACGGGGCCGTATCCGCGGATTGGGTTGTCCAGCTCGGAGGCAAGGTTGAAGTCGAAGATGGCGAATGCAGAGCTCTGGTTTGTGCCCAAGATCTCTTGCGGTCCGTAGACCTCTTTCCATGAATTGAAATGTGTCTTCTGATCTGGTCCCACGAAGAGGGGAGTCGAAAAAAGGTACGAGACATTCTGGTACAAGGGGTCGTCGACGGTGACGTTCTGAAAGGCCTTGAACATCAGGCGAAGCGCTTCGTGGTCCCAGAATCGAGAAGAGGTGTACATGAAATATCCAGGGAAGAGAGCTTGGAGGAGGTCATAACCATGGTTAGTATGGCCACCGGCATTCTCCGACAGGTCCATGATCAAGCGCCTCTTTCCTGCTGCGACACTCTTCTCGAGGAACTCGGGAGCGCGCTGCCTGAACGAGAGCTTCGCGCCAGGTTCTGCCGAGCTGAATGAAGGGATGAAGAGCACAGCAGTATCCTCATACTCCTTCTCTTCCAAGAAGTGTCCGGAAATCAGGTTCCAGTCCTCGCGAACGACCGGCTTGGGGTAGGATGCCGGAAGTGGAAGGGCGGTACTCTATGGGGGGGCAGGTGCAGGTGCAGGTGCTTCGGCGGTGTTGGCAGGAGCCGGGGGCTGCACCTGAGGAAGGCACAGTGCTTTCCATACAGCCTGGCCGTTCTTAAAGTCAAAGTCACCCTCGCCGTTGTAACTTACAGTGATGGGAACGACGCGGACTGTGACGTTTCCAAACCGGAAGCCATGGTGTGGCGCACCATAAGGCCAGGACTGGGACACGGTAAAATAGTCATAAAGATCACCAGGTACTGACCACACACTCCGCGCATGGTGGGGAAACATCTGGTTGTAGCTGCAGTGTGCAAGTATCATTGTTAGCGACCAACTCGTCGTTGTTAGTCTGATGGATCAATGGCAACTCACCTGGCATCCGGGTTCTGGAAAGGCTGCGTTAGTGAGAGCGGCGCGATGTACTCCCGTTGATATAGACGATTGGGGATACCAAGCCCGGGTTCTTTGTCAAAAGCCGGGCATCCTCTGCTCGATCCAGTTCTGTCTTAGCCTCTTCCAGCTTCGAGATCTAGAAAGCGTCAGGCCACGTACCATAGGTATATATCTCTGGTAGTTTCAAGTCCATCCTTGGAGACCGAAACCAGTTGCAGGGCACTTTTGAACCGAAAGATCGACTGCGAGCACAAGGTCACGGTAAGATGTCCATCGTACGCGCTCGACCAAAGCTCCGCGATGGCATTGTCAAACTCGTACTGGCTCTTGAATTCGCCCGTGACGACCTGGTGCTCGATACGGTTCATCCCACTCCAAATGTCGGTGGGAGGGGACAGATAACTGTTCGGAAGATCTACCGAATATTGTTGTTAGTCGAGGCTAAACCTATGAGGACCAGTAATCATAAGGGTTCTTCACTTATACTTCAGCGTCTCGGTCGGGCTCTGAAAGTCCAGGTACTTCCTGAGTTCCTCCAGCATGTGAGCAGCCTTCCCCAAATCAAGAGGGAGAGCGTGGAGGCATTGAAATGCAAGCGACCCAGGAAGAACAGGACTGGGGACTATTAAGGAAAAGTATGTCAGCCTGGGTTTCGCGCCATTGCCCATCGTGCTGCCCTGTCCGACACTCAGCTTACCATTGTTCTTTATAGCATTCTGGTACTGCTGCGACAGCTTGCTGCACGTGTCCTCGGTAGGCCTGGAGATCCGTGGCTATCATGGTGTATGCCGGAGATATCGGTTGGAAAAGCAGTCACTGGCAGGACGGAACTGGCTGCCAGCAGCACAAGGAGCTTCGAGAACATTTCAGGCTTCAGCGAGGTTGCGTTCCTCTGCTGGTGATGATGAGGAGTGAGGTCGGAGATCTATAGGGGCTTATATTCTATGCTCGTTTAATCTCTACCGTCGATCAACTGTGGAGCGGCATTAGCAGCGGCCGCTACTCGTCGAACACGCCTGCCCTAACGTGCTTGGCCAGGTGCGTTCCATACCCTACACCCAACGAGAATCCCCTCCGTGAACTCCTGTACGGTATTTTGAAGGAAGAGCCTTGCCGTACATAGCCCTCTCGTCTAAAACGCTACATACGTGAGGATTACCAGCTCATCTAGGACCAGTTCAGACCGCCTACATAATGTAGTTTTGGTCTGACTCGTCTTCATCCCACCGTCACCCAACTCTGTTCAGGACCCAATCGCGAAATGTGCCTAAAGCGGTTAGCAGCAGTTGGAACCCAGCCCTGGGACTCGGTCAACGTTAAAAATGCTTAAATCCTCAGTCTGAGGTCAGGAGAAGTCAAAAGCCGGTATCTTAGCCCTTAGTCCCATGAAAGCAAGCCAATAACTTGATGCCGACTCCAAGTACCAGAAGGCTTGCAGAAGTGTTGTACCTTTAATTTCTCCGGTTCAGCCCTGTCTCATAGGTCCAGCTAATATCCGCTTCAGCTCAATCCATTTGGCGGTACAGATAGCTCTTAAATTATCCAATGATGAAGCAGTTGCGGTGCCATCTACCAACCTAGCGGCCGCGCTTGTTGAGTGCTCACGTAAAGTCTGCATCTCCTGGACCCCGCCCCCAAAATAAAAATGGTTAGTGTTGGGGATCTTATCCCTATTGAGGTCATTTAAATATATGAGGTTGTTTTGTTTCATGAGATCTATGTCTCAGTTCAGCTGTTCTGCGCTGGGCCATACCTATCCCGACAACATGAGATGGTGGAGTTGCAGAATTTGGCGTCGACCGGAGTTGCGCACGCACTTTTTAATCGATGGCGGTCAATAATGAGCTTCTATCTACAAGCACTGGGATCTAGAGGCCTCAGCATAGCCCCGAAACAAGATATAAATACCTGGCAAAGCCCATCTACTTCCAACGGCCAGCAACCCTCAATCAGATCAACCTTTCCTCTCCAACTCGCTCCAACTACCACCAAACCATCCAAAATGCACGCCTTCACATCCCTTACAACCCTCCTCCTAACCCTCTCCCCGGCCCTCATCTCCGCCGCCGCTCTCCCAGGCCCTCTCGCAAAACGAGACCACTGCGACACGCTCACCACCTTCTCCGAATCCGACACCCGCGCCCTCCAGGAGTCTCTCCAGAGCTCCAGCGCGGACCTCACTTTCATTGGCGCGCACAGCTACCACAGCTGGGACCACGGCAGCGCACGCATCTGCGTCTGGAACGACTATATCTTTGAGAACACACATGTCTCGCAGTGGGAGGCGGGCTGGGCTGTGGGCTATGTGTTTGATATGTGTTGCTCTGGCCAAGGGGGCAATTGGTAGGTTATCCCGATTGCTCATGGAGTTGATCTGAGGTGCGAGGAAGTAGGCTGACTTGCATGGTTCTGCTAGTACCGGGGGGAGTGCCACGGCTCATGGCGATAGCGGGCTTCCCCTCCGTGTTGTGTTGAAGAGTTCGGGCAGCTCGTGTCAGTGAAACCGAAATCGGTTCAGGAGACTTGAGATCAGTGGAGTGGATTATGAGGACATATCGACTGCTGGGTAAGAGATATGGGCATGAGGAGAGGACTTTTAGACGCAGGGCAGATGGTGGACTCAAGAAGTGTGCAGCGCGCGTCTTTGCTGCGGGAGCCACGGACAATGGACCCGTGAAGCAGCATGTCATAGCATACGTCCTGGGAGTGGTTTTATATTTGTATGAAGGTGTACAGTGTTCTAAAGCTCCCAGCGAGAATAAAGCACTGGAATACATGTAGGTGGGAATGCATATGGATGCGCGTATTCCGTCGTGTGTTTTTCCAGCTGCGAGAGATAGAGCTAATATATACCTAATCGGACAAGGCGACTAGTAATAAATCCAACTCAGGTAAGGTTGGGCCCCACCATCACAAGCTCCTATGTACAGCAACCGTGCGAGCAAATAGAACCTTGCATGCTCTCGGCTAGCGCGCCTGATTAGTACATTCAGGCATCCTCCTTGAATTCTGCCACCTCCTCATCGTGCTCAGATGATGGCTTCGTAGACAACTGCTGGCCGACCGGTATATGCGGCCGTCGCTTAGCATACCTCACAGTGCCCAACGCAGAGGGACTCTCCCTGAAGATTAGATCAATCTCCTCCAAGCTTCGTCCCATAGTCTAGAATCGTTAGCATTCCTCGTGTGACTATGACCGAGAAAGAAGGGCAGACCAACCTCGGGGTAAAGAAAATAGATAGAAAGCGGTATGCAAGCGCCGATGCACGTATACACGATGTAGTAGCGATAGCCAATATCCTGGATCGCTACAGGGGTGATCATCGTTACAACAAAGTTCCTGGCCGGAGTTAGCGGGATATCATCGACAGGAAAGAGGAATTCGGGCCTCACCAGAGCCAGTGGTTTGCCGTAGAGATGCTCGACATGGCCACGCGAAGTCGAGCAGGTGCGACTTCCGTCGTGTACAGAAAATTCGCTCCAAGAAACCCAATGGGAAGGAAGAAATTGAACAAGAAGATGAATAGAACGCTGATTATTTGTGCCCCGTAGTTGGAGTGCGGAAATGAGGTGGCGACCGCGAGCCCGAGCATACAAGCAGCCATCCCAGATCCGCTAATTATAAAAGCAAATCGACGTCCAAGCCGATCGATAGTGAAGAACGAGACGAAGCCGGCCAGAAACTTCCAGGTCAGTGTACCGCCTGAAAGGATGCGAGACGTCTGTGCATCCAGACTCAGTCCATCCTGGAAAATGACAGTGGAGTAGACCGAGATCAGGTTGCCACCAGCCATTTGCTGGAAAAACTGAAGCAAGATGCAAATGCTAAAGCGATAGAGGAGCCGACCTTCCCCCATGCTAAACAAGTCCTTAAGGCTCGCTGCGCTTTCAGCCGTCTGTTCCAACGACGCTTCGATGCTAGCGAGTTCCGAAGTAACTTCAGGAGTGTCCAAAGGCAGACCTTTAAGCTTTGCCAGGTTGCCCTGCGCTTCCTTGAGCCGATTTTGCCGTGCTAACCAGCGAGGTGACTCTGGCATGAAGAAGATGGACGCCATAAGAAGAAGTGAAAAGAAGCATGAAATTGCAACGGGTGGTCGCCAGGTCACAGGTCCAGTTTTCAACTGGTAGAATCCCAGATTGATCCACGCCTGCAGAACGTATCCAAGGGAGATGAAGCAGCCGTCCAAGACAATATGCTTTCCACGGTTCTTCGAGCTGGAGCACTCGCTTTGCCATGTTGGAACCGTGCCACTGAGCATCCCGACACCGGCACCCAGGACCGTTCGTCCGATCACAAGCTGAGCGAGCCGGAAAGCAGAAGCCTCCAGAATTGCACCGATGAGGGTTAAGAGAGCACCAAGAAAGATAACCGGACGCCTCCCAAGCTTTTCCGATATATAAGCGCAAGATAGACAGCCTGGCAGGGCACCGAGGGTAAAGCATGCGATAACAACGCCTTGGACCGTGGCATTGTCGTTACTCACTGCATCAGGGCTCGTTTTATCAATCCGCGGGAAATGGGATTCCCAGTCAGGTAGTGAGACAAGGCCTCCGAGGTTGGACTGATTGTACCCAAACAGAACGTAGGAGGGACAGACGATGAGTGCAAGCTGTGCAAGGATGAGGGACTGCCCGCGCAAGCGGCCAACGAATCCGGAGGTACCCATAATTGGAGAGTTTGAAAGAATTGGCATCACCCTTTCCGGGGCAGAAATCCGTGGTATAAAAGGACCCGATGCGCGCTCCGAATAGCCTGGCACCGTGGACCCGATGGCGGTTGCAACCTCAGCTGACCTGCCATTTGGATCGGTATAGCAACGTGCCCCGAGGATTTGGAGAAGGTGACAATGAGGTATGATTCGGGTAGCTCGCTGCACCCACAGCGCAAGCGGGAAGGAACACAATCTTTCCTGTTCAATCTAGTTCTCGGCACTGTTGTCTCGGCTATGAGCTTAGCGTTCGGAATAACGCCTTTATACCGATGAGCGGGGCGGAATAAAGGCCAAATTACGTGCCCCGCCCGATCCTGACCCTGGCACCGCAGCACGCGGCAGCTTTGAACTGGGCTAGATACTTATTGGGCGTAATTCAGCACATCTAATTGGACGTGCTACTGGAGATGTAGCTGGAAGGTGATTCTCGGTCTGGAGCTGGTTCAAACGAGAGGCGGCAACCCAACCCGCAATCCGACGACTTGGACAAGCCTCTCTCGTTCTTGCAAGCAAGAGTATGCAAAGGCATAGAAAACATGTCAGATCAACCACCTAAATCAGGCAAATGACCGAAGGTGTCCGAAATGTCCTGAGCCCAATCCATCGCCGTCATATAATTCAGATCATACAGTGAACTCGAAGGCAAACTATATGGTATATTAGGCAGTAGCGGTCCGGTCGGCGAAGAGGTAAATCCGGAGCTGCCGTGCTGTAGCAGCAGTGTCAAATTTCTCAAGACGGCAATGGCGGAATCAATGGATCGAGTTTGGCGGTCATCGTAAGAAGAGTCGCCCGAAGGCGCTGTGCGGGGATCTGGGCGACACTTTTCTAGTACGGTAATGACGTGCAATATCAAGTCGGTTGATTCTTGGAGCGTGGAAAAACTCAAAAGGTTGAGGGTTTTCGACTTGCAGTGATAGAAGATATGCATAAGTGCACACTGAAAGACCACGCCCGGTCCTATGGGGCGGCATGAGAGGAAAGAGTGCCCGAGGTCCGGCAACCCTAAAAGATGTATAAGATCAGTACTTGCTCTGACACATGCGCCGAGACAATCGGCGAATTCTGAAGTGCTGTCGTCGAAAGTGAGCCCGGGCCGATGAATCAGTAAGATACAAAACCGAGACAAGAGCCGCAGATAGAATAGCAGGGCGCCGCAGCCGCTGGTCGTTGGGTGTGAATGTGAGTCTGGTTCTGGAGCGTCGTCCAAGCCGAGGTTCTGGCTCCACACCCTAATATCCCTGTCAAGCCGCTCAATCTTGGCAACGCCCTGACGACGCCGGGTTGTAGTATATAGAAGATCCAGAATGGAGGACATTTTCTTGCTGAGGGTAGCATAATGGTTGAAGAACGACACAGGGGTCGTCTGGCCTGGAAGTGGATGGTAAATCTCCGTCGCCGTGAAGTCATCGATATGGCAGTCTGTCGGAAGTTCGTTGTCGACATCATCATCGCTAATCAGAGGCGGAAGGCCATGCACTATTGCCGTGACCCTACCAAACTTAGCTCCAAAGTGCTTCCTGCAAATCATGGGCAGTTCATACCGGTCAAATATGTAAACCCACCACCACAGTCGCTTGCGCAGTTCAATCTCCCCGACGTTCATTCGAAACCGTCGAGCATGTCGATGAAGACCAAGTGACTGGGCAATTCGAACCATTGACCCGTTGACTTTGATCAGGCCAAGCGACTGGCCGGTGAGCTGGTAGTAGAAGGAAAGTAGAACAAGCCCTTGTAAACTATAAAGATCCCCACGAGCGACGAGGCGGGACTGTAAGCTGTCGAAGATTGAGTTAGAGCTGACCAGTCGTCCTATTTGATCACGGACTGGATGGGAAATTGGCCGCCCAAGGTTGTTAATGCTCATTATAGAGAACAAAACGCAGAGTGTGCTATTATCAACACCGTCCGCCATAGCACGGTCCTGTATCCCTTCCAGCATCTTGCAAACGGCATCGACCGTTTCTTTCCGTGCCAAAACTGGGCAAAATGCCTCCCAGCATCCAAGGAACTCGTCAATCTGGGCCACGTAAAAGTCAAGTGGGTGGCCCAAAAGTTCAAGAATTTCAGGGCTCGATAAATTCCAAATCTGATGATAGCCGTCTGGGGTAGCGGAACTTGTGGCTTTGTTGGCTCCTATGGCTGATCCTGCTAGGTAAAGACTGTAGCAGCTATCGGGGAAGCTCTCGGTCAGATACAACGCCTGCTTGCATGAATCCTCAACGCTCAGAATGAAATGAACGCCGGTTGTTGAGCCTGCAAAGCGACTAACGCCGGTGACGTCGTGAACCAATCGTCCCATGTGTTTAATTACATGCGAGGAATCATCGGACATGAGTTTAGGCCCACCGAGCACCGAGGGTGGGTTCAGGAAGGCAGAGCGATCCCCATGATAAATAGTTGGAGCGACTGGAAGTGAGTCGGCTGATGCCAACTGACTCTGCTGCTCCGCTAACTGCTGCCGTAAGAGATTGTTGGTTTCACGTTCGGATTGCAAGGCTCGCTGGCATTCGAGGAGTTGGGATTGTAGGCCTTGGACGTGTTTATCATCCGTAACAAATCTACTGCCGTGAGCTAGGCCATCAAGACGAAAAAAAGGAAAAAAAGGAACAGACCCTCTCACTCGAGTGTTCCTCTGCAGCGGTGCTGAAGCTTCGCATGGCTTTCCCCCTCTAGTGCAATTCCGGCACTACTGTGATGTCAACAAGTCAATTCGGACAATATGGGGTGCATATCCAAATCAGACCTTAGGAAGCTCGCCATCACACTTGATCTTTTTTCTTTCCGAAGCCGTTCGTTAGCAGACGTTTGAGAGCATATTGCGCATGATATGGTGTGCGCGTACTTTCGACATCTATCGCTAATTAAATTGTCAGCTAGCGCTCGCAAGATTGATTAACAACGTACCATGCTTGACCGAGCTTTCTAGGAGGATGATGCGAAGGAATATCCATCGCCAGCGTGGATAAGAGGAGGATGAAGTCGCAGAGTGCAGCACACTCAGAGAGGATGACTAGACTCTTGGCAAAGAGTGTCGTCACGTGCTTACTGTATTACGGTGCCAGGAACCGCCGCAGACAGAAAGCTACCTACAGCAACAACAAGCAGGATGCTTACCATGGCAGCCATCTCCAGATTCTTGAGGTTGAATCACTTCATTCCATGTTCTCGCTGTCACGTTACTTTGTCCTTGTTTCAAACCACTCTTTTCCTGTCATCGTTAGCGCCGGAAAAAGGCCGTATCCCGATCAGCAGCGGGGCTCTCCGTTCCCTCCCCGGCCCACCACCACTGCAGCACTCAAGGATGGAGCATAAAAACATGGCTTCGCGTCCCTTGAACGCAAGGATGTCCCAGCTATTTCTCTTTGGACACTCTCAACATGGTCGTCTCTGCCCTTGACTCGCGTGTGTTTAGGAATCTGTTCGGAACCGCGGAGGTTCGCGAAATCTTCACCGACGATGCATACGTTGGATTTCTGGTTGAAGTGGAGGCCGCCCTTGCGCGTGCTGAGGCAGCCGTTGGCGTGATCCCCGCAGATGCTGGCACGGCGATTACTGATGCGTTCAAAAGCATTTCCCTCGAGTATGTGACTGATCTTTCTCTGTTTACGGCACTAACTTTTCCGGTCCGTAGTTTCGACCTTCTGGCTCGAGAGACGGATATCGTTGGTTACCCGGTGCTACCCCTCGTGAAACAACTGGTCAATGGCACGCCCGGAGAAATGTCCAAGTACATCCATTGGGGTGCGACCACTCAAGACATCATGGATGACGCCTCTGTGCTACAAATGAAACGCGGCCTCCAACTTGTACGCAGGGAGCTGCAGACATTGGCTGGGACATTGCAGGGACTCGCACAAAAGTATCGGGATACGTGAGTGTACACTGACACCCCCACCAGTTCTCACAAGCCTAGCGCTAATCGGACAAGACCCATGGCGGGCCGCACTCATCTCCAACACGCTCTTCCCTGTACCTTTGGCTACAAATGTGCCGTATACCTCTCGAGTATCTTGCGCCATCAGGAGCGGCTCGAGGAGATCGAGCGGAGATGTCTACTCGTCCAGTTTGGTGGCGCTGCAGGGACGCTGGCGTCGCTGCAGGATCCCGACACTGGCCTCAAAGTACGGGCTGAGTTGGCCAAAGAGCTCGGCCTGAGGGACCCTTTGATCACATGGCACGTTGCGCGCGATACGATAGCGGAAATACTCAACTTCCTCGCACTCATTGGAGGCACGCTTGGCAAAATTGCACTTGACTTGATTGTCATGTCCTCCAACGAGTTTGACGAGGTTTCAGAGCCATTTGTTCCGCACCGCGGCGCCTCGTCCACAATGCCCCAGAAACGAAACCCCATCTCAAGCGAGGTGATCCTCGCGGCATCAAAACTGCTGCGGTCCAACGCTAGTCTAGGACTAGATGCAATGGTTACTGATTTTGAGCGCGCTTCTGGGCCTTGGCATCTGGAATGGGTTGCTATCCCCGAGGCGTTCATCACCGCCGTGGGCGCCTTGCATCAGACTAACTTTGCATTGGGCGGACTGGTGGTCAAGGTGGACTCTATGAGTCGGAACCTGCATTCCACCCGCGGGCTAATCGTCGGGGAAGCCGTGATGATGGGGTTGGCGCCTGTCCTCGGTCGGCAAAAGGCCCACGATGTGGTCTATGAGGCCTGCAAGACAGCGATTGAGGGGAACCGCAGCCTGTTAGAAGTTCTGCAAGAGAATTCCGAGCTTAGCAAGACGCTTCCTGCGGATCAGCTGGCTAGCCTGTGCGATCCTCTGCAGTATCTGGGGGCGAGTCAGCGGATGGTGGACGCAGTTGTTGGCGCCCTGGGGTGAGCGCGTTAGACCAGTAGAAATGTCAGCTAGAATCTGGAGTTCCAATGAATAATGTGTCGAAGATCTGTGTTCCGCAGGAGCTGTGCCGCTAGACGTATCCCGAGGAGCTGGATAAATTTCGCAGGGCAAATCACGAGCCTTATCTGCACAGCCAGACGTCGCTGGGACGCAGATTTGAGTAAGTGGGCCGGGCGGAAGTTCCATCCGCCAATCGGCGGTAACTTCCGGCCTGTGGCAGGCTGGCAACCTCTCCGGAACCTCGAGCACTACTCCTCTTCTGCCTCTCTTTCAGGCTATTGCAGATTCTCGGGTCTCCTCCTCCTCCTGGGATCTGGTCGCCTTTTTTTTTTTTTCTCTTTGCCTCCCTTCCGCCATCCTCAGCGATGGAATTGTACATAATGGGACTTTCGTCGCCTCACTGTTGCGCCACGTCTCCGATGCCATGCACTCAAACAAGCCCCCTCGCCCTCAAGGCAACCATGCGGTCTTTCGCGTCGTCCCCTATCCCCGCACTCCCTCGGAGGCTTCAGACCAACAACCAGTCTCCTCATCCGGCATGATGCTCTCCCCTTCGCCGGCAGCGATGCATATCGCTCCCTTCGAGCCCTCGGCGGCCGTTTCCAAAGTCGCCATCCCGCGGATCTCGCAACTACGTACGTACGGTAATCGTCGAGTGAAGCGAGCCTGCATCGAGTGCAGGGAGCAAAAGACAAAGTGCAATGGCCATAATCCGTGTGGTCGTTGTACCAGTATGGGCATGGAATGTGTATACGTGGATGGGAAGCGGGAGGCGATGGAAAAACGGTTGCAGGACCTGGAGAAGCAGGTTCAAGCATACGATCGGCTTCTCACTGAGATTCAGCCGCATCTTGACAGCCAGGATAAGGAGCTCATCAGCCGTACACGCGCTCAGGTATGTCCCTAGTATTCAACCTCTTGCCGTACCCCCCTGACACTAATCTTGGCGTAGTATTCCAGTCCCGACCCCGACCATGCAAATCCCGACCAAGCGAACCACAGTTCAGCCCACAGCCAAACCCGCTCTTTCGGCATCGAATACATCCAGGAGGATTTCCACAAGGATAAAGCGTTGCAAGCAATTGGGTTCATGGGTGGTCCTTCGGAGATGTCGTGGATCAACGAGTTGTACCAGGTCCTCGAGAAAGACACGCCGTTCCTTGACTCCGAAGTCTCAAATAAATCCCAGTCCTTAACCTCCGTCTGCTACTTCCTCGACGATGAAGAGTTGGTCCTGGATGCCAGCATTGATCCATACGGTCGCCCACCCCGAGATGTCGCCGATAAGCTATTAGATTGCTATTTCTTCACCGTTCATCCGTCATTCCCTATCATAGCCAAGATTCCGTTTATGCAGCAGTATGAGATGTACTATACGCGACCGGACATTCATCCGACCAAGCGATGGTTGACGATTCTAAATCTGGTCTTTGCGCTTGCATCGAAATTCGCCCAACTAGTCTCAAAACCGTGGATCAGCGAGGCAGAGAGTCCGATGGTTTGCTTTACTAGAGCGCGCAAGCTGAGCTTCACAGAAAGCCAGCTCCTCGAGCACCCTAATCTTCAGCAGGTCCAGGTTGAAGGGCTGACGGCATTCTTCCTAATGGCTATTGGCCATATAAACCGCTCCTGGAGAGCGTGTGGTGTCTCAGTCCGGTCTGCCATTGCTCTGGGTGTCAATCTCCGCAGTGAAAGCAAAGAGACGTCAAACTTGTCCAAAGAGATCCGGTACCGGGTCTGGTGGTCAATCTACACGTTAGAGAATACTCTGGCCATCATGACAGGTCGGCCTACTAGTGCACCAGACAAGTTTAGCACGACACCGTTGCCAATTCCGTTCGACGAAGAACAGTTCCGAGAGCCGGCAGCATCGCGGTTGCTCACGGACTTTGCAGCCCGCACCGAGTATATGCTGGCATTAAGCTCGCAGCGAAGAGCCAATTCCTGGGACTCGCCAGGCTTGGGACGCGCCGTGCTCATGCAAGATGCGTTCCTGAGCCCGATGGACATTTCACCCAGCAATTCTTTCTACTTTTTCTACTTTGTGGATCTGACTGTGATCATGCGACGCGCTATCGACTCGTTGTATAGCCCTGGGTTCGCTCGACGGCCGTGGCTGACTATCAGTGCATCCATCATGGATCTCGTTCAAGAGACGGACGAATGGCTCAGCCGTATTCCACCCGTGTTTCAATTCAAAATCCGCCATCCGTCGACCCACTTTGAGCGCCAGCGATGGAGTTTAGCATTTCGCTATTACAGTCTGCGCATCACGCTCAGCCGGCCGTCTTTGTGTCGCTCGGAGAGACAGCGTGCGCCCAACGAAGCTTCGGCGCTCAGTCAACAGCGGATTGCCCATATCTGTATTGACTCTGCGTGTGAATTGCTAGATCTACTGCCCGACAAGCCCGACGCATTCTGGCTGGTTCAGGTTTCCCCATGGTGGTGTGTTTTGCATTACCTCATGCAGTCGGTCACTGTGCTCCTGATCGAAATGGAATTCTGCGTACGGTTCCATGCCGACGGTGCTTCTCACATTACGCTGCATTTAGAAAAGGGACTGGATTGGTTGTATAGTCTGGGAGCCATCAGCGTCCCTGCAAGACGAGCTTGGGAGGTTTGCAACAGCATTTACAATCGCCTGTTCTTCGGGGCAGAACCTCAGTCTACGGTACTGCGGATGCTCTCGCCAGAACAAGATCTGCGGGCTTCGATGACCGCCCAGCCGGTGATTTCACCCATTCATGAGGCAGCTGAATTTATGGAGGGAGCTGCCTTTACCGAGCAGTACATGAAGCTGCCGCATAACATGACTGTTCATCCAGCTATCGAGACGCCCTACGATGAGATTCCGCTCTACAAGAACCCGAGCTAGGTTACTGGTAATTACTATAAGCACGTCTGAGCCATGTTGATGTTGTCTATACGGCCGTACTATCTCACGATGTCACGATTTAGAATTGGTCGTTCGCATTCGCAAGATGCAGTCTGCATGCGGTCGCACGGTGGATCATTCTCGTCAGGTTCAAGCAATCTTGGTACCTCCGACGAAACCGTCGCCGCCGAGTCCGAATCCTTGCGACCACCCCTCACCGGAATCCCTTGCCTCCTTGATCTTCCAGAACAGGGAGCCCTGTCCTTTGATTAGTCCTGTATTTTAGCGATCGGTGGAACAGAATTAATCTTACATCATATACGCCCTGCAAATCATCCTTGTATATCTTCCCGTCCTTCTGGATAAGTAGCCACGTCGTCACCCACTCAAAGAATGCAGCTCCCCACTGTCTGTGTTAGCATGCTGCGCGAATGATTCTAAGCGCGAGAGGTGGTTCGTACTCCGAAGGGATCCGCCGCACACCGATTCCCATGCATCATATCAAACAACTCGCGAAAGGTCAACGCCCCATCATGATCGCGATCATACTTCGAAAACATATCCTCAAACGCCTGCGGCACAAACCGTCCCTCCGCATCAAACGCCCCGCTATCAGACCCGTGCTTCGCCTTGTAGATGCTATCGACGTACACGCGGAACCGCGGGTCTGGGACAATGGAGTGTGCCAGCCGTGTCGGGTACGAGAAGTTGAGGTTGATGATCAATACCGCGAGGAAGGAAAAGAGCATGTTGAACCCGAGGTCCCGGAAACCCGTGTAGGTGTCGTACGGATAGATCTGGCCGTCCCGGTCGCGGTCCCAGAAGAGGATGTGCTGTTGCATGGGTGTCTATCAATATCAGTTAGTACACATTGGCTTCAGCTCGCGAGAGGCTATAGACAAGAGAAGGGAAAGGGAAAGGGACTATACAAAATCGTGGAAATCCTTCATCGACGTCTTCGACTCGTCGCCGACGACGACATTTGTCCGCGCGACGCCGGGGTTCTTGATGTATGAGTCGATGTATGTTGCTGGCAGGCGCTTGGAAGTCACGCTGCAGTTTTTAGCGGTTACTGAGAGGCGGTCTTTTTCGTTTTCTACCATGGTGATTGTCTTGTTCTGGTTCTTGCTGATAGGCTCTGTTTGTATTTCCAGACGAGTTCGTCTGGGGGTGTAGGTGGATTTTATATATCGAATGATATCACCTTTGAGAGAACGCGATGAGCTGGTTGACATGTGATTATGGAGTATTTCCGATCATTATGATCCTGTAACCCCTGTTTATTTTCAAATTACCATAGTCTATCGTCTACTCGCCGGGCCGAGAGCATCAGATGGGAGAGTGGTCGTAGTGTGTACGTCATGATGCGGTGATGTCATTCAATCACTATACATCATCATGTCCTCAGGCAATTCGTCTTTACGATTCTAGACTTGGGGTTCGAGGAGCTATCACGGCTCTGAGGAGGTGTGATAAATCCATCTGTATAGCCTCAAGAGCCCAAATGCTTAGAAATGCTTCTGGTGTCTCGATAATGCACCCCGCCACGTCATTAAGCTTCTGCTCATCTGCGGAAAACGAATCCGACCTCCCGCATTCGCCAGTCACATCCGCACCACCACATATGAACCTTAAAAGCCATCGTGCTGTGTTGAAGATACATACGGAATGGCTCTCCGAACAACTAAAACAGACCTCCTAGTAATCGGCGCAGGCCCCGCGGGCCTAATGGCCGCGTGTTGGGCAAGCCAATTTGTCACATCCGACCCCAATGGCATGTCCACGCGGATAATTGATTTGAAGGCCGCGCGCACGGCGACGGGGCATGCCGATGGGATCCATAGTCGCACGCTGGAGATATTTGATAGTTTTGGGATTGTGGATTCGATTATCCGGAAAGGGGTGCATGAGGTAGAGATGAGTTATTGGGTATGTTTTTCTGTCTTTTTTTTTTTTGGTGTGTGTTCGTTGCACTTTGGTTTTATCTGTGGTGAGGGCAGGATTGAGTGGATGGATGGTACTGACGGTGTAGGGAGTCAACGCAGAGTCCGGAAGACTCGAGTGCCAGCAACGTATGCGCTCGCAGCGGGAAGGCCTCTCACGGTTCGGCCAGATGCTCCTGAACCAGGGCCAGGTGGAGCAGGTGATGATCAACTATATCCATGATCAAGGGCGCCTCTCAATCGAAAGAAACAAGACGGCTGATAAGATCTACTTCACCAATGACCCTACACACCCCATTTCCGTCGAAGTAAAGAGCGTCCGCGCCGATCGCATGGTGGATGCTATACAAGATGGCACTGCAGGCGAACATGGCCACGCGGAGGTGACGGAAGTCATCCAGGCGCAGTACGTGGTTGCGTGTGATGGGGCACGGAGTCTGGTCCGGGAACAGCTCGGGGTGCCGTTGGATTCGAAATCTACGGATTCGATGTGGGCGGTCATTGATATTGTGCCGATTACCAACTTTCGTATGGGATCATTCCTTCACATACCAGTCACTAGGGAAGGATGAGCTAACCCAGCCAGCCGACATCCGCCAATCCTGCGCCATCCACTCAGACAAGTACGGCAGTATCATGACCGCGCCTAGGGAGAATCGTCTCGTTCGGTTTTATCTCCAACTGACGGGGGGTTCTGATCTCGAGAAGGAAGCCCTGGAGCAGACGGAGGAGAAGTCGCCAGACGCCATAATCCAACTGGCTCAACGGATCATGGAGCCGTACACGCTGAAGTATGAGTACTGCGACTGGTGGTCGATATATCCGGTATGACTGCCCTATCCTAATATTGTGTGATATTCTGACAGAGGGCAGATAAAACAGGGCCTCGTCACGAGCAGCCAGGTGAAGAATCGGTATGTCATTCTCGCCTATCCTTCGAACCACCTAACTTACTGGTATAGTGTATTCCTAGCCGGAGACGCAGCCCATACGCACTCGCCCAAAGCCGGCCAGGGAATGAACGTCTCGATACAAGATACATACAACCTCATCTGGAAGCTCGGATCCGTAATAACAGGAGTGGCACAGCCGACGATCCTCAAGACGTACGAAAGCGAGCGACATCCTGTCGCCGAGCAGCTAATGAAGATGGATGCCGAGCTTGTGGAGGCTTACGAGCGAACGGGAGGATCTATTAGCCATGTCAGTCAGATACGCGATGAGCACGCGGGGTTCATGTCGGGTGTTGAGGTGACGTATCCGGAGAGCTTGCTCTTTGCATCGAAGAGCGGTCCGGCAAAGGCAAAGCAAATCACTGTTGGGATGAGAATGCGGAGTTGTCCGGTGGTCAACCATGCCGATGGATCCACGGTACAGCTGGCGAATGTTCTCTCGAGTAACGGGGCGTGGAGGCTGCTTGTCTTCGCCGGCGATTTGCGACAGGCACAGCAGGTTGACCGTCTGAGGGCATTCGCTGATAACTTCCGCAGGCAGCCACTCTTGTCGGGTTCCAGACGGACAGTACCCTTGAGAAATGGGCAAATGACCCTCGAGGTGATCTTGATCCATGCCGGTTCCAGATCGTCCGCCAACTTCATGGATCTGCCAGAGATCTTCCGTCCGTTCGACGAGAAGCTGGGCTGGGATTACGGCAAGGTATTTGCGGACGACGATTCCTACGGTCAAGGCAGCGGTCATGCTTACCGCGAGTATGGAATCCCCGAGGACACTGATTGTCTCGTGCTTGTCCGCCCAGATCAGCACGTAGCAATGGTGGTAGCTATGGGCGAAGAGGCGCAGCTGGAGAGCTACATATCTAGATGGCATGTGAGGAACTCGGTAGATAATTAATAATTACGCTGTATTAGAGCTATAGAGCTATCTATGGTTATCTTTCTCCGTCATCGTCAAAACTCATTTGCTGGTTAAGTATATTAGGTCTGCACGCTTTGTTAGCATATGCAATCGAACGAACGAGGGTCACTTACTATAATCGCTCTGCGAAGACCACGAGGCTTGAACGTGCAGTCCAGCCCTCTGGCACAGAGCATCCCGATCCGCAGCATCGTACTTGTGACTGCGCACAGCCAGCAACTTCCGACCAGCGGGAATCCGTACCCCGTCCAAGGATACATCGATGCGTGGGTAATAGATCTGACTGTGCGCTCCCTTCTCTGCATCCCAATCTCCTACAACTCGCCACTTATCGAGGTCGAAAGCCTCGCGTCCTAAGACCCTGTTTGCGTGTTTGAGTCCGTTCTTGACAAACCGATGGTTAATCCCATCCGGATCATTGTATGCATTGAGAACTCGTTCCTCGTCTTTACACCCATCCAAACCAAGCAAGAACGAGCAGTCGGCCTGCGCAAAGCTCGAGAGGAACTCCGCCGCGTCGGCCTTCTCGAAATTCCCCAGCGTCGAACCAAGGTATAGAATCGTCTTCGGTCGCGACTGAAGGTCAGGATGTTGCAGCCATGTTCGCCCATCATCGTACGTGCCTAGGAGACCGAAGCATTTAACGTGGCGGTAGATCCCCGAGGAGACGGGGCGGAGGGTACGCTGGAGCTCGGGGTAGGAGACGTCGAGGGCGAAGTAGTCGACGGGGCGACCGAGTTCTTCGAGGGCGTCGAGGAGGATTTTTGTCTTGCGGAGGTTTCTTATGGCTGTCAGTTCAGTCTTCGACAAGGGTCCACGAGGGGCCACGAGGAATGCTCACCCGCTTCCAAGCTCAACGAGCATACCCCCTGCCGGAATCCGGGCAGCGATCTCTCGGCAGTAGGCCTGCAGCAAACCAATTTCCTCTCGTGTCAGGTAATAGGAAGGACAATAGGTGACATGTTCAAAGTACTTCAGACCGGGCTCGTCCCACAGAAGAAGATCGGGGAGTGCTGCGCTCTCATTGTGGATGCTCTGCTGCAGTGATTCGCGCAGCTCAAGACCCTTCTTGTCCGAACGAATGTCAATAATCTGCTCAGTCGGAGCACGCTGAAAGGGATGCGCCTTGACGCCGAACCGGGGCTGAATGATATTTTCCAACATTGTGATATGCTTTTTACTGATGGGAAGGAGCGTGGAGATGTGGCACCTCGAGGTTCCCTTTTATAGCAGACGACCTGGCCGGAAGCCTCACCGACGGCAGGAACAGTTGTTGCTCCCGAGTGAACCATTGGCACAGGATCTATATTCCGCGGTGATTAAGCTTCGGGTCTGATGAGAGGGTGACGACTGTTGAGAAGCTTTGGTGGGATACCCGATTCAGTATGACGTCAACACCACCGCAAACAGCCCTACTTTCGCTATTCTTATCTACACCTCATCGCCCCTGACTCAGTGCCTGCTTCCGTGATCGCGAATTCAAATCCAAGTAAGGTGCTTCTCCCAGACTACACACTCGGTCGCCTGTTCTTGTCTCTGCATAGTCGTACGTCGCACAGTGATATGTTGAGCGATTGTCCCAAATGGCGAGATCGTTCTTCCGCCACTTGAACCGCACCTGCGCATCATGATTCTGAGTAACGAGCTACATATGGATCAGCATTAGTCCAATTTATTGCAGGCAGCCAGCTCACATTGAAGAGGTACTGAAGGAGCACATCAGACTCATCCTTGGTGACTCCGTTGATGCGCTTCGTAAAGCCCTTGTTGACATATACAGACTTCCATCCGGTGACAGCTGTCTCTTGTCAGTCACGTCACGTATTCGCAAGTCCACTAGATTGAGAGCAACGTACGATTTGTTCGGATCACAGGATGTATGGCCGTAAGCTCATCTCCCTGATTTAGTGGTGACCCACGAATGCCCTTTCGCAAGGGATTACCCAGTCTCCGAGCCTCCTCGTGGAAGAAGGTCGCATCGTGTGTCGCAGTCAAGCGCTCCAAGAAAGAAGCCATCTCTGGCGATAGGCGGTCATATATCTCGTATCCTGACGCCCACATGGTATCGCCTCCGGTCTCTGGGAGAGTGTGGATTTTGAGCATCGCGTAATCCGAAGGGACACGCTCAAAGCTGATGTCTGTGTGCCATCCGGCGGAAGCAAAGCGACTGACATCGCTGAGCTGATGCGTGAGGCCGCCGCCTTTCTTCTGCTTCACGCTACTGATCACGCTGATCTGGTCGCCGAGTTCGCTTCCCTCTTCTGTGAGGGGATGGACGTGTAGCCCTGATGATTCCGGCTGCGACTTGTCAGTATGCTTACGGGAAATAGCGACGAGCAACTCACGCAGCCGGCCAATAATGTCAGTTTCTCAGCAAAATCACGCATTTGCTGCGGTGTGACATCTTGATTACGGAGGAAGACCACGCCGCGACTCGAAACTGATTCCGTCAGTCTTGGCCATAGGAGAAAGAGGTTGATTCAACCTACTGGTAGCGGCAAGGTCCTGGATTAATTGGTCCCGGTCTGGGGACTGCAGGATCTCGGCGACTTGGAGGCCTTCATACTCCCTGCCAATGACGGGGGTCAGGTCCTGGTGCTGGTATCGGCCGAGGCTTCCAGAGTACTCGAGCGGCCGGGAAATCCGAGGACGAGCGTCGGGGTGCCCGCCACGGATGGGCGAATGAGTTTCTTCGATAATGGTTGGCATTTTGATTGACTTGGTAGGGGGCTAGATAGGAGTGCACGTTCAGGCGACTACTTTGGGCCTGGATGGCGACATTCATATACTCATCTCCACCGTCGAGCCGGGCGGTGCTGTGTGTCATATGGTTCTTCGGGTTCCCCATGTTTGAGGGTCGAGCCATCAGGTCTGACAGGATTCGTGCACGAGTCAGCAGGAGCGGCGGGGCGTGGTCGGCGGGGCTCCGGCGAAATTCTCGGAGGGCTGCAGGAATCCGTCGGTCGTCCTGCCCGAGTGGGATTAGGGCTTTTGGTCGATTCCGGGGTGCTCTTGGCTGGGGATTCTGCAGCGACCCTGATCACGATACAGATTCGAACTGTAGTCATATATCAGCCTGGAAAGAAGACATTCGGCATTAGCCTGCTTGCTAGCAGGTTTCTGGAGAAATCCCAAGTGAAACAGGCGGCTTTCCAATACCCATAGGCTGGTCTCTCGTTTCAGGGCTTGATCAGCGCCACCCCGCGATGTCGTGCTCGGACGTGCTGGTTGTGCAATGCGTTAGTGCCGGGTTGGCTGCGGTCTCAGGCTTCTTCACCAACGGCCGTGGGAGACTCGCCGATTGCGAATAACTACAGAACGAAATGCTCATCGCCGTCGCATCCGCCCAGAAATGTGTAGATAGAGGTGTGCATATAAGGAGGAGCCTGCCGCAGTCTGTCTTTGCATATCACTCTTGTCTTTTCTGCCTTGTGTCCAAGACGCTGCTGTCATCATGACTGATATTGAACAGAGCGCCAGAAGCTCTGCCGCCAAGGAGGCAGGCGATGTCAAGTCTTCCAAGGAGTCGCCTGCTGTCGGACAGGAGCATCTCGCTGGAGTAACTCCTCCGCATTCGTCCTATGAGGGCCATCACCGATTCAATCCCACGGCCTCGTGGTCGCCAAAGGAGGAACGCCGTGTCATTTGGAAGACGGACCTCATGCTGATGACTTGGCTGTGTCTGATGTTCTTTGGTCTGCAACTCGACCGGGGCAACTTGTCCAATGCATTGACGGACAGCTTCTTGGATGATCTGAATCTGACCACCGACGACTACAACAATGTACGTGGCGCTTCAGTCTTGTGCTGAGATGGGTTTGCTAAAGTGTGCGACAGGGTAACACAATCCAGCTGATGTGCTTTTTGACAGCCGAGTTCCCAGTCCAGCTCCTCATCAAGCGCTTTGGTTTCCGCCGCGTGCTGCCCACCCTGATGTTGCTCTGGAGTGTGGTCTCTTGGACTCAGGCCTGGATGACCGATCGAGCATCTTTCTACGTGACGAGAGCCCTGATTGGAACCTTTGAGGGAGGCTTCATTCCCGGTGCGATCCTGTTCGCCACATACTTTTACAAGACAAAGGAGCTTTCTGTTCGCCTAGCCTTCTTTTGGTCAACGCTGAATGTAGGTCTGATTTGTATGATTCGACACCAATGGCGTCTAACAAATCCCAGGTCGCACGCATTATATCGGCTCTTTTGGCCGCAGGCATTCTGGAAATGAGAGGCACACTGGGCAAGCCAGGATGGTTCTGGCTGTTCCTGATCGATGGACTAATCACCTTCGTCATTGGACTCTTCGCCTTGTTCTACCTTCCACGGTCCCCAACACACACGAAGAGTCTTCTGTATCCCAAGTCATGGTACACTGAGCGTGAGGAGGTTATCATGATAAACGTGAGTCTCAAAAGAACACTCTATTGGCACTGGCTAACCCTTCTTAGCGACTCTTACGCGATGACCCGTCCAAGGGCCTCACTGAACTTACCGAGAAAGCTACTTTCAGCGACGTTCTCAACGCCTGGAAGGACAAGTCCATGTGGGGACTGTATCTCGTTGGCTTGGTTGCATATATCCCTCAGGGTCCTGTACAGGGATACCTCTCGCTGACTCTGAAACGCCTTGGGTTCACGACATTCGAATCGAACATGCTTTCCATCCCATCTGCCGCTCTCCAGATCATCCTCATGCTGGCCCTGTCCAAGAGCAGTGAATACTTCGGTGAGCGCACGTTTCACTGTCTAGTCGGGGAGTTCTGGTCGCTGCCACTGCTCGCCACGCTACTGGGACTTCCGGATCAGGGCTACAACTGGGGCCGCTTCACAGTCTGTACGATGATCTCGGGCTACCCGTACTTCCACCCTATTGTATCCGCCTGGATCTCGGAGAACACCTTCGATGTCAAGAAGCGAGCCATCACAGCCGCGACTTACAACGTGATTGTGCAGATCGGATCAGTAATCTCGTCCCGTGAGTCAAACACCTGCCCATTTGCGAATGGAAACTGACCCAAACCAGAGATATATCGGAGTTACGACTCGCCATACTACTACCAGGGCAACAAAGTTCTGATCTCCATATGCGCGCTGGCGTTGGTAGTGTTTGTGGTTCAACGCGAGTGGCTCAGGCACCTCAACCGCCAGAAAGAGCGACAATGGGAGGCGCTATCACCGGAAGAACGCATCGATTATCAGGCTGACTTGGCTGAGCGGGAGAAGGAGGGTAACAAGCGCTTGGACTTCCGCTTCAAGTACTGAGCAGCATGTAGTCGACTGTTGAGGGGTTGTTATGGCGCGCAAGGCTATGGATCAAGACTGTTGAGGGAGCCCACTAATTTCTGGAGTGTTGTCGCTGGGCCAGTATGTGTCAAGGAATGGTTGATCACCATTGTCGAATAAAAGATTGTTTAATACCATATCCATTGGAAACTGGTCAATTAAGGGAGTAGTGAGCTCTGTGCTCGTATTCAGTCGGTGAGGTACGGTGAACTCAGCAGGTACATAAGGTAAACCGTATGTCAGCAAGCCCTCAAAATCTTGTTGCGAAGAACTAGGGGTCACAAGGATGTCGGATAATATGGATTGCGCCTGAGCTACCATCCGATGTTCATCAAGAGAGTCCTCGTCGAAACCCGTGTCTGTCCGAGTTTGCTGTGCCACACTGGAGGTAGTCCTGTCTAGGATCGACGGCTGCGAATTTGTATCATCGAAGGAGTTCCAATCGGTATTCGAGGAACGGGGGATGCGACACTCTGCCTTCCGCTTCTGCGTTGGGTTCAGCCCGCGCAAAGAGCGCGGTACCGTCGTAGAACTCAAGGACTGAGCCCGTGCCATTTTCTGGTATAAGATATCTACCAACGCGTTATTTCCACCGTCTTTGAAGGCAGTCAAGATCGAGTGTAGGCGGGCGAGGACACTGCTTGGACGGATGTCCTGATCCCACATAGGTGCCTCAGGCAACATTGATATGCTGGTGATCGCATCCGCTAAAGAGTTGGCAATTTCGTGCAGTTTCAGTTGCTGTATAACTATTCTTAGTATTGGGGGAACAGTCAGAAGGGAGGAGTCGCACCATGCCGAACCCATGAGCCTGAAGTGCTGTTCGAGGTAGCCTGCTTATTGCGTCCACCAGGTCCCGGGCGACTAGCAACGGAAACGTGGGTGAGATCGACAATTGAGACGATGGAGACCCTTGTATCCTTTGCCCGCACAGCGCTTTCCATGTCAGCATGCGCATCCAGTGTCGTGTCACACATAGGTCCGCCCTCTGCACGTCGCATATTTGATCTAAGCCGCTAGCTCCATCACGGAATCTGTCCTGCAGTATATCATACGCCGATGGTTCAGTCACTCGTGCCGAACGAACGGCTTGGTTGTATCCAAGGTGCGAATCCTCGATAATGTCGAACATCTTCGATTCTTCGAACAGGCGGAACAAGGCGAGCAACTTTAGGAAGGCGGGCAGAACCTGGGGCTCGTCATGCGCGTCAACGTCGGGCATTGCAGTGTCTGTTCTGAGGACGACGGGGAGCTTATGCAGAATACACACGCCTCTGGAAACTTGGATCAGAACCCGATCGTGCGGCGGCGGAAGACATTATATTTACCGTTCCGTGACGAAAAGCAGCCACAAGACCCGACGGCGAATTTGCGCTTCCTCATGATCTAGTCCTGCATATGAAGCCTCTCGATGCAGGAACATCATCTGGGCGAGCGAAATCGCTTCTCGAAGGTAAAGTGTCGACTCGCTTCCTCCAGGCTGCTGGTTTTCGTAATATACGTGGAGGAAGAAAGCTGTGCGGACAGTGTTCAGGTTCACTATTGAGCGATATTGTGGAGATTGGCGAGCTTGCAGGCATTCAGACGCAAAGACATCTGCTGTGATCGATCGGTCGGAGACGCAGTTCTTTCCTAATCTCAACTGCGCCATCGTGGCTGCTGCCACAGCGGTCGCAAGGGCTCGTGTTTCATAGTCCGTCCCTTCCGAATCTCGCTGTAGGTCCGCGATCAAATTGTCGACGTGAACGACCGGCCAGACCGGGTACATGCGTACGTGGTAGATATACAGTAAAGAGGCGATGACATTCGTCGGTAGCCTACGGACAAAACAACTCAGTAAATAGAAAGTAAGCAAGCTGGTAGATCGCGGACGCGAACCTTTCCGGACCTGCCACGGCGGTGCCCGACTGGTGATCGTTGGCAACATTGTTTCGCTGGTCCTGCTCGATGAGGTACCTTGTCGTCGCGCGCAGCTTCTGTGGGCCGCGTGCTTGGTGAACTCGAATATAAGTGCACTGGAGGCGCGCGTTCATACACGGCCTACAGGGATGTCCGCCGCCGCATCGGATCTTGCGAATCTTGCAGCCATCGCAAGCTTTCTTCGTGATGGGAACTTGCGGCGAACTCATCGCGACTCCGGGGACCCAGATTTGGAGCAGATAAATCAGTTGAGGGAAATGTCAGAAAGTTGGAGACAATCGCCCCCTCACTGTTGAGACCTGCAGAGCTCATGATATTCTCAAGCATGATTGGTGGACGACGTGAAGCGTCGATGGCGTTTTTCCCTCCACTCAACACGCCATCAGCAGGAGCCCCACATGTGTATACACCGTACACTGACTGCTGCAGCTCTGGAGCAGTCTAAGCGCAAAGCTCCGCACGTTCAGCAAAAGTCTCAAAGATTCTCCGAGTTTTTCTCCGAGGCTACAATCAACAATGTTGATCTGGACGCCGTGATTCTTAAAGGGCTCAAACACCCATCCAAACTATGACTCGATTTCCAACGCTCGACATTCGCTCCTTTGGCAATCGCTTAACACAATGGCTTGGCCGAACAAGAACAAAGACATGATCTACCGTCGGGTAGGCAATTCTGGGTTGCACGTCTCTGCCCTAGGCCTCGGTGGCTGGCTCACGTAAGTTAATACCCGTTGACTTGGAGGAATTATGGCTAAACTCAGTCCTAGCTTTGGAGGCCATGTAGACAATGGTACGAGACTTATCTCCTCGGGCCGGGACAGAGACTAACGGTTGCGCTTGAGAACAGAGGTCGCCTTCCAATGTATGAAGCAAGCATATGACTGCGGAATTAACTTTTTCGACACCGCCGAGAGGTAAGTACTTCAACTCCATCACGGAAACATGACATTCTGACTGAGTAAAGCTATGCTGGAGGAGAGTCGGAAGTCGTGATGGGCCAAGCGATCAGAAGATACGGGTGGAAGAGAAGCGATATCGTCATTAGCACAAAGGTAAGCCGAGGAAACCAGTTTTGAGAAGCGTCATTAACAGGTGGACAGCTCAACTGGGGTCTTGCAAACGGCGAGATTCTCATCAACAATCATGGCTTGTCGCGTAAGCACATCATTGAGGGTACTCAGGCATCATTGAAGCGCCTCCAGCTGGACTATGTCGATATAATTTACGCCCACCGTCCGGATCGATTGACCCCTATGGAAGAGACCGTGCGAGCATTCAATTTCGTAATTGATAAGGGCTGGGCCTTTTACTGGGGAACCTCAGAGTGGTCGGCAGATGAGATCGCAGAGGCTTGTGGTATTGCGAAAAGTCTAGGCCTGATTGCTCCGATCGTTGAACAGCCACTCTACAATATGCTGGACCGCGCCAAGGTCGAGGGGCAGTATCAGCGCCTATACTCCAGGTTTGGCCTGGGTCTCACGACCTTCTCGCCGTTGAAGATGGGGCTCCTGAGCGGGAAGTATAACAATGCCACAACGCAGCCTCCTCCTGGCTCTCGATTTGCAGAGAGCAAGGATAAATTTGCTAATGGGGCTCGCGAGACCTGGGAAAGTGAGCAATGGGCGGGAAAGATCAAGATAATCAATGGCCTCCAGGTAAGACATACTCGGTCGTCATTGCGAAGATCGCTAACACAGACCTCAGTCAATAGCAGATAGCCTCGAGGTGACGCTTTCACAGTTGGCGCTTGCGTGGTGTCTGAAAAACGAAAATGTCTCGTCGGTCATTACTGGAGCATCACGACCGGAACAAGTCATTGACAACGTCAAGAGCTTAGAAATCCTACCGAGATTAACGCCGGAGATAATGACCCAGGTTGACGAGTACCTTCAGAACAAGCCCGCATTAGATCCTGCTCGACAGGATTAAACATGTCGCGGATTTTAGTCGACAAAGAGATGGGAGACTAAAAGCGTAGGGCACAGATGCAGGATACAAGCTGGTTGGGACGGGTTGTCGGCCGTGCCCTCCGCACAGGACACGGAGTCAAGTTCGTGCCCCCCAATCTGAATAGACATATCATGTAAACAACGTCATAGTCCCCAATTCATGAAAGACCAATCGGGCTGATTTGTGCCCATACTGTCTCCCATTTGTCCACTTATGTCAAAGGTCATCCATGGTGGTAGACCTGTAAAGGCATTGTTTCCGGTGATGGGTGTATACGGGTCCGCAGGAGCAGGGGTATTGTGCATCTGCGTCGGCCAAAGGGCCGTATGGCTTTGTGCGGTCATTACATTGGGCGGGGCTTCCTGAGCAGCATTGACGGCTTCTTTGGATAGCCAGGTTCTCATGATGCAAACTATCTTGGGTGTCTCCGGCGAGTGTCCAGCTTGTCTCAAGGCTGACTCGGTCACCTCCCAGGCGTGGTAAACGGTTGCGGTGATGGTTCTGAAAAGCAAATTCGGCGATACGCGACGAAGACACTTGGCACGAGCCTCAAAATTGTCACTCATCAAACTCCAGCAGTGCTGAGCGTGTTTGCTGAGGGGTCTTCTTCGTAAATCGTGCAGGAGATGAAGATAGGCTGGGAACGGGAAGTAAAAGTGCATGAGCCAAAAGTACCGTTGTGCACTCGGCGAAGTCAAAATTATCGTATCACACTCTAGCATGCGGAGTGCATAAGGGATGACAGCATCGCGCTGGGCATCTGTTGGGCGCCCTGGTGTATGCTTTGAATAGTGGCTGATGAGGCGACATTTTGCAAGAGCTTGTCGAGTCGCCCAGAGCGTCATAAAGTGAAGAGGGTTTTCTGGGTCACAAAACTGAAGATACCGATCTTCTATAGATTTCTCCCAGATATCAACCTCATCAGCACCCGCTGGAGCATCTGGTTGCGCCTTTCGCGCAAGGATCTTGAGGGCCGGGCACGTGAAGTCCAGGTGAGCTGACGAGTGCCTCAGGAACTCTCCTACTTCACCCCTGACCACAGCGAACAGTGCCTCGGATGACTTCCCCTGAACTTTTGGAGCGGTTGTCATTTCCGGTCGCATATCAGTGTCGTTAACATTCAACGGAACTTTGCAGTCCCACAGCGGAGTAAGTGTCGTGGTGCGATAGTCTGCCATTTCCCCAATTCTCGTATCGAACAAGACCAACGCCCACCAAAGTCGTCGGCGCATTTCAGCTTCCAAGGGTGAATATTCGCAACAGATTGCCTCGCTGTGAAGCCCCATGCGTTGCGCTACGCGAATTGCAATACCAAGCATGGATGAGAGCGTGCGGGGGTCCGTAGTAGGGCGTAATGAAACCTAACATTGTGAGCGTTTGCATCAAATTCTAGAGCATTAAACTCACTATGTAAAGATATAATGCGGTTAAGGAGTCCCGGTCATCGGAGCGCAGGAACTGGGCGCGAATGAGCGCCTGGCGACAGGCATCCTGGTACTTTGCCAGGGTCTTGTCCTTGGGCGGGCCGACCAAGGCGTCACTTTCATATGACATGACGCTTAAAGTAGCCATACAGTATACGCTAAACATGAGAGCCTCAAGGGCAGGCTTGATGTCTTTCAGGTTCGTAATAGCTTCGATGATGCGACTCTGAAGGGTGGGCGTATGGGTAACCTTGAACAGGGGATCGACGTTATCGAGGTATATCTGCCAAAGTCTGAAGATCTGTGAGGGTTCTGGATGCAGGTCTGAAAGGTCGAGATATGTATTTTGGGATCCAAATAAGGAGGTGCTGGGCTCGAAGACCTGGTCCCATGTCTTCTTGACGACACTCTCATTCATATCAGGGGGAGCCGGAGTAGTTCCACTTTCCGGTTCGGGCGACTGCATAGGGAATCAGATCAGGGAGTGAGAATCATTCGCGAATAGACCCGTACCTCATTCATAGCTTTCCAGAAGCTCCTACCACAGGTGAGCTCAGAAGAGAACAAAGAGTGCAAGAGAAGTACTTTGCCTGATATCCTCCCTGTGAAAACTGAGGTGTTGGGAAAGGAGCAAACGATTCTCGGCTGTTCTCATTCACAATCTCGGCCTCTGTCTCAACACTTTGGCGGCTGTCACCTTCCGCAGTCGAACCCCCGTGGAGCGAGTCGAACTTGATATCGTTCTGGCGGAGAAGGCTCTCATACTGGCGCAGTCGATCAAGGAGCTCACGCTCAGCGAACCTGCGTTTGCGGTGGCGGGGAAGCTGGCTGGCTGGGACGCATTGGACCTTTGCTCTGAGACAGTTTTCGCAAGGAAATGTACGGTCACACTTGATCTTGCGTTGCTGACAGAGGACACACGACAGCACGCGCTGGGACTTGGCCGGCGTCGGGGGATTTGTCGGTGGCGGGTTGAGCCGAGTATCGGGCATCTTCTAAGAGAGGCAAGAATAAATACGGATGGAAAGCATGACCCGAACAAAAAGAGGGATGCGCTGGAATAAGAACACGCGATGGAGGATGAAAGAGCCAGTCCGATCGGCTTGAAAGTGGAAGCAAAACACCGGGCGGGAGTTGGTCAAGGCCTGACAGGGGCTGACTCAGCACTCTCGGGGATTAGAAAAGCCCGGCGTGCAACCCATCACGCAACACCAACCAACAACTTTCCACAGCTCCTGGACTTTTTGAATCCCCGGGATGAACCCTACGTTGGATATAAATGCAACCTTTCGCTTTCACAATGGCACTCCTATCAGCAGCTCGACATCTTCGCCATATATATATTTGCCAACATGGCCTCAACCACAAAGCACGCCAAGCCTCTCGAGCAGCCGGATGAATACGCCGACGCTGAGCGAAACTACCAGCCCAAGTCTCTCAAATTCTGGTCGATAATCCTGGGCATGTACCTCGCTATTTTTCTTGTCGCCCTTGTAAGTATCGCCTAAGCTGCACAGCGTGTTAATGTACACTAATGCACCCTAGGACCGAACAATCATCGCCACGGCGATCCCAGCAATTACGGATGAATTCCACTCTATCAGCGATATTGGCTGGTATGGGAGCTCCTACATGCTGACCTCCGCTTCCTTCAACCCCGTGTTTGGGCGGCTATATCAGCTCTACTCGACAAAATGGACTTTTCTTTCCTCTATCGTCGTCTTCGAGGTTGGATCTACCCTTTGCGGAGCTGCCCCGAATTCTACAGCATTCATCATCGGCCGTGCGATCGCAGGCCTGGGATCAGCTGGAATCTTCTCTGGAGGCATGATGATCATCATGCCGCTCGTCCCTCTCCGCAAGCGTCCGATGTTCACCTCTATCTTCGGTATGACCTTTGGGGTCTCATCTGTCATTGCGCCCATTATAGGAGGCGCCTTTACGGACAGTGTGTAAGTCACTTATTACAGCCTTTGCAGTTCCCGACTGACTCTTCGCAGGACCTGGAGGTGGTGCTTCTACCTCAATCTCCCTATCGGAGGCTTCACTATCGCCGCCATACTACTCTTCTTCCACGCGCCTCCGCCTCAAGGCATACAGGGCGGAATAATCGCCCATATCATCCATCTGGATCCGCTGGGGGTGTTTTGCTTCATCCCCTCTATCGTCAGTCTTATCCTAGCGCTCGAATGGGGTGGTACAACCTACGCTTGGAGCAACCCAAAAGTCATCGGGCTTCTGGTCACATTCGCCGCTCTGTTCATCATCTTTGTTGTGGTGGAGGCCCTCAACTCCAACAAGGCAATGATCCCAGCACGGGTTGCCCTGGACCGCTCTATTGCCTCGGCAATGATCTTTATGTTTCTTATTGCAGGAGCGATGATGTCGGTCGTCTACTACCTGAATATCTGGTTCCAAGTCGTCAAGGGCGACTCGGCCACCCGCGCAGGACTCAGTACCCTTCCCATGGTTATCTCCTTGGTGGTCTTTAGTGTCTTTGCTGCTATATTCACCCAGAAAATTGGCTACTATGTTCCCTCCATGCTGGTGGCCCCCGTATTCTGCTCCATCGGCAGCGGATTACTTTCAACTCTCGCTCCAAACTCCAACCACAGGTACTGGATTGCGTACCAGGTCCTCTTTGGTCTCGGAGTTGGCTGCGGGTTCCAGACATCCACTCTTGCGGCCCAGACGGTTTTACCTCGCGCGGATGTCCCCATTGGCATGTCCTTGATGTTCTTCATGCAGCAGCTGGGAGGTGCCATCTTCCTCGCGATTGACCAGAACCTGCTTTCAACCAAGCTTGTGGGGCGACTGTCAAGAGTCGCCGGCCTTGACACCGAGAGAATTGTCAACACGGGAGCAACGGATCTTCGCAATGTGGTGCCTTCTGACGAGCTTGACACAGTTGTGAACGCCTACAACTACGCTCTTACGCGCATATTCGTCGTGACTGCTGGCATCGGCGCAGCTGCGATAATCGGGGCTCTGACAATTGAATGGCGGAGCATCAAGACCCAAGGTCCGAAGCCTCAAGAACGGACCACAGCAAGCGATTTGGACGAGGAAAAAACTCACCCATCAAGCGAGAATACATTGGGAAACGGCGCAACCGAGCTGCAGAAAATAGACGTATAATCCCGACCTAGCGGAAAAACCTCGTCTTTTCCATTATTCGGTCAAAATGACCCCTTATGTGCTATATATAGAATGATCCACTCCCCTGTCTCCAAAACTTCGCGCTTTATAACTTCTCTTGTGGATGAAACGCTGCTGTGATAACCCTGGAAGGTGTATACGAGATTATACGAATGAAATATCCGACCCCGTAAATCAACGGTTCCGACAATTGAGAATCTTGCACATATGCAAGGGCGCAAGGAGCCAGGCCCGAGTCTTGACAAACTCACAAAAAGCTCCAGGTATGCAACTTGTCGCAAGTATCGTACGCGCGCATGTGTCGCAAAGCTCATCAGCAACAGGTCCGTTGTCCAGTCCAACCTGTTTCGCACTAAATCGAATACGAACCTCCGAAGTCACCTCGGACGTTTCGTCCCGGTCCTTGGCCAGTTAAATCCAGATGATGAGAGCATGCTCGGATAATTCCTCTCGGGAGGCGAGTATTTTTAGATCCTCACCTGCATACCAAGACGATTGACAACAACACGAGGGAACGTTACATCTCTAACGGGACCTGATACGATCTTAGCGAGAACACGAGATCTGCAGCGGCGGGAGTGGAGATCCCCTTGAACAATGATACTGCGAAGAGTTTAGGGTTGGGTCGATACGAGACAATGTGACAATGATCGACATTGCAGCGTTGCAGGTGTACGAGAGTACTTTGCAGTATAAGCGAGGAAGTGAGTACAGAGGATGCACGATCGCGAGGTATAAAAGGTGGTCACTGAGCCCACTGTGAGAGAAAATCATCTCATCATCAGTTCCAAACAGACAACAGATTAAAATCCGTCTCTCTGCTCAGCATTTCATCATGCTTCTCACAGCTCTTGCCCTCCCAATCGCAGCCAACGTGCTCGCGGCAAATGCGTTCCCCCTCGTCGCAAGAGCAACCTATCCGATCACCGGCAACGGGGTCAACTGCCGCTCAGGCCCCGGTACCAGCTACGATGTCGTGACCTCGTACACCAAGGGAACAGAGGTTTCCATCTCCTGCCAGACCTCCGGTACCTCGGTCAATGGCAACAACATCTGGGACAAGACCGGAGATGACTGCTATGTCGCCGACTACTATGTCAAGACTGGCACCGACGGATACGTAACCGACAAGTGCGAGGGTGATGATGATGGCGGCGACGACGGTGGTGACACCGGCGGCAACCTTCCTGGCCTTGGTGCCACCCAGTCTGCCCACGCGAAGAAGATCATCGCGCAGGCTAAGAAGCAGGACGTGGGTAGCCACGGATGCCAGGCTGCTATCGCGACTGCTTTGGTTGAGGTACCTAGTTTCTCTATCCCTTCCACAATCTTCATACTTACAGTGCCACAGTCCTCAATCTACGTCTACGCCAACAGAGCCGTCCCCAAATCCCTTAACTACCCTTACGACAAGATCGGCAGCGACCACGACAGCGTCGGTATCTTCCAGCAACGCGCCATGTACTACGATGTGGCGAAGGCGATGGATCCCGCTGGGTCCGCCAAGCTGTTCCTCGACAAGATGGTTGGTATCAGCGGCTGGAAGACCATGGCGGTTGGTAAGCTTTGCCAGAAGGTGCAGGTGTCGGCGTACCCGGATCGGTATGCCGAGCGCGTTGCTGAAGCCAAGAAGATTTGCTCTGCTGGCGGTCTCTGAGATTCATGCTAAGTGATGTATGTGTTGGCTTCGCAAGCTCTGTAATTGAAAAGCAACCGTACATCTGGCCTCGCACTGAGATACAGCACCAGGAGGGATTCTGAGACGTCATGGGTTGTTGCACTGTATATATTCATCTTCTTGTGTTTTCCGATTATCAAAATGCAATCGCTGTGATGCGAAGCCTACTTTGAGTCCTTCGTATACATATAACATCCCGCAGACTGTATAACCCACTTTGCACCGAGCGTGCTACAAATATTCAAGGAGTGCCCGGCATGGGTCAAGACAAACTGCTCTACCCCCCTGCTTAATGCACGCAGACATGAGTGAGGCTTGCAGCTGTCGAAGACGCGAGCTAACATTATCCCTACTTATTATCGTACCCAACCATACTACGTAGATTAAATCAACATCTTGTTCGGGGCAACCACTTGACCATTCGCGCCGTCTCCCGCTATTCTCGTTAGGACATTCCTCGCCTCTTCCAAGAGCTCCCAGCGACAGCCAAAGAGTGCATCACGAGCTGCCCTAATGAGCCCGTCTGTCCGGTTCGCTCCAACAGCAGACGCCAGTCCTCGCTGCAACGCACTCGTCATACGAATCACATAATCCTCCGCACTGGATTTGACTGCTGCATCCCGTGGCAGCTCTCCCTCGGTGATGACTCCGTAGACCCAGAGGGTCAGAACCGCAATATACAAGCACCACGGCCGCGGCGCGATATGGTCGTCCCGGGCTCGATAGAGACGGCCTGAGAACATGGTCTCCTGGACCAGGAGCAGCGCATGCCGAAAGGCCTCGTGCGCAGAGTCGGAGAAGCACCATCGTTGCATCCGGGCTCTTGTCTTTTCGTAGTTGTTGCGCGCTACAGGGCTGTCGAGTCGGTCGGGGTCCATGGCGAGGGTGTGGATGTCGATTACGCTGATCTGCAGGGTGATATGTGCGATACGGTGCAGGGGCCGGGCAGCCTCGAGGCATACTGAAGGCTGTAATGAGAACAAGCAGGTCGACCACGAGTCGATTGCGGAGCTAATAAGGGGAGCCCATGGCTTTACGAGGGTTTCCGAATTGGACGTGGCAGTCCTCGCCGCCCCTCCTTCTCCTCCCTCCGTCAAGGCTACGGACTCCTTTGGGTGGAATTTCCCGACTTCAATCCCAAGCGTCAACCGAGAACCAGCGTGGAGATGGGTCTGAAGATTCATCAGGCCATGCAGCAGGATAAACCTTGCGTATTCGCTGCAGCTTGGAGGGACAATGTTTCCGCGAATCATGGATTTGAGCGCTGGGAGGAAGTATGAGATGGAGGAAGACGAGGGGGTGGCATTTTCAGTGGAGGAAGAGTGGCACTGGCCCTGGGATCTCAGTTCCTGCCAGCCCTCGGGGGATGTGCATTCCCACAGGGATTCTGCGCACGGAAGTGCCATCTGCATGTCACTCACAGACAGCACAGGGCTGTGCCCAAAGACACAGGCATGCTGGGCATCCATGACAAAGGCAAAAAACGCCGTTCGTCTCCAGGATTCTTCGCTGATCCATCGGAACCAGGTTTGCTGGACGGAGTCTGTAGGCTGAGGAGCGCGAGGGGTGGAGGCCGCGAGGTAGGCACTTCCCCTTTTCATCATCTGGCATGATTAATGACGTGGTGCCCACCAAGGCTCTTGACCGAGTCCGCTTACTGTAATGATTGCCCCGTGGAAGATGTGCGCCATTTCGTAGTTCTTTCGCGATGAGATCATTTTCCCGTAAGCTTGCACAAGGAGGAGAGCCTGCAGACACCAGAGCGGAATCGGGGGCTCAAACATGCCGCTCTGTCCGAGTCAGCGCTACACTCACTGGTGGATGACGACTCTCACGTTGATAACGATTTGGCGAAGCGAGTTGTGGACCTGTTGCCCCACGAGAAACAGTGCATCATCGCTGACTATAGTGGAACCGAGATCTAAAATGGCTATAAGCAGGAGTGGCTCGCAACTAATGGCAGACAGTGTTGGCTGGTGGACAATGGGGAAATGGGGGTGGTAGTGCTCGAGGTAGAGGGCGTAGAACATCTTCAGGTTAACGACGTCAAAGAACGGGGATTGTAAGATGCTAGTATCCAGCTGAGCCAGTGCATCAAAGATATTGGATCGAGCAATCAGCCACTCATCCTGTTGGCTACTGCTGGGAACGCCCCCAATCCTGTCTCCTTCCAACATGTACTCAGCGCCCATGTTTCCAGAGCGGAATTGGGAGGGCAAGTCGACGTTCATCAGCAGATCAATGTCCAAATGTGAGATTGCCGTCTCCACGAGATCCTGGCTGCTCTGCCCTGGTTCGAAAAACCAATCTAAATCGTCCTGTCTATTGTCGGGTTCGACCCACCCGGTCCATACGGGATCAACTGCAGCGCCGTCCCCGCTCTGGAATTCTCCGGGTTGTTGTGGGTCGCTGGTAGTCTTGTCCATGTCCCCCGAGCTCGAGCTGGCGGCATGCTCGTGGCCTTCAATTTGTGTCGAGTTCAGCTGGCTCGCGGTACAGGCCTGCATCAGCGAGGCTTTGGATTTGCGGCGAGGTGATTGAGCAGCAGATGATGGCTTCACAACGCCCCCGGTATTTCGAAAGAACATTCCTTTTTCATGGCGTGATTTATGCCGTCGATAGAGATCTTGCCGGACAAATGACTTGGGACATAGATCGCACGAAAAGATCTCCTGCGGTGCATCTATGACAGATCAGCAAGGATCTAGAATGCCCGACTCGCGACGTACGATTTAAATGATGCCGCTGCAGGTGCTCCTGGCGCAGGAAAGAGCGTCCGCAGCCTGGCTCCTTGCAAGCGAAGGACCGTTTCGAACGAACTCGCGGAGAATCCATGCAGTATAGATTGCGGGGATTGGAGGCAGAGGAAGCATCAAGTACGCTGTTATCGTGGAATTTGCCCATGGGCGTCCGGAGGGCATGGGTTCACTTCCCCGCCTCTTAAGACAGTGGGCGTATCTCTTATCGCTTCTAATGATGGGCTGGCGTATTCCCACCAATGGATCGCACGTGTGCTATCGAAGCGAGCCTGGGAATCTTTTACCGAGGATCCACCATAAGCGTCTTGGGGCTGCTAGCGCAAGCCATGTATTAATCAAAGACCAAGCCTACATAAAGCAATCATCTAGACATCAGCCTGTAGGAAGATATCATTCAAAAGCAACTATTACTAACTTGTACACACACGGGATCAAGGTGGGGAATCCGCCAGAATCTTGGTCACTTGGCTGGCGACAGCCAAGTGCTCAACGGACGAGTGATAACTAATACCATGACTACACTAGCTTGTTCTCCAAGGATCTTCTCCACACCAATCTCTTGTCCTGACAGCTTGTCAGATCGCCTGCTCTTCCCCAGGTTCCTCCTTCGCATAGGCCGTCTCCTGCCCTGCATGTGCAGGTGTATCCTGGATTGACCACGCAAACGGAGCCACCCAGACCAGCGCAAAAACCACAAACGCCCAATCGACGGCAAACTCAACGTTGTAGTTTGTCTTGTCGGAATTGACCTTGGAGGCGATCGCGCTGCCCACCGCCTCCATGCACTTGAACGCCCCCACATACCGCGCCGCTTGCTCAGGTGATTCATGCGACAGATAGCCAATCGTCCAATAGACCAGGGTCTGCCAGACGGCGTCAAACGCCCCGTATGCGAAATACAGCACAAAGGGGCCGGCGTATTTGGCGCCCGAGTCGAGGAGATCCATCCCCCCCAGAGAATAGTAGTCGCTCGTGGGGCCACGTCGGAGCTGCGCGGCCAGCCCCCCCGCCCAGACGACCATGGAGATTATCCCCGTGATTGCAAACCCCCAGAGGCCGCGTTGCCGGCGGTTCATGGACTTGTTGTCGAGGAAAAGACCGAAAAGGTAACTGGAAACCATTTGCGCGAGCCAGTACATGCCGCCATTGAAGCTGCGCGTACGGATGTTGAAGAGTTTGGCGTTGTACGAGTTTTGTTGGTAGTTGTAGGCGTCTAGACTCTGTCAGTGCTTGAAAGGAGTAAAGAGCAAGGAGTTGGCGATTGAACGAACAGTTTGCCGCCATCCAGAAAGGAATGAGAGAGACCACTCTCCAATCTTTGATCACCTTGGCCAGCTGCACAAATTCACCCCAGACGCTGGGCTTTTTGGCCACCGCTGCGCGTGAGCGATCCTCCCGAATCACATGGTATGGATTGAGAAGGCCCAGCGCGCAGCAGCAGCCGGCACCCATGATGCACATGAAGGCAATATAAGTTGAATCGGAAACGGTGCCAGACTGGGAGTGGAAATTCAGCCCAAACGAAACCATCGAGCCGAGAAACCCGCCCAGGCTGCAGGCGTATGTTAGAATGGACTTGAGGCGAGGCTGTCGCAACTCACTTGAAGATGATCCAAAAAACGCCAATCATGCGTCCCTGCTGGTGCGGCAGAGGATAGCCGGTCATGATCGAGCCCTGCGAGATCCAGAGCAGGGATGCGCCAATCCCCAGGATTGCGCTGGCACCGACCACAAAGGCCTGGTTGTTGGTGTGCGTAAAGGCCAGCAGAGACCCTGCATAAAGCACATAAGGCACTCCGCCAATGAAAATGGTCCATTTCGGCCCGAGGATATTGTTGACGACGGGGGCGATGAAGATGTTGCCGGCTGCGCTGACCGAGGCCAGGGCGATGTGGCCTTTGGCTTGTGTGGTTGTGTCCAGCTGGCCACCTCCTCCAATGCCAGAGAGCGCATTGTACATTCCCGGGCAGCTGGTGGCCGAGTCAGACTAAAAGCCGTCTACCTGCTCAGCTTGGGAGTTGACTCACCCAAAGGCGACGAAGCTGACCACGACAACCTGCCAAAAAGGTGCGTTGTACCGACTGAAGCAAATCTTCTCTGAGCTCATGTCCAATTCGGCCACAGCAGTATCCTCCTCAATGGCGGGAGAGATATCCTGGCTCTTTGCGGTTTCGGGGGCCATATTCGCAGACGAGAGGTGGAGTTTGAGAGCTTCTGGGTAGAGATACGCGATGTGGTTATCTAGACATCATGGCTCCTTTTATGTCCAACCGGATTCAATGGTCAATCCTGAGACGAGATAACACGCGCGGATCGATCCCACGCAACGTACGGGATGGAATCATTGTTCTTATCACCTGCTCCCTGTACCCCGCGTTGGGGTTTGATTGTGTGGGATAGTGACCTTGGGCCGTGGTATCTTGATCTTGAAACACCCCACGTGGTGCGAATCTGACTATATTGTCCCTTGGATTCTAGAGGTTCCTGGTCATCAAACAACCTTGACCCCGTTTAGGCTTCAGCAACAATGTTGTTCTCACTTGCATGGCTGCTCATGCTCGCCTCGCTGGCGAATGCAGCCGCAGTCGACTTTGCAACCCTACCAGCTCATCCTCGACTGCTCTTCACAGATGATCGCGTGCAGCGTGTTCTTGCTATGAATGAGACCGACGCGTATTACCGTGACGTCCTCGGCCATCTCGCAGCAACCGCTCAGACAGCTGTCAAAACGCCTGTCGCCCTGACCTCCGCCTCGTCATGGTCGAGCACGATCCGGATGAATGTCGGTGCTGCAGCAGGAATGTACCGGCTCACCAACGACACTATTTACTCCGATTGGATCGCTGACACCCTGCTTGTGCTCTCCGGCCTCGCAGACTGGAATCCGTCCAATTTTTTGAATACGGCCGACATCACCATGACTGTCTCGCTGGGATATGACTGGGTGTACGAGGCGCTGACGGACACGCAACGGATCACGATCGAGACTGCAATCTTTGACAAGGCGTTTGTCCCCGCGATGGATTCCTCCATTAATTCATGGAGTCGCCACACCAACAACTGGGCCCAGGTAACGCATGGATGCCTGATCATTGGCGCTCTGGCGGCAGGGGACGTCAACTCCACGCTTGCCAGTAAGGTGATGGAGTTTTCGCTCCCGAAACTGAAAGTATCGCTGGAGCAATATGCGCCTGACGGCGGGTACATAGAAGGCTATTCCTACGGAGCATATGCCGGAATCTTTCTGGGGCTGATGATGGGCGCATTGGACACCGCACTAGGAGACGACCTGGGGATCTCCAGTCTGGCAGGCATGGACAACCTGGGTGCCTGGCTGACCCATGGGCTGGGCCAGGCAGGCGCATTCAGCTGGGCAGACGGGGCCTGGACCCTGTCCAACGCCAACACGCTGTGGAGCGTCGGCTACTGGGCAACACGGTTCCAGAAGCCCGAATGGCTCCAGGGAATGCTCTCTGCATTCACAGCCGCCCAAGCAGCAACCTTCCAGGCGTTCCTGTTCTACGATTCTTCGCTAACTTCGCCGACCGTCCTCCCCACCATGCCGCGCTACAACCAGTTTTCTGGTGTCGCAGGCATGACCTACCGCACCTCGTGGACCAGCAGCACAAGCGGGTGGTTCTTTGGGTTTATGGCGGGGTTCAACGGGCGCTCGCACGGCCATCTCGATGCCGGGTCTTTTGTGGTGGATTACAAAGGACATCGCTGGGCTGAGCTGCTGGGCTCCGACAGCTACAGTCTCGGCGATTATTTCGTTGCCCCGCGTCGCTGGACATACTACCGCTGCCGCACGGAAGGATCCAACACGCTGAGCATCTCCCCCAGGATCCAGACGGGGCTCGCCTTTGCCAATCAGATTCCGTCTGCGAATAACTCACTCTTGTGGACGGGGAGCTTCGACACCTCGAGTCGGTTTGGCATCGCCAATCTCACCCAGGCATATGCCAATGTCTCCACCAGCGTCCTCCGTGGTGTGGCGGTCTTGAACGATTCCCAGCTCCTGGTCCGGGATGAGGTCCGAGCATCCAGTCCCGTGGACATTGCCACTAGCTGGCATACGAGCGCAGACGTGACGGTCGGTTTCAACAACCGGACCGCTACACTGGTGCTGGGTGGCGTCACGATGGAAGCAACTCTGCTATCTCCGCCCGGCGCGTACTTTCAGCTCACCAACACGAACCCTTGTGGTGCGTATACTGGGTGCGCTGAGGCGACTAATGCGGGAATATCCAACATGGCAGTTCGCCTAGGGCGCATGACTGCAGATGCGAATATTGTACTGGCTTTTGCAGAGAGCGGCACGATTGTCGACGATTTTGATGCTGAATTGGCCGAGTGGTACTCTTTATGTACCACTGATTGCTGGAAAGGGGACAATGTGGAGGATCCATACTGGCTGGCTAACTCGGAGGTATATTATTAGCAGACAGTACAATAGTAGCCCTAAGAACAATCTACATGGACATAGATACCCAGCTTCGAGTTTGTGCGGACTCGTATAGAGCGTCGTAAAGCTTCAGGAGCTTCGCAGCCATCGTGTCATTACAACAGTCGCCGTCCACAAGTCCAGCTTGAACCCGATGGAAGAAAGAGTCCATTTGTTTCTTGAATGCAGCCGCGAGAATTTCCCCCTCTGCGTACTCGCCTGTAAAAAGACTATTCCGTCCAGCTTTCCATGTCCCCACGGCGGTCTTCAACACAATGCTGCTCCCAGGTCCATCCAGGTTCAGATGCAGCGAGCCGCCGACCCCGTAAATATCAATGGTCCAGTCCTTGAGGTACGCACTCGGCTCCCAAGCGGTAAAGTCCAGATGCACATTAAAGTCGTCATACTCGAGTATGGCCGAGGCGATGTCCTCGTGGGCGAGCTCACCTACCGTCTTCTCGGGATTCAACTGTCGCCCGCTGAAGAGATTGGGGACCCAAGAGAACCCCTCGTGCGGCGGCCGCACCGGCAGCTTTCGAATAGACGAGACGAGATGTCGCGGCAGTCCGAATAGGTCGACCACCGACTCCACAACATGACCCCCAAGGCTGTAGAAGAAGCCGCCAATACTGCCGCTATCCGACTGCCACGGCTCGTCGCCTGCGCCCCCAGGACATCCCCCGTGGAAGCGCGCCTCAGTAATGGGTCCTAGAACCTCACCCTTGACAATCCGTCGAGCGAATTCTACAGTCTCCAGGTAGTGAAGCTCCCACCCGACTTCGAAAACGATTCCCCGCGCGCGAATCTCGGGGACCAGTGGGTAAAACGCACTCGGCTGCGCGGCGCCGGGTTTTTCGACCAGAAGCCCCTTGGCCCCGCTCTTGATGGCGCGGTGGATGTAATCAGGGTTTTCGGCGTCGCGCCCGTGGATCAAGGCGATGTCGTAAGGCAGGCTCATAAGCTCCCCGAGGTCGGCGTATCGTGGACAACAGGCGTGTTTTTGCATCTGTTCGGCGACCTGCGCGTCATGATCGTAGTACCCAAGGAGCTTGATGGTGTCGCTTCGCGCCTGCAGGTAGGTGAATCGATGGAAGATGTGTGGGTGGCTTGTGCCCAAGAATATCACGTTCAATTTCATATCAAGGGATGGATAGAGAATAGTGATGGTCCAGAGATAGACAACTTGTTCAGTAGATTATAAAAGCGGGACCACATCCCACGCAAGATGCACCTTGTAATCTAACTAGGATACGATAGAACTTTGGAATACCCTCCATCCACCAGATATGTCTAACACGAATTTAGAAGTGCACATCGAGACAGTAGGGCGTAAAACACTTACACCACCTGTGGTGAATCCTCCCTCAACCACTGCCAGAAACTCAATCCATCTGCAATCGAGACTCGGGTCAGTGTCAAGATGTGCCAAAGGGATGAACAGCATACCGTGCAATGTCCTCTCCCCTTCCAATCCTCCCCACCGGATGCGCCTGACTGAGAGCCTCGCTCTTCCCAGCACCCCACGCAGGCGCATACTCGCTCTGAAAGTCGCGATCGAGGTTGCTTTTCATCTCCTCCAGCGGCGGGAGCAGGCTTTCATTCCTCTCGGAGCGCACATCCACCATCCCTGGGCTGATGCAGTGGACTCGGATCTGGGGCCCGAGGCTGACTGCCATGGCCATACTCAGTCCTTCAATCCCTGCCTTGGACGCGGCATAGGCTTCCCCGTGCTTGCTCTGCTGTGTCGCGCGACAGCTCGACATGTTGATGATGACTCCACCCTCGGGGGATTTTTCGAGGTGGGGGATGGCGGACTGGGAGACGCGATACGTGCCGACGAGGTTGACCTGCAGGATCTTTTCGAAATCGGATGTCGGGACCTGGTCCATTCGGATGCTTGATCTCATGTACTGGCTCTGCAATGGGATTCGGTGAGATAATACGCCTCTCAAGTACGCTGGGTAATATCGAAACTCACATTGATTCCAGCATCTGGTTATCGATCAAAATTAGCAGCATCCGTGTCAGAAAGGCTGCCCTGGTCAAGACCCACTGTTGATGAGAACATCGAGTCTGCCAAACTCGCGAATACAGGCTTCGACAGCGGCGACAACCTGTTCCTCTTTCGATACATCCATCGACACCCACTTGAAATGCTGTCGCTTGTCCTCTGGAATGACCGAGGGCAGGTGCTTCGTACAGGCGTCTTGCAGGAATGCTTCGTTATAATCCGTCAAAAACACCCTGTGGCCTTTGAGGAGCAGCTCTCGCGCGACAACTCTGCCAATTCCACTCCCCGCCCCCGTGATAAAAAACACTTTGGACATGGTGATGGACTGAGGGGAGACTCTTCCGTAGAATTGCAAGATAGATTAAAACAGAATTAACTGGTGATCTCGGCTCAGAGATGATGAGTACCCCAATCTTGATTACCAGCGCGTGACGGGAGAGTCGGGCATTACGGCAATCCCACGCAAAATGCGGGATAAAGTGAGGGGTCAAGCGGCCGTAACCGATTCCTGAACTAGTTAGCTTTGGGGTCAAATACTCGCTGCTATTAAAACATTAGATCTACGAGGTGGCAGAATAGAGCAGTCATCATTTACTCCCCCTAGGAGCAGTCGACCGACATCACCCTCATTCGCATCATGGCAGGCCCGCTGGAATCCATCTCAGGCGGAAAGGCTTGGTACTACTGCCCAAAAGGCCCCATGGTCCTCGGGGAAGGACCAATCTATCGAGCCAGCGACTCGACGCTCCATTGGGTGGATTGTCTCTCCGAGCCTCCAGAGCTGTACGTCCTCAAAGTCGACCCCGTTACCGGGGATGCGATTGGCGAAGCGCGAGTTCTGCCCCTGGCGGATAGCGTCACCGTCGCCTTCTTCCGCAAGGATAAGCCCGGGAGCTACATCGCCGCGTACTACCAGGGGGTTTGCTTCGTGGACGAAGCCACGGGGAAACTCGATGTCGTCAAGGAAATCATCCCCAAGAGTCAGCGAGACGAGCTACGTTTCAATGATGGGGGCATCGACGCCAAGGGCCGGTTCTGGCTGGCGGAGATTGACAAACGCGCCATGGCCTTTGGGCCAAATCAGCTCCCAGAAAGCTACGGGACCCCGAAGGGGAGGTTATGGAGATATGATCCCGATGGGAGCTTACACTTGATGATTTCCGAGGGTGTGGTCTGTGGAAATGGACTGGCATGGAGTCCTGATAATAAGACGAGTAAGTGCAGCCTGGCTGGGCCAATCCATACTGCTGAAAGCTAGAAGGAAGAGGCGTCCTAACTGGGAGTAGTGTACTTCAACGACTCGGTTGCAATGATGGTCTTTGCGTTTGATTTTGATTTGGAAAGCGGCAGCATCTCCAACAAGCGGCTTTTAGTCGACAGACGCTCGTCATATGGGGAACCGGATGGGATGATCGTCGAGTAAGTCTCTGCTTGTTTTTCCAAACGAATAGCGAGACTGACAACAAGCAGCACTGACGGAAACCTGTGGATTGCTGTTTTCGCCTCCCATAGGGTAATGGTATTCAGTCCCGAGGGCAAACACCTGAAAGATATCGTGTGCACGGCCAAGAACCCGGCCTGTACTACATGGGGAGGGAAAGATCACAGTATTATCTTCATGGCAAGCGGCAAAGATCGCAGTGAGAACCCGGAGCCAGGAGATGAAGGCGGCCACATGTTCAAATATCACCCTGTGAGTGCGAGGGGCTATCCTAAGCATGAGTTTGCGGGTTGATTGGGAGATCGATCTACATCTAGTCAAAATTCCGATCATCATCTTCGACTCGTGTAACAATTATCTGTGACTTGAATGTTGCAGTCATTGCAGTCGTCATTCAACCCAAGTCGTGGGGTCATAGGGACACGAGGATAAGCCCAGTATAGCCATTGAGCAACTTTCATAAGATGACATGGGTGTACGAGGCCAATCTGCACCTGGTTCTTGCATTGGCAAAGTAGAATGAGGTTCGCAGACCAATTCCACTGTAACTGCATATTCTAGATAGTAATCTAATATGCCCAAAAAGCCTTGCGCACTGTGTCACACATGAGAGAAATAGCCAGCCTGCCCTCCTTGAGTACGCCATCCATGGCCAGAAATGGGTGAGGCATGCCTTTCATGACCTGCAGCTCTACCTGTACACCAGCTTCTTGCAGTTCTCGAGCGTACTCTTCACCCTCGGAACGAAGCACATCTAATTCCCCAACCATCACAAGCGCGGGCGGCAACCGCGACCAGTCGCCCTTGTAGAAGAGCGGGCTGGCCTCGCTGTTGGACCAGTCAGACTGGTTAGGTAGATAATGGCGCCTGTACCAGAGCATTTTCTCTGCCGGAAGCGCCGCCGTGTGCTCATATTCTCGGTACGACTGGTTGTTCTCCACTGTTGCCGTGTTGTCTGTAACTGGAACTGCCAGGACCTGGGCCTTGAAATGTATGGGCGGGGTCAGCGTCATGGCCTTGTGTGTCATGACTGCAGCAAGATTCCCCCCGGCCGATGAGCCCCCAACAGCTACTTTGGAAGCGTCGAGGCACAGCGCCGACACGCCATCCGAAACGAGCCAGAGCAAGGCCTCCCAGCTATCATGGACTGCGGCAGGCCAAGGGTGTTCGGGAGCAAGTCTGCGTAGTCAGAGTTAGACGAGGTACTAAATCATCTCGAATATGCAAGATATTCACCGATAGTCAACAGTAACAACGACACAGTTTGCGCGCACGCATATGTTGGTACAGACTGTGGTTTCCGTGTCGATGGTACCAAGCACCCACCCCCCACCGTGGAAATAGAGCAGTACTGGCCATCCCTCTTTTGGTTTCGCTCCGGAGGGCGTGAAGCAACGGACTTTGATATCTGGACCCGTGGTAGCCCGACGTCGAACCGCAATGTCTTGTGTCTTTCCCACTGTAAGGGGCTCCCCGCCGCCGGGAATCAACGTGCCGCTCGTGCGGGATGCCTTGACAGGCTGATAGTGAACTTGCTGGCTGTTCAGAATGTATTTGTTGTAGAAGGCAACATAGTCGGGACTTAGTCTATCCTTTACCGACGGATGCAAGGGATATGGGGGTTGAGGGTAATGCTCGATAGACATTTTGGGGGACAGCAAGGCAATGGTGCACAAATGGAAATACTAAGGGGTTTGTCCTGAATGATGGCGAGATAGTGCACCAACTTTGTAGTTATACCTTCGTCAGCTCCGATCAAAGATGACTACCAGAAGCAACCTGCCTTCCGAACCTGCGGACCCCACGCCTTGAGTGGGACACACATTGCAAAATGGGTGGGAGACCCTGGAGCTCCCACGGAAACCTGTTGCTGGACTCATCTGGAATTGCAGCAACATTTTGGCTGGAGCAACACTGCATGCCAATGTTGCTATTGTAAGATTATCAATCTGGGTCCCTCCACCTATAGCCCAGTGAGTTACTGGCCATCCCGCTTCAAATTCCACTTTAGACCAGCTTGGCTTCAAAAATCCCTATCCTGACTGAATTGGCACCTCCCCCACTGCCAGGGACATATTCGCAGGCCATCGTTGCCAACGGAATAGTCTACTGCTCTGGCTCCGTCGTGTTTGATCCCAAAAACGGGAAAACTTATTGACGGTGATATCAAGGCCCATACGGTAGGACATTCCCATTTCCACCATCCGTTCCGACTTGAGCTACTCATCTAGATGTCGTTTATTTGATGTAGCATCAATATATCCAGAACCTGTCCAATGTCCTTTCCCACGCTCAACCGGTGCGCTGTAGCTGAATGCCTGTCCTCTCGGGATTGAACAAGAACCGGCTTTGGTCAATCGTACAGACTAGACAACATGAAACGATCGCACGACGTTGGAGACCTCATTCACCTCAGACACTGTTCTGGCTCGAGCGCAACAATATCGAGGTAGGCTGACAAGAAAAGCGGGAAAGAGAATACAGACGCTGTTGCTAATTCCACTCTTTAGACTGGGTGCTACGGTACTGTCACTGCAAACACCACGAGCCGGCGAGATGCTATGGCTCAGTCCAGACTGGTCACATGGAGGAATTCCGGTCATCTTTCCAACCTTTGGGAATGTGGACGACGGACGAATTATGAGAGTGGGAGACCAGCGGGACATGCTTCGGCACATGAAGAGCGTTCCTCATCATGGCTTCGCAAAGGATTGTGTATGGGATCTCGTCACAAGGCATGAACCCAGAGATCCCTCCAATTGCCTGGACATTGAAGATACCGGGGGAAACAGCTGTCGAGGCAGTTGCCCATCACAGGCACTGTTACGGTTGTCCCCGCTCAACGTGCCTGTTGACTTGGGAGGTTCCTGGCTGAGAGAATCTGGAGAGTGGGAGATATTGTACAGGTACGGGTCTAGACAGCAACGGGAGACTCTGAATGCGACTGCTAGAGGTGGTGCTAATGTCTCCTAGAATCACCTTACGTAGCGATGGCCTGATGCTAGATCTGTGCATTGGGAATAACAACACTGTCGGCAACGCTTTTGGGGATTTGCGGGCCAAAATATTGTTTCACAACTATTTTCGCGCCTCGGTAAGCTCATGGCGTTCCCTCTCCTTGCCGACATCTACAATTTGTACTGACTTTTTCGTCTGGGGATGACTAGAGTCCAGGAAATATCAGCATTCATGGATTGCACGACTCTCATTCCCTGCCCCCACCAGGCGCCGTCAGCTCCTTGCACCCTCATGATCCTTTACGCTTCAAGGTGGGGGCATTTGTTGACCAGGTTTGGAGGTTAAAGCCCGACGACGCGATGAGTGTGATTGTGGAAGACGACGAAAACAAAATTACAGCTGGCATTGGAATTATGACGAGTAATTTGCCCGACCTCGGTATGCAGGCAGTGTTTCCGAACTCCCGCATGCCCGGTACTAATAATATTGATCCGTAGTTCTCTGGGCACCAGAAATACATGCGCCGGTAGAGCCAGGGGTTCGCTTTATTTGTGTTGAGAGGGGAAGCGTTGTCGAGCCATTTACAGTTCCCACTGGGGGAGTTGTCTTTCTAAGGCAGGTGCTGACCGATAGATGAGACAGACCTACATGCGATAGCTAGCCAGGTTTAACAGCCAGGCTCAATCCATGGTTATTTAGACAGATTATTTGTACCTACGTTAACATGAGTTGGATTACGTTCAATAATCCATCGCACTGACTCCCGCGGTCTTACCACCGTTGACAGAGACTACGTATGAGGGTAAAATGTCAAAAATTGCCCTGAATTACGGAGTATGCACAACAGAAAAATGCACCAGTCGTCAATATGCCTCTTTTAGTTTTGTGCAAGCACAGCGAGTCATGCCAGCAACAAGATCTAGTCTGTTTCGCGGTGACCTTGCGGGCAGTTCCGCTGGGGCTGAGCAGAGTGGATTCAGGGCGTCGAATGGGGCGACTCGGCCCTGGCTTGACCCTGACTCTGGTCAAACCAAGCGAGCAATTCGGCCAAACTGTTGGACAGGTCGCAGCGTGGCATGCTCCGGCGCGTCTAGGGCGACTTGGCAAGTCTGGGCAGCGTCTTTCGATCAAGGAACACTCAGGCGTTGGGCTCCCTTGGCCCGGGGAACCGACTCGCCAGGCTGCTTCGTTAAATAACGGCCCATCTCCTGATTGAAATGACAGTGACCTTGTCACAATTATCACGGTAACGATGCGCTCCAATCTGTATGTCTTTGCGCTCGCCGCTGCGCGACTAGCGATCGCCAAACAAGTCGGTTATTTCCAGGCGGAAAACTGCGCCGCTCCCTCCGATTTCGAGTCCTGCTACGCCGATGCAGACGAATGGTTGGCCGACTGTATCAACGAGAACTGCGATGCGCTAGGTGTAGACTGCCACAATGCCTGCGAGTGCGCCAGACAGGGGGCTTACACGCGATGCGAAACGAGCTATTGCTGGAACATGGTACGTGCAGTCAAAAATGGAATGCGTTCTCTGTCGTTCACAGAACTCGTCTTCAGGTCTATAGCTGCGAGTATCAACTCCAGGTCAGCGACGTCGTCAGCTCGTGCCTTGATGACCCCGATATCAACTCGATCCCCTTCTGGCCTCCTCCAGACAATGCGAATGGGGGATGCAATTGCAACATTGGCAAGATATCTCGCGCACAGGTTATTGTCAATGAGGCTGTTGGGTCGTGTGACGACTTTGTGGACGCGTTCAATATGACTCCGGATCAGATTAAGAGTATCGGAAACGCGTGTCTCTGCTGTGGACTCAGCGGATTTCTCTCTCCGTAAGTGTCGAAAAACCGGCCTGTATGGTGAGTGCGCGTTGACAGAACTAGATTTTACTCCTTTTGTCCTAAACTCGACCCTGCCGAGCTGGAACTGGAAGGCTTTGAGTCAGCTATGGACGACCTAATCCCCAACATGGACTGGTCCCAATGCAGCTCGTGGATGAATGGCTACGACTGCGCTGCCGACTTTGGATACCCTGCCGACGTGGAGACCTACTTCGGGCCCGGGGAGTTCCCAGCGGACGGAACAGAGACCCTGCGCAACATCGGAGCACTCACAACGCCTGTCAGCCCGACCGCGACGTTTGTCATTGCAGGCGAGGAGGTATACATCACTGCTGTCTCGACGGATGCTGCTGTGCCGACGGGTTCGAGCGATAGCTATGATACGGATGAGAACAGTGACAGTAGCAACAGCAACGACAGCAACGACAGCAGCGATACCAACCACAGTAGCGATAGCAGCAGCGATAACTCTCAGTCTGGCGCCGACGACGAGCCAGAATCAAATAGCGACGAGACGCCGGAGGACGCTGCGGTTCGAGGGATGGGAGTCAGCGCCATGCTCGCTGGGTTCGCCGTGGCCATCGCTGGCCTGCTTGTCCTGTAACGGGATGTACGTACATAATAATGAAGATCACGGCTGTGGCGTCATCCGAGCGTTCGACAGGCTGGAAATTCGTGTTAAGTGCGCCTAATTTGTTCGTATTGACTCGTGCTTGGCTGTGACTCAACCCATTCCCCTCCGTTCTTCCCCAATATCGTCTCCCACATCATTTCAAAATACATACCTGTCTCCTCCGTCTGCAAGATGTCAAAGCCGGATATCACAAAAGAAGTCGCGAGGCTCGCCAGACTCTCGAACGTCCAGAACGGCCTTCCACCCTCTATGCGTGCACTGCCAGTCGCTGCCATTGTGGCGGGAGGCGTCTTCACCAAACTCACCGGCATGTCCAATGGAATCGAAGAGCGATTGTTGGGCCCGTCAGATACGATCGCACTCGACAAGCCCGTTCAGATAGATCCGAAATCCACTTCCAGACCACACGCTGGTGCGAACGCCGGGGAAATGCAGCATCGGCCGAACGAGGGAAGCAATAAGACATCATCGTGATGTCTGGGATCCAACTGCAACGCCAGTTTTTGTATTATAATTATGAGTTCATGAGCATCTCCTCTCTGCTATGATGTTTGGTTGCATTGTTTACCTTGTGATACGGGTTGGCGTTGTGTAGTCACCGACGCCGAAAATATATATATGTACGGTATCCCCTAAGAGACCAGGCAGAGCAGCTGGTTCTGAAACTCAGTAGCATCTCGGATAAGTGCGTCTACTCTGCTTGCAACATCCCGAGCAGATTTCTCGCCGACAAAGAAGAAATGGTTGCCTGTGACGGGCAGACACAACCTTGCGGGAGCGGAGTGTACGAGATCCATGAGCTGCTGCCACTTTGGCGTCCCTTGCACTTGTCTGACCCCTGCCTTTCCAATCATACTTTCCAGTTTGTACGTGAGTAAGAAGCCCCAGCTCGCGCGATCTGCCAAGGCATGGCTCGCGTCCAAGGAGCTTGTTGGGTAGAGAGCCGTGATGAGAGGAAAGTTTGCGATATCCAGGACCCGACTGTCCTCCTCGTGAGGTACTTCGTCCTGCACGAAGTTTCCCTGCCCATCATACTTGAGCCCGAGTCCGATCAGGTTAATCGGCGTCCCTCCAACGTACTGCCGCAGATAGAGTTCCTCTGGAACGATCTCCCGTCCTCCGTTGAGATCCTGCATCTCGCTTAACTGCCTCCAGAAGGCGCCGAGATGAGCCGGCACCTGGAAGTAACCCGCGGGACTACAGGAGAGCCCCGGTGGGAGAGGTCGGATGCTTGAAAATCCCGGGGTGGCTGCAAAGCTGATGTACTGCACGACGTCGAGGCCGAGCTGCTTCGTTGCAATGGTGAATGGGACAACCATGCGACCGCCCATGCTCCATGAGATCAAAACCACAGACCGAGTGGGCAAGTTGTGCTCGGACATAACCTTTGCGGCGGTCTTTGCCGCTTGCTCGCCCCAGTCCTTGATTCTGTAGCGGGCAGCAGTTGCCGCCATAATCTCAGGCTCCGTTTCGAGCGGGTACGAGAGCGAGAGGACCCCATATCCAAGTTCAGAGAGCCAATGAGAGAGAAAGTCGGTCGGTCTTGAACCCGCGTGTCCGCCATAGAAAATACGAGCCAGGTGTAAGCCTCCAGGGACGCAGACAATCAATGGGTTGACTTTTGCATCCTCAGTTGAGCGTTTGGCAGGCTGATAGTGATAAAGCGCTGGGAAGTTGGCGACGACGTCCAAGACTTCGCTGGGATACAGTGCGCGGTCCATGAGCCCGTCGTGGTGAACATGATTCCAAGGCTCCTTTCAGCAATTTAGCCGTAAAGCATGGGCATCTGAGCGATGCCGATGTTAGATCGCGGTCCCACTTCGGCTGAGAGATTTGGAGACGGAGAGTCTGGGGGAATCCAAGATTTGAGAGAGTCAAGGACTCGATGCGGAGGCTTCGTTCGGCTGTAGGCGGGGATAAGCGAGAGGCGGAGATGGAACGGATCAACTATCGTCCGGTTTCTCCAATGTTTACATCCAGAATTCTTACGAGTTTGAGATTCTGTCTGTCTTTGCATGGCCTGACAATTTCAGTCTGACCTTCTCCTACAGCTTCACTAACGCTTGACAATACTCTTACTCTCTAAAGTCCCTCCCCGTGCTCTGCCTCGACCCCCTTTCCCGTCGCCTCCACCATGTCCAACACGTCCAGCCCGACCGGTGGCCACGCGAACCGGATCCAACACCGATTTCGGTTGAAGGAAGATCACGTCAATCTCCTCGAGTGATCGACCCCTTGTCTCAGGATAGAAAAAGTATATCACGATGCCGCCCGCTGCACTAGTTGCCGAGTAGACGATGTGTATCTCCATCCAATATTGGAAAACGCGATCGGCGTCACTTTGGCCACCATAAAGTTGAACAGCCAGCTGGCTGCCGCTCCCATCGCAGTCACCTTGTGTCGGATACCCAGCGGCGCGATCTCAGCGCCGTACATGAACAGGATGATGAACATACCAATGGGGAGCGTGAACTGGGCGAAGAAATAGAAGAATATGACGGCTCGGTTGGAGGACATGTTGGTCAGATCGGACGACAAGCCCCCGACTGCGCCTTGCGCGAGAACCATGCACGCGGTGGAGCAGAGCATCAGCTTGCAGCGACCGAACCGATCGACCGTGAAGATGGCTACCAATTCACCCCGTGTCACCTGTAAGCATGCATAGAATATCCTGGCCGCGCTCCCGAAGTACCCGAGCGAGCCTTCCAAGGTTGAGTTCAAAAAAAAAGGCTTCCTCGAAATTGAGAAACCAACATCGTGTTTAAAGAGTCGAGCATGACTGTGCTATGAATTTTGGACTGCCACCATTCCGCGCTATTCTGCACTATTCTACATCGAACGATAGGTCATGCGGTAACAGAGTGGTATTGCCTTCACAAACTATATAATCCCCGAAATACGAGGACATTCGATCAGCCATCGCAACTAAATGCCAAGTTTACCCGCCTAAGCCGCCAGATCGCTTAAACAACAGGTCATTTGAAGAAGAACATGATAAATGGTGAATACTCCACCTCACCGGTCGTTGTCCTGGGAATATCGAGTCGCATATCGCCGGCGAACGCGAAGACCAACTGCTCGGCCTGCGAACGCAGTTCATCCGCCGATTGATCGTCATCTCCGCGCAGTAAACAGGACTTCTTGTACAAAGTCCATGCTCTTTCCGGTCGGAAGTACGCCCGGTTGCTCCAGACTTTGAGGGCCTCATCGAGCAGAGCGCTATGTGGTTTGTCAGTCGAAGGCCGCTAATGGGAATTTAATACATACACCGCGTCACTCTTCCTCCCTATGCGGACATAATGGTCTGATACCTTCAGCATTGCGCCAGCTGTGTGAGGATGACTATTCCCGAGCGTCATTCGATACTGGCGGAGGGCCATGTCATGCAGTTCGAAACTCTCAGGTAGTCGATCCTGCGCGGCACGCACGTTACCCAGGTGAAGCATCGCAAATCCAGTTCGATACGACCGATCGTTCAACAGTCCCCACTCTTTTTTGAACCATTCGAGCACTGGAATAAGAAGCGTTTCCGCCTCTTCTAGCCGCCCAAGCTGCAGCAAAGCATAACTCGAATAGCATTTGGGGAAGGTTCCAAGCCATCGAGCGCCCTTGATGAGTCCTGGATCCGTTTCGCGTGCTCCACACACCACTTGAATATCGATTGACTTCTGGAGTGTATCTATAGCTTCCTGGTATTGCTCGACAGTGAGATAATAGACGCCTAGCTCAGTGTATGCTATCGAGGCGTTTGGTTCGTCTCCATGCATCAGACTAATGCGGATGTTTTCGTCGCAATGGTATCGAGCCTTCTCCGGGTCCCTCAGCCATTGCAAACAAGCCGAAAGGGCGAAATGGCACGAGGCCATCGACATGGTTGATTCCAATCCCGCGTTAATGAGCAGTGCTTCAGCACATTCAAGGAACGGTATCATGCTCGGATGATTGCCGCGTTCCATATGGTACCTGTTGCGAAGCGGAGTGTGAGTACAGCAAATCCAATTATTAACAGGGTTGAGCTGCGAACTTACCATGCAGCATCGACGAGCAATTTTGCAAACTGCTCGGATACAGAGTGCCGAAGATTTGGTCGATCGGCGCCCATGTATAACTGACGCAACCTCTCAATATGAGGCATCAGCCGCGAGCTTAGCACCCAGTGTTTGACTTCGTGACTCCATTGATATGCTCCTCGCGGCCATGTCCCGTCTACCAACTGTACTAGAGCCGTGAACGCTTCACTGAGTTGGTCTGGTGACATTCTCGCCAGGGCGGCGTCTTGAATGACTCGGTGAATCCGAATCGCCTTTTCGTTCTTGAGCCTCCGAATCAGAGAACTACGAAGAAGGCCAGTTCGAGCAGGTTCGAAGGTACGAGTGGTGATCGGGAACTTCTCAGCCAAATCTTTGAGCTCCGGATGGGTAAATATGAGCTCGGGTATGGCGTCAGGATCGAGCAACGCAATCAAGTCAAGCAGTTTCTGAGCCGGAGGATCCAAATGCTCGAATTGCCAGACGTTGAATAGCGCCTTCTTGTTTTTCTCTCGCAAGCCGGCGATTGCGGTTGCATGGACGTCGGTCAGGAAAAGGCGGTCGTTGTAGGAATTGAGGAACTCGCCAAACGACAGGTCCTGCCGTTGCAGAATCGAGGCAATCTGCACGAGAGCCAGAGGGAGTCCACCGAGCCGATCCACTAGAGCCAGTGCTTCTTCGTAATCATTTTCGGCGTCATATCCCGTCAACGCCTGCAGGAAGACGGCAGCTGAGGTCCGCTCAAACGGGTCAAGGTCGATTCCCGACATGGAGAAGAAGTGTGATTTGGCGACGGGGTCACGGCTTGTGACGAGGATCGCTCCACCGCCAGCATGAGGCCAATATTCAGCCAGGACTCCTGGATCATCTGCGTTGTCGAACACAAGGAGCCAATTCGCAAACTCCTCAGACAGAATGTCGTCTTCGCTGGACGCGCCACGCCCCGACTTGCTTGGGCGATTTAGCCACTCGAGTAACCGATCTCGACTCACCACCGAATTACCCTCGTCTATCTCGCTCACCAGACCTAGTTTTGCCGCAATGGCATTGAAATTTTCGGCGAGCTTGACTTCGTTGTCCGCGTGTACCCAGAACACCGCATCGAACTGGTGCTTCCGCGTCGTGACGAACTCGACGGCTATTTCGGTCTTTCCGATGCCTCCTGGCCCGCAGATCGCGAAGGACCGGACGGGCTGACTTGCGTAAGGAGGCGATCGTAGCTTCGGTCGGAGAAGCGCTTTGTCAATGAGTTCCAGTGTTTGCTGCCTGCCATAACATTCCCCGGGAATATGATGTTTGTCAAAGACATAGCACGGCAGCTTGACGGCGGGAACCTCGCTGACTGGCTTCCCCTTGGCTGGAAGAATCTCGAGATCCGAAACCTCCTCTGAGCCGGCGGTCGCCCTTCTTGAAGAGAGAGGATCTTCAATGTCCAGATTGTCTAACCCTGCCCCAATCTCAGAGGCCACCTCTGACGCTACCGGAGTGGGTAGCCACTTGTGAGCTGCTTTGGCGAGATGACTGGTATTTTGAGATACGCGCCAGCTGGCCGATAGTTGGACCACTCTTGAAGCTAGGTCAGAGATAGCTTCATGGATCTTTGACCCCTCAAGGACACTGCAGATCTCTTTATGATTTGCATTTGAGCCAACCGATTTCTCAGAAGCAAGGGCAGTTGCAGCCAGAGACTGGTCCACCAACTACATACAACCGGCATCAGTTGGTTTTCCGTGATTGATATACCAGATCGAATTGATACTTACCACCTTACTGCGACGTGACAAAATATTTCCCGAGCTATACTTGGTCGGTACAGTCTCAAAGGCACACAGGACCGTGTGGTGGAATGCCGTTTCTTCAAACTTGGCAGAGACATTCCAAAGTGTCGCGATATCCTCGTTCATCCGTCGCAGGACATCTGCTGACAGTCGGCCATGTGAATAGATCAGGTGGTCTAGCTGCTTCCTTGGCTCGGGCTTGTTTGCTGTCGGATGTGGTGTGCCTAGGAAGATGAGTCCTTGAAGACTATCCAGTAGCCTTTGGACGGAAGGGTTAAAGCTGCCTTCGTAGAGAAGCGCAACTGTCTACAGAAGGAACAAGGTCAGGAGGTGAAAGACGGCTCGCGAAGTGGTCGAGGGGAGTACCCTTTTCACGATAACCCCGCCAAACCCATGAGCGACAATCAGAAGCGGATGTTCAGTGATCTGTAGTGGAGGCACACTCAGTTAGGTGGAAGCTGCACGAGCAGGTGTCTATGTGAATGGCAGACCTTTAAGGTCGCGGCCGCCTCTAGAAGGCACTCTAGCAGTGTCCTCCCCAGGTCGACGAAGCGAATCCACGAGAATTGTGGACCGAATTCCTCTTCATACGTATATTGTAGCACTCTGGCTGTCTTGCAATGGGCCGGGAAAAGACGAAGTGGCCAGGCAATGTCATTAATATTCTTTGACCATTTCAAAGCTGTTCCTGAGCCGATGTCTGGTACGAGAAGAACACTGTGATGGTGGTCAACTTGGAACAAGAGAACCGACCGGTGACATACCTCAAACCAGCCGAGCCCTCGTCGTGTTGCGCAGTCTCCGAGTCCGGATATAGCTGCTCTATCCTCCCGGCCGACACAGAAGACACAATGCGGTCCATCGCTGCTGACCCGTATCGTTGTCTTCCCGATCAGAATTTCCAAGATAAGTGAAGCTGAAGCAAAACAGGACGGCCCCCAAGAAAGGATCGAGCCGTTTCGTTTGTAAGGGCCGCATTTGGACCCCATTGCGCGCCTGGCGCAGCCTGCCTAGTCGAGGCTTATCAGATGCGCTCTTGGGCACCAATCGATTTGGCGCCAGGATCAGTCTGCACAACTAGCGGCCCCGCCCGGCCGGGGCTGATTTGACAGCGGCAGTCGAAACAAGAATCGAGGGCTGCGAATTGCGAAGCTCCTGACTCGGGTGTTGGAGGGATGGCATCCAATGACTTCGTGACGCGTCAGTCTTCCCCTCTTTTGCCCCTCCTCAACGATAATCACGTCAATCTGCAGAGCCTCATTTTCGTCCTGGTGAAGACATAAAAGCAGGGCATCTCAGAGTCAAGGCAGACAAGGCAAGGCACACTCTAATCCTGCCGGACAACTCCAATCATCCACAAGACTCTCACCACTCAAACCCCCGTGCTCTAAATCATCAGTCAAAATGACTGGTAGGTGCCTCAAGTCCCAACACCCTTGAGCCTCAATCCAATTTAACGAACAACAACAGGCACCACCAAAGACAGCAGCGCCAAGTTCGCCGAATCCATCAGCGACGGCAAGAAGCAGCCTTACCTCCAGCACTGGCCTCCCCGCGCCCCTACCGTCGATGCGAAGAACTACGGCGTCCCCGAGGGAGAGTCCCTTGTTCTCAACAGCCAGGGAGCCGGTGGTCCTAACCCTGGCCGCAAGGTTGACCGGGTTGACTAGATACACAACTTTGTGCTAAATGCTGGGATTCACGTGAGGATTTAGGGTTTCTTCTAGGATGCTCAAGACCGTATGAATGAATATGACATGATTGGATTTTGCATCGCTCCTTGTTCAGAAGAAGGCTACACCTCTGATCTCTATGCTCTCCCTCGGAGGGCTACTTCCCTCGGACGGACACTGCACAGCGCAGTGCGGTACTCCGTATTTGTCCGGCTTCCTCGAATCATAGCCGTTGAAGACCCAAGCCTCGCTTTCCTGCTGGTTACTCAGATAATACCATCGCTGGCTAGGACTGTGGTGCAGGTTGAAGACCTCGCCGATGCGATCCGTACACACATTGTCCACATGTAGAATGTCCCGACCCGGGTCAAGGGTAAGGGGATCGCAGAGTGCCAGTGGCCAGTCGCGCACTGGTCCTCGCAAAGGCTTCCAGAAGCTATGCAACATTAACCATGAGTAGGCACTATAATACCCAAGATGGGACGTACTTGAAAAATTGGAACGGTCGCTCAGCTTTGGTCTCTGCGTCTTTGCCGAATAAATCTTTTACTCGTTGGAAAGCATCGCGAGGGGTAAAGTCTGCAATGTCCGAGTCAGGTAGACTGCCAGAGCTGACAAGGAGAGGCGCATACCTCCGTGTGCGACCACAATCGGCTGTGCTGCATCGTATGGCACACCGGTTGACCTGGGGAATGTCGTATGGCGGCGGCGAATCTGGATCGGGTTAATTATCAGCACAACTCGTGGCTCAGATGCAGCGTCCTCACCTCGTAGTCAATCACATGGACATCCTTTGCTTGCAGGACATCCTTGAGGCACGCCTTGGCTTCTTCAAGAAAACAAGCCTGCACCTTCTGGTCGTCCGCAAAGTCAGCGTACTCCATTGAGGTGGCGAGCTCCGTGATAGTGATGCCATTCTTTTCCAGTGATAGCGGGCTTTTGCGAAAATCCTGTACTCGGATATCGTCGACTGTCTCAACTTCGATGTTCGTCCGCGGAATATCGGGTCCGGCGATGTAATCGAGGACATAGGCCTTGTCAGTCTCTAGGACCGGGTTATCTCGCCGAGCAAAGGTGACATGCGTGGTGAAGCCGTCCATTCTACCATCTGTGATGAGGGATAGCCCCGCCGCATGGGGGCGCACGAGGGTCTGTTCTATTTATACCTTCGTCGGAGGCCTTGGTAGCTGCTAGGCGCTATGCTGCAAGTAGCATGGGCCCATGTTGATTGGTTCATTGCATTCATCATTACTAGTATCATCATCTTTAATCCCCTTGTTTATGTTCTGTCCTCGCATCCCCCTTCCCAAAGCGACCTTGCAAAGCCAGCGCATGTCTCTGCACCCCCTCCCACCACCAAAGCAACAAACTGCCCGAGAAGACCACGACAGAAAGCACAACCCACGACCAAATGCTCAGATCCGCCTGGTCCCTCCCGACAAACTCGACGACATTCATCCCAAACACCGACGAGGTAAAAGACAGCGGGATGAACAGGAACGCGAGAAAAGTGAGTCGCGCCACGCGTGACCCTTGCGAAAATGCGCGCTGCGATTCGTTGAGCATTGCTCGGTGCATTAGCCATTCGCTCTCTGAGCTGATTCGTTCGAGTAAGGTTGTTGCGCGTTTGTGGAGGTGTGAGTAGTCGAGAGAGAGCTCGGTCGCTGCTGCGGCGATTAGCTCTCGCTGCTTTGCTGCGGTCGCTCGTGGCCATTTCGCGCCCGGTGGTCCTTGTGTCTCGATGAAACCTAGAATTGTTTGTAATTGTGACATTTGGGCGCGGACAAAGGTTTTGGATTGGCGGAGGTTCTCGAGCGAAGCCTGCATGTCTGAGATGCTGGTTGTGGTCTGCGAGTCCATGGATTGCTCGATTAGGTTGAGGCCCTGATTCACTGAGAAGGCGGATATCGCAAATAACTCTGTGAGTGCGTAGAACGGGTCCTGGTGCGCACAATATGGGTCTAGCAGGCGCCCGTACAGTTTGGATATCGAAGCGTACCCTCGCCATGGCTGCTGGTTGCCGACATGATGTGGCTCAACCAGCGCCGGGCCGACCAGGGCAATCCTGGGGCGATGCAGGTATGTCGGCAAAATCCAGTGCGACTGGCGAGGTATACTAGTAACATCGTTGCCATCTTGTTGTGTCGGGTTAAACACGGTCGCGTCTAGATCGAGGTCGCCATCGAGCCAGCAGAGCGCTGGTTTACATTGATTGTCAGTAAGCGCCGCAGTATGTGAACGGGCTACTCACCCGTCCATCCCCCGTCCTTGGTCTCGACACAGATGTTGAGTTCTTGTTCGACCGTAAAGTATGCCTCATCATTGACCATGACCCCTCGGACGATCGACTGTCCACCTGGGGTCGTCGCTCCCAGTCCTTTGAGGTAGGACCGCGTCTTGTCACGAGCAATGGAACGCTGTTGTGCAAGAGAACCCCTACCCCGAAGAGGCTGATCCAGCGTCCAAGTCCCAATACTAATCAACGGGAGCCGTATAATATTTCTAGACGTTGAGTAAAGACCTGGAAGATCTAGTTGGCGCTCGGGCTGCATGAAGCGAAGGTGTTGACGAAAGAACTCGGGGTCGACTCGATATCGAGACCCGATGAGATTGAGCCACTCTGGTGGAACGAAGCCGTTGAAGAACAGCACTTTACCGGCATCGCAGGCTGGTGCAGTATCGGTGTCCAAGTTCTCGAGTCCGGCGGGGGTAGGCTCGTACTGAAGCTGGTGGAGGACACTGTTTTTGGTGTACTTGTACAGGACAACGAGCGGCTTGTGCTGAGTCTGAGGCGAAAGGGCCACAGATCCATTCTTGGTCAGTGCAGCATAAGGTTGATAGAGGAAGTTGGCGAGAGTGCGATAATTATGCCCAGGAAATAAGCTGAGGTCGGGAGTCGTTCGGGAGTGCAGTAGGATTGTTTGCGCATAGTCGTGGGCCGTCGCTCTGCTTGCCATGGCTAGAACAAAGGCTTTGTTGACAAGGGATGATGGAGAACGGAGTCGTGAGGTTTCCCTGGCAGACGAGGCTGACTTGAGTTGATTATCTGCCAAGAGCTGGAAGCGCCTCACAGCCACGCGGATTCTAATTGGCGACCCTGGGCGTCTACATCATGCACGGTAAGCGCCTAGAGTATTTTTGGTAGAGTTGCGTCCACAAGTCTGTTCCCCGAAACTGGTTGCGGTGCACCGAAGTGCTAGAGATATAGCAGTGGATTAGATATATATATATCCCCCAACCAACCAATCTTGAAAAAGGGCACTGGCCATCGCCTCGCTCACCAGTCTTATTTCGGATAGTAATTAGTGCTTACTGCTTCCTACGGTATACGTTCTAATCAATCTATGATCATGTTCCAAGAGAAGACGAGCATATCATCCAAATGCATCACAATGTACACGTGAAAGTTGCTCAAGAGTTATATACTCCTTAAGGCCACTTAATTTTTCATCAAAGGCAAGGTGGCCGAGCGGTCTAAGGCGCGCGGTTAAGGTTTCTAATTTGGATCCTCATCTGATCATCATCAGTTTCCGCGTCATTAATTTGGCGTGGGTTCGAATCCCACCCTTGTCATCTTTTTTGTTTTTGTATTTAGTTTGTGGGTGGGGTGGCTGAGTGGGGAATAAGTGGAGTGTGTTTGTTAAGATGATTAGATCTGGCTCCTGCCCACACACAATAACCATATGACCTCCTTCCTATGTGCTTCCTTGATCGGGTCTGACGCACCAGCTTCAAATAAGCTGGGGACAGAAACCATTCTTTTACCGAATTTACTGCTTGCAACGTCCCTGTTGATCGACTTTGCGCCCATAGTCCCTGAGTAAAGCCACAACAGCCATTGTCCGACTGTGTAAATTCTTACCGGCCAAGATGACCGCGGTCTTGCCCTTGTCATTCTTCGCATGGACATCAGCGCCTGCCTCGAAGAGCAGCCTGATGACCGGCTCGCTACCCTTCTGCGCAGCAGACATGAGCGGCGTCCATCCCTCGTTCGCCCTCGATTCAAGGTCAGCGCCGTGGTCGATCAAAACCTTGACAGTCGTTGCGCGGCCTTCTCTGGATGCAAGATTGAGCGCAGACCAGCCTTTCGCATTCTGTGCATCCACGTCGGCTCCCTTTCCAATCAGATACTCTATCATGGAATCAAAGCCCATGACGGCGAACCACATTAGCACCGTCCACTGGTCCTTTGTCGCGGTATTGACATCGGCGCCCCGCTCAATGAGCACTCTGATGATGTGCTCGTTGCCTCTGGATGCTGCTAGGCTCATCGCGGTGTGCCAGTAGGGGTCTTTGAGAGTGAAATCGGCCCCCTTTTTGATCAGCAACTCCGCCACTGAAGGATTATTGTACACAATTGCAACCATCAAGGCGGTTTGCCCATCGGCACTCGTCGCATCGATATGGCACCCGTGCTCGAGGAGGACCTCGACGGCCTCATGTATCCCCTTTTCAGCGGCGTATATCAGCGGCGTCCAGCCGTGGCGGTCCCTGGTCTCCATGTCTGCACCGTTTGCGACTAGAATGCGGATGATCGTGTCGTGTCCCCTTCTGGCGGCGAAGTGCAGAGAAGCCATGCCGTTATCCTGCTGTGCGTTCACATCGGCGCCTGCTTCGACGAGAATGAACACGATCTCAGCCCGGCTGTCGCGACAGGCCCACATCAGAGGCGTCAGGCCATTACCCCCCCTTGTGTTGACATTTGCCCCGTGCGCGATCAGTACCTTGACGGCATCTTCCCTGTCAGCGGCCACAGCATATTCCAACGCTGTTGTTCCGTTTTCGGCTTGGCAATTGACATCGGCGCCTTTTGCGACCAGGAATGGGATGATGCTCGTGTTCCCCTCTTGTGCTGCGACCATCAGTGGATTCCACCCCTGCCCGTCATTGACGTGGATGTCGGCTCCGTGCTTGACCAACAGCTTTGCGATGCTGTCCGTGAAATGCGCAATCGCGTGGAGCAGGGGAGAATATCCCAAATGGTCTTTCACGTTGGCGGAGGCTCCGTTTTGAAGCAGTTGGAGGACCACGGCCTCGTTTCTGGCGGTGACAGCCGCGATCAAGGGCGTATATCCCTTGAAATCCTGCGCATTCACATCCGCGCCGCTCTCCAGGAGGAATGAGATGACTGCTTGGTTTCCACTGAGTGCGGCTACTTGCAGCGGGGTCTTGCCCTTGCTACACTGTCGCTCGATTCCGGCGCCCCTCCCGACCAGCAGGCGGACAGTAGACTCGTGTCCTTGAGACGCAGCGAGATTTAGCGGAGTCGCGCCAGCGCATTCCTTGTATCGCACATCCTCCTCATTGGCCTGAATGTCGATTGGTGCTCCATTTTGCAAGCATAGGCGCACTATCCTTTCATGGCCCCAAAATGCAGCCCAAAAAAGAGCCGAACAGCCATCATGCTTGACGTTGTAGGTGTAGCGATAATTCTCAACAGTGCGGTAGAGCTGCGAGTTTGCCTGGCTCAGATGGCTCAGATCTGTCTGCGAGTCAATAGACTCTGCGATGCTCAGTATCAACTCGGTGGGTAGATCAACGAGTCCCATCTGGACCACTATCAACTGGATCTGGCGATGGTGAACGATTTGGAGGAACCAAAGCCCCTCTTTCCTGTTCGGACTAAGTGAATTGAACACGAGGCTGACTCATCCACCATATTGATCGAAGAGAACCTGCCTCAGTGTCGCCACGGCCAGCTTCTGACGTTCTGGAATATCTTTCAGCGTCGCGTGGAGCCGTTTTCTCTACGTGATAAGACGAAGCTAGGGCAGAGGAAGATTCTTGCCTTGTTTCTGGTTGACCGAATAGTGTTATAGTACGGTTATTTCTACAGCGAATGTGCCCGTGCAGAGGGCTGATTGGTGGGATATGAACCGTGGGGGTTCTGAGTATAAAAAAGGCGAACGTCCTACGAGATGAGCTGATAGAGGAGCGCAAAGTTTCCGTTGGAGAGCAGGATTGGGCCTCTGGTCACTGAAGGTTATTATTCTGTGTGAACATTAGGATGCACAGCTCGCCTGTGCCTTTTACGGGTCTAGGAGTTGTGACAGAGACTGCCTCGTGGAAGAACGTGGAGGTATATATGCATACATACTCCCGCTCGTATCAGCTACTCAAGAACAAAGCGTGGAGAACTAAAACACAGCGAACAGCGAGTTATATGATTCAGACATCAAGAAAGATTTGCCCTGTCCGCCGCAGCTGCACTGACGCGGAATCCCTTCCTCGGCGCATGAACGCGAACCGCCACCGCGCCCTCGGTGGTCTCAATCGTGATCTCCCGGCTCGTCAGCCCGACAAGCTTGCCAACCGTCTTGTGTCTCGATCCGCTATCAATTGGCCACACTTGGACCAGTTGACCCCTGTGGAATCCGTTCGCTTGGACGAGGGGATCGTCCGCCTCGATCACGTCTGCGGTGTGGTCTGAGGCGGCCTTGCCGAGGAGGTCTGCGACTTGCTCTCCTGATAGGGAGGTTATCGTTGGTAAGGATTTCTGTGCTGCTGCTACGGCCTTCTGGAATCGCTCCACCCAGGCGAAGACTTTGGGAAAGAGCTGTGGGGAGATGTGCTCTTCTGGAACGGCCCCGGGGGTCGAAAACAGCCAACTCAATGCCCAGGCCGTTTCGACATCTCCCCGACCAGGAGCGTCGGTCTTGGCGAGCCACTCTCTCCCGTCAACCAGCAGAGTAGTTTCCAGAAATTCAATCGCATTCTTCACGGCAACAATCGCGTCAGGCCGGGTCGCCTGGACGACGTCTGCAAAATTCATACTTGGGCCGCCGCCAGCCATGTCCGCGCGGTCTTGCAGGAAAGCTTCATTGTGGATCAACGGAGTCGTTGGAAGGAGCACTTTGACGATGTTCATGAAGAAGCTGGTATCCAGCGTGTAAGAGGCGAGGAGGCGCTCTAGGCCCTGTTGGTCGGGGCTCGCCTGAGATGCGAAAGAGGGTTTCCCAACTTTCAGCCGCTCCAGTCTCTCTAGAATCAGGGGCGAGTCGAGGTAGACATCGCGGCCGATGGACAGGAGCGGGATGCGACGGTAGCGAATGCCGAGGCGGGCCAGATCTGGGCGTGGGAGAATTTGAGGTTGGATCTGGAGATTCAGGGGTCAATTCCTACGTGCGCGACTGAGTGGACATACGCATTGATTGTACGGGATGCCTCGTAGGGCGAGGTACGAGAGCACTCGGTATGAGAACGGGGACCGCGGGTAGTGGAAGAGCACGACTGGGGCGTCGGAGGTCATGTTGAAGAAATGTGGGATGAGCTGCGCGAGAAAGAGTCCAGACTGGAAAAAGGTCAATAATCTCTTGGGTGGTTTACCCCGCTTGCGCTCCTTCAACCATCCTCGGCCCGTCAACACAGCCTCTGTCGTCATGGCTCCAGTAAGCAATCATTGATTGGCTGCATCATGCACAACTTTATCCTCTCAGGTGGTCAGGACAAGGTCGCCGGCATCCCCAGTGCATTCTCAAACCACTGGTCATCCCCAAGATCCATCGACTGCAGCCATGCCATTTGATCTAGATCCGGAATATGGTGGCGGCCACCATCAGGGGTCTGAGACGATACATTCCACCGCGCTTCCGCCCACGCGCGGCACCTGGCGAGGAGTTTAGTCAAGTATTTGAGTAGATGGTCATCGCATTGGAGCTCCGGCTCTCTGCTGGTGACGTCGAGTTTCTGAAGCATGCTGTCCAGCGTCGAGATCAGGTGGACCGTGTTGCGCACAGCCTGGCAATCCCAGTCGGGGTCTCGAAGCGTCGAGAGGTACTTGAGGAGGGTGACTGTCAGAATCATTTGGGACCAAAAGTGAAACGGCTGGCCAATAAGCTTTGCGCTGGGAATGGTGTAGAAGGTGTCCAGCCATGCCTTGATGTTCTCAACCGATCGCCATAAACACTCGAGGCGTTGGAATCCTAATGGTACCCCGCCGGTGCCAGCTCGGCCAAATTCCTCCGGGGATTGAGGCTCGTGGCTGATAGAGTACCCCATTTGGTTGATATACAGCTCGACATACTGAGCGTGTGTGTTCAGGATGTCTGCATTCAAACCGGTTAGGAACCTTGCTGAACGAAGTATAAAATGCATGCCTGGAGATACAACCTACCGATCTGTTGCAAATCGGGGGCAACGGAAGCCCGTAGTTCGTGGAGCTGCCTTCTCAAAGTCCTGAGGTACAGCAGGCGAGGAGCCGAGGCCGCATCATTTTCCGTCCCCAGGCTACTCTCATCCTGTTGCCGGATATCATCCGCTCGTTGTTTTAATCGCTGCAGGCGGATCTGGGAGAGGAAGAGCCTGTCTGCAGGGCATGCATCGGTGATCTCAATGACCCGAAGTGCTTCTCCCATCTGCGGTGTCCATCGGAGCGCGTCTTGGCGCCCAAGATGTGAGGAGACGCTAGAACCCTGATATGTTAGCATAGAGCACGCTGGTCCATAGGTAACGGAAATGATGCGCACTTTGAGCTCAAGAAGAAACATGCCAGCACCGCCCGCTGCTTCTCCAACAACGCATAAGGCGTTTCAGATGGGAGATGGCCATTCTCATCCGCGCGGCCTTGGGTGATGGCCATGATGAGCTGGACGTCGAGCGAGGAGGGCTTGAAAAGTCGGAGGTCATACACCAAGGAAATGGCGAGCATCATCAGGCGAGAGACGAGATCTGCACCACCAAGAAAGGGATCGGTGCTCCAGGCGAGGTACGTGAGGACTCCCAGAAGGAGGTCGATGTTCGAATCAACGTTGGACCACGCGGATGAGAATAACAGACGTTTCAATTCTTCGATTTTCGTCAGCCGCTCATTGGTCGAGAACGTCGTAACGGTGTGAATGGCGCGCAGAAGGAACGGCCTGTGCTGGCGTAGATAGCCGCTTGTCATGGCAGGACCCAGGTCGAGAAATGGAAACGAAGGCAACATACGAGTCCGAAAGAATTCCAGCTGGTCGTCTATCTGGGTCAACGATGGGGAAGGCGTTGACTGATACTGATTCGACAAGTATACAGGATCGGGGTTGGGCGAGACAGTTGCAGTCGGTCCCTCGCTGAAGTCCAGCGCAGTGCTGGCCGGAGTCACCAACGGAGCATTCGCCGTGTTCACATTATTGCCCGTGGTGGAACCGATGAACGACTGCATCACGGACAGCAGGTTCTCCAGTTTGTCTTCCAGGCGAGCGATGCGTCTGTCAGAGACGCTGGTTATCGGCGCGTTGTGGCCATTGTGAAGGTTGCGCCTGCGAACCGACTCGGACGGCTCGCATCGCTTCTTGAGGCGCAGGCACCGCTCGCACGTCTCGCCGCTTCTTGCCCGTACGCAGCGGCACTTTGCCTTGTAGCAGTGGGTGCAGGCCTGGCCATAGGCGCTCGACTGAGGTGATCTCTCCATGGCGATGACTGCCCAACTCGAATGCAATGACGGTCGGATTTGAATTGTCAGACGTGTCCCAGTCGCGGAGATTACGCCCCCTTAATCCCGAATTCCACCGGAGTTTGTCCCGAAATCCGGCCACCCCAATTCCTGCTTGTTTCCCAACTCCGATATGCTGAGATCATACTCCAGCCGCTTGAAAGCTGTAGAAAATACCAACCATTGTGAAAACGTACCGTAGTAAGGATCAAACGGACTTCGGTCCTATCATGTGTCATCGCCATGATATGACCAAGTAGCTTTGACCTCCTGGGGGTATAATTAGTGCAATGGGCGTGATTCTCAGCCGGAAATCGTCAGTTATGCTTCATACGCCAGACTCAACATCAAAATGGCTCCGAAAAACCAAGCAGCCTGGATCCCAGCGAAAAACGTACGACCGTTCCAGGTCGGCGACGCCCCCTACACACCCCCGGGCACCGGCCAGCTTGTTGTCAGGAACAAGGCCCTGGCCATAAACCCATTTGACTGGGTACTGCAATTTATCGGCCCTATCCTCGCAGGCTATATCAAGTATCCCTTTGTCCTCGGTACCGATGTGGCGGGAGAAGTTGTCGAGCTTGGACCAGATGTGACGCGCTTCCACGTCGGCGACCGCGTGTTTGGAAGTGCTACGGCGATTGCAAAGACGGTCAATAGCCCGGCTGAAGGGGGTTTCCAACTGTATACGGTCATGCGAGAACACATGTTGGCTCCAACTCCTTCTCACTGTACGGACGAACAGGTTTGTGTCTTGGGCCTGGGCCTGGGAACTGCAGCGTACGGTCTGTTTCACCCCGATTATCTGGGTCTCGAGATGCCGAGAATACCGGCTCCGACGGATGTTCGGGGTGAGCCGGGCAAGTTACGGACTGTGATCATTACCGGCGGCGCGTCCAGTGTCGGAAGTAACGCCGTCCAGCTCGCCGTGTCCGCGGGATACCAGGTTATCTCGACTTCATCTCCCAAGAACTTTGACTACGTGAAGGATCTTGGTGCGAGATATGTGTTCGACTACAACAGTGCAACTCTGGCTGAGGACATTCTTCGGGCTCTCAAGGATAACGAACTGGTCGGAGCCTACGCCATTGGTGACGGTGCTGTCGAGGCATGCACAGCAGTGATGCAGCGCCATGATACGCATCTCACGAGGAAGCGCATCGCCCTCGCTGGCGGCACAAACCAGAGTGACCGACTTACGACCTTCGCCGGGAGAGCAATGTTTCTTGCTGGCATGATTGGAGGCGTGCTTACCTCCACTGTTCGACGGCTGAGGACTGGAGTTGAAGTCAAGTTCATTCTTGTCGACGGCCTAGTGGATCCCGACAGCGTGGTGGCTCGCGTGTACACAGACTTCCTTCCACAGGCCCTTGAACAGCGTCAGTTCGTGCCGGCGCCTCCTCCTCAGGTTGTGGGTAAAGGTTTGGACAAGATACAAGACGCATTGGATTTACAGAGAAAAGGTGTCTCGGGGAGGAAGATTGTCGTGACACTGTAATAGCCGAATGGAAAACTAGCTCAATCGAACAATCTTGTTAAAAATAGGAACACAATCCATGTCGCTTTATTGTTCATCATGTCTACTGTATGATAGCAATGAGCCTTTTGCAAAGGTAAGTATGTTACAACTTCGAGCAGGAGCCGATCATGTTCCTATCCCAGCCGAAGACTATGATTTCACTGGTTTTAATTGCGGCTGTCATTCAAGGTTGGAAAGGGGCATCAAAACAGAAGAGTGGAATTTGTGGTATGCACCGAGGGTGCAAGGTCTAGAATTCTATCAACATAGTCAATACCCAGCATAGGTTCACTGGTCTTAGTAGAACAATCGCGAAGGCGAAAAGTATAGAAGAATAAGCGAAATCGAAGATCCGTTGCCTTCGCCGGTATTCAGGGGCTATAGGGACGTTAGGGGACGAGTTATATGCTCTCTCAGCCCTGAGCCACACTTTGATCACGGTCAGCAGGCTTGCTAGTAAGCGTCTGAAGATCTTTCGTCTCGCGAATATCCTTCCATCCCAGCCCCGGAGAAAAGAACAAGACAGCAACGCTGACGGCAATACCAAGGTACATGACATGGTCAATGCTCTTGGCATAAGCCGCAAGCACAGCCGTAAGCTCCGAGCCCGAGACCAGGTCTCGAATGGAACGGACTCCAGCGGCGACAATGGCGTCTGGAGGGATCCCGATCTGTGCGGCGCGCTGCTGGAGTTGCTCGCGAAGGCTGTTGCTGAAGATGGCGTTTGCGGCGATGAGCGAGGCTGCTGCACCGATGTTCTGCCAGAAGATTATAATCGCCATGGCCTGGGGAATCTGTTCGGGCACGACGAGGTTTTGGATGGCAATGTAGGGCTAGTAAGAAGAGGAGGTTAGCAAACAATATATGTGCCTGGAAGGATTAAACTGACTGCTGCCGCGCTGCACCCGCTTGCGACACCGTAGAGAATCTGATACCCGATCCACTGGGCAACAGATGTTGTTGGGCTGAGCGTCGACAAGAGCCCGTAGCCAACGGCGGATATTGCACCCCCTGCAAGAAGGAAGGGAAGATAGTATCCCAGAACAGAGACTGCGAGGCGACGGCAACTGTTAGAGGCACGGAGAAATGACAGGGAGACGATCGCACTTACTCAAGACACCTGACACAATGGTAAACAGAACCAGACCAAGCGTGATAGGAAGCATATGCACGCCGCTCATCAAAGGGGAGTCGTCACGGATGGCCTGAAAGTAGATTGCAATGTAGAAGTCGGCCACAAGGACACTGGACAAACTGAAGAACATGGTCATTGCAGCCGACCATATAACGCGGTGTTGGAGCATCGCCAGGGGCACCATGGCCCGGTCTCCCTGGCGGTATTCCCAAGCCAGAAACGCCGCAACCGTGGCTGCAGCTCCAACCAGTAAGCCAATCACCACCGAACTATCCCAGGGGTGCTCGTTTCCGCCAAACTGGAGTCCAAGCAGAAGCATAACAACGGCGGGGCAAATGAGCATAAACCCGGCAAGGTCGAGCGACTTGACGGCGGACCCCAGGATTTGGAGGGGTGGGCTCTTGGGTTTGGGCTCTGGGATTGTATTGAACAGAAGGAATCCACCGACTATCACGCCGAGTGGGAGGTTGATATAGAAACCTACACGAGCAAGAACAGTCAGTCTGCGATTCGCGACGCGCATAGACGAGAAACATACACCATCGCCACGATACGTTTGTCGTGAAAGCTCCTCCAATAATGGGCCCCGTTGCAAGGCCCAGTTGACCCATACCCATGTTTAATCCCATGAATAACGCTTGCTTCTTTGTCGGAAGGACGGCGGAAATGGTTGTCACGGCGCCGTTGGACATGCCAGCAGACCCAACGCCCGCAATGACACGCCCGACGATCAACATGGCTGATGACTGGGCTGCACCGCACAAGGCAGATCCAACTTCGAAGAGCACAAAAAAGGTGAGGAATGTCCACTATAGGATAGCGTGGTCCCCTATCAGCGCGATGGCTATGAGTTTAGCAGCGGGCCAGGACATACCTTGATCGAGAATTGACTGTAAATTTTTCCGGTTAATGGCTGAAACGCTGCGCTTCCCAACTGGTAGGCGCCACCGTACCAACCGACGTCCACTAGAGAGTCGAACTCGGAAGTGATTGCCGGAGTGGCTGTTGAAAGGACAGCGAGATCGAGGAAGAAGAGGAAATAGGCCAGAGTCACCGAGGTGAGGATAAGCGTCACCGCAACTCCCGAAGGATACTCGTGCTTGAGCTCGGTATCTTGGCTGGAAGAACTCTTTTCTGCACCATCATGCTTCTGCATTGAGTCGGATACCTCTGGAGATGGCTCATGCAGGCTGTAGGGTACTGTCTGATCCATTTCGTCTTGATGGCGTTGCCGTGCGTGTAGAAGCCAAAGGATGAACACAATTTTGATTGTCGAATACGATCCCAGCTATTGCCTGACATTTAATATACCAGACGGCCTTCCTTGCAAGCAGCGGAAGCTTGTCCCCGAAATCCGCGATCAACCCCAATACAAGAGAGCAAAGGGGTAAGCCGGAGCCTGTTTCCGAAATCCGTGCCTGGAGCCTGCTGTTCATGGTTGGAATTGGGAGATTGCGCCGCCTCAGACTAAAACGATTCAGAAAGGACAAAGGGCTACGAAAGATCCCAGTCTCTGGCTATATTCTCATGCGAGAAAAATGCTCCATTCCAAGAACTAACGTCCTACCGCGCCGGTTGAGAACTCGTCCTCATCTCGACATCCTCAGGCGCACGATAATTCAACTGCCGCCCGGAAACAACCTTACTGGGGTGGAACACATTAAGCACGACACAACAAATGAGCATGAGCAACGCATCTAGGATATAGATGAGTGCCTCCTCCCTGGCCAGCGCCCCGTCCATTCCCTGCGCGTACTCGGCAACCCGGTACACTGACCGGATCATGATAAGCGCGCTGATAAAGTACAAGATCCTGAGGTATTTGATCCAGGGGATGGATGTGCCCATCTGGTGCAAGGGTGTCTTGAGCATGCGGCAATGGAAGATGATCGAGGTGACAATAAAGAGGCCGAAAAAGACAATCTGCACCAAGAGGCCACCCAAGATCATCGTCTGGCCCAGTTTGGACTTGTGGGCGGTTTTGGCGGTGGCCAAGATTCCACCACCTGCGTTAGGTCAGTATCAGAGTCAAAAGAATCAAGGGATCGAGTGACAGACCGCCGCCTTGAAGCATAAACGAGAGGACGTCGCCTGCAACAAAGATTTTGCTCAACCAGTTGACCCGGATCGGCGAGATGGAGCTGGCATTTAGCACGCGGATGATCCGACCGAGGAGCATATAGATTGAGGCAGCAAACAGCGCTGGACCAAGGAGGATGAGGACTTGCTGTCCAACGTAGGGCTTCATTGTCCAATCGGGCGTTTGTCGCGCACTGATACGTACCCGAGTGCCTCGACTAATTGTATTAGCAGTTGATTCGGTCACGTTTTGGAAGACATACAAAGTGCGCCGATAATAAACGGAATCATGTACCATGTCCGCGGGCGGATGGCTTGCCAGATGTGAATAACGCTCGTGAGGGCGAAGAGGACGGCAAAGGGGATCGTGGCGATCACCGAGGGCTCGTAGTGGTAGTACTGGTATCCCATCGTGACTGCGGATCTGAAGCTAGAGTTGGGGCTGATCACAATGCTGTTTCCAGACCAGGGACTCCTTATATGCACTGCACACCCTAGATTAGAAGCAAATTCCAGAATAGGGGTTGGCAACTGAGACAGGGCTGTATCCTCGAGGATCTAAACATTCTGAAACGTGCCACTACTCCATAAACCAGAAGGACAAAAGAAGAAGTGGACCGCCGAGCTGCCAATCATGGATGCTAAGAAAGGTGAGACAGGGACAAGTTTGCGATCCACTCTGCACTGCCCAGCGTCCTCGGAGTCGAGCCGAGTTGGATTTACCAACAGTCTAGATCATGGTAGGTCCATTGCTTCTGAGTTCGTTGCCCAGTGCCCATCCTCTTGATGAGACCGTGTAAGACCGAGAACTTCAATTGCAACCCGTCCTATGAACTCACCTCAAATCCGATCATACAGTAGGTTTCAACGACACCTGATCTCGGCGGTGTCGTTCTATAATTTCTTACCTGGTTACGGATGCGCTTGCAAGGGGTTTTATTAAGGCGCGTTGCATCGGGACATGTTGATCTCTAGAGTGGAAGTCGTAGGTCTCAAGTACGGAGTACGCAGTAGTCTACGTAGTCAGATACTTGATGGGCGGATAGCAGGAACAAAGATAGTGATTGTCTTGAGAAGTACAACATATAGCCTTCCTTCCCAAGTTCACCTTCACTCCATAGGCTCCGTGCGTTGATCATTGCAAATATAGTGCGATGTGGAGACTCACGGTGGAGCTCAGCGGACACCGGTGCACTGAGTGACCTGAATAGGCATGGTTTACGATAGAGTACGGAGGACCCCAGTAGGATGGACAACTTGAATGGGTATAGTTTACTAAATGGCTCTGATGATCAGCATCTACCTTCGCACCAACTTTGCCACGCCGAACACATTGCTAGCACAGGTCCCATTTCCATGCAATGTTGGCGTACGATACATGGAAGATATTATTAGTAGCTATATTGTATCTGCTCAGGCTCGCTGTGGATTTGATTGGGGAAGCAAGGGTCCACCAAGGCAGTAGATCTAATTCTACTAAGTAGGCCAACCTAGGTTGATTTAGATCTGAGAACAGCAAAGTCGTCTTCTGTAATATTAACTGAGACTTTCTAGGGCAGCGACTGTCTTTTTCTATTTCATTGCAAAGGAAATCTACGCCAGGGATAATATGATCTCCCCATGGGGCCAAGCGCTGAACAACGCCCCGGACCTGTCCAACGCACTTGAGAAAGACCACCCCCTGTTCCTACGCGAGAACCACCCGGATTGACTTCCGAAACGGAGATACAGGAAACCAAGCGCTAGTATAAGAATGATCCTCTATGCACGACCAAGGCATATCTCGATGAGACCGAAGGACACGAAGTCGAACGATATCTTTCGATACGAGACTCATACAGGACATCAATTGGAAAGTATTGGATGGGATTAACATTGTGAAGGCTATAACCGCAGGCGAGAATATTCTGTTTGGATCTCGGCGAGGACAATGGTTTGATCATTAGGTATAGCTTGACACGAATATGCTCATAGATGGCGTAGGGTTAAATGGCTTCCTTCCCACTGTCCTATTCTTGATGCAACCTTTAAGAGACGGTAGAGTTCCTGACGGTCAGAGGCCCCAGGGTCTTCAGCGGGTACTACTCCAGGTTTATTTGCATTCTAGGCCAGTTCTAGCACCAACATCGCGGCAATCTATTGTCATGTTAATTTTGCATTACCTTTCCCTTGGTGTTGTTTCATCCGTTACTTACGCCCCCCCCTGGATGGGGCCATCAGTAGATGGTGTGCTGAAGTAACCACATGAGTCGCGGGCCTTTTTACCGGCATTGTTGGGCTTTTGGCATGCAGCAACTGTGCGAGGGCGAAAGAGGTCAGCAATGGTTTTGGGCATGTTAATAATACCGCCTGGACATTAATAAGAGCTTACCTGGATTAAGGGCAACCGCGGCCGCTTGGCCTACAGCAATAGCGACAAGCAGAAGAGTCTTGTAGTACATGTTGATTGTGGGAAGGGATGGAGAAGCAAGGATCTGGGAATAGTGCGTGTGTTCTGGTTTATTGTTGCCGTTACCCTGGGCAGCCCTTGGGTTTTATGCGAGGACTAACACCCGGAGTAGATGACGAGATCTGATTTTGTACAGCCAAATTTAGACTTTGTCTCACGGACAGAGCTATCCGATGAGAGCTTTGTAAATCGACAGACGGTTACTGGGATGGTGTCGTCGTATCCGTATTCAACCAAGCGAGTTACTATGGCGTACCCGCTACAATGGTACGATGATATTTAGAATACGCTTTTTACATCTGTTTAGCTCTTCTCAGATACGCTACAATACCCGATCTAGAAGGCGATCACATAGCCACGGGATGTGGTGCTTTAAATACGCCATACGTTTACAGGTACGGGCCCCAACCATGAAGCCTGCAGAATTGATTGTATACCAAGATATCAAGAACCTAAAACGCCACGAGAGTGTAGATCACGAAGCTAAACTAGTATCATTGACGGGCAGTGTTTTATGAGCTCAGTGAGGTCATACTCACATACGCTCTACCATTTATGGTGGATATATTATCGATTACTATGAACAACAGTTGGTGAGCTTAATAAGAAGATGTGGTGTCACAAGCAACAAGAAGAGTATCAAATCGTCTGACAGATACTATACCGGCTATTTATATGTCTAGCTCATCCATTCTCCGCGCTTATAATGATAACGTTACACAAGAGCACCCAAATATCATTGGTCTCGTATCAGTGTTCAATCTGCCCTCTCCATGGAGCCTCGCAATAACCAGGGCCGAGGCTATGATATGCGGATACCAACGGGGCAATGCACCTATCCTATTCGTAAGCAGGAAGAAGGATTGTTGGTAGTAACTTGATTATCGGTAACATGTCTACATACGGTGCAGAGCGAAAGCGCAACCGAGAACCACAATTGAAACAGATGACCAGCTGAGATTCCCGTAGAGACTAAACCTGAGATCCCCGGCGTCCGCCAGTACCTTCAACAACACATGCCTTCGCATGCACCTCAGTCTAGGTCTCGTCTAAAGGGGCTGGGGTGAGCAGTAGAGACCGTTGCCAATGGCGCTGCCCGACCAGCAGGCTGATATTTAGGGTTAGTCCATAACTGGCTTTGAGATGGAGTGCGACGTGTGCGATGGACTCACTGCCGTCCTTTATTTTACTCGAATCCGAATAGCCCAGGACCCATGTGCACCCGTTTCCAACTTTCTTGAAGCCGTTTCGGGGCGCTTGGCAGGCAGAGTCTATACAGCAGAGGAATACATATTAGCAATGTCTCTCGGATGCAAGGATAGCGGCACACTTACAGATATCAGTGGCATATGCTTCAGTAAGAGCGGGAGCTAGAGCTGCAAGTGTGGTGAGGAGGCCGGTGATCTTCATCTTGCGCGGCAAAAAGTAGACGGCTTCCTAATTGCGTATATGGTAGAAGATGGTAATAGAATAGATAGGAGCTATCAAGTATGTTGGCTTATTTATGAGAGGAGTTGGACGATTTTATAATATTCGCAATCATCCAAGGAGCAGAGTCTTGAGATGGTCAATCGAATAAGATGATAAAACGTTTTTTGAGATAGGATATAGACTTGCAAAACATTTGACTTAGAGCTATCATACGTATACGTCGTATGCCTGTGCAAACTCGAGCTGCAGCCTCCAAATCCTTTGTACATATACGTCGCATATCACACCACCCTTCTCGCCGCTGGAAGGGAAATCCCTCGAATCATCCTAGAGGCAGTGAGTGAATAGTACGGTGAGCCTTAATGCAGAAGGAACCCGAAAAGAAAAGATAATAATCATACTTGTTTCATATATCTTTCCGGCTCACTTGATGGTTATTTAAGTGAGCTCGATGCCCTGCAGGCTTTCCACATTTTTAACAACATCGTTCACTATACTATAAAAGAGTCCTGTGCCTGCACGAAAAATGGTCCGTCTCTTCTCAGCATTGCAGCTACCGTGGGCCTTGCTGCTGCCGTTGGGGCAAACGAACCGTCCGAAACGTCTATCCGAATTGACGACCTTGTCGTTGTTGACGGAGCCGTCCTAAAATTCAACCCAATCGACGGGCTGAACGAGACAACCCGTGACCCCGAATGGCAACTTCAGTACTTGAAGGCCGCCATGGACTACGAGTTCTACGAAGAGAATGAGCTCCAAGAAAGCCACCTTGAGAAAAGGTACAGTGGCGAGTCTATTTGTGTCAGTGTGCAGCGATGCCATGGACTTTATATCTCTTTTATCTTAGAGTGCCCAGACTAAACTACGCAATCCGCTCAGTTTACTTGCATGATCCACCACATTCAGATTGCTCGGGTTCATGGGTTGTCCGTCAGCAGGACAAGCGTGCGGGGGACCTGCTGGCGGTATTGCGGAGCATATACCTTGGCCACTATGGCGGACAACGCCACCCAATGGGGTGTTGAAGTATTCGGCCGGTGGTATCACGGTACTAAAGAGTATAATCTCTGGGAGGGTGTGGCGGAGCACTAGAAACTACTTTTCTACCTATTCTACTACAAGCCACATGGTGTATCTAACGCCGCCTTTGCAAACTGTTGGGTGGCATGTTTAGGACTGGGTAGGATGAATCTTTCGACCTTCCTTGTTGTCTTTATATGATCTGCATATTTATATAACATAACGGAATCAGAAGGATCAGTTGTAAAGTATGCTTGACTAGGGATCACGCAGGAGTTGGGCCCAGGATGCTTGGCACAGACCGATGACAGGGTCAATTGCGACGGGGGATGTGGATATCTGCAACGAAACGTTCCCTCGGGCTTCGGAATCTATCTTATCTGGAGAGATTCGGCTCGTTCGTGCTAAAGGAAGGGGGGCTGCAACGAAGGCGTGAAGAGCCCAGCGGCTTCCTGACTATATTTCTCTAACTGCGCATGTTGCATGTCCACATTTTGCAGAACCCGGAGATCAACTCTTCTAGATTCCTTGTAATCTGCCTTCTCTACTACGGAATCGTCACGCTGGGAAGAGAACAATGTCCAAGAACCACCAGATTGTGTAGAGGACGGTCTTAAGGTCCTCGCACCAAACTTGGTGATATCAAGCAGTCGAGCATTCAGGACTGATACTCCAAAAATGAAAAGTACTGATCAGAATACTTTTCCCCATCCGCATCGAAGTTTCCCACCCCACGCTGCCCATTATCATAGATGACCGTCCGCGAGTAGTTATTACGCAGGCGAAAATACCCCTGAAACTGCCCGCTGCCAGGCTCAAAGACAAAATACTGGTCCTCGTAATAGCTCTTCTCGTACATGCCGATAGCGCCACGCTTGGAATAGATGACCTTTTGGCTGGCTGAGCTGCGGATGTAGTAGGTGCCGGGTGTTGGGGCGGGCTCGAGGTAGAACCATTGGTCCGCGTAGATCTGGCCTTGAGGATAGTCGACCAGACGGTCGTCGGATTTGGCGACGAGGACTTTGGAGCTTTGCAGGCCAGCCAGACGGAATTTGCTTCCCGGCTGAGGGATGGCAGAGGTTGAGATGGTTGTGGTCTCCATTGAAATGGGTTGGAGGTATTTCGCGGATAGCTTTGCTGTACGAGATGAGATTGTCTCGTTAACCTAAAGTGCTTTATTACTTTGGAATGCTCATCTGACCCTCACGACCCTGATCGAAATTAACCGAAGTTCAGCATTGACCGTGTAACCTGGAGACCATCAAAAACATATGCCATGCTACACCGTTGTAGGATGGTGCAGATAGTAATGCAACGCCGGCTTCATATCACAGGGAAAAGTCGCCGAACGGTCCCTCAAGAGCACACTACTAATGCTGCAAATGTTCGACTAGAACAGCTTCTGCTCAGCTGGCGGCTTATAGCACTCGTGCATCAGCTCAACCTTTGGCGACTGCCTCAGCGAGCACGAACAATCAGCCATCATATGCTATCTGGCAATGGAGTGTGGCATCGACTCGGAGGTGCGTGAGTTGGGTGTCACCAAAGTTCCTGTATAATATTGTAACCACCATTTTTTATATATTCTTCCACACCATGATAGTATCTGTGCAGAAAATCATGGGCGTGTAACCTCCACTATCGCAATATATATTCTGGTCAGGATATACTGAAAACGTGTGCTGTAAATACCATTTGGTGGTCATTTGGCTCGTTAATGATGAGTTCTCCAAGGGCAGGAAGAGACTCGCCTTGGGCTTAACCTGGATGTACACAAGGTTTGATCGCGACCCGACCGACAACTGCAGAGCCATGTGCCGTGCTGATGATCATTGTTGGAGACACATCAGGAGCCGATCTCGTGTCACGAACCTCTTCGGGTTGAGAATTCTGATTTGCCAGGACGAGGATACGTCTCAATGCTTCGGAGTTTCCGTTGGGATGGTCGAATCAGCATCCTTGATGATTGTGCTCTGGTTTGGCCGATGACCTCAGCGGCTGGAGACAGCAGGTTGACTGGACTCTTGGAGACCGATTCCGACCAAAGATCAGCCTCCCCCTGCCTTGTTCCGCTCTAGTGCTTATTATCTGGTCGCTCTTCATCAAATTTTCCCCCAGCCTGGCCTGCAGATGTGCCCAAGGGTCTCATCTGGAGTACAGGATGAACACTGGTCTCAGTCTCGAACCCTAACGCGCCATCACAAACCATTTCTCTGTCTCTGAGGATTTTCTGGACAGGGGATTGAGACTCGAGAGAGACTGAACACCGAACAGGTCCAAGAGGATTCCTCAGGTCCACAGCGGGAGAAAGTTTCCAGGGGACTTGCCACGTTAACTGAGTTTGTCCTTGGCGTGGTGATAGTACGAGTGATCGTTGCTTGTTTGGTGCTAGCGAGATCTAGTGCGAGATGTGGTGGAGCTGCTGATCGATCTGTCCGATTCAAATAGGAGCAAGTCCGCCTCGATGCAAAATCAATCAGTCCAACATGTTTTCCCACGCCGTCAAGTCCCTCGTGGCCGCGCTGGCCTTGGGCGCCGCCGTCGCGTCCGCAACGAATCCTGTCAGCTCCAACGCAATCATGAGCCGCCGACTCACCGAGTACCTGATGCCCGTCACGACTGCGACGCACGAATTCGCGCGGGTGCCCAACGCAAACTTGATCCTCCTGACCCAAATGTCCAACAGCGAGCTTGTCAAGATCGAACTCGATGCAGCCACCGAGGAGCCCATCGCCTACCACTCGTTCCCCATGGGCCAGAACAACCAGTCGATGCTTCACGGCGTGTGGCCATCGACCAAGTACCCCGGACTCGTGTGGCTGTCGCTGCAGGCCGACAACAAGCTGCTGCTCGTCGACCCCGGCAAGAACCTCTCGAGCGTCCCGAAAATTCGAAGGACGATCGATATTCCCAAGCCCGGAAAGGGTCCACACTGTGTGTTTGAGATTGGCGACCGCGTGTGGGCGGGTCTGAAGGAGGCGTCGGAACAGACTGGCGAGTACTACGTCTTCTCGGCCGACATGCACCGCAACTCGACCAAGCTATACCAGTGCCTCAACAGCCCCGTCTTCATCGCCGAGGAGCCCGCTACCGGCCTGTTCTACGCGACCCAAGACAACGACTCGTCAATCATGCGCATCAACGTCACCAGCGGCGAGACGAGCCAGATCCCAATCCCACCAAGTGTCGGCAACAATGCTGTCGGTATGATCTCGATTGCTTCCGGCCCCTTGCGCGGTGTCTGGTTCACTCTCGCTGGCAACGCCACCGGGGGCACCGGTACCTTTGGCCATATTGGAGCTGAAGGCAAGATCAAGTTCTTCTCGCTTCAGCACGAAATCCTCGGCGGCAATGCTGGCTTGCTACACCTCGCGGATGCCTCCACTGAAGCCGATGGCCCAGCCTTGTGGCTGCTGTCGACCTCGCTGCTCAGCACTAACTCGCCCGACGCCCTGATCCGCGTCACCTTTGACGACTCCATTTCGTCTGTTAACGGTGAAGAGTACATCTCCATGCAGACGCAGAACGCCAAGGTGCACCGTGTTCTGCCTCTCAAATCCTCCGTCATGGTTTCCGAGCTCAACACTTTCACCCTCGCTCAGCTCAAGTACAACAACACCGTTGCTGGGCAGTGGCTGCCAGCTGAGCTTGCCAGTGACGACACGGTCTACGCCGAGGCTGGTTAAAGGGGGAACATCCGTTATTTGGAGTTCTGTCATTGGAAGCTGTTCCTGGTATTTAGAATATAGTCGGTGGTTGATTTAGTCCTCAGGGCTATCTCTAGATCCCACCTAGAGTAATCCATAATAAACATAATGAACTATCCAAGATAACACGACATGGTCCGGCTAGCACCCGGCAAGCTCTCCTTGTCGCGACCTGATGTTATTTCATGTGCTAATATCTCGCCCGAATCTTGCCGACACTGCAAAAGCTAAACACGCACAGCGTACTCGATACCCAACCCCAGCAACCAAAATATACTCGCCATCAAACAAGATGATTTGGCACGCGACTCGACACCTGCCGGTCCCGTCTGCAGCGATGCTCTCAGGAACGTCCAAAAGCCCACAATGTGCCCACCGACAGAAAAAACCACAAACGGCGCCCGAAGCCCACCGAGCAGGCCTCCGAACAGCAAGGCCAGGGTGCTGATGGCGAAAAGCGAATAGGCCAGGGTGTCTATACAATCTCGGTATCGCACCGCCATGCTCTTCACGCCGACCTTGAGATCCTCCTCGGTGTCTTGTCGCGAATACACCAGGTCGATCAGAACAATCACGGTCGCGATGAACACGCACAAGCAGATCGATGACAGAATCTGCCTGCCAGGCTCCACACCCAGGCTGTGCATGGCCATGGGAATTGCCCAGGCGATGTTGACGAGGATGAGCTGGGGGTGATCGGTGAAGCGCTTCCCGAAAGGGTACAGGAGTGCGAAGAAGACTTCAATGCCGGCCTCAAATGCGCATTGTCTGGGGAGGAAGAGAAACAGCGAACAGCCGAGGGCGAAGAGACATGCTGTGAAGATGGTTGCTGTGGGGAGCGAGATGGCGCCTCGGGCCAGAGGGCGGCTTTGGGTGCGCGAGATTTGTCGATCGATATCGACGTCGATCAGGTCGTTCCAAGCGCAGCCGGCGCTGCGGAGGATAAAGGACCAGAGCGTGAGCAGGAGGAGGCGATCCAGCAGCAGGTCGAGGGGCAGCTTTGTTGGGGCAGTTGCGGCACTGTATGCGATTCCCACTACATAGGGAGAGGTGTTGAGGTAATAGCCCAGGGCACGGTGGACGCGCAGCAGCTCTCCATAAGGAACGAGGGCGGCAGGGAGATAACTGAGTAGGCCCGCTTTGGGGTGATGGCTTTTTGATCCTGGATTGACGGTCATTTTTTGTTTGCGTACGAGGGTTGGGTACTGGAGAGATGAGGAGGAAGGTAGGAAGAATTACAAGAGGTCAAGACTTTGGCTATTTCGCAACGCAGAGGATGCCCTCTCTAAGGAGACTCGGTATCGCGTTTACTCGGACATCAAGGGTATATTATCCGATAGCCTACGCAGCAAGGGGGCATGTCGATGACAGGGTCGCGGCAATCATGCTGAGAATGCGAATAGCAACAGATCTTGTGAAGGCCATCATGGTCGATTGTGGGACAAGTGCTATATTCCTGCATGCACATAGCAAGGATGAGGCCAACCCCTTGTCAAGAGTGGGCGCTGGTCTTATTTCCTACCGGCCAATAAAGCACCGCACATCTCTCAAGGGATCCTTATGGTATGATTTATGCACGCAGCATAAAATGGCCCTCGCAGACACTGAGCGGGCTGGACTCGGTTTTTCTACTTCCTATAATTAACAGGCTGTAGTTAGATGATAAAGAAGTGCACTTGCATAGCACACCAAAGAGCCACAATGAGTGATACATCTGCGACCAAGACTGAAATTCGGGTGATAATAGTCGGAGGGTCTGTCGCTGGCCTGACGCTGGCACACTGCCTGGCGAAAGCAAACATCAGTCATGTAGTGCTGGAAAAGCGCGCCGAGATCAGTCCGCAAGAGGGCGCGTTCCTAGGCATCTGGCCCAATGGAGGCCGAATCTTTGACCAGCTGGGTGTCTATGCTGACCTGGAACAATGCACGGTGCCGATACACACGATGAGGGTGCGATTTCCAGATGGGTTCTCCTTCAGCAGTGAGCTGCCGAGATGTGTCCAAGAAAGGTGTGTTGCCTCTAAAAAATGTGTGCATTTGATACCGACGGGCATTATAGGTTCGGATATCCGATTGTATCCCTCGATCGCCAGAAAGTCCTGGAGATTCTCCACGATCGCTACCCGGCCAAGTCCAACATCCACATCAACAAGAGGGTAACTGAAATTCGACAAACCGAGCGGGAAGCCCAGGTGGTCACAGACGACGGGGCCGTATACAAGGGGGACTTGGTCGTTGGGGCGGATGGGATACACAGTGCAGTGCGTGCTGAAATGTGGCGGCAGGCCAAAGGTCTCGTTGGTCGACGAGATGGACAAGGTGTGCTTTTCGACATCTCCTCGTTGCTTCAGACGTTAATGATGAGCTTGCAGCATTTGCGGTCGAATATGCCTGCGTTTTCGGAATCTCGACCCCCATCCCCGGGTTGGAGAGCGGGGAGCATGTCAACTCCTACTCAGACGGGCTCTGTGTCATTACCTTCCACGGTAAGGATGGCCGCATTTTCTGGTTTATCCTCATCAAGTTGCACAAGAGGTTTGTCTACCCAAAGACTCCGCGCTTCTCAGCCAGCGATGCGGCCAAGGTTTGTGCCGAGTACGCCAGTGTACCAGTCTGGGGCGAGATATGCGTCAGGGACCTCTGGAGGAACAAGACGTCAGCTTCCATGACTGCTCTAGAGGAGGGCCTGCTAAAGACCTGGAACTTCAAGCGCGTAGTCCTCCTCGGCGATAGCATCCACAAAGTGAGTGACTTCGTGTGTCAATCCACAGACGGCCGGGTGTGATTAACCAGTGTAGATGACGCCCAATATCGGGCAAGGCGCCAATACCGCCGCAGAAGACGCAGCAGTTCTCGCCTCTCTACTACAAAGACTATCGACTTCGGCATCGTCGACCACCAGTGGCACAATAGACGCTGTGCTACGAGAATACGTTTCGCTGAGGTACAAGCGCGTGAAAAGCACATACCAACGCGCGTACTTTGGCGCCAGGCTGCACACGAGGGACAACGTGCTAAAGTGCTTTGTTGGCCGCTACATCTTTCCGCGCTTCAGCCAGCAGGTGCTTGAGAGGACATCGCAAGCCATTGCAGGTGCCCCTCTGGTGGATTTCTTACCCACACCGAAGAGGTCGGGCGCTGGATGGAGCGACTACGCTGGGAGTCCAGAGGTTGGCGCACCGACCGTCCCTTGGCTGGTGATTTCGTTGCCGGTTCTGGCTTCAGTATTGTGTTATCTTATGTTTGCCTAGGTCAGAATAAGCTAGAATCTGCTACCATGCTGCATTTCTTTCTTTTTTTTTTTTTTTTTTTTTTTTTTTTAATTGCTGAGACCATCACATTCTCCATCGACAAGAATGTGCATCCCTTGCATAGGCAGCTGGCATTCATCAGATTCATAAATCTTAGTCCAATGTCTCGGATGCAGAAGCTCTCCGGTGCAAGGGATCATTGGCCGGTCTGAGGCATTGCTCCCTACACTCGCTTCGAATGAGTACGTTCACCGTTTCCGAGGATTTCTTCAGAGCTTCGGATTTTGTACTGACAGAGCCGCAGATAACTCCAGTCTGTATTTGCCTGACCTTTCAGCCAATCGCCCTTGATCAAAGATGCAGCCCAGCCTGCTGGACCGAATCAGCAGCGTCACAGGCAACAGAAGCAAGCGCCATGCCAAGTTTCGCCTTGGGCGTCTTCAGCAGCCGCCCACCGAGTCAACCACTAGGCTTGCGATCTCGGACGGCGCCCAAGCCATTGATGAGACGAAATCGCCCAGGCAGTCCGAGCCAGGTGCTACTCAATGCAAAAGCGAAGGGTCCGGTGACGACATCGCAGACGGTCCCCAGCCAATGCCAGCACCGAACGAGGGAGACACGCCCACACTGGACGAGCTCCAACAGGGTCCGAACCCAAGGGGCTCTGGCATCGTATCGGGCTGGAAGCTCGCTGCTGTTCTGACAGCACTATCGCTGGCGGTGTTTTGCATGGCCCTAGTATGTCCTGGATCCGACCACATTCTCCGCAGATATGATGTACCCTAACAGATCAATGTCTAGGACAGCACAGTGCTATCGACCGCAATCCCCAAAATCACTGCTGAATTCAACTCGCTACACGACATGGGTTGGTACGTGAGTGCATACAACCTGACGATATCCAGCTTCAGCCTCATCTATGGCAAGCTCTACAGCTTGTACCGGGTGAAATGGGTATACCTGTCAACACTGTTCCTGTTTGAAGCCGGCTCACTGGTCTGCGGCGCCGCACCCAGCTCCCTCGCCCTCATCATCGGCCGCGCCATTGCCGGCGTCGGTGGCGCAGGTGTATTCCTGGGCTCGATGATTATTGTCCACGAGATCATGCCGCTCCATCACGTGCCACTGTTTCTTTCCCTTATTAGCGGCCTCTACGGTATTGCCAGCGTCGTGGGTCCGCTTCTCGGCGGCGTATTTACCGACTACGTCAGCTGGCGCTGGTGCTTCTACATCAATCTGCCCATCGGAGGGGTGACGGCGTTGATCATCGTTCTGTTCGTCAGGCCGCGGGCCCGAGATCAGGCCACGGTGAAGAAAACCGTCTGGGCCCAGTTCCTTGAGCTTGATCCCCTTGGGATGGTGCTCATCCTCCCCGCCGTCATGTGTATATTGCTTGTGCTTCAATGGGGTGGAGCAAAATACGCCTGGAGTAATTGGCGCATCATCGTGCTCTTGGTCATGGGGGGTTCTCTGGCGTTGACCTTTACTGTCGTGCAACTGTGGCAGGGCGACAGGGCGACCATTCCACCACGGATAGTCCGGAATCGCACTGTCTGGGGTGCAATCGTCTTTGCGGTTTGCCTTTACGGGTCCTTCACTGTCTTTACGTACTATGTAAGCGTCCCTCCTTGCCACCCAATCGGGATGCTAACATGAACATGTCCGCACCAGCTCCCCATTTGGTTCCAGGCAATCAAATCTGCCTCGGCAACGCGCTCAGGTATAATGAACCTTCCCATGATCCTCGGGGTGGTGGTGTGTTCGATGCTGTCCGGCTGGGCCGTCAGCCGCGTTGGCTACTACGTGCCGTTCATGTACATGGCACCGGTGGTCGGCTCTATTGGCGCGGGACTGCTCACGACACTGCACGTCTCTTCCGGCCCCGCGGCCTGGATCACGTACCAGCTGGTGTTGGGAGTCGGCACCGGAGCCGGCATGGCGCTCCCCCTCGTCGCTGTGCAGACTGCTCTCGCCGCCGACGACGTGTCGACGGGCTCCGCCATCATCACGTTTACGCAGACGCTCGCGGGCGCGTTGTTCAACTTTGTGGCCCAAAGTGTGTTTCAGAGTCGGCTGGTTCACAATCTGAATGCGGCGCTTCCGGGCGTGGATACGGCGAGGGTGGCTGATGCGTCGCCGATGGAGATACGCAGTGCAATCGAGCCAGAGTATCTCCCTCAGGCCCTGGACGCGTACAGTGTAAGTATTACACAGGTGTTCTATGCCGGAGCTGCGCTGTGCGCCCTAGCAGTGTTTGGGGTGCTGCCGATGAAGTGGCTGTCCGTCAAGGGATCGAGAATCCAGCCAGTGGCGCATGCTTGACGAAGCTAATTCGGTGGCTTTTTCGTTTTGCGCATTGATTTTGTTGTCTCCTATAGCCCTTCTGTACAAGATGTGATAGAATATACGTTATCAATATAATCAATTGATTAGCACGGACCTTGCAGCTACTTTGTGACATGGCCTTGTCTTGACAGTCTTGTATCAGCTTCCTCTGCACTCCGCTTTGGTACTCTCAAGTGATCTTTGTCTTGTACCCCAACTAATCTCCAGTCTATCTCAGAGGCCTCGTGCACAGCAGACATGGAGCAATCAGCGATTCTTCACTTTGCCGGAATTTCCCCTCCCACTCGCCTCTTCATGCCTTCTGGTCAACTGGTACAGCACCGGATACGACGCATCCAAGGAGAGCACGATCCCAATATAAAACCAGCACATTGGACTGTCAAGCCACGGCGCCCCATCGACCTGGTGCTGGAAGCGGATGCAGAGTTTTACAAACCCGCCGGCAGTTGATATTGCGCGGGCACCCCTGGTTGTCAATGTTAACAGCAACACGCAGAGTAAACACACGCGACTCACCAAATAACCAAACTGGCACCCCTCGTATGCCCACGGGTAAGCAGCTGCCCAACGGCGCCCGAGCTCGAGAGAAACTGACACAGCGCGCCACCCCAATGGAAGCCCAGCGCGCCACCCATTTCCAAGGCCAGGCACAGCTGGCCCGCCGCAAACGCGCCGATAACGGCCACATACAGCAGCACCAGCCTCGCGCGGCTCTTACCCAACGGCGTGCCCGCCCAGTCATTCGGGGCGTACCGCAGGGTCGCGGCCAGGACGGCCGTGTGCAGGAAAAACCACACACGCACGACGCCCTGCCAGTGGCCGCTGGCCTGTGGGTAGATCCACGCGTAGGTAAATTCCCAGGCGATATCGCAGCACAAAGGGAGGACGGCGATGGCGGGGAGTCTGTCCGCGTGCGTGCGGTGGGCCATGGCGAGGTAGTTGGTGGACCAACCGAGCGCGGCGAGGATCTTGAGCATTTCGGAGAGGGAGAGGGCGCTGAAGGGGTCCTCGAGGATCTTGGAGACTGTTAGATGAGACATGATTGAGGTGAAGCGTGTTGGGATGAGTCGTCGACTGGGATCAGCTTGCGGTCACACGGTATCTGGGTTAAATATGAACAAAGTCGTCCGGTCGTGCTACGTGGCAGTCATGATATCTGTGGCGTTGTGCAGGGAATGTCGCTCCCTATGCTAATTACTGCCAGCAAGGGGTAAATAAAGCGCCATAACAGCCTCCGAACGGGTATTATCCCTTGAACTGCAGCAAGCATAATCTGGTTGATAGCTTGCTAGAACTGGACTCATCACTGGCTATGCAATATGGCCAGCCGGTTTACTGCACGATATATGTGTATAGGAACGAATGACGCTAATCTATATAGTCGACCACGCGTTGTCAACAGGAATGACCGCCCCACTAACCCCCCTGCTCCGCTCATCCAGCAAAAATAATAGCATATGGGCAATGTCCTGCGGCTGGAGTTCCACGCCTTTTTCCCTGTCGCATCCGTGAGCCTGGTGGATCAACGCCATTGTCTCTAGCGCGGCGGCATCGAATTGAGTGACATCGACCCCGTCGCGGATCGACGTTGCTCCAACGCCTGAGACGGGTTAGTGGATATGGGGAGATGGATGTGGATGGGCAACCCACCGCCAGGACAAACCACGTTGCACCGAATCCGCTCGTGCTTGAACCTCCAGGCGACGTTCTTGGTCGCGCCAACGAGCCCGTGCTTGCCTGTACATGTCAGAGGGCAAGATGCGATCAGGTCGCGATTCATCACTCACTCGCTGTATACGCAACGCCCGACACTGCCCCGCTCAGCGCCGCCTTGCTCGCCACATTGACAATGCTCCCCCCTCCTTGTCGTTGCATCACCGGTAGCACCTCTCGCATCAGCTTGACCGGAGCCGTGAGATTCACCGCAATGCAGCGCTCCCAGATCTCGTCGGCCAGTGTGTCGGCGCTCTGATTGAGGTCCATTACCCCAGCGATGTTGAGCAGGCCATCGATGCGCGGGCCAAAAGCACCTTCACAGGCTGCAACAATGTCGCTGACGGTGGAGCTCGAGGACAGGTCGTATTGTAGGCAGGCATAGTTGGACTGGGAGGTGAGGGTGGAGGGGGGCGGCCGGATGTCCACCCCGAAGACTTTGGCGCCGGAGGAGAGGGCAATTGTGCTGGCTGCCAGGCCGATGCCCGAGGAGCTGCCGGTTATCACGATGACCTAGGAAGCCACTTAGCATTTGAAGGGCTTGTATTGCCTTGGTACTGACCTGGTTTTTGAGATTGTACATGGTATATACTGGATGGAAGAATTTGGCTACTAACGAGAAGGGACTGGATAGTAAATGCAGAGGCTTTTACCACACAAGATCAGCTTGGATCCCTGAAGCACACAGGGTCCCCCCCAAGGCGTTGTCACAGGGATACGCGCCACCATGCTAGTTCGATGCAAAAGGCATACAGATCACGCCTAGCCACCGCGAAAAGTGAATGGAAGCATTCACAAATCATTGTCCTCTCTTCCTTCCTTGCGTCGAGACCCGCACCCTTGCGTCCCGCTCTTATAATGCAAGGACGATGATGAGCGGATGTTGAACCAGCGGACATGAGCTCATGTCGGCATGGGCAGTCGACGAGTTATGCAAAATCCAGGTTGACGCTAACCGGTGCATAAAACAGTTGAGGGTGACACTTCTTCATCCCATCTGGCTCCCAAGGGTACCAGAGTGCAACAACACCATGGCCTCCGCTCCTGAAGTAGAATCGGTCAAGACCCCAGACCCAGCATCAACAAAAACCCAGCACACCTCGATTGCAGAGATACACACGGCAGACCAAACCTGGAACAATGAGAGCAACACACGCCTTCCTCCGAACCACCGCCATCACCTTCGAGACACGAGGTACGACCCCTGGACACACAATGGCTCGCCACCCGCGGAAATCTCCAAGATCCCACCCCGAGCTAAGGTGCTCATCCTGGGTGCCGGATACGGCGGGCTTCTATTCGCCGTCCGCCTGCTAGAGGCCGGCTTCCAGCCGTCAGATATCCTTCTGGTCGACGCCGCCCATGGCTTTGGTGGCACATGGTACTGGAACCGCTACCCGGGCTTGATGTGTGATATCGAGAGCTACATCTACATGCCCCTGCTCGAGGAAACGGGGTATATACCGTCGGCAAAATATGTACCTGGGGAAGAACTGCGCAGCCACGCGGAGAGGATTGCGCAACACTGGGGGCTGGGGACGCGAACAGGGTTCGGGGTAAGGGTCGAGGAGCTCAGATGGGATGAGAAAGGGATCAGGTGGGACGTCCGTGGCGGGCGCACGCAAGATCCAACCATGAGGTGGACGTGCACAGCGGATTTTGTCATCATTGCAACAGGGACGCTCAATCGGCCGCGTGTGCCCGACCTTGCTGGGCTTGACATGTTCACGGGCCACGTCTTCCACACCGCACGCTGGGACTATAACTATACAGGAGGCGCCCCTGGTACACCTGCCCTGCCCCGCCTGGACGGCAAGCGAGTTGCTGTGATTGGGACAGGGTCCACCGCTATTCAGATTATCCCCCAGTTGGCGAAATCTGCGGAGCAGCTGTTTGTATTCCAGCGCACACCAGCCAGCGTGGGGTTGCAGAGGAATCGTCCAACAGACCGCGAGTGGTGGGAGAAGACGATCCAGAACGCTGCGCCGGGGTGGCAGCGCAGGCGAGCGGAGAATTTCAACGCCTGGATATCGACTCCCCATGAAGTTTTGGGCATCGAAGAGGATCTGATCAGCGATGGCTGGACGAGTGCGCCCTCGTTTGCTGCAGCCATTGGTGGCCCGCTCAACCTCGCCCCGGATTTCCTCCATCGTGCAACCGAGGTTGACGCCGCGAGGCGGAGGATTGTTCATCAGGTCATCGAGACGACGGTCAAGGATAGGAGGACTGCAGAGGCACTGCTGAATCACGCACATGGGTGGTGCAAGCGGCCGTGCTTCCACGAGGGGTACTTTGAGACGTACAACCTCGCCAACACTCTGCTCGTCGACGCCCGCGACCACCAGCTCCATCTGACACACGACGGGGTTCAGGTTGGAGACACTGTATACCCAGTCGATCTGATCGTCCTGGCGACGGGCTACGAGCTCGGAAGCCTGTGCCCCGCGACACGGGCGCAGGTCCGGATTGTCGGCGTGGGCGGCCAACAGATGGAGGAGAAATGGGCTCGACCCGCGACGCTCCACGGGATCATGACGCGCGGGTTTCCCAATCTGTTCTTCCCCGGAACTTCCCAGGCGGGCGTCACTGCAAATCAGTCATACATGTTTGACCGGGCAGCGGAGCACGTTGCCTACATACTCCATGCTCTGTGCTTACGCCGTGGGACAGAGACCAGACTGCGGCTGCAGCCTACAGTCGAGGCGGAGGAGCAGTGGGCGACGAGGTCAGTCGATCAGGCCAGGGCATTTGCGGCAACGAGGGCCTGTGCGGTGGGGAGCTACACGATTGCGGCGCGGTATGAAAGTGCGGATGGAGCTGCGCTGGCCAGGCATTTGCCCTGGGGGGAGGGGATGGCGAGCTACGTGAGGGTTTTGGAGCAGTGGAGAGAGGCTGGGACGATGGAGGGTTTGGAGATTGTGAGCGAGTGATGATAAAACGACTACACATCCAACGAGTGTTGTTCTCGCGCAGATGGGAGTCAAAACATAATGGAAATGAGGGGCATAGAGAACAAGTCCGATATCGCCCTAGCCGAATTCCGTCTCACGGGAATAAATGGACCGGACAAAGATTCTTCGGGTAGCACCTACCCAGGTCCGTGTGCATTAATTATGAAATTGCATGGCTCAAGCCTAGGGATGATGGTATTCCTTATGTGTAGAGATGCAAGGGGCCTGTAGTCTCAGTCGAAGCAAGGGATGAGGGATGAGGACTCAAGAACGAGTCGGTCGAAGACAAGACTAGGGAGGACTTGGAAGTGTAAAGGCGACGGACTGGCTCAGGGACCATTGAGCAGCCCCCTCTACCGTGCTAGATATCTACTTGAGATACACCAAAAGACAGATATCCTTTTCGGAAACACCACACCACCCTACGCTCGCATCTTCAACTGGCAAGCATGACCGTCACCCTCCTCCCCCAAGGGCCTATCCACGGTCTAGACGCTGCTGCCGTCGAAGCAAAGTACGAAGCGGAGCGGCAGATCCAACTTCGCGCCCACGAAACCGTCAGCGACATCGAGATCACGGTCGACGACGGCTGGACGGATCTAGCGCAAGACCCCTGGGCAGGCTGCCCTGACCCAGCTGGAGAAACACCACATTTGCTCACCCAACGATCCCATCTACTCTCCCAACACCGCCACAGAGTCCTGATTGTAGGTGCAGGCTTCGGCGGCCTCCTCTTCGCCGTGCGCCTGCTCCAGACCGGCCAGTTCAAGGCGAGCGATATCGTCATTGCAGACACAGCCGCAGGGTTCGGAGGCACGTGGTACTGGAATCGGTATCCGGGGTTGATGTGCGACACGGAGAGTTATATCTATATGCCACTCCTTGAGGAGACGGGATACATGCCACGAGACAAGTACGCCAGTGGCAGCGAGATCCGCCAACACGCCGAGCGAATTGCAAGGTACTGGGGGCTGGAGACCCGGGCGATGTTTCGGACCAGTGTGCGGGATTTGGCGTGGGACGAGGACAAGAAGATCTGGAACGTAGCTGGCCGGTTGCTTGGGGATGTGATGGATACAGAACAGTTCCGCATGGCCGCAGACATTGTCCTCCTCGCCTCGGGCTCTTTTGCAAGTCCACGGGTCCCCAACTATCCGGATATCGCCAAGTACAAGGGGAAGCTCTTCCACACCGCACGCTGGGACTACCAGTTTACGGGCGGGTCATTGGAAAATCCAAAACTCACTGGACTGGCTGACAAGCGCGTGGGAATCATCGGGACCGGCGCCAGCGCTGTCCAGATCATCCCCCACCTGGCACGGTACAGCCGCTCGCTCATCGTGTTTCAACGGACCCCCGCCGCCGTCGATGCCCGCGATAACCGGCCCACCGACCCAGTGTGGTGGAAGGAGGAGATGGCGAGCCAGGGGGCGGGCTGGCAGCAGCGACGGCAGAAGAACTTCAACGCCTTCACTTGCAACGAGACCCCGCTCCCTGGAAATAACTGTGTCGGGGACGGCTGGACGCGCATGCCCTCGTTCAGCTTACTCATTGGAGGGCCGCAGAATCTGGCGCCGGATTACATTGACCAGATGCGCGCGGTCGATCTGGTTCGGCAGGCACAGATCCGCGAGCGAGCGCACGCCCTCGTGCAGGATCCGGTGGCTGCAGACTTGCTGACCCCCTGGTACCCTGGGTGGTGCAAGCGGCCATGCTTCCATGATGACTATCTCTCTGCTCTCAACGAGGAAAACGTGCGCCTGGTTGACCTACGACATGGCGGACTCAGCCATTTCACCCCGTCCGGCGTCGTCGCCAACGGCGAGGAATACGAGCTCGACCTCATCGTTCTCAGCACGGGATACACGGTGCCTGTGACGCGTGCGAGCCCCGGGTCCCGTGGAAATATCTCTATTACAGGCCGAAACGGGATGACGATGGAGGCCAAGTGGGCAAACGGGCTCGCGACGCTCCACGGGGTCATGACGCGCGACCTGCCCAATCTGTTCTTTGCAGGGACGTCGCAAGCTGGCGCATGTGTGAATCTCACGTATTCGGTTGACCAGAACGCCACGCATGTTGCTTACATTCTCGGCAAGGCGTTTGAGCGCAGGCCTCCGAACTGCGACAAGGTTGTGCTCCAGCCAACACACGAGGGCGAAGAGCAGTGGGCGGGCGAGGTGCTCGCTCGCGCCGCCGCATTCCGCGGTATTGCAGGCTGTACGCCGGGCTATTTGAATGGGTATGGGAAGAGCCTGGACTCGCTGAGCCCGGAGCAGCAGGTCAACATGGCTCGGCTTGCGGCGTGGGGGGAGGGGATTGCAAGTTATGTGAATCGGTTGGAGGAGTGGAGGGAAAAGGGCGAGTTGGAGGGGGTTGAAATGACCTTTTTGAATTGAGTCGCTTTTTCTATTCTGGACCAGACAGAAAAACAGGATACGCTATAAGCTACGTACACTTGGATTGATATACAGGGAATCTGGAAGACTAGATACGGGGGGCTGGTATAGAGTAACCAGGTAAGCGTGGTCGGGCATCTTTTATTTCTACAAATTGCAGAGGATCCGGAATGAGCCGAAGCGGTATACTCAACATATCTACCTGTCAAAGCTGTAAGAAGGAATGTCCCAGAGACCCAGGGCTAATATAGAGATCCTTTTTCCTTGCGAACATACTAACTTGCCTCACATTGATGGCTTTACTGAACGGAATGACTGTGTAACCATTACCCTCTCCCATGCCAACGCCGGGAACAGCAACGCACGCAGAAACAAAGCACGATTAGAAACAGGGATCTCTTCAAATGGCCTTCCCAATCCTACTCTGCCGAGCTCGTAGCGCTGACGGCGGAAGTAGCCGCAGAAGCCACAGGAGTCGAGGTTGAAGCCTCAGCAGTGCCTGTCGCAGGGACGGAATTGGCTGTTGGCGCCACAGAAGCCGCAGTTGAAGTCGGCGATGGCATTTCGCCACCCCCAAGGAATTCAGCGCCGAAAGCATCAGCATTGAACCCGGTCCCCAGATTGGGCATGGCGCCAGCAGCAGAGGGTATCACTGGAGGCCAGCCAAACATGTAGTGGAAGGCCGGTGGCACCATGCCGTGCCCGGTGGTGCCGACAAATTGGCGCGCCTGGAGGTTATGGAGGGAGGCGGCTGCCCCCATACCGTTGCTGGCAGGTGCGCTGGAAGCAGAAGGAATCGCATTTCCCGCCCGGCCGGCTGCTGGGAATGACGCCGCCTGGGCAGGGGTTGAAGCACCCTGGTCCGGAGCGCTACCAGGCACACCAAAGCCGCCAGTCATACCTGGAAACCCCGTGAACCCGGGGAAGCCTGGAAAGCCCATAGTTGACGGGGCGCCGCCACCGGCAGACATGCCACCGAAACCAGGAAAGCCAAACCCAGAGCCACCGCTGAAGCCTGGGGAACCTGGCAATCCAGATCCNAAGGCCGGTGGCACCATGCCGTGCCCGGTGGTGCCGACAAATTGGCGCGCCTGGAGGTTATGGAGGGAGGCGGCTGCCCCCATACCGTTGCTGGCAGGTGCGCTGGAAGCAGAAGGAATCGCATTTCCCGCCCGGCCGGCTGCTGGGAATGACGCCGCCTGGGCAGGGGTTGAAGCACCCTGGTCCGGAGCGCTACCAGGCACACCAAAGCCGCCAGTCATACCTGGAAACCCCGTGAACCCGGGGAAGCCTGGAAAGCCCATAGTTGACGGGGCGCCGCCACCGGCAGACATGCCACCGAAACCAGGAAAGCCAAACCCAGAGCCACCGCTGAAGCCTGGGGAACCTGGCAATCCAGATCCGGAGTCACCAGTTGACGGGGCTGCGGCAGCTTGTGATGGCCCAGAGCCCTGGAGCCCACCGAACCCGGGGAGGCTGGGAGATGCAGACATGCCACCAAAACTAGGAAAGCCAAACCCAGAGCCACCACTAACGCCTGGGAAACCTGGCAATCCAGATCTAGAGTCACCAGTTGACGGGGCTGCGGCAGCTTGCGATGGCGCAGAACCCTGGAGCCCACCGAACCCGGGGATGCCGGGAAATGCAGACATGCCACCGAAACCAGTAAAGCCAAACCCAGAGCCACCGCCGAAGCCAGGAAAGGCAAATCCAGGACCGCCACTGAGCCCTTGGAAACCCGCAGGCCCAGCCGCGGGACCAAAAGTAGAGGGTGCGTGGACCGGGCCAGCTTGTGCAGCCCCAGAGCCAGGGAAGCCTGGAAATCCGGCCAATCCAGGGAAGCCGGTGCCGGCGATAGAGGGATCAGAGGTGGCTCCAAAGTCAGCTGGGGCAGTCGCTGCGGTTGCTGGTGCGGTGCGGGCAGCTGGAACGGGATCTACAGGTCCGATCATAATCAGTTGACTGGTACTTTAGCGGTGTAGTGCTGGCGGGGGCATGACGAGGTGCATGTCTTCAAGCATGCGGGTATAATGATCATCACTTCACTTACCGTCCTGAGCGCCGTTGGCAACTTGTCCTGCGGGCAACGCAGCGGCGCAGCCTAGCATACCGACGCCGAGGAGCGCAACTGTAGGGTGCTTCATGGTGGTGATTTGTGCTCTGCGTTGAAGAAGAAGACTGAGTTTGACATGTATTCCAGACTGGTCGTGTTTGAACAAGGTTTGTCGACACTTTTATATCGCTGTCGAAGTCTGGACGCCGTGCTGAAACCAGCCGGTCACTAAGAGGCCTACGATGCCGCCTAAGATGAGTTACAGCGATGTGTCCTGAACCCGGTTTGCCTCGAACATGGACAAACCGCTCCCAGGGGTTCAGGCCCATTGCGTCCGGACACATCGGTTTCCTTTCCTATCTATCGAATTAGTCCACCCCCAAAGCAGTCAATGGTTCAGCATTTCCAGCCTTCCCTTCCGCCTCCTTGCTCTCCTACAGTCGACGAGCTACTGGCATACCATGTTTGGGACTGGACACTGCTGACCTTCGCAAGCAGCCATAGGCAATACCTTTTGTCCGTTTTTATCGCAAGCAGACATGTGCGTAACAAACTGGGAACGAGAACATTCTGACGACATTATTATTGTAGCTATAGTAGGAAACAGGATAGTTCAATCAAATTTGGGCTAGACGGCAACATGCTGCCTCAAAAACTCGTAGCCTTCACGCACGGCCCTTGGTCCGTCTTCATCCACCGCGGATATATCGATCCCAAGGTCAAACAGATGCAGGCCCCCCTGCACAACCCGGAGGGTAGATTCTACTCCTGCAGCGCGCATGGCATCCTGGGTACGCTCAGCCTGTTGCACAGGGATAAGGTCGTCCAAGCCACCATGGATCAAGAAAGTAGGCGTTTTGTAGCGGCCCGCGACGATCTGTGAGAGCGGACAGGCGCGCTGGACATCGGCCAGCGGAGGTGCTGGGAGGATAACTTCGCTGGTGGTAGGGCCCTTGGCAGCAGCGAGCTTCTTGTAGTTGCACCCGTTGAATAGTACTGGAAGCGCCTGGCCCGTCCAGTTCATATACAGGGCAATTTGACTGCGGGGATCGCTGGGTGCCATCCATCCGCCCAGGGCGTGCTTGTTGGCTGGGGGGTTGTACGCGGTGATGGGACTGTCGCGGAGCGCGTCGAGAGGTCGTGTCAACTTGGTATCTTCTTCCGAGACCGCCCCGGCGTAAGGGAAATTCGGTGTCGTCCAGAATGGATCGGTATAGTCTGTGGGACTGTAGAAGGCGAGAATGGCCTGCGGCGGAAGGATGCCGTGTTCGGGAGCAGTCCAAGAGAGGGTCATGGCGAGGTGCCCTCCAGTGGACCAACCGACTGCCACAACGCGATCGCCGTCGGGCTGAATGTCGGTCCGGCTTAGGGATTGACGTGGAAGGTCGGCGCGTGCCCAGGCGAGAGCATCCCGGACGTCCGGCATGGGGCCTTCGAGCAGGGAGACTTCGGGGCACAGGCGATAATCGATACTGACAGGCAGGAATCCTGCGTCGAGAAGAAGATCCACTTGGTAAGGCCGGATATCCTTTCGAGAGAGCATAATGTGGCCGCCGCCGTGGATGAGCAGAGCAATTGGACGTTTGGTTCCCTTTGCGTCCACGGTGTGAGGGTAGTAAATGTCTGCCATCAGCTGCACGCCAGCCCTTTCGCCGTATCTCACCGTCTCGACCCGGGCAGGCGTAATGGGCTGTTTCACGGGTAACGGAGGAGATGCCATTGTGGGCGAAGCGACAATCAGGCGCAGGATATCGGACTCTTCCAACGGGTTGTCCGTCCAGTCCACCCAGTTGAACCCTGCTTCTCGGAGCCTTGTATCCCAAAGACTCTCGTTGGCCAGTGCATGGGAGCGGCCGTCGTTGAACAGCCACCACCCTCCCAGGAGACCAAAGACGAGGTCGAACCAGGGCAGATTCCGGGTCAGCTCAATCAGACAGAGGAGACCGTGAGGTCGCAGCATTTTCCGAATGTGCATACACGAGGCAGCCAGGCTGCGCGTGGCATGGATACAGTTCGATGATAGAATGATATCGTACTTCCCAAGCAGTTCGTCGCGGGGCATCTTCTCTATATCGAGGGTCGAGTATCGCATGAACGAGTATGAGCCGAACCTTTTGCGTGCCAAAGTAACCAGCGATGAGGATAGGTCTGTAAAAGTGTACTTGAATTTCACCCCGGGCATTGCTGCAAGCTGCGAAACAAGAAAAGCAGTTGTGCCGCCGGTGCCAGCTCCGATTTCCAGGATTTCAATCTCCCTGTCGCATCCAGAGTCAAGCAACAAGTCCTGGAGGTACTGCGCCAACTGCATCGTGGCGGCTTTAAACATGGGCGCGTTCGAATACACATCTTGCATTAGAGCGCGAGCCTGTGCATCCTGGAAGAGAAGTGACAAGGGATCAGCTGTACCCGTGAGGCATTCGGCCAACCGTGCGCCAGTTGTGCGCAGCAGCTTGTGCTCCGAAGCGTGCTGGGGATAGTCGCCGAGGATCGTCTGGTGCAGGACCGCAGAGGGACCAACATCCACTGGTTTGCCGGTGCGAAAAAGGCCTGTACTCTTTTGCTCGACAAGACCAGCGTATTCGAGCACTCCGATTAGCTGCCCTAGCACCTGGTTGTGTTGCGGGAGGATTGCAAGACTTGGGATGCTCTGGCCGGGCAACATCGACTCGAGGTTCGCACCAAGCGCCTGGAACGCCTCGGCCACATATGCTGTGACGAGCCGCATTTGTTGAGGATAAACTGATGTGCAGAAGGCAGAAAATTGTGTAAGGTCAATGTACTTTGTGCTTCCCCGAGTGGCCGCAAAGGCTGTGATGGCCCTGTCTGCAAACCGGGGCGAATCCTCCTGGTGCGTGACGGGGGGAGACTCGATGATCGGCTGCTGCCCGCCGACGCTGATGTCGTTTGCTACACTTGATTCTTTAGAGGTCTCGACGTGGACCACGGACGAACTTGGGGAAATGCGGTGGGCGAGACCACGAACATCTGCGATGTCTGCCAGTTCGGTGTTGGTTATATTGACCCCAAAGCGTTTATCCACCTCGGCCAGGACCTCGGTGCTCATCAACGAGTCAACACCGATCTCGGCGAGAGGTGCATTGCCGGGAAGCTCACCAGGCGACACGCCCAGCAGGTCACCGAGCATTGATTGGACAGCACGAAGATGGTGGTCGTCGCTGACGGTGATGTGTGCAGCTGGTGCCAATTTTTCCTGAAGCTGAGGCTCATGTTGTCCCAATGAGCTGGAATGCCCGTTCAGCCTACTCAACGTCCGCTTGAGAGACTGGATCGACACACTCGTAAACGTGGCTGACATGATGGTCACCGCGAGCATGCGATCTTCATCTAGGGCAAATACATCGCACGTCACCCGTTTCCCCGACTCGCGCTCATAGGTGGAGTAAACAGTCCACGCCTGTGGAGTTGCAGCGTCCCTGTTGAGATATCGACTGCCCAGTGACACTTCACCGACGGAGCTACATACAAAGACCTCGTCCTCATCCGTTTCAGACAAGCAGTTGACGTGGATCCCCGCAACCTGTAGAAAGTTGTCCATGAGGATGGGGTCACACGCGGCCATTCGCGTGGGGGATGAAGGCAGCAACACTCGCCCGGCCGCCCTGTGACCGACAGCGTAGACCTCCTCAACGCCACGATAGTAGTCGGCGTAGTTGACGGCTCTACGGAACGCCTGATAGACCGTCGCTCGCTTAAGCCCATTCGATGAAGGCGACTTTGGGATCGAGTCGAATTGGCCGGGGTCCAGGAGGCGCTTCAATGAGTGGAAGCGAGCAGACGCCGCAGACCCGGCTGCCTGGGGATCCAGCAAGACCTTGCCGGTGGCATGCGTGATTGGAGTGCGGTCCCCGTCCTGGCTGAACAAGGAGAACATCCACCCGCCATCGTTGTTGTTGGCAATCTGCGTCACACTCAAACACACGGACCCTGGCATGTCCACCACAAGAGGCGCCGAGATGCTGAGCGCTTCAATGTGAGCCATCGCCGCTGCCTGACCGTTGGCCGACAGGGTCATGGCGCCTCTGACTACGATTTCGACATACAGCGAAGCCGGGCAGAGGTTCTGGTCGACCACGGCATGGCCCTCGGTACACATGCGGTAGGCCGGATCTTGATTGTTGATGCGGAACAGACAACCGTTTGCGTCGCGTTCCACAAGTTGCAGGAGCCCGTCGTCATGCTTTTCCTCCTCTGACAATGCACCTGTTGGGTGGAAGGCGTATGGGTCGTAGTCGATCCAATGCCGCGTTTTGCTGAATTGATATGGTGGGAGGTTGATCCATTTATATCCCGCCGGTGACCCATGAAAGGCCCAGAATTGCACAGGAACTCCTTTTGACCACAGCACCTTTGTCACATCGGCCAAGTTACACTCAGCGGTAGACTCTTGCAAGTCAATCGGCAAGTAGGTATGCTCTCCGCCTGGGCCTGACGCCTTGACGACACGCCGCACCATCCCAACAATGGGAGACGCGCTGCCAGCTTCCAGCCACACACAAGGACCCGGAATGTGCCTGAGCGTACGTTGCACCGCAGGGTGAAAGTACACTGGCTCGCGGGAATGTCGTACGACTTTGGATGCTGTAAGACGCGCCCAATGGTCCGGCTCCTCAGAACACGCCTCGACGGGGATGCGAAGTGGGCTGTAGTCCAGTGTGTCTGCTACTTGGGACAGCTCTGGCAGAAGAGGCTCCACGAGGCGGGAATGGAATGCATGTGTATTTCTGAGTCGCTTCTTGTGGTGTTCAAGCCCTCTCTGCACACAAAGCGTTTCCACCTGTGCAATTGACTTTTCATTGCCAGCGAGCACAAAGCTCTGCGGTCCATTGAAACAGGCAACGTCCACAGTACCCGAAGCAGCGCACAACAACTCCTGGACCTGGGTCTTGGTGACTTTGAGTGAAAGCATTACCCCCCGCTCGGGGCCCCATTTCTCCTGTATCAGTGCCGCCCGCTTTGAGACCAAACGCAAGCCATCAATAAGCGATAGACCACCGGCGACACAAATGGCGGTCAATTGGCCGAAGCTGTGCCCAATCATTCGGTCCACCACGAGGCCACAGTCGAGCCACGCCTTGGCGGACGCGTATTGGATCGAGAAGAGAATACAATGCAGGCTGACCAGGTCCGTCCTCGGTTCCGGACTGAATATGGTTGGGAACAGACCAGGGAGACCGAGCGCGTGGCATACTTCATCACATTGCGTCTATTGTAGATCGATCAGCGGGTTGAGCTACATCAGGAGACAGGATACTGACCAAATGGGAACGCAGAATATCGCAATTCTCAACGAGAGTTGGTGAAATACTCGCTGTATCTCCAGTCTGACCACCAAAACAGAGGACAACTGGGGGTGACGGGGCAGTGCATCTCGTGGGCTTTGAACGACCAGCCGCGATGTCTTGCAACCGAGTTGCGACCTCTGCTGGCTCGCAAGAGAACGAGAGCTGGTATTCCAGGCACCTGTTTTGTTTTGCAGCGAGATTGTATGCGAGGTGGTGCGTCGCGCTGCCACTCCCTTGCTGCTGTGCGAGGAGGGTGTGCTGAAGCTCGCGGCAATATTCGCGTAGAGACTCTTCTGTTTTGGCCGTAATGATGAACGGGACACGCGCAGGCCATGTTGAGCGATCAACGCCGGGTTTAATGGGCTCTTTGACAACAATGACAGCGTTACTTCCAGCAGCTCCGTAGTTGGTGACCAGAGCCACACGCTTCGCTGCTTTCCATTCGAGCGACTGCGTGGGAATCGCAATCTGGTCCCGCTCGTGGGTGACAATTCGCGGGTTCAAGCACGAGAAATTGGCCTGCTTGGGGATTCGCCGCTTCTGGATCATGAGGATCGTCTTCACCATGCCTGCAGCTCCCGATGAGGTTTCGGTGTGCCCGATGTTGTCTTTGATGGATCCGATATAGACCGTTTCAGTTCGCTGGGGGCCGCCAAACGTGCATCGGATACTCTCGTACTCGATCGGGTCGCCGACCTGGGTGCCTAGACAAACGTTAGCCCAGATCGAGTATACGGACTGCGTACGAACCGGTCCCATGTGCTTCTACGTAGCAGACAGCATCGGGGTGCAAGCCAGACTGCGCCAGGGCTTTCATGTACAGGCTTCTTTGGGAATTAGAGTCTGGCACAGTGATTGGAGAACAGTTGGCGCCCTGGTTGACGCAGGTTCCTGTAATCACCGCATGGATCGGATCCCCGTCCCGAAGCGCAGCGTCCAATGGCCGGAGAACCAGTAGCCCAGCCCCTTCCCCGCGGCAGTACCCATCAGCAGCCGCATCAAATGCTTTTGAGGCACCTGTTGGAGATAAAAAGGAGGCGGCGGCGAGGTTCTGTGACCAGCGAGGGTCTGTCATGACATTGACGCCGCCAGCGACGGCAATGGAGCAATCATTTGCCTGCAGTGCCTAGATAATCGTCAGTGAATGCTCGCTGCACGGAAACAAGTGTGCTCACCCGGCACGCAAGGTGAATGGCCACCGCCGCAGAAGAACAGGCCGTATCGACTGTGATAGAAGGTCCGCTCCACCCGAAAAAGTGGCTGATGCGGCCACTGTTGAAGGCTTGCAGCGTCCCCGTCGCGGAGAAAGCCGTCGCGTCGCGCGAGCCCACATTCTGGCTGTAATCATCTGATCCTACCCCGATATAACAACCAACATCGTCTGGCAGCTTCGTAGCGCGTAGGCCGCAGTAGGTGGCTGACTCGATGGCTTCATACGCAACCTGGAGCAGGAGCCTTTGTTGCGGATCCATAGATTCTGCTTCGCGGGCTGAGACGCCAAAGAAGCGATGGTCAAAGCTCTCCGGACTTTCGAGATAATTGCCCCAGAACGGTCCTCGTGGCTGCCGCTGCAGGCTGTCCGCTTTGAGCCGGTGGTTGGGCATGGAGCTTACTGTGCACTGGCCGCGCTCGAGTAGCGTCCAGAGTGCTTCGACCGAGTCTGCCTGGGGGTACCGACACGCGAATCCAGTGACGGCGATTGGCGCCGAGACAGCCTGGGTCGAAGTCTCCGGAGAAGTTCCGTTGCACTGCGCAGTGGGCCGTATATCTATTGTTGGACTCGGTCGATGAAGAGAAGTGTCAGTGGGCGCCATCTGGTCTCCGATGTGCTCGACACTGGCCAAGAGGGATCGCTGCGGGATGATCTGCCCCGCTCCGATGACCACGGCGTGTTTTTCGTCTGGCGGGCCCTCGCTGTTGAGAGCCTCGGCCACAGTGAGCATCCAGTTGGCCTGCTTGGCCAGAATGGACTCGACCGCTGCTGCCATCAGCACATTGCTCGGAAGCCGAGTGCCGTCTACATTAGATCGGGGCAATAACGGTAGATTTTTCTTGATTGGCAGTTGAAATCGAGCGTCTCTCGCGCAGAGGGCAAGCAACTGCTTCATCGCAGGGATGTGATCGGCGGTGTGGAACCTCCCACGCAGGGGGAGGTTCTTGACCGAGATGCCGTGGCTCTCAAGCTCCTCTGCCAAGGACAGGTAGTTTGCAGTGGGTACTGTGACTGTGGCGCCGTTTGTCTTGATCATGCAGGCGATATAGCCCTATTTCATCTCATCAGCAGCCGGTCGGAATCTACACGGTCGACAAGCACACCTTGTACCGCTCCAGTACTTGCCCAAGATGTCTGTACTCGCATTTTGTCTTCCACCGTACAGCCATAGACTTGGAAGAGGATCCGTTGACTTCATCCAGGTCGACTAGTGCCCCGATACAGACAGCCACGCGGAGAACGGTACTGACAACCTTGGGGAATTCCGCATCATCGTGCTCCCAGGATGCTGTAATAGCAGCAAGCACTCCAACGCAAAATCCTTGGACGTCTCTGATCTCCAAATGCTTTTTCTCATCTTTGAGCTGTTGGAATTCGACAATGTGCCGCAACACGGTAACCGGAACAAGCAACAAGTTCAGTGTATCCCCAACGGGGCAGGATGACTCGCGGCATAGGTATTGGGTCAGCTGTCGGAGCAGTGACTCGCCTGGAATCTTCTTGAGAGCTGGCCATTGCCGCATGATATCTTGCCAGGTAGATGGCAGCCCCTGTAGGGTATCGTCCAGCCATCCTGCGGATGCTTTATCCGCGAGGTATTGTCGGATACGCGAACTGGATTGGGTTAGCTCTGGGTAGACAGGCCCAAAGAACACAGTCACCGGGCGTGGAGGTTCCGAAGATGGGGTCTGGGGTCCCATGACTAGAGATAGAAGGAGCTATGGTAATGACAGGACGGGGCGTGGTACGCAGAAAGAGCGAATGGTTGGTACTCGTCCGGTCGGGTTGAACGAAGCGGAACGAGATGCCAAACTCGGAATCGGGCGTTGAGATGAAGTATCCCTGATTCCCCCAGCGGTCGACGGAGCGCCTGTAGATAAGACTGCGCTCACTGTCGAGAGCGATCACGACTATCCATTCTGCAGTCATTTTCCCCTCGGCGCTGATTGGCCCAAGGCTCAAAAGCTGGCCCAATTACTACCTTGCCACCGCATGCATTGAGTGGACATGTCGTACATATACCCCTAGAAATCTTAGCATGTTCAGGAGAACTATTCCCCCCTTTTGGTATTCGCGGACCGACTCCGTTTGCCGCTATACGCGACATGTGCTACGAGGGCAGTCGAATTCCAGGCTTTTGTCACATCCTGTGCGTGTTGGAGCTTCGTGGCCCCTTGCCGGCGGCTCCGGCCTATTTCTCCTTGCCGGGATGGCCAGAAACCTTGTTTCGTGTCACACATGGGCAGGTCTGGAATGTGCCTGATTGGGATTAAATTTCGGCCCGGGCCTGAAAGTCTCGGCTGGAATGCTCCCTTGAAGCCAAGTCATTCGATATGCCCTTGCATGCGCCGAAATGGGCTGATAAAACATTGCTTGGACTGGGGCCCTTTGATGATGCAACGACTTTCTTTCCATGTTGCTGCACAACTATGCAAGATCTAAGGTGGCCCTGCTTTGGATAGAAACCCGCAGAGGAACTAATGAGTATCGTACGGAGGAGAGGTCTCTACTGGCGCCGGGCAGGGTAATAATCCCCTGTTCTGATGGCGTTTCAGCGAGTGCGAAATGTGCTTGTCAGAGATGGCCATTTTCTATCCACCATCGGAGCTCTAGACCACCAGTTTGGCTGATTTTAGAGCAACACTAGCTCATGCCATCCAAGGCCCCTGCCACCACCAACATCGCCGAGGATTATCATGCCAATCTATCCACTCTTATCCCCAGTGTCTTTGCTTACCCCGACTATGGGGAGATGAGATTATGTTAGCCCTTTTGGCGAGGATGGTGAAGAGTGGCTGGTCGATAACGCCCTATCAGTGGACTCGATCGTGCGTAGCCCTGACTCTTGGTGCAAGGCAAGGCTCGGACTTCACAAGACCACCTGCTTGTTTTTGATCCCTCACTTTTGTTCTGCGATCTGCGCCGTAAGGGGAAATACCAAAGCGCTCGATACTGGCGACGCATGGTTGGTCCACCCACAGAGCACCAAAGCAATTTCTCTCGCCCTCACGGATAATGGAATGCATCGCCCTTGCATATAACAGTGATAGATTACTACGTTGCCCTGTGGGAACGGCTATTCAGTACCAGTGCCCACCATTTCGACCTTGCGGAAGATGAGCAGTCGTGCTTTCATAAACGGCGAGGAGAGGTGTATAGACCCAGATATTGGTACGCTGCCCGCAGCTAGAGCGACTGGGTTACATGGACATTAGACACCGCCCCGATTATAGATACCAGAGCCCCCCACAGCACGCAGTTCAAAGTCGATTGGCTTTTTGTGCGCCGTTCTGTTCTGAGCACGACCCCTTTCCAGGCGTATCACAAAATTTACAGGCAGCCATATCTCTATATCTGCACAAGCACCATGCACCCAGACGCCCAATTGAAGGCGGCGGTCAAGAACGGCTTTGATCCTAACATCCTGTGCCAGAGGAGACTCACGGTTGTTAAGGAGCCTGTCCGGACGATTCTCGAGAAACAAGGCACGATACCAGCCGACAAGATTGTCGATCATGTGAATGAGCTCGTGAGTATCTTGACTATACTTGTTTGTTGGACGTCAAATGGCTAACTAGGTCAATGTAGAGAGATCGGGCCTTTGCGGTGGTCAGTAGACGAGCAAGGAGCCAGATACAGTTCAGCTAAGGTGTCACATAGTTCCCCTACGCCTGCATCGGACAGTTTTCATTCGTCGAGCTTAGTATCGCCGAGTCGCCGTACTATCGCGAAATGCTTGAGCGCGTGAAGAAAGGCGACCTTCTCCTTGATCTGGGATGCGCATTCGGGCAGGAGCTCCGCCAGCTGGTGAGTCCCAGCGCCTTAACCATTCATGGACCTATTCTCCTAACCAAAGCAACCATGACAGATGTTCGACGGTGCTCCTCCGACAAATCTCTATGGCTCGGATTTGCAACAAGAGTTCTTGAATCTCGGATATGAGCTCTTCCTCGACCAGCCCATTTTTCCCGAATCCCAACTCATCGCTGCGGACATTCTGGACAAAAAGTCTGCGCTCTTCGTGCGCCTGCAGGGAAAGCTTAACATTGTCTATATATCGCTCTTCCTGCATGTCTTCGACTGGGACAAACAGGTAACTGTCCTGGAGAACGTCCTCGACCTCCTCGCCGCGACGCCGGGGTCCCTGATTGTGTGTCGCGTCATCGCATGCCGCAACCAGGCCGTCTTGAACAAGACACACGAACGCATGCCGTACTACTATCATGATCTCGCGAGCTGGAACAAGCTTTGGGAGGAGATACGCACCAGGACCAGCCTGCGACTTGCTGTGGACGTTTGGGAGCAGCCGGACGACCTTGTCAAGAAACATCCACTTCCAGGAATCTATGTTCTTGGGTCAGCAATTCGGCGGCACTAGAGTGGTAAGGAAGAATATAGCTCAGTCTGCACTCAGCTCTGTCGTAATTAGATATTCCCTGCAGTGGAGCGCTGCTATCTCTGTGTCCTCTCTTATGGTTTCAAGCCTGCAACCAAGAAAGACTTAGATTGGCCGTCAAAATGCCAGCCACCGTGCATCTCTGGGGGTCTCCTTGAGTGCCTGGTTTGTACGGAGGAGTATGTGCGCGTTTGCGTGTGTGGGGCCCATAATACAATCGTGATATTATCCAAAGGTCCCTGCACCAATATCGAGTGAGCTACGCTCAGCAGATGAGGATGCTAGAGGAGATGTTGCCAAAGGCATATTTAGGGCTTATCTCTATCCTCTTTACATTACTCCCTCGAAGGAAGGCCAGTTAGCCCGCGATCTACTCTCACCTGCATCCTGTATCCTACGCTTTTCCTTCAGTGTAAAACTCAACAGCAGTTGCTCTTTGGGTAAACGGGCTAGATGTATGTATCCCCATTCCCGCTTTGCTTGCACCGGAAGAGTGAACGTGATGGCGCCTGGCTCAGGGAGGATCATTGGTGTTGACCCGTATAGTATAAGATATGTGGCGGTTGGGCTTGCCACAGAGAAGCGTCGGCGAAATGAAAGGAACACAGAACACTAAAAACATCCTAGTTAAGAAGCTGGCGGTAAACATTATCCATATTTAGCAGGTTTCCGATGGCGGGCTTAGATGAGTTGATCATCATCATCATCCTATATAGACAGATATATATCCGAGATTAGATTCCGGCTCCCCTTTGTGCAGAGAGACATCGAGTCCTTGTATGGTAGCTATCGTTGCCAAATAAAACCAGTCATCTCGCCAGTACCAATCATATCGCGATACTGTTGGAACATACAGGTCTTTGTAACGAATCTGGTGGATTGAAGCTTTTACATGCTGTCTAAGCTAGTTCATGGGTTGTGTAATCATAAGATCGATATTATACTACAAGCTACTCACTCAGCCCTTTATTGGATTCAGAGTATCCTATAGCCTTCGATCTCTGGACAAACGCCATCGGCGCTGCCTGAGCCACAATGGGAGTAGCCATCCCAGTATCAGCTGGATCCACTCCAACCATATCGTACGGAAATCCCAGGTCAAAATCCCCCACGCTTTCTAAATATTTGATCTCTTCATGGGTGAGCCGGAGCGAGAGCGCCTGGATGTTGTCATGCAAGTGCTGGATCTTGCGTCCGCCGATGATTGGAAAGACGTACGGAGCCTTTGCCAGCAGATACGCCAGGGCAACGGCGGTAACTGATTCAATTCCATGCTGCGCTGCAACAACCCCCAGCGCGTTGCTCATCGCCTCCTCCTGCGCTGTCTGTTGCCTGCCATATATCGCCCGCAGCCCTTCCCCCTGATCTTTCCGGCGCGCGAGCATCTTCCGTGATTGAAACTTGCCACTGCCAAGGGCGTCATACACGGTTATGGCCATCCCAAAGTGCCGCGCCATCGGCAGAATATCGCGCTCGAGCTCTCGCCGCAGGGGATTCCAGCGACCCTGGTAGACAGAGAACTGGGTCTTGCCCTGCTGCTGGGCATAAGTGTTGGCAGCGCTAACAACCCAAGCCGGTGTATTGCAAATGCCCAGGTAGAGGACCTCTCCACGCTGCACAAGATGATGCAGCGCGTCCATGAGCTCTGGGACAGAGGTGGTGTAGTCCCATGTGTGCAGGTAGAGGATGTCAATCCAGCTAGTTTGTAGTTTACGCAGTGAGTCGCGCACGCTCATGTGTAGGCTGCGCTTGTGGTTCCCCGAATAATTCACCGCGAGCCCCTTGCCCAGTTCATGGGCTCGGTAGTCGGGCCCGAACTTGGTGGCAATCACCATCTGATCCCGGTTGTTGCGGTTGGCCATCCATTCTCCAATCCACGTTTCCGACTGCTCGTTCTGGTACGCATTGGCTGTGTCGATGAAGTTACCCCCAGAGGCGGCGTAGGCGTCTAGCAGTGCCATGGCCGAGTCCTTATCCATTGAGCCGAGATCGGCGCTCCATGCGTCCCCGATAGATAGTGCACCGAGCTGGAGGGGAGAAACGCGTATGCCCGCTGTGGGTGAAAGGATTCGGTAGCGGCCTAGCTCGGACGGGGGTTCTGGCGCCGGGCCAAACAGCTCGAGGATTTGTGTACCTGTCATGTCATTAAGATAGAATCGATGGAGCTTGAGAGTACAAAGCTGGCAGAAGGGCAAGCAGAAAAAAGGTCGTGGCGAGGGGTAATCTCGTAGTCAAGGGGGGAAGTGAGTGTCCTAGAGATGGAATGTGATAATGTAAGGGATGATTGGCTCCTTACAGCGCCATTAATTAGATACACATGAGAGCTACTTGGAACGATCCAGGCTGTTAGAGCCAGTGGTGGTAAAGGGCGCAGGAGCATCCACGCCGATTGGCACATGGCCGCCCTCCAGCCTGTGATGAAGGTCCCGCAGACGAAGGCTATCATAAAACTCCCATATCTCATCCACCGTATCACAATCCTCTGTCATGCGAAGGATAAATACATATTCGTTGTTATAGTCACCGACCGTTGTCTCCGCGGCGGTTTTGGCGCGGATCATGACCTTTCTCGCTTGCTCGTCGACCAGAGTCTGGCTGTCGTCGAGGATACCAAATTGGTACTTGGTGATGGTAGCTTTCCACTGGGGAAACGCTTCGCGGGTCTGATCATTCGTGATGCTGTAGTTTCTGAAGCTGGGGAGGCACATGTGATGAAGACATGTCGGGGACCGCACAGCAAGCATTGCGTCCACGTCCAAGCTCTCGAGGGTTGTGACAAATCGCGATGCTGTGGCGAGGAGCCTGTGGCGCGTGGTGGTCATGGTCTGTTCGCGCTGATTAGGATTGGTCGAAACGGTAGAGACTTGACACTTACTCCGTTCCGGGGAGAGGATATGAGATGGCCACCGGCCTGGGAGGAACTGTTACTTTGGCACTATATATATCGCAACAGCGGTATGACCAACGTAGGCTTAGGCAACAGCCCCTTGCTTTGTGAAAATAAACCCAGCCACACAGCGTTTGATCCTTAGAACCAACTAATAGTTACGTAGCTACGTGGCTTGATCTAAAGTACTTCGACCGCAAGGCCAAGTCTCGAGCAAGCTCTCTCATCGGTCTACTACGCATCAGCTCAAACACCGAAATGTCAAGCCGAGCCTCGGTGGCAAGATAGGCGCGCAGATCGACCGCCAGCAAGCTATCCACCCCATAGCTGCTTAGCTGCCGCGAGGTATCAATATCCCCAGCTTCGATAGACGCTGCCGTCGCGAGTTTGCGACACAGCGCGTCGAGCACTGCCGTTGCTGCAGCCCCCACCGTTTCGGCCGCGGCGAGTAACGCACCGAGGGAGAAGCCCTCGGCAGCGGGCTCGGAATTCATCCTCTGAAAATGGTGCAAGTCCACCTGGGCAAGCAATTGGAATCGAGGATCACGCAACCAGTAGACGTCGCCGGGGTCGCCCTCCCGTGCGGCTACCATCCCACCTGTGCCGCAGCCCGTGATGACCTGAGCTGGCAGACGGTCTGGGCTCGTCACCGCGAGCTCAACGAGCTGTAGGAATTCAGATTGCTGGATGTGCAGGAAGTTGAATTTGGAGACGTTCTCTGCAACGCGCCCTGAGCTCTGCGCGATGAAGCCCGCTCCGTCAATGAATCCGAGGCTGAGAGATACGCCGGCCTGTCCACGCGACCGGCGGTGGTGGGCGAGTGCATCCTGGAACGAGTTACCTGGAATCATGTCAGTCCGACCCTCAGGTTTGGCAAGATCCACATGTAAACATACCGGCGGCATAATTGGCCTGTCCGCGTAAGCCGACTGTGCCGACAAATGACGACAAGAGGATGAAGAAATCAACCTCGCTTGGGCAGTGGGTATGGAGATTCCAGCTCCCCATGACCTTGGGGTGGATTGCCCGGTTCCAGGCTCCAAAACTCATATTGTGAAAGACAGAGTCCTAAGAGCTTTAGTAAAAGGCAAGACTGGGCTGGGAGTAATACCTCTAAAACCATAGCCGCCTGTATCAATCCGCGCACAGGAGGGCTCGTTTTACAAACTTGCGCCATGGCTACGTGTACCTGCTGGCTGTCGGTGATATCGCAGGGGACCGCTGCTACCTTTACTCCGTTCACGGCGAGATCTTCGATCAACTTGGCTACACCTGGCCTCGTATCTGCTTGACGAGATAAAATGACAATGTGCCGGGCGCCTCGATGGCACATCCAACGGGCTAGAGAGGCCCCTAGACCCCCAGAGCCGCCAGCGATGATGTAGGTCGCGTTGGGAAGTAAATGAGCGGTGGGCCGGGATTTGATGACCTTGTTATGGAAGTCCTGATTAGGCGTCCGCCAGCACTTATTAGATCATATGGTAGGACATACCGGCACAAGCGCGCGTCCGTGCGCTTCCACTACTAGTTGGTTCGGTGCCCCTTCAACACAGTTGGTGATATGGAGGGACTCTTCACTTCTGCTGCAGCCTGGTTTTGCGCCCCCGGAGTCGGCGTGAATTTCCTGACTCCGGACCAACTCGGTGACATGCCTTAAAATCTGTGCAACGATTGTCCGGTCCTCGTGGGAGAGCGTGTCAGGGGCGATGGTATACATACGGGCGTCGCCTGGTATTGGCAGTCGAAGCCGAGTCCCCTTGCTGTCTAGAAACCAGGATTCGTGTCTGTCAACACTGCCATTGGAGCCATGAAAGGATGAGTGCTGGGTCCTACCTTGATGTTGAACCAAGACCAGACGGGCTCCAGGAGCCAGGTACTGCTGAAGGAGGTTGGTAGGAGCAGCATCCAAGAGAATCAAGTCAAACCGACGGCCCATATCCAGGCCTTGCAAGCCCTCGCCGCCGGTACTGAGGATATGATCGGGCGGAACCAGGAAGGTGCTGGCCAGCTGGTTTTTTCTAGCCTCCGAAGAGACCAGCAAAAATACCTCGGCGCGCGCGTGTTGTGCCAGCCTGATCAACGATTCTTGCAGTGTATTACTCGCACAATCAATCAAGACCGCCTCTCCCGCCTTCAGTGATGCTTTGTGAACCAAGCAGTAGAACGCCGTCGTATAGGCCCAGAGAACTCGGACAGCCACGCCAAAGTCTCCCAGCTTTTCGGGAATTCTGTGGCATAGAGTCAGGGGGCATCGATAGAGGTTTCTGATGGCACCTCGCTGAATGGTCATAACGCGATCTCCAACGCTCAATTCAGAATGACAAGCTGTGCCGAGTCGTGTCACAGTTCCACAGACAGTGACAAGACCGTGACTGCTGTTATTCTGGCCTTGGGAAGAAACAAGATGAGTAGCTCTGGTGGCGACCTCGGCTTCGTCTTTGCCGAGAGGCTCCAGCCAGTAGGCCGGATCCTGGACGAAACGCAATGGCTCAATGGTGGTCAGTGCCACTGATGTGCCGGGCTGCCCAAAGGGAATTTGTTCAGTTTCAGACTTGACAGATTTAAAAACTGCGCCATTCACTCCATCCTCCGTCATTACGCGCGGAATGAGGATTTCGCGGCCCCGGATGCAATACTCCCAGTCATGCGACTCGTGCGTAATTTTCGCTCGGCGTCCGGCAAGGGCGAGCCTGGTGATCGAGGAGATGGTGGTAGCGCTGTCAAGGTCCTGCTCACAGGCGATATCCACCATCGTTATAGCGGTTGCGGGATTCTCGGCACGCAGGGAGCGGACTAAGCCCTGTGCCATGCTGGCCCATGGGTTCCAGCCATCTGCATTGGCGCCTCGAGTGATCCATACTGCATCGGCGCAACTCAATAGAGTATGCTTTAGAGCTGTCCACTCCGTCTCGTTGATGGTGGCTAGATCTCTCTGCTCAGGATCTGCATCGAGCAATAGCACAACCGTCTTGTCGTGTAGGTTATCATGAGCTGAGCTGCTGCCCAGACTCTCGACAGCCACGTCCATTCCTAACGCCCGCAGCTGTGTGATGCACCCTGTAACAAAGGTACGGACCCTGGGAGTGAGGTTATGCATATGGATGATGATGACGGCTGGTGTTGGTGGAGGCGTCAAGCCAAGTTGCCGTGCGGTAGCAACCATCCCCGTCATTATATGATCGCCCTTGGGCCTGTCATGCAAGGAAATGTCGACTCCGCTGAATCCCGTGTCTCTTAGGGCTCCATCCCACTGCTCGACGGAAAGTGTTGGCTCCCAGACTCGCCCATCCTCAACACCTATCAACTGTCAGAGAGTCCACCAGCGAGGCGTTGGGGGTAGGACGTTCACCAACCCAGCCACCAGCCCTCAAGGGCACCAACAGTCATTGTGATATGAGGCATATTGCGCGTAATCTCGCTTAGCACTAATCGACCGGTTCTACAAAAGCGGCTGTCAGTATCTGCGTTGCACAGAAAATGCACAGGGAACCATACGGTTTAAGTAGTTTGCGCACAGCAGACAACGTGTGCCGGATTGATTTTGTGGCATGCAGGACATTGTCCGCCAGTATCAAATCAAACTGTGCCTCACCGAACCCTTGTCTCTCAAGATCATGCTCAATATTCAGGGTAACGAAGCTCATGCAATGGGCCCAAGCGGCAAACTTTTTCCGGGCCTTTTCAAAAAAGCCACCACTGATGTCAGTAAAGCAGTAGCTATCGAAAAGTGCAGAGCCGTCAGAGAGGGTCATGGCCCGCAGGGCAGAGAGCGTCAGTCCGCCAGTACCGCCTCCAATCTCCAGGATTTGGGCCTGCGCGTTGTTGCGCGCATGCAGCCTCAGATACGACGAGACTTTGTCATGGTTTGCGCGCCATGTGATTCCCTCCGCGTACCAGCGGTGGAGCCTGCTTTCTTCGAGCAGTGCCTCGATTGAGTGCATATTTCCCCTCAGGATTCTGTCCAGCATTCGACAGTGATGATCCAGGATCTCTCCGTCGATGGATGAGTTGGCCACCTGCTGGAGAGCCTCGTCTTGAACCTTCCGGGGAGAGCTTAGTAGCATTTTCAGACGCGAGTCCTCTGGAAAACTATCGCCTTGTATGGCCGAGTTATAAAGCCTGGTCATGCCGTGGTGCAGTCTGCGCAGATGCGGGGGAGACGGAGAAACGTCAGTCAAAGGGCAACCTCGCAGGATCCGCTGGATCCAAATTAGGGCTGCCCACTGAAGTTCGCAGGCTCGATCTGCTTGCATACTTTCCCCAGGGAGATTACATGCCCTCTGGATAATGTCCCCCGGTGTGTGGATAATGCTCGGCAACCACTCTGTCGCTGCGGCAAGCTTGCGAGGTACCCTGGCAGCAGTTGGCCCCACCGCATCACCGCTTCTCACCGACAGAGTTGCCAGTTCGAGTCCGTCCAGGATAATCCAAGGCTGGGCCCACTGTGTGTCGGATGCGGCCACGTTCACGCCCGAAGCCGAGTCATTGATGACCGAGTACCCGACCATCTCAGTGCCCGGACCCTGCGGAATGTCCGCTGAAATGTGCACACGTGAAAAGGCGACTGGGACCATTGTATCATGGGGCTCCTCGTATTCCTCTTTCGACGTACTCAGGCCTAGCTGCACCAAAGCGTCCAGGACCACAGGGTGAACCAGCATATCCTGTTCAAACCCACATGGCATACAGTCTGTTGTCGAGGGGATTCTCACCGTTCCAATTGCGCTTGAAGGTCCCTTGCTGAGCTGAGTGAGGTTTTGGAACCAGCGCCCAAATTGGAGGCCGACCGAGGCCCATTGCGAGTATGCCTGGCGAGGTGTGGTCTCAACGTAGCTCGCAGCCCTGCAGTGGGCGTATCGTGTGCGATGAGCGGCATCCGGACTGTCCGACGGTGTTCCAGCGAGTACGCTTCCGCTGCAATTGAGCTCCCAGCCGTCGCCCTTTTCCGAGTAGTGTTGGAATTCAAAGGAGCCAGGACACTGGCCCGTCTCTTGCCGAAGCCGCAGACGCGTATGAACAACATCCTCTTCAGAGCTGAAAACAATAGGCCGCGAGATTTTGACATCGCGCAGCTCGAAGTATGAGATCTCTAGGACGTTTCTGACAGACTCTCGAACAGCCTCAACGACTGCAGTCAGCATCCCCGCTGCAGGGTACACAATTGTCCCTTGCACGCGATGATCCAGGATCCATGGATTCTCACTCGGGCTCAGGATGTTTCGCCATGTAGCCTCGCCAGGTAGATCATCTTCCACTCTGATCCCACACAGATCGTGGCGCGCATGCTGACGAAAACGTCTCTTACGGGATACCGAAGACTCGGCCCAATATCTATTGCGCTCATCGTGATTCCATGGATATGGCGGGAGATTGACCAGGAAGCCTTCCTCGGTTGACAGTTGGTTTATTTCATGCAGCTTCAAGTGGCAGCCGTGTTGGATGAGAGAACCCATGGATTCCAGCAATGTGTGGTGCGCATCGCGGCCGCGGACCAACAGCGAAGTATACGGAAACCTCTCAGCACTGGACGCAGCGTCCAGGATCTGGCGCAGAGGACCCTGGAGCGCAGAATGGGGACCAATCTCGACAAAAACGGTCGGTGCTGTTCTATTTCCCAAGTCCCGTATCACGGATTCGACCGCACCCACAAATTCTACGGGTTCAATCATGTTGGACACCCAATAATCAGGTCCAAGGTCGCTGCACTCGACTACACCTCTGGTCACGGTGGAGTACATTGTCGTATTGAGGCTCTTTTCCGTATCTGCCAAGGGCCGAGCACTGCTTATAGCTTTGTAGCATTCCCCGGCGATGACCTGCATGTGCGGTGAGTGGTAGGCTCGAGAGACCCGTAGTCGCCTGTGGAAACATCCAGCTTCACTCAAGAGCCCCTCCAGCTGGTCAAGAGCGCTGAGATCCCCGGCCACTGTGCAGCTTAGCGGGCTATTAACACAGGCGATAACAGCAACGCCTTCCGTGAGGCGTCCGATGTACGTTGCACAATCCTCCCGACCCAGCCCAGCAACGAGCATCCCCCCTTGCAATGAAGGGGCATAGTCGGGCAAGGATGAGCACAGGCGACCACGGTGAAAGGCGATTGTCCAGGCGGCCTCGCGCGATATTGCGCCTTTGGCATAGGCGGCGGCGATCTCACCCCCTGAATGCCCAATCACGGCTGTAGGGTTAATTCCGAAGCTCTCAAGTAGGTCTACAAGGGCCACTTGAAGGACAGTGCAAAGAGTTTGACTAACCTCGGGTGAGGCGAGGGACGATTGCTCTGGAGTCGCCTTTATTTCGTCTAGCGGGTGAATGTACTTGTCAGCTACAACTGTAGAGACCAAAGGAAGTTGATATGCGTACCGATAACAGACACCTGCAATCCCAGACATTGTAGAAACCTGCCAGCCAGTTGTAGAGATTCTAAGTATTCAGGATAGCGGATGAGCTGACGGCCCATGCCAGGCCACTGGGCACCTTGGCCTGTAAAGACAAATACTATCGCAGGCGGTTCACTTGAACGAAGTGGTTGCGCAGCTCCATTGCGGAACGATTCGACAATGGAATTGGCAGAGTGGGATACGATATACGACTTCCATGGCATGACGCTACGACGAGAATGGAGAGTCATACACAGCCGTCGTGTCAGACTGCTGCGATCTGTGGCGGACTTGACCTTCGCTTCAAGATACTGTGCGTATTGAGCGGCCAGGCGAGAGATGCCTCCCTTGTCATGGGAGGACCAGAAAATCAGCATCGGCGCTTCTTCTTCTCTAGGCCTGGCTTCATGATTGCACCGTGGCTCCTGACACAGGGTTCCAGCCTTCGCGGCACCTTGCCCCATTGAGTACTCTTCTAGAGTCTCCATCACGCAGTGAGCGTTTGTACCGCCATACCCAAAGGAGTTGATACTTGCTCTGCGCTTTTCACCCTCTGGCCAGGAGACCGGCTCTACCGGGACTTTCAGGCGCCACCGGTCAAGAGGTAACGCCGTACTTGGCCGTGTAAACCATATATTGGGCGGAATAATACCGTTCTCCAGGGCCAGAACTGTCTTTATCACCTGAGCAACACCAGCCGCAGCCTCAAGGTGCCCTATGTTAGTTTTGACGCTTCCGATATACAGTGGATTTTGCGGCAGCCGCCTGTGGCAAAAGACGCTCGCCAGTGATGAGGCCTCGGCCAAATCGCCTTTCCTCGTACCTGTTCCGTGCGCTTCCACAAAAGGCGTCTCAACGGGATCGAGACAGGCTCGGTCATAGACGCTCCGAATCAATCGCTCCTGCGCCTGTGCCGAAGGAACGGTGATGCCGGCGGTGCGGCCATCCTGATTCACACCGGTGCCGCGGATAACGGCGCGAATTGCGTCTCCGTCAGCAAGTGCTGCCCCGAGGGGCTTGAGAAGGAGAAAACCAACTCCTTCACCCCGGGCGTATCCGTCTGCCTGCTCGTCAAAGGCCTTGCTGCGGCCGTCCGGGCTGAGAAACCCAAGCGAACTTTGACTGGCCATCATCTGCGGGGACAGGATCACATTGGCGCCGCCGACTAGCACCTGGGGTGTTATTTTTCATGTCAGCAGGGGCGAGTTAACATTGATTTCGCTCTTCGGCGTTGAGTAATGCGCACCATATCAGCATCGCCTGTGTGGATGCTCTGACAGCCCAGATGAAGCGCGACGAGAGACGAAGAGCACGCAGTATCAACCGTCACACTGGGCGCTTGAAGGTCAAAGAACCAGGAGATACGGTTCGCGAGCATCCCCGCTCCACACCCCGTGAATTTGTATCTCGGCTGCGATTCGCCGTCCTGCGCCAGAAGCTCCGCGTAGTCGTGCGTGAAGCTCGCGACATAACATGCCGTCCGTGTCCCTGCAACAGCGTCCATTGTCATACCAGCTAGACAAAGTAGTCAGCTTCTGTGGCGCCTTCTGGTTGGCGTAAGGCCTCCGTGGTAGCTCTGGACTGACCGTTCTCAAACGCCTCGAATGCACATTCCAGCGCCATACGGCTCTGCGGATCCATTGCTCGCGCCTCCTCTGGAAGCACAGAAAAAAACGGCGCGTCAAAAGCAGCAGGGTCTCGCGTCATGAAATGGCCCCATCTCGTATTCACGGTGCCCGCGCGCGAGCCAGAAGGGTGATAGAATGCATTGACATTGAACCGGTCCGGAGGCACCTCACTCCTCGTGCTCTGTTTGTTCATAAGTACGGACCATAGCTTCTGAGGGTTGCTGGCTTCGCCGGGAAACCGCCCAGACAAACCAATAATTGCTATCGGGGTTGAGCTGTCAGTTCCTGCCATATCGATGTCCGAGCGCTAGCCCAAGCGATTTGCTGATTGAGGGATATATGGGGAGAGATTTAAGAGTGTTGGAGGCAACTAGCGTTCTGAAAGCTCACACAACCGCCGTAGTGCACTATTACCGCTGTCAAGGGCTTTTGGGCGAAACATGAACGGTGGGGTTGGCAAGGGATGTGATCCTACCAGCGAAAGCCTCCTTCTCGGGACAGGGGTCATGTAATTCAGACCTCAGAGGCCGGAAGGTCCAAAGAGCATGCCTAAGGCGATTGGAAGAGGCGTGCGAGCAAAGTTACCTCCTTGGCACAACTACAGGTCTTCTGGAACCTTGCGCCGTCTAGGTATTCGGTGACAAGGATGCTGTCTTTGCAGTCAATTCACCCTAACGCTGATGAGCTGACTTCAAGCATGGGGTGCCTAGTCTGTTGCCCTTACATGGATTCCGCCACCCGGAAGAATCCTCCAGCAACAAGACCTCGCTTGAGTGACAAGAAATGGTGACTCCTTGGTTGTACAAGGCCCTTGCGTCCTAATTCCCTACTTCTCGAACGGTTCACATAGCTACAAGAGAGTAGCCCATCAGGTGGGACTACCGATGCCATCAGATGAGGACAGCGCCTCAAGTTCACTGGTGCATTCCATGCAAAGTGACGTTCAATATACGTTATGGCACTGATAACAGTGAGAAGAGGAATTGTCGTGATACATCCTGGATATGTTACTCGTGATCCATAACCAGCATAATCATTTCCATTCACTCTGGATGAAACGTCGCCTTGTAGCCTCCTCGCCAGAGCATATATGTATAGTACGCCCAGCCACCACTTGCCTCCGCAAGGCCTGTATCTACTTGGTTCATTTATCTCGATAGCTCTATATTAGCTTGTACTGCCCTGCTCCTCCTGTGTCCGCATCATGACTATCCTTGACAAACGCCAGATACAACGGTTCGCCTCCGACACTGACATAGAAACATTGTCGAAAGCCATCGACGACGATGGCGTTGCTATAGTCAGAAGCGTTGTGTCTCGTGATGTGATCCAACGCCTGCAAAAAGAAGTCGAAAGCTCCGACCAGCCTGTCTGGCTCGAGGATAACCCATCCTTGAAGGATAGCAAATTTCCCAGTCAAGCCCGCCACGCAAATAACCTCGTGCCTGCCAGCAAGACCTACCGGGACGATATCCTGAACAACTCGGCAGTGCATACAACATGCAAGGCCGTCTTTCGCGACGTGGGAGACTACTGGCTGACCACGGGAATCTTACGAACCACGAAACCGGGAAGCCCAGCGCAAGGCTTCCACCGGGACGCGCTGCTCTATCCAGTCCTTCAGTACCAACCTCCCACATCACCGCCCTTGACCGTGGCGCTCCTTGTATCCATGACTGACGCCACGGTGGCCAACGGTGCAACGCGGGTCATTCTCGGCAGCCATAAATGGGAGACTGTGGGCACGCCATCGGAGGACCAGGCTGTGCGCGCAGAGCTAGACGCTGGGGACATGCTGGTAATCCACCAGAGGCTGGTGCACGCCGGTGGGGAGCACACGCACCAGGCACCGGATACGCGACGAATGCTACTGATGTTCTTGACGAGCTGTCAGCTAGTTGCTCTTGAGAGCCCGCTCGCTCTGTCTCGGGAGCTCGTAGAAACCATGACCCCGCTTGCGCAGAAGATGGTTGGCTGGCGGACTGTTAGACCGGTAGAGCCCAATACGGTTGGGCTGAATACGCACCGGTCGGGCTGCTTGGAGGATGGATTGAAGTTGAGGGCAGCAAAGCCGCTAGAAGGGCAGGACGGCCATTGAGTAATGCATCGTAGCTCGGGCTCACTGGCTGTTAGTATACTTGCCTAGTCACAATGTCCAACAACGTTTCACCCTGAGTATCGTGCTATTTCAATAACGACACAGAAGTGATCGCCCCAATACATTTCATTAGTAGCTCTGCACTGAAACCTGCACTCGAGACCATCCCGTTAGCACGCACCCGACATATGAGCAACGACGTACCGCAGACTTTTAAGTAAGGACATTCTCAGGCATAACTATCCGTGACCGACTTGGGCCCCCTTGCCGACAGGCATGCCACATAAGTGCCCATCCAGCAGTCGGGCCACAAATCCTGCTCGCAACTCGTCCAGCTCTCATGTACACCCTTTACACTACACCATGCTTCATGAAACAACCAATCTCGCCCCGCTGGGCCAACCTTGGATCGCTGGTCTTGTGGTAGTTTCCGCGGTCTTATATTTGCTCTACAGCACCCAGAGATGGCGTGCTAACAATATCCCCCTTTTGAACGATGCGGGGCCATTCGACTTTCTCCAGGCGACAGCAGTGAATCGCTTTCGCCGCGATGCCCGGCAGCTGATAAAATCCGGCTTTGACTCTGTAAGTTTGCACACAGAACTTGGAGAAGCACGAACCAGCGTCACATGCTCATCCAGTGGCACTAGCACAGGGATGTCTTCGCGATGCGCACGGATGTCGGGGTCGAGTTGTTTGCGTCCCCTGAATATGCGGACCAGTTCCGCAACCACCCTTCGCTGAAGGTATTCCCATTCACTGCAAAGGTAAGTAGTCAATGCAACACCTGCCCGTGGCCAGAGACCGGATTTCTGAACTCTTGATCAGATGCATCACGGTCATCTTCCGGGCTTTGAGCTATGCCGGTCACAGCCGGTCGAAGATCGCATTTTCATAGAGTCTGTGCGAGTACAGCTCGCGCAGTCGTTGGGTAAGGGGAGCTACAATACGTGGAGCGCAATCGCACTGACAAGATTGCCCAGGCAAACTGATCCAACCTCTCGCATCAGATATCGGGCAAGCAATCAGCGATCGATGGCCTAGTGAATCAGGTAAAACCAGGGCTTCCGTCGGTGTGCACGAAAAAGTGGCTGACCCTTTCTGTCTAATGATCCCCAGGCTGGGAGGAAATAGCTCTTGGGTCAGTGGTCGAACGTACCATATCCCAGGGTACATCTTCTGTGTACTGCCTGGACAAGGCGTGGCCCGAGTTTGTGGTGAAGATGGAAATGGCACTGGGTATGGCATCAGCGGCACTCTCCGCGTGGCCTGTGATGCTACGACGGATTGTGGCTAAGTTTCTGCCCGAATGCCTGGAGCTCTACCGCACCATGGACGCCGGCCGAGAGCTCATGAGCCGTGACATGCGCAGGAGAACGGCGCTGCAGGCATCAACAGGCGAAGCGCCCCTAAACTTTTTTGAATGGTTCAAGGAAGCCTCGCATGGGGAAGAGCATGACGAACTGATACTCAATCTGCGGATTGCATTTGCGTCCATGCACGGCCTCTGTGACCATCTGGTGAAGATCCTCCTTCGCCTTTCCGAGGATCCTCAGCTTGTCGACGACCTTCGTAAAGAGGTCATCCAAGTCTACAAGACTCATGGGTGGAGCAAGACGGCGCTGTACCACTTGAAACTAATGGACAGTGCGTTCAAGGAAGTTCAACGGGTGGATCCAATCCTGTTCGGTATGCCAACTCCCATCTCCCTGGTTCAGACACACTCTAACTACGAAACAGCAGTTGGCAGGGTCGCCGTCGACGACGTAACATTGAAAGACGGCCTCGTCATCCGCAAAGGCCAGTCGATCCGGATTTCCGGACACACAATGTGGGACGAGGACAAGTATCCTGACGCCGCGCATTTCGACGCGTATCGGTTCTACAAACTCCGACAGGCTCCAGGGCAAGAGAACACAGCACAGTTTACATCACCTACCTCGGACCACCTGGGATTCGGCTATGGAGGCCGCGCCTGTCCCGGGCGGTTCTTCGCCGCGGCGGTACTGAAGATCTCTCTTTGCCACTTGTTGATGAAATACGATATCAAGCCGGCCGATGGGGAGACTGGGCCGCATGTGTGGGAGTTTGCGGCGGCAATCAACGCAAACATGGCCGCAAAGGTGTTGGTCAGACGGCGACAGCCGGAGATCCAGCTCTAATTCCTGGCGTTTGAGAATGGGAATATTAATCAGAGTTAGAGCAAGAGGCTTTGTTTTAGACGTGTGGAAATCTAGTCGCCTAACGATGCTCCGTTGCTCGCCGGAGAGTACAACATGCCAGCGCCCATGTTTCAGGTCTCTGCTTGATTCACTGCGGCATTCGTAGTTCATGACGTTGTTCAAACTAGACCCCTAATCAAATATGATGCAGACAATGGACGTAATCCTTTCCTTGCTTATACGCAAGGGGCACAAACACATACACTCTACTAAAGAGAGCTGGATTGGTTCCACTAGATGCATAGCGTCTGGCGGTGAATTCACGGATCTAATGTAGTGCAAGGGATACATGACCCATTTGGTGAGTTGTAACGAGCAATAGCTTGAGTGGATGAAATATGCAGGCCAGCTGCGGCGATGGATTTCTAGGCCCAATCAGGAGCCAGCACATATAATCACAACACTAGAATGCCAGCGCCATGTTAATTCACCCAGCGTTTTTTCACTGGATACATGAACCAGGCGCTGCCGGTCATTTTATCAAGCGCTGACGTTTAGTGTGAACCAAAATAGTAAATTCATTAATTAAACCTTAGCTCCCAGCACACTCTCCACTGACCTTGTACGGCAACTATATATAATCGCTTGCTAGGAGACCCACCACCAAAACTAAGGTCCCAAATGTATTGTAATAAGCTTATAACTTGTTATCTTCTTCTGATTTAGCTTATACTAGAGCGTACTACTCGTTGTAACCCCCCAACAAGGCATTATCGCGACGGAGGTGTACTACTAGGCGTATACAAGCCCTCTTAATATTTTCATTAAGTCGCAGTGACCAGTTCATCAGGTGACTTTACTTTATACGTTTGTTTCATTATTGGTGGGACGAAGGTTGAACTAGCGGCAACACTAGGTATATGTAATCCAAAGCTCACCTGATACAGTCAAGCAAAATCCCTCTGGTGGGTAAATCTTGAAGCGGTCTGACAATATCAACAACTTTTCATGTGCTCAGCACTGATGCAAAACATCCCGACAACGAGGCGAAGCCAAGACAACCTTAGGCGGAATAATCTTCATCCTCTCAAAGTCTTCAAAAACCTGGAAATAGCTAGACCCGACCGGATGATCCTCTGTAAAGCCCAGCCCTCTGATCTTATCGAGGCACAGTTCCCGATTCTGGTCGATCAACGTATGGCCCATCTTCATCAACGACCAGGCCGTTGGAGACATGACCTGCTTCTGCAGTCCATACTCGGCGCACATTCTTTCGTAGGCGGTTTGGTTTGCGTACCACCAGCCGTCTATATCCGTCCACTCATCGTCAATCGTTTCGCTGGCTTCAAGCCCAAAATATCTGCAGATAGAGGGCCACTTGGCACTCCACGGCCCAGGCGTGTCTGTGTCTGCTATATTGAATGCCTCGCCGTGTGATTCGTCCGACTTGACGAGGGAAAGGTACAGCTCGGCCCGCGCCATTGTATCAGGGCGTACGTCTGTGTATGTGTGATGATAGTTGCGAACGGTTCCAGGAAATTGGACTCGGGCCCCTGGTCCGTTGATGTACCGATATAGGGCGAGATACAATGCCATGGGTGCGACGTAAGGAACGCTAACTTGGGCAGGAGTATGTCCTATGCCGAGTGTTAAGTCAATGGCGGATATTATCCCTGGCGCCGTTCGACGTACCCACAATCTGGTCCGGTCGGACCTCGCACCATTTCCAGGCCTTGCCCTTGTTGGCTTCTTTGATCAAGTCCGCCTGTGCGTAGTAGAAAAGCGTGTCGCTCCAAGGGCGAGGCACTCGGGGGTTACTCTCTCGCAGCGGCACTTGCAGTTGCGTTTGGCGTAGATAGTCAAAACATGCGACTCCATAGGCCTTGGAAACGTCAGACAGAAGACTTGCGCAGGTGAGTGGCACGTACATTGGTTCCCGTTTGCAGCACAAAAAACTCCATGTTTGGACAAAGGCGATCGCAAGCGTGGACTGCTGTGTAGGTCATGGCGACGTTGGCGTCCCGGAACTGCCGCATGTCGCCACTGCATGTTTGCAGGGTCATGTAGGCTGAACCGAGTCGGTGTCATTCTCTGCCACGTTCACGCAAATCGTACTGGGTGGACTCACCAAGATAGTAAACGTGTGTGACTTCCTCGATCCGCGGGATCTTTTCCTTCAGCTTCACAACGACATGGTTGAGGTCGCCCTGAAGATCAACGCCTGAATACAGCTCCAACCGAGGATCGTTGGGTAGGCCGGTTTCCTCAACTGTCCTGGGCCGGTGCATTAATCCAATAACGCGCTGGAAAGTAGACCGACTCGGATAGGAAAGGGCGTTTTTGGCCAGTGCCCAGCCAGATATCCCTGTGGCGCCCAAGACCAGGGCGACCTTGTTTGACTTGTCGACCATGATGCTTGCTTCAGGGGCTCGAGAATCGACCACCTTTACGATATTGTGATGGGACAAGGTTAAATGGAGCGGATTGTGTATCCCAGACCGCTATTGCATTGTAAGGGCCAAAATGCCGGAAGAGCAAGGGGTTGGAGCGACGCAAGGGGGTAGGATTCGGCCCTTGGACGGATATACCTACAGAGACAGCCCGCACATGTCCACGGTTAAGCATTGTCAGGTTACTATTAAAGTTGCAGCAGAATCGTCAGCCCACCAGCAGTTTATCTTACATCCGAACCATGTCCATCCGAGAAAGACTGCTTGCAACGGTCTCCCGGTACATTGCCGCGTACAACGAGTTCGATCCAAGTGCCATGAAAACCGTTCGCACAGTCAGCTGCCTTACCCATGGAATTGCGCCGACCTGCAAGTTTACTCAGAGTGTAGAGGAACACACGAAACATATGATGTTATCGCGGGGAGTGTTTCGATCCGTTAATGCCAGCATTGTCGACGACGGCACTACGGTCGTTGATGAGGGGTCAAGAAAGGTTGTTGTCAAGGTGAAACTCCGGTGTGAAACGATCGTTGGGCCCTACGAGAACGAAGCAATGTTTATAATGGCGATGGATGAGGAGGGAACCCTCGTGGATGGGATCTTTCAATTCTTGGACACAGCCTGTTTTCGGCAGTTTCAGGGACGCCTCGAGGAGGCTCACGTCTCTAGGGATTGATGTGAGAAGTGTACTGTGCTGGAGAGGAAGCATTGATATTGTCTGCACACGCTTCGAAAATATCATCAAATCATTCCAATCACAGAAAGCTGCTATGCGGCGGGTCTAGCCCCAGATAGTCAAGTTGTCCTGCCTTCGCCTGACACAGAAGCTCAAAGTTGCATCGGGAAATAGAAAGTTTCCCGAAGAAACGACCGTCGAACTTGCCTCGTCCGAGATTTTCACATCATACTTTAACAGAATATGACATAGTAGGATTTTGATTTTCGTGGCAGCAAAGAATCTCCCCGGGCATGAATGCTTTCCCAGTCCAAACCCCATGTGATCTGGCGTGGGAGAGACGAGATGCGCTGCATGATCGCCCGAGTCGCGGCGACGGACAAATCTATAGGGATCCCATTCCAGCGGGTTGGGATACACGGCCGAGTCCCACACTCGTGTATTCACGACGTTGATTGTTTCGCCCTGTGGGATCACAGTTCCGTCATGTAACGTCATTTGTTCAGTAACGTAGCGACCCATACCGACTGGGTGGTGCGGTGACCTTGGGGTTAGCTCACCATGACCCGTAACGAAAGCAACGGTACCTACAAACAACGACGGGCTTGACACGCTGTGTTTCCTTCAGCACGCTGTCCAACAGCTTGAGGTTGTACATGGCCGACTTCTCCCATCCATCTGCCCTCAGAACCCTGACCATCTCCTCGCGGAGATCTTGCTGGAGTTTTCCCGAATCGCGGAAACGACAAATGTCAGTGAGGGTCTGAATGATGAGGTCGGATGTGGTATCAATGGCCGCTGCAGCGAGGGAGAGCTGTGCCAGCACCGGGTTGTATTTCCGACCGCCTGCAACTTCTTCAAACCAATCGAGAAAGTTGTGCTTGTTGTGAGGCGCAGAGTATCTCTCTGAAAGTATGGGATCGAGCATCAGTGCTGCCTCTCGGATATGGCGTCGTAGTTTACCGCAAGAAGACAGGAAATACGTAGCAATGGGACGCAGAGCCTCCGGCCACTTGCAAAGATCCAGATCCGCGACGAACATATCAGAACTGTAGTTGGTGACAATACTGAGCCATTTTTGATCGCGGCCGAGCTCCTCGCCGACGAACATGACTGCCGATACTCGAGAGACAAGCGAGGCTATGGTGGACTTGAGATCCAACTCGTGCCAACCTGAACCACCAGATTAGCGTGGCACCTTGCACGACGGTCTGTCGACGTACAATCACTATTCCCCCATTGCGTTTCGAGGATCAGTGCAGTTTCAGCCGACATCGGTTTCATCAGCACCCCTTGAGCGCCCAAAAACGTAAGCTAGATTAACGCCTATAGACAGCTGGCTCTTACCGATGGACCTGGTCAGTTTAAGCCGGATAGCATCTTTCATTACCTGCTGTGGCCGCAACACCTCAAAGCCGGACACGTGGGCGTGGAATTCCTTTGCTATAAAGACATCCGCATTGCAGGCTGGATGACTTTTAACCTCGTCGGCGAATTCGGGCCCAAGGATTATCTTGGGCCCTTTTTGAGAAACCACGCGAAAGGCACGCGCCTGCGGATTATTTGAGTCTCCAAGCCAGAATCAAACAATGACATACACAAGAGAACTGACCTTCCGAAGCCCGTTCAAGATGATGCCCCGTCCATCGAGAGCAAAGCGCCTTCTTGCCTGGTACTGTCCGATCTCAAACCGCCTGCGTCCGTTTACGGTCGGGAGGTCGCATTTAGCTGGTGCCAGCAGCTTGAATATTACAAAGAGAACAGCGACCGTCCACAAGATATAGAGGCCTACCCCCTCGTTGGGTTGAGCTGAGAAGGGGTGCATAAGTCGCAACATGGTCGTGTGTGGTGTTTCAACAAGCCCTCGTACAGCGAACCGAGGTGTGTCGAGTATCTTGTACGGACTCGCCCAAGTAACATGTTTACCGCCTGTGCTACGTCGACCGATGCCCCTACATACTTCAAGCAAGGGCTTGGGAGGACCGAGGGCATATCGCTCAACTATCTTGTTTTCTAACTTATTGGGCAGAGTTGCAGCTACGGAGGAATGTCTCACAGTTGCACAGGAACTCTTCCTCCAGCAAGGCCAGGGACGAGCTTCTCTTACATAGTCTGTCTATCAGTCAAACCGGCCAAGTTGGACTCCCATATTGCCTACTCGATCGCATCAAATGCCGTCCTCGTCTGATTTCGAAGCCTTCACCCTGACCCCTCTCGATCAGGCAAATGGCCAGGTCTTCTTCTTCTACAGCTTGTCGTATCGGGTGCAGGATGAAGCTTCTGCCCTTCACACCATCCATAAGGCTATCGATCTCCTTCTCGAAAAGGCGCCATTTTTGAACGGGGAGATCGTGTTTGCTACCGATGGGCTTGAAGTCCGCCCACCCACGACCGATTCCGAAGATCGAGTTCCACTGGTCCAGGTAAAGCGCCATTCCAATCGCACTCTCCCCGTCGAGAAACTGGGACAGTCTCCATTCAACGTACCTCGGAATTTTCCGCTTGACGCCCTCTTTAATCCACTCGCCGCCTTGCCAACACCTGATCGACCAACACCTGTCATTCGCTTTCAGGTCAATCTGGTCAATGATGGCCTGGTCTTGACTATCGGGTTCAACCATGCGGTATTCGACGCCCTCGGAGCCGCGGTGATAGTAAAGCTTCTGGCCGAATCGTGTCGCAACCCGGCAAACGTAGGAAGGGAGGGGAGTTTGGAAATCGCTTCCACGCAGTCACGAGTGCGAAGCCCATTGCTGGCTCTGACCTCTCGCTGGAAAAAGCTTGACCGCGTTCGTGCAGATGCGCCTTCGTCGCCTGAGGTCACTGCGGTACCTCCACCATTGACCGATGAATGCTTCGTCTTTTGTGCCGACAAACTCCAGCGGCTGAGGGCCGCTTGTAACTCTATCCTTTGCCAGTTGAATGAGAATCAGAAATTGCTTGCAGGCCAACCAGATGTAAGGTTTCTTTCGACCAACGATGTCCTCACGGCGCTCATCTGCGAAACGATAGCTCAGGCACGGCATGCCGCCAGGCACACATGCAGAGATGAGGGTCTTCATCCGGAGTCGACTGTCTCTGAGTGCCTGATGGCCGTGAATATTCGCAAGTTCGTTGATCCTCCTCTCCCCGATGACTACATGGGCAACGCAGGTATCCCGCTTCGCTTCCAAATCGAGACTCGACGGGACGCTGAGCCAGACTTGCCACGGGCATTTCAGGAAGCAAACCCCGGTTTGAACACGTCATCCTTCCTAGCCATTGCAGAGACGGCTTATACAATCCGAATCAAGCTAGCCAGCTTTGGCGATTCCTACATCGACTCCCTAAGGTCCTTTCTGAACGCCGATGAGAGCCAGACAGCTGTGCATGTGCTCCCGGCTTGCGCTATCGTCTCAAGCTTAAGACATATCAAAACATACGAGCTACAATTTGGAGCAGAGCTAGGGGAAATCCGGACCTTCGAAACTGGGATACCGTGGGTGAACGGGTCCTGTGTAATTCTCCCCTTGTGCGCAAATAGTTCGGAGGTGGCGGGTTCCGCGCCGTGGAATGTGCGGATAACGCTGGACGAGGGTACGATGTATTGCTTCAAGAATGAGCCGGCTCTGCGCTGGGCACTATGGGAGCAAGGGAGAAGCAAGGTTCCAGGCTCGTGCGACTGTAAGGCTGATGCATAGCAGCCGCTCCTTGAAGGAGTTGACGCGGTCCTTGTGACATGTGAATCTCACGGCCTCACCGTGACGTGTAACGCCTCATCGTCTCTCATGAAGCAAAAGTGAATTGAATGTAGCCTGAATTCTTGTGCATTGGCCTCCGAAAGAGACCGCAAAAGATATCCGATGTAAGGGTGGTAGAACGAGTTGGCAGTGGAAATTCACCGACTAAACGGCCAGAGGCTGTCACAGATCTTGTCCTCTGCTCAACCTCGACAGTCCTCCAACAACCTCAACACAACGTGCAATGGAGGTCGTCCGTTATTTCACGAGTAATCAGAAACAGCCACCTGCTACGGGGCCGAAGGATTCGATCGTCCAGCTCCCGGACATCCCACCGGTTTACGAGTGCAATGTCGAGGTAGCGCTCAGGTTCGACTCTGTTCTTGATCCCGAGAAGCTGCAGCAGTCACTGAAGCGACTACTTGAAATCGGAAACTGGAGACAGTTGGGCGGCCGTTTGAGACGCAGAGATGTTTGTCTCGCCTACCCTTCTCAGGCTGCACGTTTAACCATTCACAGACCAATTCAGATGCCTGCGGCTATGACCTTCATGTCCCCGTTGAATTCACGACCGAACGCCCTGCGTTTATCTATAAGACTTTGGAGTCACCTGCTGCGGTTGACGAGCACCCCGTTGCCTGCAAAATGCCTCAACCGACCGACCCGAACAAAATATTGTTCTACAACGTCCGAGACGCTCTTACGCCCTCCATGACGCGGACGCATCACCCAAGGAAAGCGCAGGAGTGGGCTGAATCTGACTTACCCCCACTGTCGTTTGAGCAGCTCAACTTCCGCGATGGGACGATCATCCTGCTGCTGTTCCCTCATATCCTAATGGATGCAACTGGATACGGGCTCTTCCTTAAGGCATGGACTTGCGTCCTCCAGGGACGGATGGACGACGTTCCCCAGTGTTGCGGATTTTCGGAATCTATCACAGACATGTTATGCCATAAGACCCCGGCTGAGTCATTTACGTGGCATAACCATCTGTTGAAGGGTCTCGATCGCTTGAGATTTACCGCACGCCTTCTATGGGAGAACATATGCGGAAAGGAAGAGCGCATCATCCGTGTCCCGGGCAAATTCATCACGCAGACACGAGACAAGACCCTCGCCGACTTGTCTACATCCCAGGATTCACCGTTTGTGAGTCACAGCGATGTACTAGTCGCGTGGTTTGTGCGCGTCGTTTTGGCAAGCCTAAACCCTCAGCATCAGAGAACCTTGGTGTTGACAAACGCCTTTGATATCCGCCACATGCTGCCGCCCGAGCGTGCGTATCTCCAGAACTCCGTGTTCCTGGCCCATACAATGCTACCTGTTGGCGAGGTGGTCTCAAATCCCGCGAGCTTCCTGGCAAATGAAATCCGGCGCAGTCTTGTACGCGAGCGGACCGAGGAGCAGGTTCAAGCCCGCTGTGCCTGGGCAAAAGATGTTGGAATCATGCCGCTTCTTGGGTCGTCTGATATGCTTCTCTGCAACGTCTCGAACTGGAGTAAAGGGGGTCTTCTTGATTTGGACTTTGGCCCTGCGGCTATTACCCAGCGTCCAGGCCCATGTGTTCCCTCCAGCATCCTAAATTGTAGTCAAATGCGGGGCGTGACACCGGAATATGGTATAATTCTAGGCAAGGATTCTCAAGACGGGTGGTGGATGCAGTGGCGTTTGTCCAAGTTCTGCTGGGCCATGATCGAGCGCGAACTGGACACCATCAATCAAACCCGTTAGATATTCCGAACAGGGGTCGGTACCGCCTTCATAGATTGCTTGTCTGTTAAATCTTACGTATCTCAATCAAGTGACGCTTATCATGTCAGCGATTCTGCCTCACGTTGAATATCAATAGATTTCTTGTGGTGCGCAGAATTTCCTTTCGAATATCTCATCCACAAGTATGGAGTTTCTGCTCATCAAAGTGGACGCACAAGCATGCATCTCTCCCACAAAGTGCTCTGGCTCATGTGAGCCCTTACAGCAAGATGATGCTATGCTTGTGCAACCCATCAAGCCTGAAAGCCGCGCAACTTCGAACTGTGGGCACATAGACGTAGGCCCTTTGTCATATGACCTCCCCGATATCCCTCCTTGCCGGGGATCAAGCAAGGGCACAATCGCCGAGCATCTTGGACGGACCTCCAAACGAGTTTAGATGTGGCAGTACTTGTTAAATAAGCGATTCCACAGCTCTTCCGACCTTGCTGGCGTTACCCACTGGCCTTGAAGCGGCCCTTCTCGATCCGTCACCTCCCCCGTCCACCGAAACAATGCCTCCCACCCGCGAAGAGCTCGTATCCACGGCCCTAAACTTCATCGCCCAATTCGCCAAACTCGACGTCGACTCGGTCCTGTCGTTCCTGTCCCCCAACTGCACCCTCCGCTCCTTCCCATCCAGTCTAGGCAAACCGGCTTTGCAAACCAAAGAAGAAAGCAAGGCGGACTTCCAAGGGCTAAAGGATTTTTTCCAAAATTTCCAGCTACGTGTCAAGGATGGATCGGAGCCAGTCGTTGACGAGCCTGCGAGAAGGGTTGTACTGCACATTGAAGGGAAGGGGGATTCTCTGGTTGGTCGGTTTGAGACCGAGTACATTTACATTCTGCGGATGAATGAGGAGGGAACCATGGTAGAGGACTTTTTCCAGTTTGCGGATTCGGCGACGAGGGATGCGTGGGGGAAGAAGATTGAGGCGCATTTTTCGGCGAGGAATTAAATGGTTTCTGTTTGGGAATGGTTAATAGAGGGGTCTTGTGTGATACGGGCCTGGACTGGAGAGGCTTCGACAGTGACACAATGAGAAGCATCCTCGTGCTGCCTTCTGCCGCCGCGATTGGATAAAGCAAGGAGAATGTATGCTGATGTATAGTGATATGAAGGCACCTACGTTTGCGCCTTGCGTGGATGTTAGGCCAGCCGCGCCGTGCGTATTATTATTAGCCCTTGCTTCGCTGCACAAAAGTGATTCGCATTAAGGCAAGAATCAATGCCATGCCAACTTATGCCGTTTTCCTGATAGTGCAATCCCTTCATTTCACAGTCATGGTGGGAATATTGTAGTCGTGGTTCCCAGTGGGGTTAAAGATATATTTCCAATAATTTCCAATAATGAAGGCACGGCTCGTAACTTGATTTTCCACACCAGAAATGCAATCACCTTTTAGAGACTATACCACCATATGGACTGAATTTGTTACCGTCTATATCACAAACGCTTCTCCGCCCCCGCCTAATAATGAGAGCTACAATGGCCATGGGAAATCCAGGCTTGTGGACACATTTCTCTCGTTCGCCTCGTGAGCTTAGGATTCCAAACGACCTTGAACTTCCCAACGGTTTGTTGGTGGTCTGCGGGCTCCCGGGGCTCCTACTACTCTTCTTTGTTACAGCTATTCTTTTGTATCCCTTTCGAAACAAATCCGATCTGCCATTGATCAATCCCGGAAAGGGGCGCATTGGGATACTACGAGGGTATCGCGCACGGAAGACATTCGCCGCGGAGCTACCGAGGTTAGTTACGGAAGGGCTTTCCAAGGTACCCATCTATCCTCCAGCTAGTAGTAACCCACTAAGCCCAAGGACAGGCAAGTGCATTTCGGATCGCAGCCCCAGACGGAGTCAACATCGTGCTTGCTCCGCGGTATGCGCATGAGATCGCGGAGCATCCTGACTTGAACCCCGGTCCAATCGCCGGTGACGAGTTTAATTGCCACATTGATGGATTTGAGGTGTTTGCACAACTGGGGACCAGCGATGTCATCGCTGAATCTGTGAGGACAAGACTGACCCGGCAGCTGAGTGAGTGTCCGGCCTGGCAAGCGTCACCTCGTTTCTTCTCGCCTGCGGATGAAACATGCTAACATATCAAATGACTTAGCGAAATTGACGCCGCTGCTCACCACCGAAACCCCTCTTCTTCTGCAGTCCCAATGGAAAGACGCACCAAGTATGTATTCCATCAGTAGTTCCCCCGCTGTCGGCACAAAACCTCTACTGATATCTCGCACTAGCCTGGGTGGAGGTGAGCCCGCATGAGACAGCTCTGTTTATTCTGTCCCGGCTCTCTTCTCTAGTCTTCGTTGGCGACGACCTAGGGCGAAACCCGGATTGGGTACACATCCTAACATCATACAACACCGAGGCTTTTGCAGCAGCCCAGGAGCTCAACCTCTGGCCTCAGATACTTCGACCCCTTGTCGCCAGGCTGAAACCATCATGTCGCCAGCTTCGTCGATATATCCGTGACGCACGTGCGCTTCTTGTCCCGGTCATTGAGCAACGGCGCCATGCCCAGAGCCACGGCGACAGAAGAGAGTATAACGACGCGATAGAATGGCTTGACCAGACGTCTCGCAGTGCAGGCCAACCCTATGATCCCCTATTGTCCCAAATGCTCCTTGCCATCGGCTCTTTCCATACCTCTAGTGACCTCCTGGGACAGGTTCTGCTTGACCTCTGCAGCAGACGAGATTGGGAAGTTCTGGCCAGGGAGCTCCGGAAAGAAATCATATCCTCGCTACAGGGGGCAGGATGGGACAAGATCGCCCTGAACAATCTCAAACTGATGGACAGTGTGCTGAAAGAGTCTCAACGTTTGAAGCCAGCCTCAACTGGTAAGCTCCCCTATGACACTGATTTCCCAAGTTGACCCCCTTCTTTTCTAACCTGGTCATGCACACAGTAACGATGGGTCGATACGCCTCGCGCGAGATCAGACTTTCAGACGGAACAGCAATCCCCAAAGGCTCCACCGTCTTTATCGCGAACGTAGCAATGCGAGACCCAAAGATCTACCCTGAGCCTGACGCTTTCATTCCTGACCGTTTTACCACTCGGCGTGAAAAGGGCGATAGTTCCGCCTACCTGGTTTCGGCTTCCCCAGAGCATATAGGCTTTGGCCTTGGTCGGCATGCGTGCCCTGGAAGATTCTTTGCCGCCAACGAGGTGAAAATTGTCTTGTCCCATATGCTTTTGAAATATGACATTAAATTTCCTGATAATGGCGCGGCTGCACCCAGCACGTCGGGGATCTTCTTGGAGACGAATCCAGATGCTAGGATCTGTGTCCGGCGAAGGAAGGAGGAGATCGTTATATAAATTGATCTCTTCTCCTCTCTTTAGATCTTTTCGCTGTTCTCCGGCTCATACTGGTTTTTTTGGCGCGAAACGAAATGACTACGGTAATAGAATGCGATACTTGACCACAAGCAACGACCTTGGAGATTAGTTACTAGAGCCCACCATGGTGGTGTAGACAATCGCGGCTTTTGAGTACTGTATTAGATAGATCTCCTCGCAAAATATGGGTACGCATCAAGGTATGCATGCAGTTGGTAATCAGGTTTGGGGCCGTCGTGGACGCGGACGTGGCGGGTGCTCCAGTCGCATCATAAATCCAGGCTGCTGCCTTCATGACTCTTCTCTGACCGGAGACTGTCCTGCGGTGGCCTACAACGCTAATCACTCACTCGCTGCAGATCTGCGATCACGCAAGGGACAGGTCCTTGGCGAATACAGAGGCATGCCGCACAGGTTGTTCTATCTTCGGGTCTCCATCATCCGTGGACGGAGACATCAATGGCGGTCTGTGTTATTTCAAACATTTCAACTCCTCGCGGAGGTATCATGCCAATTCAATCCGGTTCGCCTATGCTCCTCTACTCCAATATTCTTTGGCTACGATTGTAAGGTAATGAAGCCATATCTACAGGCCAAGATGCAGGAAGGCGATGCATTCAGACGTTTTGGCAAGATTAGTAGAGCGCGGTGACCTTTCTCGGTACCTGTATTTATTCCTGCGATCTATGTGCTCGACCACCGGGGGTAACTGGTGTACCTGTGCATGCTGACAGTATGATTAAGTATCCTAATAGAGCTAGGTAAGGTAAATGGATGAGTACAGTGGTCCTCGCGCAGCATGAATCAAGTCCTCCTGCCTGACGCTTCCAGCCTAATCTTCTGATGTTCGTTTAAGAATCCCATAAACAGAACATAACTCTGGCCATTTGCAGGTGATTATTGAGCCCCGTTGCAGATAATGCAACCTCTCAAAACTGAGTAGTCCTCGTCTCAAAGGGCGCAGTGTCCCCGTAAGAGATATGCTTCGCTTCTAACCGGTGTTGGAGATCCTTAAGCCGTATCGTGTCGTAGAACTCGTAGATCTCGTCGACAAGCCTACAGTCCTCCGTCATCTTCAAAATAAAGATATACTCATTCTCATAGGCTCCAACAATGCTTTCCGCGGAGGCCTTTGCGCGGATCATCACTCTCCTCGAAGCCTCGTCGACAAGTGTATGGTCCGGTTCGAGGATGGAAAAGTCAAACCGTCTGAAAGTGGCGATGAATTGCGGGAAATTTGCACGAGTTTCCTCGTTGGTTACGACATTTTTGTTGAAGCTGGGGCAGCACTGGTGATAGAGGCATGTTGGCGTGCGAATGGCGAGGATTTCGTCTACGTCAAAGGACCCGAAAGTTGACACAAACTTGGAGGTTGTTGCAAGGAGCTTTTCTCGCGTGGTGGACATGGCTTCTGGGCTTGCCTTGTCAATGGAGGTAAGCATGTGGCTATTAGGGTTTGGTGGAAACTTACAGCTTGTGGTCAGTGACGAGGATGACAGAGATTGGGGCCATGGTGGTGTTTGGCCTTTGTTACTCTATTATATTGGCTGGCTTTTGTGATTACGTAGGCTGCTGGTTGGTGCCATGTACAGTTCCCTACTTGCTGTGCCGACTCCGGACAAGAGTCGGCATGAATTCTGTGCCACATAGCTTGGCCCTTGCCTCGCTCCTTCTCGTTCTTGTTATACCCTGAAGGTAGGGGCCGTTGCCCTTGCATATCGGACACCGAAGCCGCTTCTCCATCTTTGTGCACAGTTTTATGCCTTCGAGTGATTCTTAAACCATCCTCTGCCTTCCACCGCTAGAGCCCCCGTCTCGCACTTGTTCGATCCTCGGTTTCGAGTATACAATAAATAAGCAACACTGAAAATGGGCTCAGCAACTCCACCCCGTCTCCAGAAATTTCCCGCAACAGCCCCCGCCGACGACATCTACGCCGCCTTCAAACAGGATGGATGCGTGATCATCGAAGGGTTCGTGCCGCCGGACCAAATGGCCCGCTTCAGCCAGGAGATCCAGCCCGCCATGGAGAAGATCCAAGTCCAGGTTACAAACGACGGCAACAGCAACGACCGCGTCAAGCGGTTCAGCAAGCTCGTCACCACCAGCCCGACCTTCCGCCACGAGATCCTCGAAAACGACCTCATGCACGAACTCCTCCAGCGAGTCTTCAGCAAGCCCGGCGAGGGCTTGGGCTACCACTTCAACGACACAATGGTTATCGAAGTGCAACCGGGCGCCCCTGCCCAGCGCCTCCATCGCGACCAGGAGCTCTACCCGTGGTGGAACTCCATGGGCCCCAACGCTCCCGAGTGCCTCGTCAACTTCTTCTGCGCCGTGACGCCCTTCACCGCAGAGAACGGCGCCACCCGCCTCGTCCCGGGCAGCAACCGATGGCCGGAGCTCACGCTGATCAACGCCGCCGAGTGTCCGCAATACGGCAATATCGAGTCCGCGCCGGCGATCATGCAGCCTGGAGATTGCTATATGATGAGTGGCAAGGTGATCCATGGGGCAGGCCACAATGCGACGCTTTCAGACCAGCGCCGCGCGCTGGCGTTTTCGACGATCCGCCGAGAACTGCGCCCTGTACAGGCGTTTCCGTTGTGGATTCCGATGAAGATTGCTAGGGAGCTGTCGCCGCGCACACAGGCGATGTTTGGGTTCCGCAGTTCAACGCAGCATTGTGATGTTGATACGGTGCATTTTTGGGGAAACGATGGGAAGGACATCGGGGAGCATCTTGGCTTGATGTCGAGCGCTTAGGGTATTCCGCAAGGGCAAATGTCGTTTTGGGAAATTACATTTGATGGTCACACGTTTACTTGTCATCTGTATGGGCGTATATGCAGGCTTGATTCTGACTGCCCTAGTGAGAGATGCCCCTGTAGAGCTGTTGGCCATTGGGCGCGCATGGTCAAGATATCCGACCTGTAGCTCTTAATACCAGAACATGAGTTCTCGCTTCGTTTATTAAGCACATTAATCAAAAAGCTCATGACGTGAGGCAACGCTCCCTCTAGTGGCGTATATTGCCTATCTACGTGACAGTACTATAAGAGCTCGTGCCAGCCACTATGCAAGTGAGGTCTGCCCATGCAGGCGAGGAGCAGCTCGATTACGTCCAGTTGTTTTGTTACGTAGAGGAGCTACCGAAACCCCTATACCATCCTCCTTGCGTCTCACTGGGGCGACTGTCCTACGTAGCTTGGTGGGACGCAACTAGGAATGCTCGCTCCCTAGCCCGGACTATCGCTACGCAGTATCTAGCGTCTTGTCACAGGACATGTCGCCTGGATATAAAGACAGTCAAACCAATACTGTCGACCATCTGGGCAGTTCCTGCGATCCCACCATCCAGGCCCTTATTGTCAATTCAAACAAACTTCCGCGACCCATAGTACAAGCATGAAAATTCCAGACAATCCCCAAATCCAGCGCTTCCCAGCCACTACCCCCGCTCCAACTTTGTGGAAGGCAGTGGCCGACGACGGCGTAGCCATAGTCACCAACGCCATCCCGATCGACACAATCCAGCGCTTCCACGCCGACATCGACAACACGGGCCATGCCACCTACCTCGAAGACTACAAGGCCTTTAAGGACAAAGAATTCCCGGTACAGGCCAAACACGCCAGCAATCTCGTCCGCACAAGCCCCGTCTTCCGGCATGAAATCCTAAACACACCCCTAATACATGAAATCTGCACCGCAGCATTCCAGCATCTCGGCGACTACTGGCTCACAAGCTCTATCTTCCGGTCCACTAACCCAGGCAACCCCGCGCAAGACTTCCACCGCGATGCCCTCTTCCACCCGCTCTTGCAGTATCAGTCCCCCTCCGCACCGCACCTCACCGTGAGCCTGATCATCCCAACCACGCCATTCACCAAAGCCAACGGCGCCACGCGGGTCATCCTGGGAAGCCACAAGTGGGAGAACATGACCCCTCAAAACATTGATGCCCTATCCAAGGATGACTCCGTACACGCGGAGATGAACGCAGGCGATATAATGATTCTGCACCAGAGGACGATTCATGCGGGCGGAGAACACCTCCCCGAGGCCAAGGATACGCGACGTTTGTTGCTGTTGCTTTTCACGAGCTGTCAGCTGGCGCAGCTAGAGAGCGCGCTTGCGTTGCCAAGGCCCCTTGTGGAGAGTCTAACGCCACTTGCGCAGAAGATGGTCGGGTGGAGGACTGTCAAGCCGGCGGGGGTTAATGTTGTGGGATTGAATACTTATCATACGGGGACGCTTGAGGATGGGCTTGGGCTGAGGAGTAATCAAACCATGGCTGGATGAGTTACGTTGACTGTTTCATTTGGGGTGAGTTGGAAACATCTGTGTATGCAGCTGGAGGGATGTGCTTGTGCTCTGTGGGCAGCGAGGGGCTTTTACTATAATCATCTGGGCCGAAAGTATATCCCTATAGCTCGCGTCGCTTTTGAAATTGATGCTGGATTGTTCAATGCAGATAACGTTCCTCCTGCTTGAATGTACCTCGATTGGAGGAGCTGGAGGGCTTTAGGCAAACCACGTAAAAACACTTAATACCTGTCTATTACGCTACCTATATTGGACATGAGATGTGACGGCTGCTGCATCGATGCTCGGCGAACGGCCTTAGCAATCAGGCAGGAAATCAGGCAAGCAACCACCACTAGCTGACTAAGTGCCGCACAACAAATGTTTTATTAATTATTATAATTAGTTTTATTTCTTCTTTATACTTAGAATTTAATTAATTCTTGCCTACAACTTTGCCTTGTAGCTTAGAGATACGATTATAGTATAATTCTAAGTATTATAACCTTTTCTTTACCCTTTCTAACTAACTAGCCTAATCTCAAGTCCTTACTAACCTAGGTGGCTCTAGTTAGAATCTAAATCCCTTACATGACTAATAGCGCTTCTAATTATTAGACTAACTAATAACCATGATTAATGCTATAAACCTTATAAGCTAGTATAGCACGCCCTACTATTACCCTAGGAGATAAGGATCTATAGTAGATTCCTATAAATTAGCGTGCCTCCCTTCTATTTAGTACCTAGGGATCTATATTATAGGAACTAGAGGACTTAGCCTATAAAGAATTCTAAGTATAAATTATAAATAAACTAGAGACTATTTAGGAAGTAGTTTATAATACCTAGAGATATTTAAACTAAGAAATTACTAGAACCTAATAAACTAATAGGATTAGAGTAGAGAAGATATAATAGTAGATTACCTAACTCTAGGAATAACTTAATAAGATAACTAGGAACTATAATAATCTTACTACTTAGGTAGATAAGCTTATTACTATAAAGGAAGATAATAGTATAATTAAGGAGTTATAATAGGAAAACTAGTAGTTTACTCTCTAAATTACTTAGCTTACTACTAGAGTAGGATAATCCTCTATAGAGCCTACTAGCCTAGGTAGTAAATTAGAGAAATATTCTAATCCTAAAAAGCTAAGTAATAGAAAGAATATAACCTTTAAAATCTAGTATAATATAATATAGAGGAAACTTAAGATTAATTATAACTAATACCCCTTTTAGGATAAGAAGATTATATATATATTAACTTATCTTAAGGGTAAAGTATAAGAGTACGCGCTAGCTTATTTAATTTCTAATATAAAGAACCCTTATCTTATAATTAATAATATATATAGTTACATGAAAATAGTCTTTATAGATTCTAATAAGAAATATAAAGCTTACTAGAAACTTAAGGATCTTAATCTAAAGAGCTATATCTATCTTTAAGAGTATATTATAGACTTTAGTATACTTATATAGGATAGTTAATATAATAAGGATAAATATAAAGAACTTCTTAATAATAGCCTTAGTAAATAACTTAGATCTATAATTATAGTATACTTTAATAATAATAATATTTCTTATAACTAGTTTATTAACTACTACTATAAGGTTGTTAATAATCTAAGTACCTAAGACACGAAGTAGAGCCACTAGGATATAACTAATAAGAGAAATAATAGTAGGAGAGTATCTAGGAATAATAATAAGAATAACTAAGGCTTAGTAGGCGCCTTATTATATATAGGTAGTAATACTAGATCTAGTATAAGTAGTACCTCTTCTCTAATTCCCTATATTAGTAAGAAGGAGCGTCTTTATTATTATTAGGATAGACTATGCTACTATTATAAAGAGATAGGATATATAAGTATAAGTTACTCTAACTATAAGCTAAAACTAGCTTATATTAAGATCTATAAATACCCTAAGGAGAATAAGAATAAAGGTAAAGATAGCTAGGAGTAGATAGAAAATAATAATACCTAGGAAAAGTCTCTATCTTAGGTAAATAAAAGATTAACCTATGTATACTAGACCTATAGAAATTATTAGGAGATTTAAGAAGTAGCTATATAATATATATACTTATCTCTTCTAATAGTTTTACTATAGAAGTAAAAATATTAGTTAACTCTAAAGTAAATATATTTATATTAATTAACTAAGATCTAGCCATGTATATCTCTAAGTAATTTAATATCCTCCTAGAGAAGCTCTTAGGAGACTTCTAAGTTACTAGCTTTAATAATAAAGATACTACTAAACTATCCTAGATAATATTCCTAGATATAATTATTAATAGATAAAGATAAGAGAGACTCCTATTCCTAATTATTCTAATTAGATAGTATAACATGATCTTAGAAGCCCTCTAGTACATGGAGAATAATATACTTATTAATTACTAATTAAGGAGCCTTATGCTACGATCGTATCTCCAAGCTACAAGGCAAAGTTGCAGGCGAGAATTAATCGAATTCTAAGCATGAAGAAGAAATAAAACTAATTACGATGGTTGACGAAACATTTGTTGTGCGGCGCTTAGTCAGCGAGCGGTGGTTGCTTGCCTGATTTCCTGCCTGATTGCTAAGGCCGTTCGCCGAGCATCGATGCAGCAGCCGTCACATAACCCCTAGTCAAATCGCTGGCATGTCCTCAGGCCAGGTGAATCGGCTAATCCCACGTCCTTCACTGTTTAGCGTCTCCTGCCTCTCTGGGCGTAACTCGGTTCACGGCGGTCACTACCTATGGGCTAGGCAGCATTAGGAGTCTCGACCTTCACCTCCAAAGCACCTGCCCATTCAAGGTCATAGGTAATTTCGTCACTCGTAGTTCCCTTACTGTGGGCATAAATAGGCCGCTTCCCCCCTTAGATCCTTGCTCTTTCTTCCCTACATCTCATCTGACTTTTTTCCTTCCAGGGCTGGTGATTTTTCTGTCTTTGCTGATTTCCTTCAGTGGCATGGGGCTGGTGACATTTCTGTCACCGGCCGGGGTGCTGCGTCGTTTAGCCTTATGGCTGGCGGCGTGGCCTCCGGTGTTGAATGGTTGATGGAGGACGCATTGTGCGAACTTTGTGGACATCGCCATGAGACCCCATGGTCCTGCGTTGTTTAGCCTTGGGATATCCCACTACACGTGGTGTGGTGTGGCTGCACAGCAGCCCAGTGATACGGGGTGTTTTGCCACCAATGTATTAGGTGGCCTGGGGCTGGGTTCTAATGTGTCACTGAAGCTCTAGGGCCCGGAGAACGCTAACAACGCCATCGATGGCCCTCTCGTTGCACTAGTTGCCAGGTGGTGCCCTTGTTTCTGTGCTCCGCCCGCACACGCTGCGTCGTTTAGCCTTATTACCCTCTCTGCCGTTGGCGAGCGGGTTTATTGTCATTAGGATGATCAGGTAGGAATTCATCCTTTTCCGCGGCCTGTTTCCACAGGGCTAACCTCGCTGGTGGTCCAGGTTGATCAGGATACTCACGATGGAAGTCCTTAATGGCTTGGGGTGCGTTCTTTAATAAGCTAGTATCATACCAACTCTTATCTATGTCGCGACCCACCCATCGAACCCGATACTGCAGCTTTCGATAGTGCTTCCGGACGTCGTATACACTCTCTACCTCCTACTCTTCTTCGCTGTTCACTTCAATTGGTCCTTGCTCATCCGCGATCTGACCCTCTAATGGCTTCGTGGATTGCGCTCGCCTTAGCTTCTCAGGGGAAAAGACTGGGTGCACCTTAAGATGTTCTAGGAGGTCAAGTTGGTACGCGTTCCCCACCTTCTCAACCACTCGGTAGGGTCCAGCCATCTGATCAGCTAGTTTCCGGCTTGGTACGCGTACTGCCCAATCTGCTCTAGTCACCATGACCCAATCGTCCTTTGCGAACTCCTCATCTCTCTATTTTTGGTCTGCGTACTTCTTCATTTTCTCTTGCGCCCGTTTAACCTGTCGCCTAGCAAAGTTCCATGCCTCCTGAATATGGCTCGCCATCTGCTGAGCTTGCTCGCGATTAACTGTCAAGTCCTTGGGCTGTGCAGCTTCGTTCCAGTCAATTGACATTCTTGGTTCGTATCCTCTTTCTATCAGAAAGGGTGACACTCCAGTTGATTCGCTAGGTAACGCTGCTGATGCAAAGTTCAAGATTGGAAGGTACTCGTCCTAGTCATCCTGGAAATGGGAAATAAATGGCCGAAGTCGCTGCGCGACCCATCGATTCATAACCTCCACTTGGCCATTTGTCTGAGGGTGTTGTCTAGATGATAACTTCACCTTTACCTGGAGAAGCTTGCATAGCTCCCCCTAGAATTCTGACACAAACTGCCCTCCTCGGTCCAAGACTATCGAATCTGGTAGCCCTACCCAGGGGTAGATGTGGGCAATAAACGACATGGCCATTTGTCTAGCAGTGGTGGTTTTATGACAAGGTACAGCGAACATCCTCTTGCTCAGTCGGTCAGCGAATACTAACGCAGCATCAAAGCCACCTTTCGACTTAGGGAACGATCTGAAATCCATGTGTATGTGCTGCCAGGGACGTTCAGGGATCGGTAGTGGTTGTAAGAGACCTGGTGGTGGTCCATGGGGCTCCTTTGACCTCGTGCATTTTAAACAGTTATCGATGTATCTATCCACGTCGGCTGACCAAGTGGGCCAATAATATCTCTGTCGTACTAGCTTTCGAGTCTTTCCTCGCCCTGGATGGGCCGTAGATGGTTGTCGATGGATCTCATCTATAAGTCGCGCAATCATGTCCCCTTCATCCACAACAACCAAGCGGTTGTTGAATAGTAGTAATCCCCCATCGTCTAAGGACAAGGTCTTATCGCCCTATCGTGCTTTATCCCGCTAGATTTCCAGTTTAGGACTGTCACGGTTTGCCCGTAGGATTCGGTCAAGAATATGCAGGCTCGGACTTATAGGCAAGATTTCCTGTTGGGGTAATAGCTTAGAGGGAAGCACTCCTTCCTCTAGCTATTCTAGTCGAAGGAGGACTTGATTCCGGGAATCTGGATCTCCAGGCATGACTTCTGGTCGACTTAGCGCATCAGCCAACATGTTTTCCTTTCCTGGCCGGTATTTGATGAGGAAGTGGAACTGGGATATGAACTTAGACCATGATGCCTGCCGGCGATTCAGCTTTCGTTTAGTCATAAAGTATTCCAATGCTTGGTGATCCGTCCAGATTTCAAAACGCTCTGATCGTTGTAGCCCCACTAGCTCTGCACGCCATTCAGTCAAGGATCGTACTATTGCCAGCATCTCCTGGTCATGGATGTCATAATTTTGTTCCGCATCATTCATGCTTTTCGAAAAGTACGCCACAGGGTGCCAAAGGTCCATATGCTTCTGCTGGAGGACACCTGCAATCACTCCCTTCGATGCGTCTGTCTCCACCCGCGTTGGTAACTCCGGCTGGTAATGCTTGAGGATTGGTGCTTCGCTTAGCGCGGTCTTTAAGGTATTAAAGGCTTCTTGACAGTCGCTAGTCCAGAAAAATCTGACGTCCTTCCTTGTGAGGTGATGCAGGGGTCTAGCAATCCGACTATAGTCCTTTATAAATCGTCGATAGAAGTTGTAGAAACCTAGGAATGACTGTACACCCTTTACCGTATCTGGTACTTTCCACTGGGTAATCATAGCTACTTTCTCCTGGTCAACCTCGACGCCCTGGGTTGAGATGATGAATCCTAAGAACTTTGTCCGGGTTACCCTAAACTCACACTTATGGATTGCTGCTTGCAACCCAGCCGCTCGTAGCCGCTCTAGCACGGTTCGCACGTGTAGCTCATGCTCCTACTGGTTCTGACTATATATCAACAAGTCATCCACGAAGGCCGTGACGTATACGTCTAAGGCGTCCATCAGGATCTCGTTGACATATCACTAGAACGCTGCTGGTCCATTGGTTAGCCCAAATGGTAGGACTTTATACTTATAGGTTCCATATCTTGAGCGGAATGCGGTAAGATCTTCAGAGTCTGGGTGCATACGTAGCCGGTGGAAGCCTTGTCGGATATCTAGCTTTGTGAAGATCTTAGCTTGGGATATCCGTTCCAGCACTTCGTCAATGAGTGGTAATGGGTAACGATCCTTCTTCGTAATGGCGTTTAGCTTGCGGTAGTCCACGCAGAACCGTAGACCACCTCCAGGTTTCTGTGCCATCAGGATGGGAGACGCAAAAGGTGAGTTGCAAGCCTCAATGAAGCCCTTGTCCAAGTTATCCAGGATGTACTGACGAGCCGCTTCTAGTTCTTCAGTTGACATGCGGTATAGAGGCCCGTAACCAATGTTATTATCCCCTTCGAGCTCAATCCGGTAGTCGTTTGGCCGGGATGGAGGCATTTGATCAGACTCTCGCTTGGAGAACACGTCCCAAAGGTCATGATATTCCTTTAGTAGTGTTCTCTTAATTATCTCTTCCTCTGAAGGCTCAGGCTCTCCTACCTGGCTAACTAGTATACTAGCCTCTGCAGCTCTCCGCTCTTCTAGGATCTTATTAATCTCATAGAGGGAAGCAATAAAAACAGTAGTCCCCTTCTTCTTTGCGATTTGGTGGAAGGCGGGAGCTCCAACCATGGCTATATTAATTGTAACTAGTTTCTTAGATGGTTCCTGCTTTGGCTTTGGCGCTTCAGGTTCAGGTAATTCACGAAGAGCCTCCCGAAACGCTCTCTCCATCTAAGCTTGGGCTAGGAATTGATTCTTCTCATGGGTTTGAGCTGGTCGGTAGTGCTCGCTCTATCGTTCAAACTTCCGCTCTCGTCGGGCAATATTAGCTTGGTGTTCATGGCTAACCTTGGCACTCTGTAGTGCTTCTGGGGGAAGAGGGAGTCCTATGGTATTCCTAACTTCTTCGAGTAATGATAGTCGTTGAGGCTATATAAGGCTCCTTGATCGGTAATTAATAAGCACATTATTCTCCGCGCACCAGAGGGCTCCTAAGATCATGTCATGCTGTCCAATTGGGACAACTAGGAATGGGAGTCTCTCCTGTCTTCGTCCATCGATGATCATGTCCAGGAATATCGCCTGGGACAGTTTGGTGGTATCTTTACCATTAAAGCTAGTAACTCGGAAGTCTCCTGAGAGCTTCTCTAGGGGGATATCAAATCGCTTGGAGATGCGCGTGGCCAGATCTTGGTTAATCAACGCGAATGCGTTCGCTCTAGAGTCGACTAATGTTTTCGCTCCTATAGTAAAACCATTAGAAGAGACAAGTGTGTGTATTATACAGCTACTTCTTGAATCTCCTAATAATTTCCGTAGGTCTAGTGTACACAGGTCGATCTTTTATCCGCCTAAGGTAGAGACTTTCCCTAGGCATTGCCATTTTCCGCCTGCTCCTGGCTATCTTTGCCTTCGTTCTCATTCTCCTTGGGGCGTTCGCAGATCTTGACGTGAGCTGGTTTTGGCTTGCGGTTAGGGCAACTCATGCTCACATGTCCTGCCTCTCCACAATAGTAGCATAGTCCATCCTGACGACGGCGAAGACGCTCCTTCTCACTAACGCGGGGAATTGGAGAAGAGGTGCCGCTTGTACTAGATCCAGTGTTGCTGCCTGTACGTGACGAGGCGCCTGCTGAGCCTTGGTTGTTCTTATTATCATTCCCAGATGCTCTCCCACTATTGTTTCCCTTGTTGGTCGCATCCCGGCGGCTCTGCTTCGCGTCTTGGGCGCTCAGATTATCAGCGACCTTGTAGCAGTAGTCAACGAACTGGTTGTAAGAAACATTGTCGTCATTAAAGTACACCATAACCGCGGATCTGAGTCGTTTGCTAAGGCTGTCATTAAGGAGTTCTTTGTATTCGTCCTCATCATATTGACCATCCTGCACAAGTATGCTGAAGTCTGTAATATGCTCTCGAAGGTGGACATGGCTCTTCAGATCAAGATCCTTGAGTTTCCGGCGAGCTTCGCGTTTCTTGTTGGGATCTGCAAAGACCGTTTTCATGTGACTATACATGTCGTTGACCGTAAGGTAAGGGTTCTTCGCATCAGAAATCGAGCGAGCTAGCGCGTGCTCTTGTGCTTTGCCCTCAAGGCGAGTTAATGCGTACGCAATCTTCTCATCCTGAGAGGGGTATCGGTCGTGATTAATCTTGAGTTTCCTCTGCATTGCATTGTACCAGACTTCGAAGGTCACATTCTTTCCATCACTTAGCTTCTCAGGATCGGGATGTTTCTCTGATTTACCACCTGGGCCAGTGGGCTCCACAGAGGATCGTCCCGCTCCAGCAGTGAGCCGAGCAATCTGGAGAGCAAACTGCTGGTTTTCCCGTTGTAACTCCTTAATCACGCCATTATCTTCCTCCGCGGTAATGAGCTCATCCACCTGAGTAGCGAGGTCATCGCGGTTCCTGGTCACCTCATCAAGTTGTTCCTAGAGTTGGGTGATCTACTGTTGCATCTCCTCCACTCTAATCCCATTAGTCTGTTGGGTTCTAGTGATTTCTCGGTTTAAGTGTCTCCAGGTGTTGCAAACCGCTTCCCAAACAGTCTCTAGTTCATTTGCGATTCGCGCTTGGAATTCTTCGTAGGCTAAGTCCTCTGGTTCCTGCGACACAGATCCCTGGGTACTGAATAGAAGGGAGGCGCGCCGATTCGCAGGAATCTACTGTGGATCCTCGTCTCCTGGGGCGATGGTAGGGCGTGCCATGCTAGCTCGTGGGGTTCGTGGCGTTGATCATGGTCGTTGGTTAGTCCGACAATTAGAAGCGCCGTCGGTCGCGCAAGGGATTTGGATTCCAACTGGAGCCACCCAGGTCGGTAAGGACTCGAGATCAGGCCAGTCAGTTAGAAAGGGTAAAGAAAAGGTTATGATGCTTAGAATTATGCTACGATCGTATCTCCAAGCTACAAGGCAAAGTTGCAGGCGAGAATTAATCGAATTCTAAGTATGAAGAAGAAATAAAACTAATTACGATGGTTGACGAAACATTTGTTGTGCGGCGCTTAGTCAGCGAGCGGTGGTTGCTTGCCTGATTTCCTGCCTGATTGCTAAGGCCGTTCGCCGAGCATCGATGCAGCAGCCGTCACACCTTATATAGCCTTAATAACTATTATTACTTAAAGAAGTTAGGAATATTATAAGACTCTTTCTTCTCCTAGAAGTACTATAGAGTACTAAGGTTAGCTATAAATACTAAGCTAATATTACCTAATAAGAGTAGAAGTTTAAATAATAGAGTAAGTACTAATAACTAGCTTAAATCTATAAGAAGAATTAATTCCTAGCCTAAGCTTAGATAGAGAGAGTATTTTAGGAGCCTCTTTATAAATTACCTAAACCTAAAGTACTAAAGCTAAAGTAGGAACTATCTAAGAAACTAGTTATAATTAATATAGCTATAGTTAGAGCTCCTACCTTCTATTAAATTATAAAGAAGAAGGGGACTACTATTTTTATTATTTCTCTCTATAAGATTAATAAGATCCTAGAAGAGTAAAGAGCTATAGAGGCTAGTATATTAATTAGTTAAGTAGGAGAGCCTAAGCCTTTAAAGGAAAAGATAATTAAGAGAATACTACTAAAGAAATATTATAATCTTTAGGATATATTCTCTAAGTAAGAGTCTAATTAAATACCTCTATCCTAGCTAAATAACTACTAGATTAAGCTTAAAGGGGATAATAATATTAGTTATAGGCCTCTATACTATATATTAACTAAAGAACTAGAAGTAGCTTGTTAGTATATCCTAGATAACTTAGATAAGGGCTTTATTAAGGCTTATAACTTACCTTTTACATCTCCTATTCTAATAGTATAGAAACCTAGAGGTGGTCTATAATTCTATATAAACTACTATAAGCTAAATACTATTATAAAGAAGGATTATTACCTATTACTATTTATTAATAAAGTACTAGAATAGATATTCTAAGCTAAGATCTTTATAAAGCTAGATATCTAATAAGGCTTCTACTAGCTATATATATACCTAGACTCTAAAGATCTTACTATATTCTACTTAAGATATAGAACCTATAAGTATAAAGTCCTACTATTTAGGCTAACTAATAGACTAGTAGTATTCTAGTAATATATTAATAAGATCCTAATAGACGCCTTAGATATATATATTACAGCCTTTATAGATAACTTATTAATATATAGTTAGAACTAGTAGGAGCATGAGCTACACATGTGAACTATGCTAGAGTGGCTATAAGTAGCTAGGTTATAAGTAGTAATCTATAAATATAAGTTTAGGGTAACCTAGATAAAGTTCTTAGGATTTATTATCTTAACCTAGAGTATTAAGGTTAACTAGGAGAAAGTAGCTATAATTACCTAGTAGAAAGTACTAGATATAGTAAAGAGTATATAGTTATTCCTAGATTTCTATAACTTCTATTAATAATTTATAAAGGACTATAATTAGATTACTAGACCCTTATATTACCTTATAAGGAAGGATATTAGATTTTTCTAGACTAGTAACTATTAAGAAGCCTTTAATATCTTAAAGACTATACTAAGTAAAGTACTAATCCTTAAGTATTACTAGCTAGAGTTACTAACATAGGTAGTGTTGGATGGTGGAGGTCATATAATAAAATATATATTATATATACCTAGCCCTTGTATATACCTAATTAGGTATAGTGTGGCAACTATAAGGGTATATATAATAAAGAAGGATTTGCCACTAAATGTGGACTTTGGTTTTTGATATTTTAGGATCTCTAGTTTTCAACTAGATACATGAAAGAATCACTTGCTTTTATACTTTTAATATGTATTAGTAGAATTCTATAGAATTATAGAATTCTTATTGATTTATAAGGAGATCAGTCCAGATCTTCTATATTTATAAGAAGATCAGTCCAGATCTTCTATATTTATAAGAAGATCAATCGAGACCTTTCCTTATTTTCATGTGAATATAGATACCTAATAATTTAGGCATTAATATATATGCCTTAGGCATCTATCTTCTGATAGGTAGAGATAGATGTATTAAAGGGAGTAATTATAGGTATCCTCTAGTAGAAGTATATAGACCTTTAATACCCTATAGCATACTTTTTAAAAAGTATGAATAATATAGAATAAAATTATAATATCTATAACTAGGAGATGCTAGTAATAGTATAATCCTTAACTAAATAGTATATAGAGCTAGTAGGGCTATAATAATTAGAGTATTTTAAAATCTAGATAGATTACTAAGTATTAGAATACTTTATAACTAAATAAAAGCTAAATTACTAGTAGGTATTATAGTCTAAGTTTATATCCTAGTTCTACTTCCTTATTAAATACTAGCTAGGAAAGGAAAATATATTAGCTAATATACTAAGTTAACTAGAAGTTATACCTAGAGATCTAGATTCCTAGAATTAAGTCCTTCTTTATCTAGAATAGCTAGAGGAAGAAGTACTTTCCTCTAAGCTATTACTCTAATAGGAAATCTCACCTATAAGTCTAAGCCTATATATTCTTAACTAAATCTTATAGGTAAACTATGATAGTCCTAAACTAGAAATCTAGCAGGATAAAGTATAATAGGGTAATAAGACCTTATTCTTAGATAATAAGAGACTACTACTATTTAATAACTACTTAATTATTATAGATAAAGGGGACATGATTACGCGACTTATAGATAAGATCTATTAATAACTATTTATAGCCTATCTAGGGCGAGGAAAGACTTAAAAGCTAGTATAATAGAGATATTATTAGCCTACTTAGTTAGCTAATATAGATAGATATATTAATAACTATTTAAAATATATAAGGTTAAAGAAGCCCTATAGATTACTACTAGGTCTCTTATAACTACTACTAATCCCTAAACATCCCTAGTAGTATATATATATAGATTTTAGATTATTCCCTAAGTTAAAAGGTGGCTTTAATACTATATTAGTATTTACTAACTAACTAAGTAAGAGGATATTTACTATACCTTATTATAAAACTACTACTACTAGATAAATAGCTATATTATTTATTACCTATATCTACCCCTAGGTAGGGTTACTAGATTTAATAGTCTTAGACTAAGGAGGGTAGTTTATATTAAAATTCTAGGGGGAGCTATATAAGCTTCTCTAGGTAAAGGTAAAGTTATTATCTAGATAACACCCTTAGATAAATAGCTAAGTAGAGGTTATGAATTAATAGGTCACGTAGTAACTTTAGCTATTTATTTCCTATTTCTAGGATAACTAGAATAAGTACCTTCTAATCTTAAACTTTATATTAGTAGTGTTACCTAGTAAATTAACTAGAGTATTACCCTTTCTAATAGAAAGAGGATATAAATTAAGAATATTAATTAACTAGAATAAAGCTACATAGCCTTAGGACTTAATAGTTAATTATAAGTAAGCTTAGTAGATAGTAAGCTATATTTAGAAGGTATAAAACTTTACTAGGTAATAGATTAAATAAGTATAAGAGAAAATAAAGAAGTATATAGACTAAAAATAAAGAGATAAGGAGTTTATAAAGGATAATTAGATTATAGTAACTAGAGTAGATTAGGTAGTATATGTACTAAGCTAGAAACTAGCTAATTAGATGGCTAGACCCTACTAAGTAGTTAAGAAGGTAGGGAATATATACTAACTTAACCTCCTAGAATATCTTAAGGTGTACTGTTACGGAAGGTTGACCTCTCAAGCCTTCCTAAACCTTGGGATCGTCTTGACCTAAGCCCTGACGATGGATTGACTTACTCAAGTATGCTCAACGTCCAACTAGTATGGGGACTAGTCACGGTCGGGGTGGCTAAGGCGTAACGAAGGCAAGGCCAGTCTTTACCACGTATGATAAAGCCTGTCAAGAAGTACTTAGACGAAGTGTTGTCGCAAGGGTCTTGAATCAGAATGATCTGAAGGTAGCACTTAGAATAACAATGGTATTGATCACGAAGAACAAGTAAGACTAGATACAGGTGGGTAATGAGCGTCCTTATATATCCTTCGTGCCTGACTACCACCCTGACTACCATCTACCATGGTAGTCCCAGAGGTAGTTCCCCCCGACTACCTTCCCGACTACCATTCCTCGTGGTAGTCCCTTCGGTAGTCTTCACGTGGCCTGCCTCGTGGGCGCTTAGCTCCTGGGTGAGCCGTGTCGTACAACAGCTCATCTTTGGCGTAGCTCACAAGCGCCCGGAGTTGTGCCTGTTAACACCGAAGGCCTGTAACATTATCGCAGCGGTAAAGTTATCGCGAGGTGAACGTTAACCGTAGTTAATGTTATCGTGAGCGTAATATTATCCCGGGGATAACCTTATCGTCGAGGAACATTATCCGCCCGATAATATTCTGACCGCTGAATGTTCTGCCGGTAGAACGTCTGACCGCTTGGCTAGGTTCATAACATGTACCTAGTCTTTTCTCCTAAAAAGCTAAGGCAAGCATAATCTATAAAGCTATTAAAGGGTTAGATTATAGATAAGTAAAGACTAATTAAAGTAAATAGTAAAGAAGAGTAGGAGGTAGAGAGTATATATAATATCTAGAAGCACTATTAAAAGCTATAGTATTAGGTTTAATAGGTAGGTTATAACATAGATAAGAGTTAGTATAATACTAGCTTATTAAAGAACGCACCTTAAGCTATTAAGGACTTCTATTATAAGTATCCTAATTAACCTAGACTACTAGCAAGGTTAGCCTTGTAGAAATAGGCCATGGAAAAGGATAAATTCCTACCTAATTATCCTAATAATAATAAACCTACTTACTAATAGTAGAGAGGGTAATAAGGCTAAATAACATAGTATATATAGGTAGAGTATAGAAATAAGGGTACCACCTAGTAACTAGTATAATAAGAGGGCTATTAATAGTATTATTAGTATTCTCTAGGCCCTAGAGCTTTAGTAATATATTAGAATCTAGCCCTAGGCTACCTAATATATTAGTAGTAAAATACCCTATATTACTAGGCTACTATGTGGCTATACTACACCACGTGTAGTAGGATATCCCAAGGCTAAATAACATAGGATTATAGGGTCTTATAGTAATATTTATAAAGTTTATATAATATATCCTCTATTAACTATTTAATACTAGAGGCCACGCTACTAGCTATAAGGCTAAATAATATAGTACCCTAGCTAGTAATAGAAATATTACTAGCCCCATGCTACTAAAGAAAATTAGTAAAGATAGAAAAATTACTAGCCCTAGAAGGAAAAAAGTTAGATAAGATATAGAGAAGAAAGAGTAAGAATCTAAGAAAGGAAGTAGCCTATTTATACCTATAATAAGGAAACTATAAGTAATAAAATTACCTATAACCTTAAATAGGTAGGTGCTTTAGAGGTAAAGGTTAAGACTCCTAATACTACCTAGCCTATAGGTAGTGACTACTATAAACTAAGTTACGCCTAGAGAGGCAGGAGACACTAAATAGTAAAGGACATAGGATTAGCTGATTTACCTGGCCTAAGGACATGCTAGTGATTTAACTAGGGGTTATATAACAGCTACTATATTAATACTTAGCAAACGGCCTTAGTAATTAGGCAGGAAATTAGGTAAGTAACCACCACTAGCTGACTAAGTGCCGCATAATAAATGTTTCATTAACTATTATAATTAGTTTTATTTCTTCTTCATGCTTAGAATTTGATTAATTCTCGCCTGCAACTTTGCCTTGTAGCTTGGAGATACGATCGTAGCATGAGAGATCTCCAACACAAATCACCATTGGTTATAGCAGCGCACATTCCCCCATCATACGGCATACGTGAATCATTTCCCGTTAGTCTGGGAGACTACCTTTAACTGATAGCATTCTCTTGGCAGACAGGCTGCAGGGACTGCCAACCCGTCAGGAGAGTATAGCTTCGACAATTCGTGGATCTGTCTAGTACCGCGAAGGGAAAGCCAATGAAAATCCATCCAGTCGTACAGGGAGGTAAGGGATCGAGTGGATCAAGAGGTTTCCAAGCATTCTTACATCCAGATGGAATTTCTGAGCAAGCTAATCCAGGGACAGGACCGTAGGCTTTTCAAGGAATTTGAGCAATTATGAAAACGTCTCCTCGGTAAACAACAGTCGGCTGCCTGATCAGTCAACCGGTCTAATGATTCTAGATACCAGCGCGGAAGTTCCATATTTGTTGGAGCCAGGAATTCTTGGAGACGATGATTGCTGGTTGGCATGTTGAATATTGTTACATAATCACCTGGATATGCATACCTAGCTATCCTTCATACAGGTATGAGCACCTACAAATTACAAGCTTGGTAATTTTCGGCCAACGAGGTTAGCCCAAACTTGATGCAAGATATTTACCTCTTCGGCTCCCTCCTCAACCACTCTTTCTCAACTAAAAAACTTCCCTATTAAGTTTGTTGAGCCTATATATTGTCGAGATTTTTTTTTCGCTGTCATGGGCTTCGTCAACCTTTTCGGGCGACTTCGGCAACAGCCGCCTGCCAGAGTACCGACTGATACGGTTGTGCCTCTGGTTGAATTGGACCCCTATTATTACTACGCCGTGGAGTTGCTCTTCCGATTTGATTGTGTACTTGATGCACATCAGCTACAGCAGTCTTTGTCCCAGTTAATGGAAATAGGCAACTGGAGGCAGTTGGGCGGCCGATTGCGCCGGAGGGAGGTATGCTTGTTTTTAACTACCTGGCATAAATTTGATTCATTCCCATCTGACAAACTTGGCGAAGAGCAATTCCGATTACCAATTTGATCTTCATGTTCCAGCACAGTTTACTGAGCAACGCCCGGCCTTCATATACCGGACATTTGAATGGGACGGTAGTATTGATGACCATCCCGTGGCCACCAGGATACCTAGAATGACCAACTCCATCTCCGTTCACAGTGTTCGAGATGATCTGGCACCTTTGATAGGTACCGCAGATTTCCCTAAGACGGCAGATGATTGGATCTACTCCGACTACCCCGGATTCTTCTTTCAGCAGATCAATTTTCATGATGCCACACTGCTCATGACGATGTTCCCACACCATCTTATGGACGCGACAGGATACGGTATCTTCCTGGATGCCTGGGCAGCTGTTCTTCATGGAAGAATAAATGATATTCCTCCATCACGCAGCTATTCGAATGACCTTGACCCTTGCAATACACTGGCCGAGAAGGTCCCGCCCGAGCGGTACATCTGGCACAGACACCTGATGAGCCGGTTTAATTCCCTGGTTTACACCGCGCGAACGATATGGGATAATTTAGCAAAAAAGGAAGATCGTGTTGTTTGCATTCCAAGCTGGTTCGTGGAGCAGATCAGAGCAGATGCGTTGAAGGCGCTGTCAACATCACAAGAATCCGCATTTGTCAGTGAAAGCGATGTTCTGGTTGCGTGGTTTTCCCGTCTCATGTTATCAGCTGTAAACCCCTCCCCTAGCAGGTCCCTTATGTTGGTAAATGCTGTCGACATCCGTTCAACCGTCCTTGACGACCACCAAAGAACTGCCTACCTGATGAACTTGATCTTCATGTCACATACAGTATTGCCAATTTCCGAGGTGCTTTCGCAGCCGATCAGTCATTTAGCTTCTAAAATTCGAGCTGCGCTCATCAGTGACCGAACCGCGGAACAAATACAAGCGCGCATTGCCTGGTCCAAAGAAGTCGGTCGTCACCCTCTTATTGGCCCCTCAGACAATTTTACATGTTTCATTACGAACTGGGCTAAGGCGTCTCTTTTTTCTCTCGACTTTTCCCCTGCGATTGTCGGAGAGAGATCTTCAGCAACACCATGTACTCCATCGGCATTGCTGTCTTATAACGACGTCCAAAGAATAACCCCTTCTTGTTGCGTGGTTCTAGGGAAAGATGCTGAAAGTAATTGGTGGATGCAGTGGTATTTGCCCAAGACAGCCTGGAAGAACGTTGAGAAGCACTTGCATCCTACTAGTCAAAGCCGTTGTAGGAAGGGCGTGTAGGTCACGTTATGGATTCATGAGATGAGAGTTTTTGGGTCCTCTAATCTTCTTTGTTTAATATGAAGCAAGCTCTGTGCTCTTGGTCCCGTTGGTGACTTGTCTCGGCTCTAGCTAGCTTATTTGTTGATGAGTAGATGTCGCCTACACGATTGCTGTATCTTCTTTTATGACTGTTCTTTCTATTCTATACTACCTTAAGGAGAGAATGAGACTATATGTCAGATTGATAGAACCCCTAGTCCCTAGTCCCTGATCAAACGCACCCGCGTTCGCTTTCTTCCGCCCCTGATTAGTTCCCGTCGCCTTTCCCCTTCCCGTTGCCGCCCCACACCCTACCCACGCCTGGCCATGCTCCCTGTCTGTCTATCGCCCACGGAGTCGCGGAGTGGTATGTGTGTGTAAGGGAGAAGGAGTATAGTATATAATAAGTATATACTATAGGAGGCTAGGAAATAACCTCTATTACTATAGCCTATTTCCCTCTCCCTTCTCCTCCTCCTCCTATATTATAAACGTGGAATGCTTCTATTATATCTATATAAGATTATCTGTCACGGGCCAGTGCCCGATATTGGACACGGGCTAGTGCCCGCGCACGTGACCTTGGCATGTTGACAGGAAGAACGCGCCTGGAGAACTTCCTTTCTCTAAGCTTTTCATACACAGTTCATGGCCTAGCTAGATTAAATATAAGTCTAGCTTCATCCCTTCACATATAAAAAGCTTCCGATTCTTGATCATTAAACTAATAGAATAAAACGTAAATGAATAACACTTAAAATAATAACATACGCGACGTGACCCCTAAACCCCTAGTAATTTAATAATAGATATATATTAGAATAGAACCTTCGCGCATAATACTATAGTACTCGCGGCATATTAAAAAAGCCCTACTCCCTAGGGGTCGAACCACCCAACCCTCGCCGGCTTTTCTCCGAACCTGATTGGTCCGTCGACTTTTGTGGTGTTGGTGTTACTGGCTAGCCCCGTGCGTGCTCCCGTCGCCCCCATGGTGCGTGTACCATACCATACCATACTGTACCGTGCTCCTCCCCGCGCTTTGCCCGCCTGCCTGCTGTGGTGCGGGCGGGGTGCGTGCCTGTAAAAAACCATCCATGTCTTGCTTTACTAGCCTATGCCTGCCTCCACCTGGCATGATTAATAGATTATATACCAACAACGCGTCCATCCCCTCCATCTATCGCGGCATATACGCGCGCTTGTTACACGTACATGGCTTATAGAGACTAATCCTTCCTTTCCCCTTTCCTTTTCCCTTCCCTCTCCCTTTCCCTGCCCCTTCTCCTCCTTCTTCTAAATCTAGTGGTTATGATTAGGCATGAATCTCTTCCTCTATAACCCTACCTACTATCTCTAGATCTGCACGGCCTCCCACTGCTAGTACGCGGTCCCACCCCAGGCCTTGCTTGCCTACCTGCGTGCCCACCATCCATCCCACGCTACAGCTAGCACCTATAACACCTGCTAGGAGGCTCTTGCCTAGATGCTTTAATGGCCGTGGACTAACCCTACCCACGAGCCAGGCCAGTTCCCACCCCCAGGGGGGCCTCCCATGCCCGGCCTACCAGTCTACTAGGGCCGTGGCTACCCGCACTACCCATACATTAGCCGTACTACCAAGACCATGGAGAAGCACCGTCTAGTAAACCATAAGGATAAAGATAGCTACTAGAGCCCTAGACGGCTCTCCCGCGCCCAGGCCCGCGCGCGGGCCCAGCAGCGCCTGGCAGACCATGTAGTCCACTACCAGCGGTTGTACCACGCGGGCACTAGCAGCCACTTCTTCAAGGTTACCCTGCCAGTAGCCAGCAGCCGGCAGGCGCTCCCAGCCAGCCCGTGGATAACCACAGCAGAGCTAATCCGCGCTCATGTAGACCAGGCGCTACGCGTGGGGGAGGCGGCCGCGGAGGTAGAGGATGGCCAGGTCCTAGTCCTGGCCACCCACCCAACTAAGGTATCCCCATGGCTGGAGCTCACCCACTGGCCCGAGTACCTGCGGGGGCAGGACCTGACCATGGCAGCGCTGCTTGGGTGCCTACCTAACCAGGATACAGAGCCACTGCTAGTATAGTTCGCCGCCAGCGTGCAGCGGCTAGTTAGCCAGGCCTACCACGCCATCTAGAGTGGCTAGATCAATGAGTTTAACTAGATCCACATTAACACCTTCCACCAAGAGCCCCGCGTGTGGAACCAGCCAATCCAGATCCACCTGCGGCCAAAGACGTACCACTAGTACTACTAGGTATGGCAGCGCCTGGTCTGCTTTGCCCACCATAGTAGCTAGCTAGATCAGCCTGTCTAGCTCCGCCACCAGCTTAACACCACCCAGCTGGCCGCCCTGGACTAGATAGAGGAGTATAGCCACGGGCTGCTTGCCCTTACAGCAGAGGCAGAGGAGGTAAAGGCTATAGAGCTAGTCTAGCTAGTGGCAACAACCACCCCTCCACGGGCGCCGCGGATAGTGCCCTAGAAGAAGCAGGCAGCGCCTCAACTACTAGGACCACCACCTGCCCAGGCCCTAGTGGCTATAGTAGCCTTGCTACTACCACCCCAGCCACCCTAATGCCCCCGCGAGGCAGCGCTCCAGGCCCAGCTAGACCAGGCCACCCTAGACCTCTCTATTGCGCTGCTAGACCATCCCCTGAAAGGGGACCTATTTGAGAGCACCCTGGTAGTGTAAGGAACGTCTCTCGATGAACAAGGTCGTATTAAACTAAAATACGAAGCATGGAGAACTAATGGAGGTTCCACGAAGCGGGACCGACTATATACAGAGAATTGTCACGTGGCGATGACCTAAGCGGGACGAGGCCCATGACACTACCCCCCCCCCTTTAACAATGCAGATATCGCGGCCAGAGACGTAGATATAGGATAGAATAAGGATGTGTACACGAAGTTTAGTTAAAGAAATCAGGTGGCAGGGGCTTCTCGGGGTGCTATTAGTGATAGGCAAGGATCTTCTCAGGCGCGTTCTTAAAATCCATCCAGGGCTGCTATGGAGGATCAGCGTTCCACTCATCCCACGGGCCATTAAATATAGCCTTGTATTAGTGGTGGTTGCGGTACATGTGGTAGTTAATAATCTCGCGCACGTCCCATTCCTCATGGCCTTCAGGATTGCCAGGGTTGGTGATAATAACTAGGGGTTCAGGGTTGGCTACCTGGCCAGGGAGGGGGTTGTTCAAGGCAAGATAGAGCTTCCATAGATGAAAAATAGGGGTAACACCAGCGTTTAGCATGTGAATTAGTAGTTCAACCTCATAGGCCTTGCCATTAATCACGCGCTTGATTAGCCATGGCCCAAGGTTCTTTAGGGCTAACGACTCGCTATTCCACTGGAGGTTGAAGTGACGGGCATCCACGTACACGAGGTCTCCCACGTTATAGCGCGGATGGGGCTGGCGTTACTAGTTAGCATAGTATTTATAGGAGCCTTGGGCCCAGGCGATCTCATCCTAAAGGAATTCTATAATCTCGCGCATGCGTTGAACCAGTTGGTCCGCGGCAAGTGCCTAGGGGTGGTTTGGGGGATCCCCATACATGCCTGGAGGTTCAGCGCCTGTACAGGGGTGGTAGGCGTGGCAGGCGAAGAAAGGTGTCATGCTAGTTATCTCACTGATATTATTATTCACGGCGAACTAGGCATCAGGCAGGAACCAGGCCCAGTTGTCCTAGGCATAGTTAATATAGGCACGGAGGTAATTTTTTAGGCCCTTGACAGCGTTTTCAGACTGGCCATCAGTCTTAGGGTGGTTGGTGGAGGATAGTTTAATAGAAACATAGTAGCGAGCGCAGTATTAGCGCCAGAAATGGCTTATAAAGGCGCTCCCATGGTCTGATATAATTAAACGAGGGAGACTAAACTCGTAGAAGACGCGGCGGTGCATGACCTCCACGAGCTCGCTGGTTTCTTTGGTCTGCAGCAGCTCGAAGATATGTTATTTCATCAGGCGGTCGACCACGATCAGAACGTGGCGGTAGGTGTGGTTGTTCAGCATGCATGGGGGAAGGTCTTCCACAAGGTCCATAGAGATATCGAGCCACTTTCGCTCTAGGATAGGCAGCGGCCTAAGCAAGCCCTGTTTCTAGGTGTTACGGGCCCTCGAGCGCGCGCAGGTATGGTAGTAGTCACTATAGCACTTACAGTCATCGCGCATGCGCGGCTAATAATAGTAGAGGATAACCTTCTAGTATATTCCCTTCCACCCAGGGTGGCCAGCAGTGGTTAGTTAGTAGTAAGTCTCTATAATCCTTTGCCAGAGACAATTGCTTTCAGGAATATAGAGCCTCTTATTAACCTAGAGCTGGTTATCGCGTATTATCAGGTCTACCATAGAGAGCTTAACGCCTTGGGATCTAATAGGCGTGGGTAGCCATGGTAGGCCTTCATTCACTGCCTTGATCATGGCCTGTACAAGCTCATCGTTCGCGTAGGCCTCCGTGATAAGGTTCTCCAGGGGCTCTTCAGGGGCTTCAGCCTCTGGTTTAGGGGTTGCTTCGGGGGTGACGTCCCTATGGGCGTCCCCAGGGATATCTTCGTCGGGCATGGTGGCCGGAGGCTCGCTCACCTCAGAGTTAGTGTCTGAGAAGAGGTCTAGGACGTCGTATTCATCCACTAACTGGGCTGGCTCTAGGGCAGCTTCAGGGGCAGCTTCAGGGGGTTCTTCAGGGGCTTCTTCAACCGTGGTGACGCGAGCGCGGGTGGTAACGGCAAAGGTCACGCAGATTGCCTTCTGTACGTCCTCGTCGAGGTGTTCGTTCTGGAGGACTATTACACTGGCCGCCCTGTTTCGGCCGGACGGTCGGGCGGTCACCACCAAAAAACGTCGATTCTGCCAGGGGGAGGTGTCGAGGGGGTGTCGCGCCAAATCCGTCCCGCCAGCGCATTGCCCAATCAGTGCCCGCTACTCCGTCCGGCCGGCGCATGGTGGAACCCCCAGTGGGCCGTCCGGCCGACGCACTGCCCAATCACCACCTTTACGCATCGTCCGGCCGACGCATCGCCCAATCACCACCTCTACGCATCGTCCGGCCGACGCATCGCCCAATCACCACCTCTACGCATCATCCGGCCGACACACCACCCAATCACCATCATCACGCCCTTGTCCTGCCGACGCATCACCCAATCACCACCTCTACACATCGTCCAGCTAACGCATTGCCTAATCACCACCCCCTACGTCCGCGTCCGACCAACGCACCCCCTAATCACCATTATCACGCCCTTGTCCTGCCAACGCATCACCCAATCACCACTACAGCACATCGTCTGGCTGACACACCACCTAATCACCACCTCTGCGCATCGTCCGACCGACGCACTACCTGATAATCATTATCACTAGTACCTCTTGTCTTTGTCTGTCCAGCTAATGTAATAGCTAAGTATAATCTTACTATTACTATAGCTAGCTACCTTCGTTCTNTAGAAGACGCGGCGGTGCATGACCTCCACGAGCTCGCTGGTTTCTTTGGTCTGCAGCAGCTCGAAGATATGTTATTTCATCAGGCGGTCGACCACGATCAGAACGTGGCGGTAGGTGTGGTTGTTCAGCATGCATGGGGGAAGGTCTTCCACAAGGTCCATAGAGATATCGAGCCACTTTCGCTCTAGGATAGGCAGCGGCCTAAGCAAGCCCTGTTTCTAGGTGTTACGGGCCCTCGAGCGCGCGCAGGTATGGTAGTAGTCACTATAGCACTTACAGTCATCGCGCATGCGCGGCTAATAATAGTAGAGGATAACCTTCTAGTATATTCCCTTCCACCCAGGGTGGCCAGCAGTGGTTAGTTAGTAGTAAGTCTCTATAATCCTTTGCCAGAGACAATTGCTTTCAGGAATATAGAGCCTCTTATTAACCTAGAGCTGGTTATCGCGTATTATCAGGTCTACCATAGAGAGCTTAACGCCTTGGGATCTAATAGGCGTGGGTAGCCATGGTAGGCCTTCATTCACTGCCTTGATCATGGCCTGTACAAGCTCATCGTTCGCGTAGGCCTCCGTGATAAGGTTCTCCAGGGGCTCTTCAGGGGCTTCAGCCTCTGGTTTAGGGGTTGCTTCGGGGGTGACGTCCCTATGGGCGTCCCCAGGGATATCTTCGTCGGGCATGGTGGCCGGAGGCTCGCTCACCTCAGAGTTAGTGTCTGAGAAGAGGTCTAGGACGTCGTATTCATCCACTAACTGGGCTGGCTCTAGGGCAGCTTCAGGGGCAGCTTCAGGGGGTTCTTCAGGGGCTTCTTCAACCGTGGTGACGCGAGCGCGGGTGGTAACGGCAAAGGTCACGCAGATTGCCTTCTGTACGTCCTCGTCGAGGTGTTCGTTCTGGAGGACTATTACACTGGCCGCCCTGTTTCGGCCGGACGGTCGGGCGGTCACCACCAAAAAACGTCGATTCTGCCAGGGGGAGGTGTCGAGGGGGTGTCGCGCCAAATCCGTCCCGCCAGCGCATTGCCCAATCAGTGCCCGCTACTCCGTCCGGCCGGCGCATGGTGGAACCCCCAGTGGGCCGTCCGGCCGACGCACTGCCCAATCACCACCTTTACGCATCGTCCGGCCGACGCATCGCCCAATCACCACCTCTACGCATCGTCCGGCCGACGCATCGCCCAATCACCACCTCTACGCATCATCCGGCCGACACACCACCCAATCACCATCATCACGCCCTTGTCCTGCCGACGCATCACCCAATCACCACCTCTACACATCGTCCAGCTAACGCATTGCCTAATCACCACCCCCTACGTCCGCGTCCGACCAACGCACCCCCTAATCACCATTATCACGCCCTTGTCCTGCCAACGCATCACCCAATCACCACTACAGCACATCGTCTGGCTGACACACCACCTAATCACCACCTCTGCGCATCGTCCGACCGACGCACTACCTGATAATCATTATCACTAGTACCTCTTGTCTTTGTCTGTCCAGCTAATGTAATAGCTAAGTATAATCTTACTATTACTATAGCTAGCTACCTTCGTTCTTACCTAAGCAGCGCTATTTTCTATAATGTATATCTAGTTTCCCTTTCTCCTAAAGCCGCCAGCGTTAGAGTTAACCCACGTAATCACCCCCCATAGCAACAGCATGCACAACGTATCTAGCGTATGACTATACAGCCTCCCGCGTTCGCAGGAGCTTTACGGGTAGTAGAAGTATCTAACCCTTCTTATAATTAAGCGCTAGCTAACTATTAAAGTAATCCTGAATCATGATTATTGCTAAGTAACCAAGGTAGCGAGTAGCCTGGGAGGCGTGGGAGAATATATATATTCTCTATGAACTATACTATTTTAAATAGATAGCTACCTGAGAGAAGTGACTGTACCCTTACTAGTACTATAAAGCGTGCCTGTGCCTTGTAGGTATGGACACCATGACTTATACTAACATGCTGATACACAGCCCGCTGCGTCCGGCGCAGTACCGGCGGCTGGCAGTCAGGGAAGTAGCATGCAAACCTAGTCTCCTGATCCCCCGTGCGGTCCCGTTCCCCTCTAACCAGCTCGGGAAAAGGGGGTACTAGCTCATATTCACGTAGCTGCTGCCATGACTGGAGTATGTCCTGCACGCTAAGCTGTTCCACTAGGAACTGATCCTCCGTTGTAAGCGTATAGCTATGTTTCAAAGCCAGATGCTGGAGCAACTGCGAGGGCCAGATTGCCTCGTGACACCTGGTATAGGTAACCATGTGCCACCGTGGGTAATACACTAGCTGCGCCCATGGTAACACCTGGTGCTCATGCTCGTTTGGGATGGGAGGCACGCGAGGCCCGCTCTCGACCCGCTGGCTGGCCGCCAGACCAGCACCTGTGGGTGGCTCTGCTACTAGACCTGTCAGCGAACCTGGTCGGGTACCTGTTAACTCGCCTTCTGGCCCATCATCGCCCCCAAGGATAAATTGGTGCCAGATGTTAGATGCCTTGCGGAACAGGTTCAGCTGCTTAGTCTGTAGGGACATTGGGTGCCGCTCCTCTACGGCGTAGATCTACCGGTTGATCTATCGGTGGTGCCCCGCCTGGTGGGCGTAGATATTAAGCATTAGCTCCGCCGCCATGTGTAGATCACCCGGGGCAATCCTCTGGGGCAGGTGTCGTTTTGAGATCGCGATCACGGTGTGCCGATAGCGCCGGGTGTTAAAGATAACCATGGGGCTCTGGAAGAACTTGCGGCTCGCTGCCTTTATAGCCGTGTTAATTATTGTCCGTATAGGCGGGAGTCGCTCCCCGGGCAGGGCGAAGAGATAGTGGTTATTAGAGAGGGCCGCGCGCCTGGTGGTCTGCTATGAGCGTAGCACTTGCTGCTGGAGTAGCTTGACTAGAGGCCGCACGTGCGCTAGGTAGAGCACCACCACCTCCCCAAGCCTGGTAGGGAGGAAGCGGGCCGTGGGCGCGACGAGGCCTCGACGCCGGACGGTCTTATCATACTCGGTAACCAGCATCACCGCGCCCTCGCTGATGAAGAGGTTCCGCATGCTAGATGCAGTATTGCACTATTTCAGCGTCATTAGCTCTGTGCCGCGCGCGGGCTGGCCCCAGGTTAGTTAGATGGTCAAGATTAGCTGGCGGAGGAAGGCCCGGGCCTTGGCAAGGTAGGCCCTGATAGCGGGGCGGTGCCAGTGCTGGCCCGTTCGTAGTGGGCGACAGCCCTGCCCTGGTGCCTCGCAGAAGGGTAGCAGGGGCCGCGCCGTCTCGCCGCCGCCAGCGACCAGGGACCTGGGGCTATCGGCTAGGAGCGAGAGAAAGGAGAAGCCAGTTGTTGCGCGCGTAGGAAGGTCAGTGAGCTAGTAGAGGTCAACTACTAGTAGGGCGCCAAGCAGGAGTTAGCGGCAGAAGATTAATAGGGTGGTCGCGAGCACGGACCGGATCCACTGTTGGAAGAGGGTGAGGGGTAGGCCCTGGGGGTCACGATGCTAGTAGAGGACCGTCGAATCTAATGACTAGGAAATGGTGGGCCGCTGCGGCTGGTCGCGCACGATGCGCATGCTACCCGCCATCAGGCAAAGCAGCTCGGTCATGGGGGAGAAGCTGGGCCGACCGCCATAGGCCTGGTGGACCTGCGTCGCCCGCCGGGCATGGTTCCAGATCAATGCCCGCGGGTGGATGTCAGGGATTAGGTGGTACCCATGTGTTGGCAGGGCGAACTCCAGGAGTAGCAGCCAGGCGACCCAGATTAGCCCGGCGAGGATGGTGGTGTAGTTGTACGGCTTGTAAAAGGCTAGCTGGCCATCCTCGCCCACCTGGAGGCCGCGGATCGCCGTGTAGGCCACTAGCGAGGCGCTGAACCTGTCCCCCTCTAGCTCAATCTGTGGCGCGGTGAGGCAGTGGATGCTCAGGGAGAAGATCGCCTGCGTGAGCCATGCCTAGCCTAGTCCAGGGAGCTGTACCAGCGTCCTACCAGCGATACCCCAGGGCTTACTCAAGGCAGGATCCCCACCCGTGTCCCCTTGGCTGGTTAGAAGGTGGGGACTATTATCATTACTACTATCACCACTGGTACTTCCCTCTAGGTCGAGGTCGACGTTGGTGCTATCGTCGGCGCCATCACCATCGGTGTCACTGTCCATCGACGTGCACGAAGGGGCGAACCTATCATCACAGGAAGAGTCATTCGGGTTAGTATTAGTATCATTCCCAGAGGATGACGTCCTAACACCACTAGTGTTAACCCAGCGCGGCAGCCCGTATTGTGTCTCTAAAGCGACGCCTTGTAGCCAAGATGGGGGGTTAGGTGCCGTGGCTGCTTGATCTAGCGGTCCGCCTATAGTGCGCTGGCGCTTCGCTGTACGGGCCCGCGGCGTGGGAGTGCTTGGTGGCGAACAGTGTAGCTTCCTCTTAGTCCCCTTTATAGAGGATGGAATTACTACTATAATCATTACCTGGCTCTGTGGAGTTCCTCCCCTAGGCTACTACTAGCCGGTGTATTGCTGGCAGCGGGGGCTCGCTGCCCAGTGGTGCCCTGCCGGCGTCGTGGTCATGCCCGTTGCGCCTGGTCAAGTCGGTCACTACAGATGTGGTCTAATGGATTAGCAAGGAAGCGCGCTGCTACTATACCTGAAAAGTCCCAGCGCGCTGGGTCCTTGAGGTGGAGGAGTAGGTATTGGTAGATTGCCTGTAGGAGCCGCTCCTCCGGCGCTGCGAGGGAGAGGCTAAGGTGTCGCTTGCGCTGTGCTGGCGTGAGGGGTGCCGCCTGGAAGAGTAATATTAGGAAGCGCTTCTAGTACTGCGCGTAGTGGGTGATTGTCGTGGCCTTCTGCGGCCGCTGTAGGGGCTGGCGGCCGCGGTAGCCTGCTTGGTTGCTCTCAAAGATTTCGAGGATGGGTAGCTGGGTGGTGTCTAGCGTCCTCAGCGCCTGGTCTAGGACCTGATCAAATGCGGCGCCAACCAGGCGCAGGATCAGCTCGTGGTTATCATGGTCGTGGCCGGCTGGCGCAGCGTAGTCCCCAGGAAAGAAGCTCTGGAGCGCGGGTAGTGACTGGCATGTCCCTAGCGGGCCGGTGGCGGCTAGCATCACACCAGGTGAACGCCTATGGAAGAATTGCGCCCACCCGGTCTGCTGGAGCCACGGGCTGGAGTCGTCGCTCTTGTGGTGCTCGCTAAACCTGAAGTGGTTAGCTATCCCTCGCCGCGCCGGGGTAGGGAGCGTGCTGGGGCTCTGACCCAGACTAGACCACTGGAGCGCGGCCAGGCCCTTGGAGGCCTCCTGGTATAGCAGCTCGCGCTGCTAGGGAGCTACTAGCGGGGGATCCTCGTTTAATGAACCCGCGAAGCTAGGAGGGGATGGCGAGGAGGTCATAGTGATAGCTGGGATCTCGGTACCATGGTCAGGCTCTGGCGTGGTAGCAACGGCCACCTGCGGGCAACTCACAACCCAGGGGCGTCGGTAGCGGTTATTCTAGAACCAGCTCTGGACTAGCACCTCGGTGTCAGGCGCCGGGGTCCTAGTAGTCGCGTGAGCGCGTTGAACATGCTCGCGGAATACCCGTTCCTGGATAGCTAGGAAGTAGCAGACACTGTAGTACCACCCACGCTGGGGCGTCCCAAGTTCGGGGATGATAGGTGTAAAGTGTGGAAGTGGGTGAAAGTCATCATGCACTGCTAGTGGGGAGGCAGTGGGAGGCAGGCTATCCTGGATCTCATGTTGGCGCTGCGCTGCGTCGGTTACACCATGCTTGTCGCGAAGGTGGCGATTTACTAGGATATATGGCACCGCCTCCTCGCAGGGGCGATAGATAAGCGCCTTGTGGCAGGCGTTATAGTAGAGGAGTAGTGCCATGCTTGGGCGGGGGGTTAGTAGTAGGGCGGATACTCAAGTCAAGGGAAGAATAATATATATATTAGTCGTGGAGCCAGGCGTGGAGAGGTATAGAGAAATTCTTTAAATCTTTTCTCTCCTATTCCCTTATACTTTTATTTCTTTGCTTTTCCCGCCCCCTTTTCTTCTAACTGCTTTGTTGATCTATCATACTATTAAATAGGAAGGAGATAAGAGACTAGTACTATCTAAGTTTAGAGGCCAAGCATATAAAGGATTATCTAATCCCGGAGCTTTTATTCTTAGGGGAGGGGAGAACAAAAGCCTTTAATAAGCTAATTAGCCTATTTATATCGCTTTCTTCCCTGTACCCTGAAGCCTCAAGCACGCCACCCAGGCTAGTGGTGGTACCTGCCATCACGCCGGAACCCCGCTGACGACTCGCCATCAAGCTACCATAATCCAACTAGTAATAAGTATTAGTCTTCAAGATAGTAAGTGTCCCCATGATAATAAACTTATTACTGCTAAACACCTTGAGTAGCAATGTCCACTTCACGCCAAGATCCCGCTGCCGTCTCGCCTGCGGACCGCTATAATGATAATTCTCATATCCTAATAAAGGCTGAGGGCTTGTTTAGAGTCATTGCTCTTGCGACCCCGGGCGTATAAACTAGGCTGTAGGTTGCTCCATGCATGGTGCCACCCTGGCAATGCGCTAGTGGTACGCTTTATAACCGCTGGGCGCATTGCATAATCTATCTTAGGGTCATGCTGGTCGATGCCTGGCCGCAGGGTATGCCGGCAATGATCCACTACCTAGTGCCAACTAATAGTAGTGCCCCGCTCGACGCTAAGATCCCGCTGGCACCCCGCCTGGGGACTGCCGAAACCCTGATTCTTATATTACTTTGAGAGGGCCGTGGTCTGATTTACAGAAAAGACCTCGCGGCTAGGCGGTAGTCTGCACTCTAACAGCTAGGTTCCTGCTGCACCATACCCTATTCACGCCGCGCGCGGCTGCCTGACTACCTCTCCATCCACGCACTGTCCGCCCACCATCTACGCGCGGCCAGCCCGCCATACCTGCCATGGTCGGTCCGCCCCGCCGCAGTTAACAGGCGCGGGTCTGCCAGTGAAAGGCATCCTTACTTCCAGGACCTTCACACTAGGTACCTAGATGGTGGTTATATATAGCCTGGCGGCCCGCACTCCACCCACCTTCAGCCCGCCAGCACCTCGCTGGGTTCCCTGCCTATCATCACCTGTCTGGCCCCGGGCCAAGTCCGGCCGGCTGAAGCTTGGGGAGGGAAATCTGCTATGCTAATAAGAGACCATTACGACTACCTACTAGTCACGCCCCAGGAGCTTAACAGGTGCCCGCCAGGTCCAACTACTAATCCCGCCGCCTTACTAACCATGGACTCCTCTCCCCTGCTCTTGTCTCCCTGGCAGCCCAGGTTGCCGTGGTCGCGCCGTGCTACTCCAGCCAGCATCCATCGCCCACCCTGCGGCTACCCGGTGCTGGGCCGGCGGCCTGATGCCCTGGCCAAGTAAGGTCCTTGTTATTATACCTGCTTACAGCGTGCGCAGATTTCTAAAAGAAATTTTTTTTTTTCTTTTATTTATATATACATGTTTACTCTATCTCTTCCTCCTCCCTTACACTTTACCCTCTCTCCTTCTTCCTTCATCCTCTCCCGCTCCCCATCCTCGCCCTGCTCGTTAGCTTTGTCTATATCTTCCCCTTGCTTTGGTAGCATCGTATCGCGTACTTAAAGAAGTATACTACCTTTCTCACCTCTATCTAGTAAGTCTGTCACCTGTCCAACGGCGCAGTCCGAGCACCGTGATGGCACCATCCCTGCTAACACCGGCTGCTGTCTAGAGCCACCATGTCCACACCACTCTAGTCTGCACCTGATCTTGAGCCCTCCACCCCAGTCGCTAGTGCCTCGGAGTCGCCCCGCAAGCGCAAGCGTTGCCTCGAGCGCGAGAAGGCTCGACGTGAAGCCGAACTTCGCCAACGTGAGATCAAAGCTGACCAGGAAGACAACAAGCCTAATAGCAGCGACCACGAGACCACATCACGTGCCGTTACTGAACTGGGTGAAGAGTCCATGTCCTCACCACCACCCCGCCGTCGCCAGATCGGTGAAAAGACCCTGCCTGGCGATGCCGCCCCTCCCGACCTGACCATGGCCGCGCCATCTATGAGAGCTGGCCATGGTAAAGGTAAGCAGCCGCGCAACTCACGCGCCCGGCCTGATGACAATGCTACTGATGTGAGTATCTTATGCCCTTGCACGCCGCTACCCCGCCTGCAGGACACCCACGCTGACCTTGAGAATCCAGGACGATGACAATGCCGAGGGCATGCTTTGCAAGGTCCCCTGTCTGCGTTGCGCGAAGGCAAGCTTTGTATCTGGTGAAGATGATGAGCCTATTGGCCCGCAGCCCTGCTGCCGTCCCCGCGCGGGGCTGAAATGCTTTCGCTGCACACGCCTCCACAAGTACTGCATCCCTATCCTCGCGCTATTCGAGGCCGAGATCGTGGCGCTGCGAACCAACCCGCCTGAGGATGTTGATGTTGTGGTAGCTACTGCTTCATGGACCCAGCGTGTAACAACCTTCCTCCGCAAGGCTAACAAGGAGGGTGAGATGCTGCGCATCATGCGCTCTCTCCTCCACCATACCTTCGAGCTTCGTAATGACATCCGTGCTGCCAACCATATTGGACCCTGGCTGCCCCCCTCCGCCAAGATCATCTGGCCCGTGATGGATGGCACTGAGAAGGATGACAAGGAGGAAGAGACCACCGCCACCCGCACTGCTGCTCGCTGTGGTGCCGCCGTTGATAGGTTCCTTGAGCTATAGGAGACTAATGACTATGGTATTAATATCACATTCTAGCCCTAGCGCCTACTACTTCTTCTTCTTCTTTTTTTTTTTCCTTTTTTCTTCTTCTTCTTGTTTCGATGGTATAGTATAGCTCGTTATCTACTCGCCTAGCTATCGCCTTCATGTAGCTAGGCCTAATGGAATCAAGCTCCCTTATACTACCATTCTCTTACCTTCTTGTGTAGCTTCCTTCCTTGTACCCCGAAGTAGCAAGCATGCTCCCAGGCTAGTGGTCGTACCTGGCAGCCCGCCTATACCCCCGCTGACGACTCGCCTTCAACCCACCACGATCTAACTGGCGATGAGTATTTGGTTCCTTGTGAGTGAGTATCCCCGTGATAATAGACCTACTAGGGCTTAAAAGCCTGATCAGTAATTTCTACTGGACGCTAAGAGCCCGCTGCTGCCTCGCCTATGGACCGCCATAATAAAGATTCTTATATCCTAATAAAGGCCGAGGGCTTGTTTAGAGTCATCACCCGCGTGACACTGGGCGTGTGGTCTAGGGTATAGGTTGGTCCATGCATGGTGCCACCTTGCAAGTGCGCCAGTGGTACGCTTCATGACTACTAGGCGAATAGCATGATTTATCCCAGGGTCACACTGGTCAATGCCTGGCCGCGGGGTATGCCCGCAATGATCTACTACTTAGTGCCAACTGATAGGAGTGCCCCGCTCGAGGCTAAGATCCCGCTGCCACCCCGCCTGTGGACTGCCGAGCCCCTGATTCCTGTATTGCTTTTGCGAGGCCGTGGTTTGATTCACAGAGAAGACCTAGCAGCTAGGCGGTAGTCTGCAAGCAGAGAGCTTAGGTTCCTGCTATACTATACCCTGTTCACGCCGCGCGCGGCTGCCTGACTACCTCTCTATCCGCGCGCCGTCCGCCCACCATCTACGCGCGGCCAGCCCGCCATACCTGCCATGGCCGGTCCGCCGCGCCACAGTCAACAGGCGCGGGTCTGCCGGTGAAAGGCATCCTTACTTCCAGGACCCTCACACTAGGTACCTAGATGGTGGTTATATATAGACTGGCGGCCCGCACTCTACCCACCTTCAGCCCGCCAGCACCTCGCTAGGTTCCTCGCCTATCATCACCTGTCCAGCCCCGGGCCAAGTGCAGCCGCCTAAAGGCTAGGGTAGGAAATCTACTATGCTAATACGAGACCATCACAACTACCTACTAGTTACTTTTAAGAAGCTTGACAGGTGCTCGCCAGGTTAGACTACTAATCCTGCCTTCTTACTAACCATGGACTCCTCTCTCCCACTCTTGTCTCCCTGGCAGCATGGGTTGCCATGGTCACGCCGTGCTACTCTATCCCATTACCTATCACCCACCCTGCAGCTACCTAGTGCTGTCCCGGCGGCCTAGTACGCTTGCAAAGGAGCGTCTTTATTATCGTCCCCACTTATAGCCTAGGCTAAGGTTGAAAAATCCTTTTTCTAGTCCACGCGTACATATTTATTCTCTCTCCTCTTCCTCTCTATTACTTCGCCCCCTTCTTTTTTTTTTTTCTCTAAATATCCCCATCCTCCTCCCTATCCTTACCCGATCATTGGATATATTAATATTATAACCTTACTATGGAATTATTCCATCTCCTGCTCCATAAAGTACCCTGCCGTTCTTGCTACGATTAACTAAGTCTGCCCCCCTCTTGAACCACCCAGTCCCAGCGCTATGTTAGTGCTGTCCTTGCTAATAATGCGTGCTATCCAAAGCCATCATGTCCAAGCCCTCGCAACCCCTTCTTAACCGCGAGCCTTCCACCCTAGTAGCTAGCGTATCCGAATCACCACGCAAGCGGAGGCGCTGTTAGGAGCGGGCGAGGGCTTAACAAGTAGCTAAACTTTCCACACCCAAGCTCAAGCCTGACCAGGCGCATAACGAGCGCGATGCCAGCGACCACGAGACTACATCCCCAGCCGTCACTAAACTAGACGATGAGCCCACGCTCCCGCCACCCCCACGACATTGCCAAATCAATGAAAATGCCCTGACTGGCCTCGCTGCCCCTGCCACTCAGACCACGGCCGCGCCACCTGTCATACCAAGCCACGGCAAAGAAAAATAGCCCCAGAAGTCTCGCGCCTGGCTAGATAATAATTCCCTTTATGTGAGTATCCCATTCCCTCCTATGCCGCCACCCCGCCTGTAGGGCGCCCGCGCTGACCTTGAGAATCTAGGACAATAACAAGGCCAAGGGGATGCTCTGTAAGGTGCCATGTTTGCATTGCGCCAAGTCAAGCTTCGTGTTGGGGGATAATGGCAAGCCTGTTAGACCATAGCCGTGCCGCCGCCCCCACACAGGGCTTAAATACTTTCGCTACACACGCCTCCACAAGTACTATATCCCTATTCCCGCGCCCTTCAAGGCCGAGATTATGGCGCTCCGAACCAACCCGCCTGAGGATGTTGATATTGTTGCTGCCACCACTTCATGGACCCGGCGTGTTATAATCTTCCTTGATCAGGCTAATAGGGAAGGTGAGATGCTTCACATTATACGCTCCCTCCTCCACCATACCTTTTAGCTCCGTAATGACATCCGTGCTACTAATTGTATTGGACCCCGGCTGCCCCCTTCCGCCAAGATTATCTGGCTGGTGATAGATGGTACTAAGAGGGATGATAAGGAGGAAGAGACCGCCACTACCCACACTGCTGCTTGCCGTGGTGCCGCCATTGATGGGTTCCTTGAGCTACAGGAGACCAATGACTATGGTGTTAATATTATATTCTAGCCCTGGCGCCTACTACTTCTTCTTCTTTTTTTTTTCCCTTTTTTCTTCTTCTTCTTGTTTCGATGGTGTAGTATAGCTCGTCGTCTACTCGCCTAGCTATCGCCTCTATGTAGCTAGGCCTCATGGAATCAAGCTCCCTTGTAGTACCATTTTCTTACCTTCTTATATAGCTTCCTTCCTTGTACCCTAAAGCGTCAAGCATGCTCCCAGGCTGGTGGTCGTACCTGGCAGCCCACCCAGCTCCCGTTGATGACTCGCCTTTAACCCTCCCTAACTTAACTAGCAATGAGTGCTTGGTTCCTTGTTAGTGAGTATCCCCATGATAATAGACCTATGGGTGCTAAAAAAAGCTTGATTAGTAATTTCTGCGGGACGCTAAGAGCCTGCTACCACCTCGCCTGTGGACCGCCATAATATAACATGATTGTAATTCCTATATCTCTTAATATTCACCTTAGGCCCATGGGCTTGGTATTAGGCTGATCTAAGTTTCCTAGTAATATTTTAGTGTTATTTAAGCGGCGCCTTTAGCTTTGTAATAGGGTACATTTCTTCCTTTCCTTTATCTCTATCTTTGTCTTATTCTAATCATATCCTTCCTTACTCATTGTCTAGCTTGCACCTTTGTCACTTCCTTTGTCACTTAGCTCCCTGGCGGCCCCTAGGTGCTATTCAGGCGGCGCCTTTTGCTCTATAATAGGGGTACTTTTCCTCTTTTCCTTTATCTCCATCTTTTTCTTTTATTATTCATGTCCTTCCTTACTCCTTGTCCAGCTTGCACCTTTGTCACCTCCCGGGCGGCCCCCAGGTGCTATTCAAGCAGCGCCTTTTGTTCTTTAATAGGGGTACGTTTCCTCTTTATTCTTTAGGGGTATCATGTTTTATATCTATACTCTTTATATATCCTCTACCTAGAGTATATATTAGAGTATAATCCTATAATATTACTATACTCTATACTTTATTCCTATCTATAAACACTATTACTATCTACTTTAGTATTATACCCTCTAAAACAACCACGATTTCCTAAACCATGATAGGTCAGTAATTCCTTTACTTAGTGTTTCCCTAGCGGAACACGAGCACTATTTAGGCTAATTAATAGGCTAGGCTTATAGCTAATATGTCTACTCGGACCTAATTTCTTCCTGAAGAGAATACCTTGCCAGCTGGCACTAGCGAGACGCCATCAAGGCGCAGGCGCTGCATTACGAGAGAATAGGAATAATGTAAGGCCACGCGTCGGGCGCTTCCACGGGTTAGGGAAGAGGAAGAGGAAGATAATAAGGAAGAGGAAGATATTAAGTAAGAGCTAGGTGGTAACCCGCTAGCAGGTCGCCACTCTAGGGCGGGTGAGGATAATAGCGAAGATGTAGACACAACCCCTTAGCCATGCTACTAAATAAGTAGGAAAATAGTTCCTGGTAGCCAGGGCACACGTGGTAAGCCTCTAACACCCTCTCCCAGCGTTGTCCCAGCACCACGCGAGTACTATTTAGGCTAATATATAGGGTTGGCCTACAGCTGTTATATCTACCCAAGCTTAATCTGCGCTAGCTGGTCCTAGCGAGACGCCCCAGAACCGCAAGCGCCGCCTTAAGAGAGAGAAGATCCAACGTGAGGCCGCACGTGAGGTGATTCGCGAGGCCGCGCGTCAGGCGCTTCAGTAGCAAGAGGAAGAGGAAGAGAAAGAGGAATATAACAAGGAAGAGCTAGGTAGTAACCCACTAGCGGGTCACCGCTCTAGGGTGGCTAAGGATAATAGCAAGGATGAGAACGAGATAGACATAACCCCTACGCCGCGCCGCTAAACAAGTGGGAAGATAGTTCCTAGTAGCCAGGGCACACGTGGTAAGCCTCCAACACCCTCTGCTAGCGTGGTCCCAGCACCACGCGAGTACTATTTAGGCTAATATATAGGGTTGGTCTATAGCTGTTATATTTACCCAAGCTTAATCTACGCTAGCTGGTCCTAGCGAGGCGCCCTAGAACCGCAAGCGCCGCCTTAAGAGAGAGAAGATCCAACACAAGGCCACACGTCAGGCGCTTCCACAGCAGCAGGATGAGGACGAGGATAAGGAGGAGACTAAAGCCCCCCCTTAAAAACGCCGCTAAACAGGCGTGGAGACGCGTTATGGTGCCCAAGGCAGTAGGAGCTCAAGTTTAAACCATGCCAAAGGCAAGCAGCGCCAGAGATCTAGTAACCAGGACCAAGTGGTTGTGTTAGATGTAAGTATACTAAACCATGCTATATATGCACCTCGCCTGCTAGACAACAGTACTAACCTGAGACCTAGGAGGATGATGAGGGTGATGGCATCCTATGTCGAGTACCCTGCCTTCGCTGTGCTAAAGTTAGCTTTGTTAGGGGTGAGGATAACGAGGCTATTAGCCCGTAGTTATGCTGCCGTCCTCGTGCTAGGCTAAAGTGCTTTCGCTGTACATGATCCCACAAGACCTGTAGTATAATCCCAGCTCTATATGAGGCTGAGATTATTACACTACGGGAGAACGCAGGTGAAGATAATGATATTAATGTTGTTACTGCTATAAAAGACTGGACAAGAAGGGTTGAGACCTTTGTCCATAAGGTCGAGAAGGAGCTAGAGATGGTGCGGCTTATGCGGTCACTGCTACACCATACCTTTGAGCTATGGAATGATATCCATGAGGGCTATTGGATTACGCCCCGCCTACCTCCCTCTGCTATGACTATCTGGCCTGTTATGGATGGGACTGAGGGTAATGACGAGACTAATAACCAACTCCCTACCCAGGCTACCAGTCGCTATCAGGCCGCTGCTAGTACGCTGGGTGAGCAGGAGGAGACTGATGAGTATGGCCTTAATCTTTTTTAGTAATAGAGGCCTGGTTTTCTTAATATACTTCTTCTAGTTTTATTTTATTTTACTATTATATTTTATTATATGTTTAGTTCTAGTGTTAGTTATAGATTTAGCTTTATCTTCCTTCTTTTAACAAGCCTTTTAGGTAGCTAGCGTGCCGCTGGGTAGTCACTAGGTTTATAATTAGGTATTATAAGGATGTTAGTTTCTAGGTATTTAATTTCTTTTTACTATACTATTAGGGCTTTAGGTTTTTACTACTTTTTTAACTAGTTTGAAAGTTAAGAATAATATTACTAAATAGTTATTTAATTTATATTATCATATATAATTAAAGGTAGGCATCCTATACTCTAACCCAGGGGGGTCAGTGAAAGATACGTATCCTTGACCTAGGGTTGCCGCGGCTTCGGCCGCTGATTGGCTGGCTCCAGATCCACCTTGCGTATCCTTCACTAGGAATCCTCGCGTATCTTACACTGGCTTTTTCATGGCCGATCCGGCTCAGATTGGGCCAGGGGTTAGCGGGGCCAGTTAGCTCTAGCTGGTGCTAGTTAGGAGTCGCTCCGATGAGAGATTAGGGTGTAGTGGTTGATTAAACATGCCGAAGTTTTTGATTTTCCTACTTTGGGGTTTTTAGGTTTTACGAGCGCGGGAGTGGCGTTAGGACTAATCAACCCACCATACTCCTCCTACTCCTACACTCGCTGTACTAACAGCAGTGACCATGGAAACGCGTGGAAACCATAGTAACTATAAATATGAATGTTATTATTTATTATTATGGTGAATCCCATCAACCAATCCATTGATCCATCCATCCATCCATTATTATTATTATTGAATAAGTCAAGCAGTCGCGAAGCAGTTGTTGACTGGTGAACAACCAGTTCCCACCATGGAGAGCCAATTATTCGAGAAGATCCCCAGCTTGCAGATTATCATTTGCCGCCAGTGTAAGCATGGGGTGCGGCCTGCCGAGGCTGAACTCCATTTAAAGCAGAAGCATCAATTTAACCACCATCAGGCCACCCAGGTCACCCAGGCCATCCAGCAATGGGCGGATATCACGCAGGATAGCCAGGCGATCTAGATCCCATGGGTTATGGATAACGCGCTACCCATATTACCATGCCACGCCAACGGGTTGTTATGCCAGCGGGACCCCACGCAGTGCCATTACATTTGATCCACCATGGCGTCCATGCGGGTGCACTGGCGAGCCACCCACTAATGTTCCTAGCAGGGCCGCCGGGGCCATGTCTGCCCAAGGGAAAAGGCGCGTGGGGAGGCAGAGCTGGCACGATCATACACGCGCGTGGCGTGGCAGCAGGTGTTCCCCACGCGCAAGGGGTCCCATTACATCCATATTAGGTACCCAGGCGGCCACTGCCAGAGCCCGCCACCGCCACCCGCGGAGCAGGCCCAGCAGGCTGTGGATGCCATGGTCATTGCATGGGAGCGGGCGCGCGCGCAGGCAGTAGAGCAGGCCACCATCTAGGTGGACGAGGCGGCCGATGCCAACCCATGGCTGCGCATGATGGGGTGGGCGAGGTATTTGGATGGCGTGCACCCGCAGGATTTGCGCCAGCTCGTAGAGGCGCCCGTGGAGGTAGAGGTGGTGGAGGAGGAGGAGCCAGTGGATATGGATCCCAAGGCAGATCCCACTAAGCAGGCCGTGCGGGTGATTTAGGACGCCATGGACCAGCTAGCGCGGCGCAGCCAGCGGACCGTGCAGCAGTGCGGCGCGGGCATCCGCGTGGAGGCGGCCCGTACGGAGGCGGGCCAGACGCCATACAAGCCATTGCAGGCGTACATGGACGAGGCCAGCATCGAGAAGCACGTGCAGCCATGGCAGCAGGTGTTGGCATTCATCGCGCGCACGCAGGCCGCGCAGGCGAGCCCAAGCCGAGATAGCCAAGATAGTGAGGACGGGGATGGGGATGGTGGTGGCCATGGCCGCGGCAAGTGGCTTGGGAGGTTACCCGCGTATGGGATAACCCCGCGGCAGCGCCAGAAGTGGCAGGCGTTATAGCAGCTGGCCATGCCAGCCATCAAGAGGCCCGAAGCTAAAGCGGGAGCTGGTGGCCAAGCGCGTGCGCAAGCCCGAGCCAGGCCAGGGGTGAGGGTTATCCATACGTTCGCCGGGGCCGGCCAGATCATTAAGGACGTGTGGAGTGCCAGCCCCAGCGCTAGTACCAGCCTAGGTAGTAGCAGCCCAACCACGACGGAGCTGGACGAGGAGATGGATGATAGGGATGGGGTCAAGGCTACAGATACAGAGGTGGAGGCGTGGCAGATGACCCCCGTGGAGCAAGCGTGCTTAGAGTTTTATATCGAGCTAATGAACCAGCGCCACCGCACGCACGAGTACGAGAGCGCGCTGGTGTGCGCCATGGCCATGCAAGGATGGGGCGAGGCGCGCTAACCCAGCGGGGGTAACCCGACGGACCTCCATTGGGGTTGGGGCTCGGCGGCGCTTAGCCCCTTTAGGTTTAGCGGCCCGGGAAAAACAGGCGCCAAGTTCATCTATTCGGGTTGAAAAGGTCATCCATCTATATCTCCCATGGGCGTTCCTAGGCTTTAAAAATCAGATAGCGTGAAAGGGCGGGCACTTATCTTTTAGGTATTTAAAAAAGTAGAAGCCACATGGACGTAAGATAAAGCTATAGCATGGGTATAAAGACAGCCAGGTTTTATTAGGGTATGCTACCACGCGGGACGGGATGAGAGGTACAGCGCGGGATAGAGACAGCGCAGGAGTAGTAGAGATGAGAGTAATAATTAGGAAAAAGCAAAGTAAAGCAAGAGTTAAGTTAGCTAGATTCCCCATGCAGCGAGCTGCCATGGAAACCACGAATATTTATTTACAATCAGGGAAGGTGATTTTTTAAGCCCATTAATACCCATGCCCATGCCCATGCCCATGCCCATGCCCATGTAGATGATCCATCCCGCATGACTTCCACTTCCACGCATTTGATTCCAGTTGGTTATTTAATTTATTAATTTCGTTTTATACCATGGAGAACCAGTTATTTGAGAAGATCCCCAGCTTGCAGATTATCATTTGCCGCGCCTGCCAGTATGGTGTACGACCAGTAGATGTCCAGCAGCATTTGAAGCGGCGACATCAGTATAGTCACGACGCAGCCAGCCAGGTGGCCCACGCCATTTACCAGTGGGGGGATGTCCAGCAGGATAGCCAGGCCATCTAGATCCCCCGTGTATTAGACGACCCACTGCCCATATTACCATGCCACGCCCATGGGTTATTATGCCAGCGAGACCCCACGCAGTGCCAGTACGTGGCCGCCAGCATGAATTCCATGCGGAAGCACTGGAAGACCATCCACCAGTGGTCCCAGCAGAGCCATGGTGGCCGCGTGAGCCAGCGGGAGAAGGCGCGCGGGGAGGCCGAGCTGGCGCGGTCGTACACGCGCGTGGCGTGGCAGCAGGTGTTCCCCACGCGCAAGGGGTCCCATTACATCCACATTAGGTACCCAGGCGGCTGCCAGAGCCCGCCACCACCCGCGGAGCAGGCCCAGCAGGCCGTGGATGCCATGGTCATCGCATGGGAGCGGGCGCGCGCGCAGGAGGCGGAGCGGGCCACCATCCAGGCGGACGAGGCGGCCGATGCCAACCCATAGCTACGCATAACAGGGTGGGCGAGGTATTTAGACGGCGTGCACCCGCCGGATTTGCGCCAGCTAGTGGAGGCGCCCGTGGAGGTAGAGGTGGTAGAGGAGGTAGTAGATCAGGATGCCAAGGCGGATCCCACCAAGCAGGGCATGCGGGTGATTTGGGACGCCATGGACCAGCTGGCGCGGCGTAGCCAGCAGACCGTGTAGCAGTGCGGCGCGGGCATCCACGTGGAGGCGGCGCGCACGGAGGCCGGCCAGACGCCATACAAGCCGCTGCAGGCGTACATGGACGAGGCCAGCATCGAGAAGCACGTGCAGCCATGGCAGCAGGTGCTGGCATTCATCGCGCGCACGCAGGCCACCCAGGCAAGCCCAAGCCGGGATAGCCGCCAGGATAGCCAGGATGGGGATGATAGTGATGGTGGTAACCATGGCAAGTGGCTGGGGAGGTTACCCGCGTATGGGATGACCCCGCGGCAGCGCCAGAAGTGGCAGGTGTTATGGCAGCTGGCCATGCCAGCCATTAAGAGGCCCGAAGCGGAAGCCCAAGCTAGTGGCCAAGCGCGTGCGCAAGCCCGAGTCAGGCCAGGGGTGAGGGTGGTCCACACGTTCGCCGGGGCAGGCCAGATCATTGAGGACGTGTGGAGTGCCAGTCCCAGCCCAGGTAGTAGCAGCCCAGCCGCGATGGAGACAGACGAGGAGATGGAGATGGATAATGAGGATGGGGTCCAGGCTGTAGATGCAGAGGTAGAGGCGGCGTGGTAGATGACCCCCATAGAGCAGGCGTGCTTGGAGTTTTGCATCAAGCTGATGAACCAGCACCACCGCACGCACGAGTACGAGAGCGCGCTGGTGTGCGCCATGGCCGTGCAAGGGTGGGGCGAGGCGCGCTGGCGCGATCCCAGCAGTTACCCGCCCATATTATCCCGCGTGCTCAAAGTGGCGCGCTTCATGGTGGTGCAGAAGGCGTTATGGTTAGATCCCCATGCGAAGGAGATCATCCGCATGTGGACGGGCCACCGGCAGCCAGGCAGCAGCGGCAGCCACCCCGTTACATGGCCGTTGACCAGCGCGGACGAGCAGCTGGTGGATATCCATATCCATCCAGGGGATCCACCCCAAGGATCGCCACCACCATCAGGATCGCCACCAGGATCACCACCAGGATCAGGATCAGGATCAGGGTTAGGGTTAGGTGGGAAGCTGTTCCATGACCACGTCCAGCAGATGGTGCGCAGCTTCATGATCCGCGGCACGCACGGCCCCATGCAGACGTTGCTGGATTGGCGCACGTACGGGTTGAAGGTGCATTACAACACCACCACGCCAGGGCATGTGGGATGGATGGGCAGCGACGAGTTATTATACAAGGACGTGCATTTCACCATGGGCGCGTTCCGCGGCTTCATTCATGGCTTGGTGGGATCGGCGCGCGAGCTGCTACGGGAGGTATTATATATATCCCCAACCACAACCACCACCACCACCACCACCACCACCAGCAACACCAATTTCCCCCCCATCCCATGGTCCGGATTGTACGACGACCCCACGCAGGGCCAGAAGGGGTGGTGTTTTTT